ATTTAATTAACATATAGATACTATACCAATTTTTGTCACCTGCATAAAATCAGCTAAATTTACACATCTTGACAAAATTTTAACGATGGTGTAAAACCATTAGCAGAAAAGTAAACACTTTTATAATGTATGAAATATTCAAGGTGCCTTTTCATTGAGTTCTTAAAAAAATAGGAATATTTAGTATTTCTAACCTTTAACAAAATTGAGAAAATTAAATATTTTAGGAATCAGCTTAGTTGTGAATAATAATATATAAATTTGGGAATTTATATGGATTTTAGAGATTAGACAGATTTTTTTTTCTCTTCTGAAAGGCTGAAATCCTATAATAATTCTATAATTTAAGGACATTTCATAGGTACGCCATAGAGCGAAGTGAAGAATTGTGTTAAATGCTATACATATTTTAAAATAGGTTTAGTTACTTATAGACAAATAATAGTTCACAGAAGTAAACTACACGAAGAATCTAAAATTTTAACTGTGTAGTGAAGAATTTAATGTTTTTATTTTTTATTTTTGTATCCTGTGTACATCATTTCTGCCTGAAATCTTGCTCAGAAATATAAACGCGATATTATTCCTGTAAGCGAATGTTGTCCAGATTGTACTTTAAGTAGGTCACATTTTGATTTTACAAGCGATTTCCAGGGAATAACCAGTATAAAGATAAACAAAATGGAAAATTTAGGAAAATAATGTTTTTATTATTTTTCAATTTTGTTATTTGTTGTAATGCAGTTTAAAATATTCGCAAAGACTTGAAATTTGGCGAAAAAACATATATTTGATTTTTTTTGACTTGGTAAAATGTTCAAAACATTTAAGCTATTTTTGCTATTTATAAAAATTGTAATATTTTAGTTGAAAATCAGTGAAATATATTTGTATTGCATCTATGGACTTAAAATTAGGACAGAACTTTTATATTTACCTTTTTTAAACGTGGTCAAATTTAAAAGAAAATTGAGCATTTTTTGAGCTATTTATGAAAAAATATTTTTTACGAGTCTTGTACGTAATTTTTATTGGGAATGTACTCTATGGTAGAATTGTTTGACTTAACAGGAAAACTTGAACATCTTAAATGAGGTTAGAGTTAAAAGTCTGACAATGTGGTTAGAAATAGAAAATTGAGTATAATGTAGTATTTTTTTTAATAAAGGATTTTTAACTTTAAACGTAAATATCGTCCAAAATCGTTTGAATAAAAAATGATATGGAAATAATTTAATTTTTACATTTTTTTTTTTTATCACATTTATATTGTCGATTTCAAAACGATAGTGAGTTCAGAATTTAGCGGACTGACTAAGTTTCAAAATTATAGTTTTCTGAAGTTCTCACTTTATGCAGATACATTATATGTTATATTAATAATTCTATACAGTCGAATTGTTAAATATACCTAATATCATGTATTCGATTGCGAGTTTAAACCTGTGATTCCAGAAAACATTTTTTCACGTTTATTTTTTCCTTTTTCTCAAACAGAGAAAAAAGAATGCATTTTAGGTGTATCTAAAGACCCAGCTTTAGCTCGCTATATACTATTTTAATCACAAAATATCCCTCGATTTCTTTCGCGAACTCTTAAAACTGAGAATCTGAAATCTGACTTAGAAGGTCCTTTAGTGTGGTCGTTTTTCGATTTTACCAATAGTTAGCTAATTTCTGTAATTGTCTCCATTTAGCTTAGAACGTTTCATTTTTATGGTTAGTTTGATGTATAATATGTAGTATAAAATTCGATATTAAAATATGAATATTAATAAATAAGAATGGAATAATTAGTATTATGATGTGCGTCAATTAAAATCATTTTTTTATATTCAATATAAATTGATATATACGACATTTTGAGATACTATTTATATAGGTTTAACGCACAAATTGATTACGATCCAATCTGTACAGTGTGTTATCGGCTAACGTGTCAGTGCGTGTAAACAATATTAATATGACCGCCTTATCTTACTAACTTAGTGAATATACAATATTACAAATAAATAATAATTTTTAAACAAATCTAACATGTTCTTTTACACGTATTTTGGGTTGTTCGCGTATTCCTGTGCACCACAGCACGAGCGGTCACTGATATATATATTGAGGCATTTCGTTTTAAATTAGTTACACTACCTAATTGTTAAAATCAAATATTTAATTGATACATACTTTAAGAAATCACTGCTTTGTAACGGTGAAAATCATTACGGCGTGGTGTATAACATAATAATGAACATAGTAGGTACGAGTATGTATCTTATAAATTAGTTATAATATTATTTTGGGTGCCATTGCATATTTTAATTCTGAATATAAAATTTCACATAGATATGTTGATGTGAATATTGTTAGCAAAAAGTGGCCATATTTTTGTATGGTTTTGTATTCTCCTGGCACTAAATTCAATATATACATTATGTTCTCCTTTTTTCTTTTTGCAAATGGTCAGATATGACCTTGAATATAATCGCAGCGTAATATGTTGACAAATTGGTTTAGTGTGTGTGTGTAAATGGTTCTATATATGTGTCTGTACGGTTGTACGGATTTTATTTTCGTATACCTATATATTATGTCGATAAAAACATTTACCTATAATAGTTATTGACGATGGCTATTGCCTATTGTAGAAAGTTATTATTTCTCTTATGCCTATTTTATTCATATTAATATTCTACTATGACAATATAATATGTATAATTTACCCTATATTATCTGCTTTAAGATCGCAAAAAGTTTATTGCTCATAATATTAGGAGAAGGATTTAATGGGGTATAAGTATCGATGAATCGATGCAATGTATACACCTCGTTAGGTACACAATAGACGTGNAAGAAATTCATTAATTAATTTGATCAGAATGTATTCATTTGGAGTTTGAAAAGTCTACATTTATATTTTGATCAACATCCTGCGATACCAAAAAGTGAATAAAGTCGGCCGTTCGCATACATTAAGAAGGATCTTTACTAAAAACACTCGTTTTAACTTTATCTCTGTGCGTAATTACTTCCTTACTATATAGTGTCTAAATTTTCAGGACATTTTTTAAAGCCAATCTTTGTTTTTCTGATTTTTCCTTAGCTAATTTCTGTAATTGTCTCCATTTAGCTTAGAACGTCTATTCATTTTTATGGTTAGTTTGATGTATAATAGTATAAAATTCGATATTAAAATATGAATATTAATAAATAAGAATGGAATAATAATGTTAAAAATTATGATGTGTGTCAATTAAAATCATTTTTTTATATTCAATATAAATTAATATATACGACATTTTGAGATGCTATTAATATAGGTTTAACGCACAAATTGATTACGATCCAGTGTACAGTATGTTATCGGCTAACGTGTCAGTGCGTGTAAACAATATTAATATGACCGCCTTATCTTACTAACTTTGTGAATATACAATATTACAAAGAATTAATAATTTTTAAACAAATCTAACATGTTCTTTTACACGTATTTTGGGTTGTTCGCGTATTCCTGGGCACCACAGCACGAGCGGTCACTGATATATACATATTGAGGCATTTCGTTTTAAATTTGTTACACTACCTAATTGTAAAAATAAAATATTCAATTGATACATACTTTAAGAAATCACTACTTTATAACGGTGAAAAACATTACGGCGTGGTGTATAACATAATAATGGACATAGTAAGTACGAGTATGTATCTTATAAATTAGTTATAATATTATTTTGGGTGTCATTGCATATCGCGGAAATTTTCCTATATCGTACACTACATACTATAATAATACAATCGGCCGATACGAATTTTAATCATAGATAATAAATGGTTTTAATACCTCCTTACATCACGATTTATAACCTACCTATTTATGATAAAATAATGTTAATAATCAAATAAATAATAATATATTTACTAATTTTTGGTTGCAGTTTATTTTGAACACTCGATGTTGTTTCACATCGTACTGTGTTCAAATACCATGTTTTTATATTTTAAATTTAAAAATAATATCTCAACGTAATTTTTACGTTACACCATGAAAAATATTGCCGCCCTTTAATATTCGCCCCTCTAAACTTTAGCTTGAACAGCCTAAGCGGTAATACGGCCTTGTATGTACATATAAAAACACAAAAATATCAAATACCCAAAAATAGCAAGAATATTTCGAAAATTTACAGCATCTACAGTATGCCAATANAAACAAATTATTAACCAAATACTGTACACCTTGTGTATTCCACGGTAATTCGTAATTAATAAAATAATAACGTAAAAACAAAATTATTAAAATTGTTATAACTTGTAAACAAATATAGTAAACAAAGTATATATAACAATAAAACATAAATAAATGAATTAATGCGTCGCCCAAAGAGTTACGATAAGTGTGTTACACGCCTGATTTCGAATTAAAAATTCATCATCAAGTAAATCACAGTCAAAATGTAAAACGCGACTAAATATAAAAAAATAAATGAAGGAATACAGAGAAAATAATTATACAAATTGGTCGTTTTGCATAGAAATTATTTATTTTGTCTTCTGAAAGACTGAAATCCTATAATAATATTACTTTGGATCTTTAGCTGATTGTAATTAGATCAATACAATTTATATTATAGGGCATTCCATGTAGGTGCACCATAAGGAGGGAATGAAAACGTTAAGTTGGACGTTAAAAATATTTAAAAAAAAATTGTATTTACTTATAGCGACATAGTGGTTTATAGAATATTAATTAAAACATTTATATTTGTTTTTTATGCTCAGCCATAAAATTCCCAAAAAATGTATAAAATAATATTTTCTTGTAAATACTATACTGACAACTGAATTTAGTAGGTATTATACTATAATAATACGCCCTTTCTAAGCGTGTAGACAACCGTCTCAGGGAGGTGAATGGGTTAGACGATGGCACTACGACTATATCCGTTCCACGTTCACAGCCGTTTAACGAGATGCATGTAGCAGTCTGGTCAATAGTGTTTATACTATTTTAAACGCAAAATGCATATGTCATCCTATCCCTCTTCAGGCGTATAGACAACAGTTTTCAGGATGTGTATAGCCGTCTACTTACCGGAATATTATATACATATATATATTTTTAAAGAAATAAGTAATAGTGACAATAAGCACAATAACTAGGTACACAGGATAGAGAGAACCGAATACAACAGCCCGTCTTCGGTATCTGCAACTACTGTATGGGTTTGGATAAAAATATGGATGTAGTGAGTGAGAAAAAAATGTCATCTTCAAAATTAAATTTATATCAATTCAAATATAGATTTTTGCAAACGAAAAATGATTCTGAGTGAAGTTCGGTTTTGTATATTACAACAACAAAACAAAATTAAACAATAAAAGCATTAATTTCATAAATTTTTCTATTTTTCCTAATTTCCGCCTGGAAGGACAACAAAGATTACAACTTACAAAGATCCTTCCATCAAATATTTAATAATATTGCTCTGTTAAAACTACCAATTTACTCTTTTTCTGATAGTATCTACCAAATAAAAATTATTCTAAAAGTTAAAATATCTTTAAATGACTCAAGAATATCTAGAAAAAGGAAACGTAAGTTTTCTGTCCAAAATCGAAGTTTATACGAAGACATTAAACTGGAAAACATTTGAAAACAAAATTTAAAATAGTTTAATAATTTAATAAGAACTTTTGTAAATTTTTCCGTTTTTCTAGATATTTTTTAATTTTGTTCAATTATTAATCAAACTTAAAAGATAATCAAAAATCCACACCCTTGGTCATCAACAAAATTCAACAAAAAGATCTCTTTAAACATAGGAGCAATATTTATGATAGAAATATAGTGTAATATTACCGAGTGTATTACCGTACTGCGCTCGGAATCGTCTTTTGTCAAGCAATAGTTTATCTTTGTAAATAATTACAGATATAAATGAAATAACCTTATGTATTCTACCTTCCCAACTGCTCACCTAATAAGGTGGCCACTCCTATCCCCAGTATCAGCTCTTTTTTTTTCTTTTTTCTATAGACAACTTTTCTAATGGTAATTTTTCTACAAGAAAATCTGAATGAGGAAGTAATTTAAAAAGTAATTTTTTTGATTTCCTACAAGTTTTCCTAATAAATGGGAATAATTGTAAAAATATTGAAAGATGTCGGAAAAACAGGAAAATTTTTAAAATGATAAATTAATAATATTAAAGAAAATGGCTATATAATTATTTTACCATAATATGACATACATGATGTTGACAAAACAACACTATCAACTGAACTCCACTCAGAATTATTTTTTCGTTAGCAATGGTGTATCGTTACTTACAGATATACATTAGATTTCTTCTATTCTACCTTCCTAACTTTTTACATATAACAGTGGTCCACCCACGGCGGAAAATGTCCGTCTTTTATTTTTTCTTATAGGTTTAANGATACTAAATCATAATTATATATTTACCTATTGTCACTTGAAATAATTCAATAGTCTAACGGAATTCGAAAATATTTGACATTATTGGCTTATTGACCTACCATACCAGGTAAACAATTAGAGTTCAACGCCAACATTTATTTTAACTAATACACCATAAATTTATTTATTGAATTCTTAACATAGGTTGCCATTTGAAAATCGAAAGTAGGAAGTGGATTTACTCCCGAAAATTAAAGTAACACAAAATAACATAAATATAAAATTGTAGAGTAGCTTATTTCTTTAATGCTCTGGGTAACAAATTCCGGAAAAAGTTAATACTTTCCAAGACAATTAGTGTATCCACTTAAATGGATCATGTGATATAATATAGGTAGAGAGTCACGTGTATATACACTAAAAAATATTAAAATTATAATCTCAACAATTAAAAAAAATGGTTTATAGTGGGAATGGGTGTACTACTATTGTAGATGACAGGTTAGGAAAGAAGAGTACAAAAAGTTTTTTAACTTATATCTGTCCGAAAGTTGAACCATCTTCAAAGAAAAAATCCAAATCCCGTACACGTATTTTCTACTATTTTTTTTCCGATTTTTCGTAATTATTAGGAAAACTATTCGAATATCAAACAACGAATTTTTTCAGAAAATATGCTTCACTTGAAATTTGGATTTATATTTCTCGTAGAAAAATACAATTTAAAATAATGATATAATTACACCGTAATTTGAAAATTTTTTTTTTTATTTTCTTGCTTTTCCGAAATATTATAAAATCTACTATAGATATCAAAAAAAAAAATTTCTCTAGCAGTGACAAGATATTAGATGGAACAAAAATCTTGTTATTTTTTGATTGGGGAGAATTACTGATAGAAAATATCGTTTACAAAAATTAAAACATTTAAACCGAAAAACCGAGATGCCGTAAATATTACATCAATTGTAATTTTTTGGTTTTTCTTAATTATTATGAAAAATATTCTAAAACCAATGGCTTATTAAAAGAATGAAACCAAAAAAGTCTCACGTCAGTTTTGAGTTAGAGCAATATTTTTAGTTGAAAACATAATTTACAAAAATTAAAACGAATAAAATCTGTAATATCGCAGATCTTCTTAAATATTTGTCGTTTTACGTATAATTTTAGTTTCCTGATTTTTCCAAATATTTCTAAAACCACTAAAAAATCAAAAATAATCTGTCTATTTTGTACATTATAAAATTGATAATAACACTTTTAGTTGAGGTGTTACACTTGATAAATCCGAGCAAGTTTTCTTTTCTAACAATATTATTATTTATATTAATATGTGTCATCCTTGTAATCTTTATCTTATATAATAGCTGTTCATCTTGATTTGTTATAAAACAAATGATATTGATTAAAACCCGAAAGTTTTTTGATGAGATGTCCTATTTATGTATTTATTTATTTATTTTTGAAAGAGGTATATTGGAGTGCTCATATAATGAGGTTTTCTTGTCTAGACTATCAATTTTGTTATACATTTAAATAGTTTTAAGTTTTGGTACATCGGTATAGTTTTTAAAATATACATTTGTTTTCAAAAAACATAAACTATGGAACATGACATTATTTTTTATATTTGATTTTTTTGGACGTTGAAGTCTTAGTATTTTAGAGTGAAATATTTTTTAAATGTTTAGTGATCTGATTAGATCAGAGATAAGTATAGTAGTTAAATAAAAGGTTTGTTTTTCTTTGTTTTGTAGAGATGTACGTAAATTTGACACCACGTGTATAACATACTTCAACCGAATATCCCTATTTTTACCCTTATTTTTAAACATATTAGACGTTGTTTAGTAATTTTTAGAACTAATTTTCCAATATATTTTTATGTGATGTCAACTTTACGTTGAACAACAAAAAAGCTCGATGTTACCAACGCCGGTATCAAAACACTCACATAAGTTTGTTAGACGTTGTGTGAATGTTGTTAGAATTTGATTGACTTCATTCCCCGATATGTATGATGTATAATATGTTTACTGTGCAGTAATACCACATAGTTGTTGAATGTTGCCGAAACTGAAAAGATTTTTTGTATGGCTGAGATTGAGAAAATGGAGGCAATATAAAGTCAAAAGTGGATTAGAAGGCAGTATCATTAAGGGACATTAAAAACAATTAATTCAGACAACATGGTCTTAATGACGAGAAAACGAAAGAATAAGATACAATTTTGAACCCACACAACAATTAACGGAATCAACAAGGAATTTCTCTAAATTCAATATGCACTCATGTATAACATAATACAAAATTCAACAAAAAATATCTCTTTAAACATAGGAGCAATATTTATGGTAGAAATATCGTATATTTCATCTTGGTAATGTTACGAAATGTATTACCGAACAACGCACGGAATAGTCTTTCGTCAAACACTAGTTTATTGTTGATTACAGACATAAATGAAATAACCTTATGTATCCTATCTTCCCAACTACTCCCCGAAAACTGTGGCCGCTTCCATCCCTAGTATCAGATCTTTCTTTTCCTTTTTCTGTGGACAACTTTTCTACTAGAAATTTTGTCCCAAATTATTATATTAGCGCATATTGTAAAACAAAATCTTACTGTGGTGGTACATTAAAAAGGTAATTTTTTTGGTTTTTTTTTAGGAGTTTTCACAATAAATGCTCTCATGTATAATATATTACAATACGCTCATTTCATATAAATTATATTTTGAATTAAACGAGACACAATTTTTTTTTTGATATAGTTTACTGTATAAATATTTGAAAAATTCATCATTTAATTCGGTAAAACGATTGTCATGGTTTTCACCGTGATTCACCAATTTAAAACACAAATCCGCCGATGCAGTTTTCAATCAATATAGATAATTGGTTATATTTGGTGTTTTTGAAATACAATTTAAAAACGACATATAAAATAAAATAATATCATTATTACAATTCATATTAATATTCAAATCACAATTATATGTTTATTTACGAGAATACGCTTAGGAGTAATGTGCGAGTATTTTAATTATGTGCATTCGTGATGTTGTGCCTGGAATACTTCAAATTTTGTTGTAGGGTATTAGCCATATACATCAACATGTGGTCTGTGTATGTGGTGAGTCTCGTGGGAATTTGAGTTATTTTCGAGAACCACAAGTGATGGTTCATGACTATTGTAGTGCTGATGCATGCTACATTCATCGGATGTGCAGCCATCTACCTGACCTACATAGTCATATGTATTATCATGTATGCATTGTCCAGATTCACATATGTTTCCGTAATGATCACGTCTAATAACAGGGGGTTGTTCAACAACTACAATCTTGGGGTCCACATCATGGTCATAACCGCGGTGATGTTCTCTATTGTTAACCTCAATGACGTTTATGTGTTCGTGACCACTACTGTTGCATAATCTGTGCCTTCGTTCTTCTGAGCTCCTTGAATCCCCGGTAAGTGCATGTGCAATTGAATCTACTATACCTCCATGCTCGCCACTTGGATAGCATGACGCATGTTGAGTTACTATAACGGCCACAATGAATGAAATGATTATCTGTAAAAAAAAAAAAAAAAACAAATTACACTAGTGGCGCATTTGAGCGGGGAAGGCAATAAGGGTAATCGCCCTTGAGAGATTTTTTTACAAATATTAATTAAATAATAAAAAAGACGACACTTTTATAGATGATTTAATGTATGCAACCTGTAAGCAACGATAAACTATTGCTTACGATAAAACGATTCTGAGCGAAGTTGATAATGATGCTTTGTCAACAATATATAAATTTTAAAATTTTAAAATAAAATAATGAACATACATATTTTCACATATTCTTCACATATTTTTTTATATAATTTTTGTTTAATTACCGATAATCCCAGTTCTCATACGTTTTCCCAGATTCCTCATGTTTTTTCTCGGTGTTTCACATTAATTAGAAAAACACTCGGGAAAGTCAAAAAATGACCTCTTTAATGTACCTACCTAGTGAATTTTCCTTTTGGAAACATTACTATCATCGTAAGTTGAAGCAAAATTGTGTACAGAAAAAAAAACGTAGTATTTATGTAATATATTTCGTATTTTATGACCATAAAGTACTTACATTAACCGATTTATTTTCAGAAAAGGTGCTACTCTTAGAAATCTGAGCAAGTTTTCTGGTAGAAAAGTTGCTTACAGATAAAAAAAAGACAGAAAACGAAAATATTTTTAGAATTTTTTCTGTTAAATCGATTTCATTGAAAAGATTTCTTACGCCTTCATCAATCAGTAATATTTATGTCTCGTTGTTGCTTTGGATTAGTGCAAATATGATTTTCTTTTTGTTTGTATTATTAACTGGGGGAACCCGGAAAAAAAGACAGAAAACGAAAATATTTTTAGAATTTTTTCTGTTAAATCGATTTCATTGAAATTATCTTTATCAATTATCCTTTAGTATTAAAATTAAAGTTTGTGTAGACCACCACACTCGTTTACAAAACCAACTCCCATATAACACTTTTAATTAATATTCCGTACATACCAATTGAATACAAAATATGGCTCAGGTACCCATTAAGGATCTACTTCACCCACCCATTAAAAGAAGGATGTAAGATACTGTACGAAATAATGCCATTTCGATTTGCACATAATTGCATATTTTACAACTTTTATGGAATCCAAAAATCCAAAAACAAATGCTGTATAAATGAATATTTAAAAATAATATTAGGACTTTATATTATACGATGTAATGAAGATATCGTTTCACGCATACCAATATATTGCGTACCAATTGAGAACATTTTTCTATTTGCCTTTTCTAAACGTGATGCAATTTTTAAATCATTTGAGCCTGTTTGAGCTATTAAAAGACATTTTAATTTTGCGAGTTTTTAACATTATTATTCATAAGGTACTTTGTGAATAAAATTTTTAGATCAAACGAAAATGCTTAAAGAATTAATAGAAGATTCATTATAGTACTTAGTGGCCCAATTGAATTTAATGTAGTATTTTTTTTTTTTATTATAACTATTAATATCAAATGATGACAAAAAATATCTAACTTGTTATTTCTGCTTTTTAAAAAAAATGTTTAACCAAATTTTACTGAAAAACGTATTTCGTTTTCAATGGTTAATCATTTCATACAGATATACTATAAATTCTCTTTCATATCCTATCTTCCCAATTACTCACCTACAACAGTGGTCCATCCATCGTGCGAAGTATGTCCTTATTATTTTAATTATATAACGCAGTGTTTCTCAACCTATGGTATGCGTACCACTAGTAGAACGCAAAACTTCTAAGATGCTACGTGATGAAAAAATATATTTATGATTGGAAGGCTACCTGGAGTTGCAGTAAAAATAATAAAAGTTGCCCCTCTATTTAGATCTATATATTGCATGTTTTATCGACAAGCATTAGACTCCCAAAACATGTCTACGCATTTGAAATCAGGGCCAGACATCTCAAATAAAGGCTATTCAAAATATTTAATTGCAACAGAATTGGCTGTACTCATAACTCTCTTTTCCCCTACACAGAGGAACTTATAATTGCTTTCACGAGGAAAAGTCCCAACTAGGCTAATCGAACTAAGATTATAAGTTTCATTAATTCTGATTGACATTGCAGAAGAAAAGTCCAATTTTTTTTTGGCTGACATATTTGACCATTTAAATATTCTAAATATTAGCCTGCGTGAATCAAACCCAAATGAATTTTATACTAGTGATAAATATGTGCATTCTTGAGGAAGTTTGGTTTGTTTTATTTCTTAAGAGCACTTTCAAAACTATGAACATTTCAAATTTTTGGTAGAAAATGAAAAACAAATAATCGGTGTTTTCCAAACAAGTTTGTAAACACAGTTTCTTATCTCTAATGTATCAACGTATCTGTGAGAAAATGTGTATTTTCAATTATAATAAATCAAAATACAAATTGAAAGGAATTTAATCTATTAAAAAGTTTAAGAGTTAAATCAAGTTATTTGTTTTTTTATACGGAAAAATATTCCAATGACAATTAAATTAATTATATAGTATCTGGAAATAGAAATCACAGCTAATTTTAAGATACGAGCATGTGAAGTATTACAATTTTAAAAACTTTATATCTTGCTTAAAAATTAAAATATCAAAAATAAACCAACGTACAAAAACAGAAATTGTTCTTATCTATAGTTCATATTACGAGCCTATATTGAAATTCATAATGCAAAATCAATTCTACTGAACGAAGATTGGGCATTCAATTTTCAATATTAGCAGAAATATACATAAATGTATGAATTATATCATAACTATACCTCCCTAAATCTAACCACCAGATGAACACATAAATACTTCACTAACAAATATCAGTTACGAGTAACTATAAATAACTCAAAAATCTCATGAATATTTCGAATATTTACCACGTCTAGAAAAGTGTAATATAATTATAATTTGTAACTACAAACATTTTAAACCGAATTACAACAAAAAATCAAAATGGCAAAACTGAAAAGAAAAAAATCGTTAATACAGTAACTTTTTCGTCCCTTTTACATTTTTTCGAAAAAGTTTATGGTTTTACACTCATGTTTATTTTTTTGTTTTTTTTTTTTTTTGGATAACTTTTCTACCAGAGGATTTGCTCCGATTTTTATGTGTAGCACATTTTCTGAAAGTAAATCAATGTGGAGAAGTCCTTTAGAAAGGTCATTTATCAATTTTCTAAGGAGATTTCTAGTCAAATGTGAGAAATTTAGGTATTCGTTAACATTATTATGGCCTCCTATTATCCTGTGAACAATTGTTTCACAACAATTTTGCACAAACTTCTAGTAAAAGTAAATTTTTGGAAGGTCCTTTATAGAAGTATTTTTTTAATTTTCTCCAGCATTTTCTCAGTAAATGTCAAACCAAGGAAAAAACATGAGAAAACGCAAAAAGCAATAGTTTATCGTTGTTTACAGGTATTCATTTAATTATTTAGAACAGTGACTGCACCCGTTCTATTAGCTTAAGACGTTTTTTATTTTTTTTCACCACTTATTATTATAATAATTTATAATGAACTCGTTATAACTTCTCGTTAAATTTTCAACCAATTTTGGTTGGTCAAAAAATGTTATCCACAATGTATCCACCAAACGGCGTACTAATATCGTAAAAATAAATTCAATAATAGCTCATAAATATTTTGAACATTTTACCTCATTTAGAAAAGGCAAATATATGTTTTCTGTTAAAAATTCTCTAGGAATATGTTTGACTAAATTAAAACCAAAAAAACAACGATAATCGATTATTCATACCGATATATTATTTCATCAATGACGAGTTACCTGAATAGGTCATACAAATGACGTATGTAATATAAAAAATATATATAAAAAAAAAAAAAAAAAAATTATAAACTGTAATTTTAACGTATTTTTATAAAATAATTCACCAAGTAAAACAAATATCCTTATCTAACCTCAACTAACCAAAATTATTTAACTACAAAATTAGACTAGCTACAAACTAAAACTGTTCGCCAAATCGAACAAATAATATTAATAAACATTATAAAATTAAAATAAAATTATTAATAAATATTTATAACTAACCGTCGAGTAAAATGTCATGATGAGAGGTGTTGAAGTCTAGAAAATAAGAATTATTCGCGTCGATTGAAATACAACGTTAGCTGAACACCGACTGCAGTACCCGTGCACTGGTGCCGGCCGTTTTTATAGGGTTGGTGTAATAGGCACGGATATGGCCGAATATTAATAATATAAAATTCTGTTCGGTATTTTTCGCAAACAATATCGTTGTTTGCGATNAAACACTTGATATATATTTTTTTCTGTTCATAGGCTTTAGATTTTTTTGTTTTCTTGTACTAATTTCTAGAACCTTTTGTTCTTATATTCTTCTATTTTAATTTTTTTTTTTGCAAAATGAAAAAAAAAATGTTTAATTTCTACAGTAATTTTTAAATAAAATTTTGGTATTAAACATGTTTACTCATGATGAATCTTGAAGTTTCTGTGGTTTTTCAAGTTTTGCATAAAACATTAAAAATCTATTTTTCATCCACAATTTGTGAACGATTAAAATAATTGCGTGTTAATGAAAACAATTTAAATAAATATAATCTTCAGAAATGTTTAAATAATTAACGATTTGTCATTTGTAATTCCAAACAACATATATTTTATAATATAGGTTCTTGGATTTTTTAAATACAAAAAATTTAAAATATAGAAATCATTGCTACAAGCTACTATAGCTATTATTACAAAAAAATAGGACACTCAAAATTATTGAACGGAAAAAAATGTATTTCAGGTTATGGATCCGGGAGCGCGTAGAAAAACCGAAAATAAATCAGCTGAACATTATTTCGGCCGAACTGTATTTAAGCTGATCCGTAATTAAACCGAAAAATATTTGAGCTGATAGTATTTTATCCGAAAATATAACAGTCCACCGTAATAAAGATATAAGGTCAGATCTTCTATAATGATAACGCGTGATAAGAAATAAGTAAAAAGGAGACAAATTCCGTACAAATTATTTTAAAATTAAAACAAGTTAACCAGATGTCCCAAGTAACTCAAAGATTATAGAAAATATTCTAAAAACCTTGTAAGTAACCACTTATATGGTTCTTTGAGTTTTATTTCAAAGAAGTTAATTGGAAAATAAACTGGTTTAGTTTTGATAATAAATCCAACATATTTAGGTGGATTAAAATTTCTTTTGTTTTTCAATTATTTTTTTTTTTCAAAAACCCTGTTATTGCGCAAGCTACAGATACATTATATAATAATCGAATATACACTTATACCAAACCCTCTTGTAGGTATTATTTTTGTATCTCTTTACAAGATTTCCATCAAACATTTTGCTTCAATAATATTACGACAAAAGAGATTTTATTTATAATTTTGATTCTAGTTGGTACATTTATGTAGTCACTCTAAAACATTTCAATATTTCATAAAAGTTAAGAAAAATCGAAGAAATGGAAAAATGAACGACGAAAAAAGTGTCATTATTTTGGTTTTTTTTCTATCGAATTTTAAATTTTTCCAGATTATAATTACTAAATTACCACATAATTTATAAGTTCATTTTTTTACCAATTATTTCAACTCATGAAAAACATTATTAAATTTACGAATATTTTCGTTAGGCCAAAATAATTTTTTTACAAAAAAAAAATGTAAAAACTCAAATTGACAATAAATTGCCATAATCGTTTTCCCGATTTCTTTCGATTTTTCTACATGGAAAATCAAAATATACTTTTCTCAATGTATCAAATTAACAAAATTTCCTCTCAAAAGCAAAACCTTAATTTGACTATCACAGTATTATTTCTGAAACAAAGAGGTTCATATACAGTCATATCGGGTGTAAAAGAGACCCCCTGGTTGTACAATAACCGCAAGGGACCCTCCATTTTTATAAATTTTATATTTTAATGTTCCTCTTCTTATATTTTTTCAATTCGATCACTATGTATAACCAATAACATAACCAAAAGATATATAAATTATAATTTTATCACAAATACTATATTAATTCAACTGTATTTGATTAACCTATAAGTACTAAACTATAGGAATTTTTATCACCTGATTAAAGTCAGCTAAACTTACACTGCTCAACAGAATTTTAACGACGATGATTTAACACCATTGGCGAAAAATTAAAAACCTTAGAAATTCATAAAATATCCCGTGTCCTTGAAAAAAAAAAATGTAGTATTTTTTTAAGGGAAATTTGATATCAAATTTTGAAGAAAATCGTTTGAGTAAGAAATAATATGGAATAAATCTAATTTATCAATTTTTCAATTCTTTTTGAACATTTTTCTATTGCCCATTTAAAAAAGATGGAAGTCAGAATTAAGAGGAATGACTAAGTATAAATTATGGCCTTTTGATGTTCTGATTGTATGTGGATACATTATATGTTATGTTAAATTATTCTACATAGACGAATAGTTGAATATACCAAATATCATCCTTGGGGTTGCAAGTTCAAAACTGTGATTCGAAAAAACATTTTTTACCTCTTTTTCCCTTTTTTCCTATACAGGGAAAAACAAGTGCATTTTAGGTGTTCCTAGGGGTCTATCTATCGCTCGTTCAGACAATTTTCATCGCAAAATATCCCTTGAGCAAACTTTTCTAACTAAAAATCTAAAATCTGATTCAGAATGTACTTTAGAGTGGTCATTTTCAGATTTTCCCAAGAATTTTGCCAGCAATAAATGTAAAAATAAAAAAAAAACATGGGGAAACTAAGAAAAAAGCAGGAAATACTGGAAACTAGCTACAATATAAAACAAATATTTTTATTATAGAAAATATTTAATTTCTATTCAATAATTTTACCATATTATGACATATATATTGTTAAATAAGCATCACTTTCCTCTAAACTCCGTTCAAAATTGTTAATCGTAGTAAATTAAAAGATTCACTCAGATTAAAACGTTCATTTCACTCCGAAGACGTTCAATTTATTAAACTTAAAAAAAAAAATAAAAACAATTGTAATAAATTTGCAATTTTTTGAGATTCTGAATAGAAGGATATTTTACAAGTGTAAAGACGTCGTTTTTCGATTTTTTCTGGTGTTTCTCAAAACTGAAGAAAAACGGAAAAATGTATGAAACATATTTGAATATTATAACAATTTTTTTTTCTGTGGACCATGATTCTACCAGTAATTTTCCTCTAAAATTTAATAATAACAATTTTTCTAAAAAGAAATTTCAAAAGGAAGGTATTTTAAAGATTTCATTTTTCGACATTTTGGGAATTTTTCCAGCAAATGTAAAAAATGAGTATGTAACCTGCAAAAACCAGAAAAAATGTATGGAAATTTGGAATATCGTTACAAAATTAAACAAATGTTATTTTAAAAAACATATAGTGCCTATTAAATTATTTTTCTATAAAATGATATATATATTGTTCACAAAGCTTAGATATCAACTGAACTCTGTTCAGACTTATAGATATTGTAAAGAACACATTTTTCGATTTTTCAAAAAGTTTTCTCGTCAAATTTGAAAAACAGGAAAATATGAGACATGTAGGTATAAGTTAAAATATATTACGGCCTTCTTTTTTTTTTTTGTGCACAACTTCTCTACCAGTAATTTTGCCCCGACTTTTAATGTTTCTGAAAGAAAATCTCAGTAAAGAGATACTTTACAGAAGTCATTGTTCGATTTTCTAAGGAGTTTTTCCACCAAATATAAAAAACACGAAAAAATAAACGAGAAAATGTAAAAAATATAAGAAAACCGAGATCCATTTTAATTTTGGACTAATTGGAATAATTGTAATTTTACCCTTATATGACATATATATTGTTGACAAAGCAACACTATCAACTGGACGATTCTGAGAGGATCAGAATTGATTTTTCGTTAGCAATGTTTTATCGTTGCTTAAAGGTGTACTTTAAATTAATTATAAGAATGGCTGCACCCGACACCATTATCCTAGGAAATTTTTTTTATTCGCCATTTTGATTTTTTTAATGGCGTTTGACTTAAACTTTAAATAGATTTAAAAAATGTTAAGTTTATACTTAAAGGCTACTTTATTAGTTGATTGAAAATTGTTAACATTACAATTCTTTATTTTTTTTTTTTAATTATCACCGATATAATTTTTAAAAGAAATAATTTTTTCATTAATATTTTAAACAATTGTTTTTGATTTGGGCATACGTAAAAAATTATATGAATTTGCTCTCTTTATTCTCAACTGAATAAATTCAGCTAATCAAAAAGAGCTCGAAAATATATTTAGGACAGTGAATTATTAAAATTGTTGGCAGAAAATTATATGCCCGAAAATTATAAATTGAAATATAACTATTAATATAATGTAAATTTATTTCAGCCTGAAAAAAATTGTTTTAAAACTTCACACTTGATTTGACGTAAAAATAAAATGATTGATTGGGAAATTTATAACAACCCTTTTTAAGTGAATTTTAAGTAATCTTTTAAGTGAAAATTAAGTTATCACTTTTTAAGTGAAATACAAATATAATTTCGTCCAAAACTCTGAAATTAAAATTCAGAAACAATTATTATTATTCCTTATATATTAAGTCATATAAAGAATAGCATTTTAATAATTTAAAACAAATCCAAAACTTGTCTTAAAAATATAAAAATTCAATAAACAAGCCACATAAAATATGCATATTATTGTAAAATGTTCAAAAATTAATATTATATTATATAATAATTTTATATTTATAAACACCCCAGATTTGATAGCTAATTCATTTTGGCGGAAGGATTATAAAAAGATAAATATGAAATATAAATATAAATATGTTTTGAGTCATTCTGATTGCAATATAGTAAACCTTATTTTCCTTTTTTCCTTTATTTTTTTATTTTCCCCGTTAGGTCTTTTTGCTCTAGTTGTTATATAGTTTTCATGAAAATTTCATATATTTCTATGTTTTTTTTTTTAACCTATTGTATAATTGTCAGATATAAGTTGGATCGTCTTAATATAATAAACGACTAATAAAATATCTACCGTGCAATCGTGTTTTTCAACGAATAAAGGATAAGAAAAACTTCAAACAATTAAAATTCGGACTCAGCTTTATAGCTTTACAGCTATTATATATTTCGTTTACAATAATTATTCGTTGTTATTGGCATAATTCGAACATTTAAACACATATACTAAGTACAATTACACCCCCCCCTCCTTATAGAATATAACCTTTTAAAGGTCAAGAAACGTCCGCCGATTTCATTTATAGTACACTTCCTCGTATACTACTCGTATTATATACTCATTATTGGTTGCAGTTTATTTTCAACACTTAATAGGTATCGATGTTGTTTCACATCGTACTGTGTTCAAATACCATGTTTTTATATTTTAAATTTAAAAATAGTATCTCAACGTTATTTTTACGTCAAACCATAAAAAATATTGCCGCCCTTTAATATTCCCCCCTCTAAACTTTAGCTTGAACAGCCTAAGCGGTAATACGGCCTTGTATGTACATATAAAAACACAAAAATATCAAGAATATTTCGAAAATTTACAGCATCTACAGTATGCCAATATAAATATTTTGTTAAAACTACAGATCTCAACTATAATTTTTAATCAAAACCAATTAATAACCAAATACTGTACACCTTGTGTATTCCACGGTTATTCGTAATTAATAAAATAATAAAGTAGAAACAAAATTATTAAAATGGTTATAACTTGTAAACAAATATAGTAAACAAAGTATATAGAACAATAAATCATAAATGAATGAATTAATGCGTCACCTAAAATGTTACCATAAGTATGTTTTTGTTGGTGCATTAGTATTTTTTCTGTAGCGTTTAGAAACGAACATGTTTTTTTCTCTTGCCGAAAACCATGTGTGACGAAAAACATGAGCAACGGATAAACGTAAAATTTTCTCGTTAAACTAAAAATAACTCCAACTAAGTGCTATAAGTTGTTAAAAGATGCCTATGGTGAGGATTTCCTATCTCGGGCGCGTGTTTTTGAGTGGCATAAATTATTTTCTGAAGGTCGAGAGTGCACCGGAATCCAATTCAGTCGTAATCCAAATTCAAAACCGTTTTCTTCGATATCAACGGCATCGTGATTACTGAATGGGTTCCAGAGGGTCAAACTGTGAACCAACATTACTATTTGATAGTTTTGGCAACATTGCGCGAATGAGTTCGTAAGAAACGGTCGATATTGTGGAAAAACAAGTCGTGGATCTTGCACCAGGATAAAGCGCGAAGCGTTATTTGGCCGCTTAAGGCACTCCAGTACTCGAACACGCGTCTTACTCACCCGACTTGGCACCCTGCGACTTTTACTTGTTTCCGAAGATAAAGTCTGACTTAAAAGGAATCCGGTTTGAGTCGATGGAAGAGGTGAAACAAAAATCGGCGGAACTCCTAAATGGTCTTACGAAAACACACTTCCAGCACTGCCTCGAGCAATGGAAGAAACGAATGAAACGGTATGTGGCGAGGGGAGGAGAGTATATTGTAGGGGAATATTTGGTTGTGGAATAATTTTTAAAATAAAACCATTTTTCATAAGCAGTCTCGTTGTTTAATAGCCAGACTTCGTAGGTAGGTACTTACATCATTTAGACTAAAATATAAAGGGACAAATATTCCAATTGACAAAATGCAACAAAAAACATTGACTCAAGTTCATTTAACTCAAGAACAAAAGATTCTATTTTTGCCTTTTTGGTCGTACTTATAACAACACGCTTTAAAATATTTGAAAATAATATTATAACAACGCCTAACCAAAGTCGTCATTTCATATTTTTACCTCGGCCGTGTGGTTTTCCTTAAACACGTGTACAAATAAAACTACGGTGATTTCGACTACTCAGCACTAGTCGCTACTCTGTGACTGCGATGTCATTAATTGAATTTGGGTCATTTTTAACATCAACTCATGAAGGTGCTATAAGTATACTCATTTTTTTTTTTTTTTTTTTTACTAAACGAAACCGTAATTATACTTATGGGTCTCGGCGCATTTAGAATTAATTTGTTTGTAATAAAATCTAACCGGATTTCATTACAGTTGAAAATACTCTGGTAGGCCGATACTAAGACGGGGTGAAGAATAATGTATATATAGAATATAGAATATAGAATATATAGAATATATAGTCAGAAGTGGATTAGAAAACATTATCTTTAGATAGTGGTTACTAAAAATAATTTTTTCGGACGACACGGTGTTAAAACGAAAAAAGAAGGAGATACGCTTTTGAACACACACAACGAATAAAATCAACAACGAATTTATCTAAACTCGATAGCCTTTCAGTTTTCATGTGTGAAATAATACAATATATGTCCATTTTTTATGCTGTGAATCAAACGGGAAACAGTATTTTCTTCGTTCGAGATTACCGGAATAGGAAAATTTGGAAAATTCATCGTTTATTTTCATAAAACGATTTTAAAACACAAATCCGCAGATACAGCTTTCAATCGATATAGACAATCATTTATCTTCGGAGTTTACAGATAACGAATTAAAAATAACAAATTAAACAATACAATATCGTTATTACGTTCATTATGATATGTTTCTATAAGTGCGTATATATACTTAAGAGTTATAGGAGTGCGAGTGTTTTAATTTTGATCGTCTGTATTCATTATGGTGTTCCTCGTATACTTAAAAATTCGGTGGGTGTCTTCTGACAATTACAACGTATGGAGGGTGATCTTAATACTTAATCACGTACATGGTTCTACCGGGACTGTCATAAAAATGCTGTTCTTCAGATACGATGTTACATTCGCGCCGAAAGTTGTCGAATCATCGTAAGAGCCACAGCAATTAGAACGATAAATTTTAAAAATAAAAATGAAAACATAAAAATTACATATAGAGTATTAACAATAGTTAAATATAACGTGGTTAATAAATTATTTATTAATAATATAAGTGCCGTAAAAAATTGTTTTTCTTTTTTTTTTTTTTATTTGAAAGTAGATTTTATTTAGTTACTTTCGTCATTAAAATTTGGCATTTATGAAATGTGTAAGATATAAAAATATTTTAAATATTTAATAAAAGGGTATTATATACGATTCTGTTACAAATTATGAAAGTCACTTCTCATCTAAGCTTGAATACTTTTTGTTCTTTAAAAATCGTCATAGGCGTTATTTGAGAATTTTTTTTAAGTCTTTATATTTCTAAAAAACCTGTACGAAAACCTTTTCAACCTGTTGGTATAACTTTATACTGCTCAAAAGACACCAGTGTCTTGAGCGAGAATCGAAAACCTTATTTTTAACAAAACACGTCAGGCACATATAAAGCACACGTGCTCAGGAACCCGACGATATTTAATTTGTTTTTAAAATATGTTTTAAAACCGCGTTCGATTTGGCTATGGATTTTCGAATACTCGATTACAGCCCGGGCAAATACTTTCCGTCTGTCTTTGACATAATTTTTAACGTATACTTGTTTTAAAAGTAGTTAAGTTTTGTTTTGCACCAACCTTTCCGTTCAGTTACTGTTTCTATTTTATTACATTTAGTTTGAAATTTTCTATGAGGTTTTTTTTAGAATTTTAGTTATATTCCACTCAAAACAAAATATATTGGCATACAAGTAAAATAAAGGCAAATAAAAATAAATAAACGATTATTATACTACAGCATATTATATAGCTATGATACCTAGCTATATTATAGCTATTGAATTTTAGAATTTGTATGGAAATGTATAAGAACTATAGGAAATATTTTGTTTAAAGGTCATAATAATATTTTAATATTATATACTTCTGTACGATTTGAATATTCGTCATTATTGACATAATTTGAACATTTAAACACATATACTAAGTACTATTACAGCCCCTCCCTCCTAATAAAATATAACGTTTTAAAGGTCGAGAAACGTCCGCGGAATTTACTCAGAGTACACTTCCCCGAGTGTTTAATCTAAATATAACGTTTAGAGCACATTATAATAGTATTCGTTGTTCCGATTTTAAAGTTTCAAATGTTAACATACGTATAAGTTCAAAAAATTAAATTAAAAATAACATTTATAGCGTGCTAATTATTATTAGTTTTGATTTAAATATAAACAATTTTTTTGGCATAATTAAAGTACATTATTCGACAATTATCAATTTAGCGATTGATAATAATAATATGGAATACCACACAAAAAAAACTTTTAAATAAAGTATTCATAACAAAAAAATATTCGTATATAATAACAATTATTAAATATTTTTGTCCTATTGATAATTAATTAAATAATTTAAAACAGCTAAAGTTGTTAAATCCTATGCTAAAGTATTGAGGTCGATAAAATAAGAATAATTCACGTCGGTTAAAATAAAACGTTGGCAGAACATCGACTGATGATGATGATGATAACGATGATGTAAACGATTATAATATAATAACTTAACCTCCGACTTTAAAAACTAGAGATATGGGATATATCTGACACTTGACTTACATTTTTTTCTTGTAATCAACTCTAGAGCCTTATGCCTCTGACCATTCTTGAAAAACGTTTCCCGTGAATCGGTAGTTAAAAATTTTGAGCGCAAAGAATTAGTTCTACTATACGATGTAATCGGTTTTTTAAATTCAGAACAATGTATTGGTTTTACAATGATATTAATTTTTTTTTTCGTATGTAGCACATATTTTGATAGGAAATCTGATTGAGGTGGTTACTTTAAGATTTTCTTTTATCCTAGGGGTTTTTATAATAAATGGGAAAAACCAGAAAATCAACTTTACGACAATACTAGTTTTATTATTTTCAACCTTTTTTCCTCATTGCTCAAAATGTCAATTGTAATTCCTATCCATTCTATCTGAAATCCTTTTTTTTGACTAGTGCTTGATAAAGTCATGTTTTAATTTTCCATAATACTACTTGACGATTAAATGTTTATTTCCGGCTACAACTCATGATAAACATTGTATAAAATTTTTGAACATTTTCGCTGGGCTAAATATAAAACAAAATAAGCAATTTTAAAAAACCTCGAAAATTTCAAACAGCTCTAAATAAATCAAAACCAGCCAGGGTATTTTAAAAATTGTACTATAAATAAAAGGAGCTTGCACAGGTAATCAATGTATCGTATGATACTCTATCTCAGAAAGTATTAACTTTTCTCGGAATTTGTTTCATAGACAGTTTAAAAAATAAGTATGTCTACAATTTTACATTTACGATATTTTTTGTCACCCTTATTTTTATGGGTAAAGTCACTACATACTTTTGATTTTCAAATGGCAACCTATATTAAAAAACATAATTTGTATGGTGGCATACAACGCGACGATTTAATAATTCGCCACTAATCTCCCCCGACCAAAACTTAAAAATGGAATATCTCGTCAACGGATTGGCGTTAATCAAACGATTTTTACACAAAAATTAAATAATACTCGATCTATTTATGGAATGTTTAACATAGGTTGTCATTTGAAAATCAAAAGTAGGAAAAGGTTTTATTCCTAAAAATATGAATGAAAAAAAATAGCATATATGTAAAATATTTTTATCAAGAACCAGCAATCATCTCAGAGGATATTAAATGAATTTGATTTCGGTTATTTTCTAATAATTATGGACTAGTTTAAGCTTTTTTTTAAAAACCATCATTAATTTTCCACCTCAACTCCATGTACCTTAAATTAGTACCTACTTCTGATTTTCTAAAGAGTAATAAATTGCCTAACTTATAGTTAGGAAAAGTCAGGTCATATTGTCCCCATAACTCCCCCTTTTTAATTTAGACGTGAAGTCTGTGATTTAAATTCATACACTAAATTATATTCAATAAAGTTCTTCTTTTTTATCTCCCTATAAATTGAATCTTCATTACACGTGCTGGGAGTAAAATCTCAAGGCCGAATGTGACAAAAATCGCCATGGTTTCATTGGCAGGTTTTTTTTTTACACTAAATGTATAAGTAAAGTAACATAGATCGCACTATTAAAAAAAAAAAAAGAGTGAAAAAACATACGAATTCAGGAACAACAAAAGCTTTTCGTTTGCAATGGTTAATCACATCATTCAAAAAAACTATAAATTCCTCTTCATATCCTAGCTTCCCAAAAGCTCACTTACAACGGTGGTCCAGAAATCGTGAGGAGTATGTCCTTCTTTAGGTATCTAAAACAGCGTTTCTCAACCTATGGTACGCGTACCATTAGTGGTACGGATAATAATTAAATAACCGTAAGTATCTTACCTTTCCAAATTCCCACCTACAACAGTAGCTACACCAGTCCCAGTTGTGGCTCTCTATTTTTATAAAAGAAATGTTATTATTTATCAAGCAGAAGAGACGACCAAATATTTTATTGGATTTAGGTATTTTATAATTTCTTTATGTTTACTAAATTTGTCCATCGCGTAAAGTTATCCTTATCTCTGAAACTACCAATTCGTTTTCTATGCAATTAAATATACACTATCAATTTTATCCACGAGCTACACCACCGGTCCTGCCACAGACGCGTAGATACGTCGCGTTAAATAAATAAAGCACTTGGTAGTGAGAGATCATTATAACTACACAACCATCGGGTGACACATTTGTTTTTTTAATAAGAGTTTTAAAAATAAATTTAACTGGAAATCGCATAAAAAAAAATGGCTATACAAATTATATATTACCGGAATCGTCTTTCGTCAAACAATGGTTTATCGTTGCTTACAGATATAAATAAAATAACGTAATGTTTCCTACCTTAACTACTTATCACTTACAACAGTGGCCGCTCCCATCCCCCGTATCAGCACAGTTTTATTTTTAAAAGCCCCTTTTATTTTTGCGCAAGCTACAGATACATGATATTTACTCGTATATACACTTATACCAAACATTCTTGTAGGTATTATTTTTCTATCTGTTTATAAGATATCCACCAAACTTTTGCATCTATCATGTCATAATAACAGCGATTTTATTTATAATTTTGATTCTAGTTCATACATTTATGTGACCACTGTATGATATTTTAATATTTCATAACAGCTAAGATAAATCGGAGAAATGGAAAAATGTACGGCGAAAAATGTGTCATTATTTTAGACTTTTNCAATAGTAAATTGACGAGTACTTTCGCTAGGCCAAAATAAATTTTAACAAATAAAAAATATAAAAACTCAAACTAGCTATAAATCTCCATTATCACTTTGTCGTAATTTATCAGCCTGATAAATCAAAACATACTTTCCCGAATGTATCAAATTAACAATATTTTCTATTAAGAGCAAAACTTAAACTTTATTATCACAGTATTATTTTTGAAATAAAGTTATTTATATACAGATATATTGAGTGTAAAAAAGACCCCTGGAGTTGAGTACAATAACAATATAATTTTAACATTTTACATTCGCTCTTCTTATATCCTTTCAATTTGATCACTATGCATAACAAATAACATTATTAAAAGGTGTAAAAATTATAATTTTCTCACCAATACTATACATTCAACTGTATTTGATTAACATATAAGTACTAAACTACACGAATTTTTTTCACCTGAATAAATTCAGCTAAACTTACACTGCTTGATAACATTTTAACGAAAACTATTTAACACCTTTGGCAGAAAATTAAAAACCTTAGAAATGCTTAAAGTATTCAAGGTGTCCTTGAAAAAAAAAGTGTTAGTAAGTGTAGCATTTTTTTTTTTTTTGTAAGGGAACTTTGATATCAAATCTCGATCTATCTAGATAGAAGAAAGATATAGATACCGCCTAATAATAATATAATACAATTCTGTTCGTCACTTTTCGCAAACAACGATAATCGCTTCCAAGATGATGTTGATGATAGCGATAATACAATTTCTAGAGACTTGCGCTTTGATTCTTCCAATTTACTTATTTTTTGTACATTAAAAATAAAAATAGAGCTGATAGTAGATACGGATTCAGCCACTATTGTTGATGGGTAATTAGGTAATAGGTAATGAGAATACATCAAGGTATTTAATTTCTATCTATATGCATTGCTAACGATAAGCAGTTTAGTGCGAAATTCATTAAGACATATTTTGGAATGCTGTAATTTTTACGACTTTCGTCAAAATTTTTATCGACATCCTTTGAAGAAAAAAACTAATGCATTAAACTTAATATTTTTTAGACCACTAAGTACATTTTAGTGTTTATCCTATGTTCAATTTTCAGGCATTTTTCTTAAGTAATGTAATTTTAATAACATACAAATATTAAATAAATGTACACATATAAATACAATAATTTCAAATATCTTAAAACAGCATGGATATTTCTTAAATTTTAGAACCTTATTTAACCTAACGTAACTTTACCCAGGATTTACGAAGTATAATATTTTTACTGTGTTGTAACACCACATAGTTGCACATGGTAGTTGAAAGTTGCCGAAATTGCAAAGATATTTTGGATGATTGAGACTAAGATAATGTAGGGAATATAAAGTCAGAAGTGGATTGAAAGGCATTATTATTAGGAAACATTGAACACAATTCATTTAACGGCATGTTCTAAAGTCGGAAAAGCGTAAGAATAAGTTACGATTTTGAACACACACATAAATGGATGAATTCAACAACGAATATATCTGAATACAATATGATTTTATGGTTAAAATAATATAATACGTCCATTTCTAATGACTTATATTCTCAATCAAACGGGAAACATTTTTATCATCGTTAAAGTTTACAGTATAGGAAAATTTAAAAATTCATTGTAGTTCGCTAAAACGATTTTAAAACACAAATCCGCAAATGCAGTTTTCTATCGATATACACATTTGGTTATATTCGGAGTTTATGCAATACAATTTAAAAACGACAAATTAAATAATATAATATCATTATTAACATTCATATTAATATTTACATCTCAATGATGTGTTTATATTGGTGCATACGCTTAGAAGTTAAGTGTGAGTACTTTAATTATGTGCATTCATGATATTGTTCCTGGAATACTTTAAATTTTATTGTAGGTGTTAGTTTTAATCATAAAGTATTGTGGGTGTATGATGACGATTCTCGTAACTTGATCTTGAGTTTCCATTGAGAACTACAACGTCTGGTAGTGTTCCGTGATTTATTCCATCGTAGACCTGACGATTATGATGTCCACCGAATACGCTGTTTTGTCTGTGATGCCCATGTTTATTTCTTCCATTATAGTGGTGATTATGTCTGAAAGTTTCGCCAGTATGGACAGCAGGTTCAACAAGTACAACTTTATCATGTTCACTGGTTCCGTATCTGTGACCGTTGGCGTATTCATAACCGCTGCCATATGTATTTCCAATAACAACGGGTTGTTTAACGACTAAAACGTCGGGTGAATTGTTCACATCATAAACGCAATCATTTGCATGTACACGGACCAATGAATTTCCAAATTCATCGTATTCACCACACGGGTTGCATGACGCACGTTGAATCACTAAAATAGCCATAACAAATGAAATAATTATCTGTAAAAATAAAAATAAAAGAAGCTTACACCAGTGGAAAATTTTAGAGATATAATTAATATAGATTATTAAGATAATTTGGTACTGTAAAGTTATATTAATTCAATTCACTACCATTCACAGTACTATGCAACAAAATGGGCAGTACTCCTCCACACAGAGGTAAGATGACTTTTACGAGAAAGTCTTCGCTAGGCTAATCGAACTATGACCTAAGTTTTATTACTTCTGACTAACACTGATGAAGAAAAATCAGTTTTTTTGTGATGATGGATGGCTATCAATACTTGTACATGTCTGAAAATTTGACAATTCAAATATTCTAAATATGAGCATGCGAGAATCAAACACAAACATATTTTATACTAGTGATAAATCACTAGCATTCTTGAGGATTTTGGATTTATTTCTTAAGAGCACTTTCAAAACCATGAATATTTCAAATTTTTGTTAAAAAATATAAAATAAATAATCGGCGTTATCCACACAAGTTTGTACACACAGTTTCTAATCCTTAATGTGTCAACGTATCTGTGAGAAAATGTATTTTTTCAATTATTATACATACAAATAAAAATAGAAATAAATTGAAAGTATAAAATAATTTAAGACATAAAAATATTTATTTATTTATACAAGGAAAAAATTCCAATGACAATGAAATTAATTATATATTATCTGAAAATATAAATCACAGCCAAAGTTAATATACGAGCATGTGAAGTATTACAATTTTAATAACTTTGTATCTTGCTTAAAAATTAAAATATCAGAATAAAACCGACGTACAAACACGGAAATTGTTCTAATCTTTAATTTATATTATAAGCCTAAATTAAAACTAATAACGCAAAATCAGTTCTACAGAACGAAGATTGGACATTCAGTTTTCAATATGATTCGAAATATACATAAGTGTATAAATTATATCATTACTTTTCCTCCCCAAACCTAACCACCAGATGAAGACACAAATTCTACGAAAATTTTGAACCAAATTATAATAAAAAATCAAAATTGGAAAGAATAAAATCTTTAAAACCGTAACTTTTCCGTCTCTTACGTTTTTTCCCGAGTTTTCCCAATTATTAAAAACCGACACAAAACTTTAAAAATAATTGAACTCCCTTTATTCATCAATTAGATACAATTTTGTAGCGGAAAACATGCTACTCAATACTCCTGAGATTCGGAGCAAGATGTCTGTTAGAAAACCCAATTCACTATGCATGCGCGTGTATGACGACAGTCATGTAGAACAGTGGTCTTCAATGACAAAATAAACATTAAGATTATACAATTATATAAGGTATAGAAATACTTGTTTAATTATTAAAATTAGAAAATTAATAAATGAAAATACAGGATAAAAATTATTGTAATATATTATGTATAAACAATATTATATAATTTATATTCTTTATATATTTATAGTATAATGGATTTCAAATCACAGTATGTTTTTTATACTGGTATGATTTTTTATAGTATGACATTAAATATAATAATTTACGATTAAACCGGGCTAGTAATAAAATAAATATATTATATTATTATCGTTAAAGAGTCCCATAATCTACGAACATTGTCGATGTTGTCGCTGTGTTTAAAAACGAATAAATTTTAGTCGCGTTATTATTCTAGTCATATTTACGTACCCGTTAAAAAGTTTTTTTTTATTTTTATTTGTTCAGTTATAACAGTACTACTACAAAGTATTAAGTAATTTTAGATTTTTTTTTTTCGTTTTTCTACAAACGTTTTTCTTTATGTATGCCTTATGTGGGTCACGAATAATGTACGCCTAAAAAAGTGGGTCGTGAGTCCAAAAAGGTTGAAGACAACTGAAGTATAATGACGGACGTCCGGTGGATGGTATGACTAATATATAATGTTTGATTGGCCGACGATGGCCATCAGTTTAGCTATTTACAAAACATCAAATTAGCATAGTACGCGGATCCCCTGAACACGGACTTTGCGGTGCTAGAAGGGGGGAAGAAATGCTGAGACTTCTTGAGTGCTGTTAAGCAGAGATTTTTGTATCGATTCGCTGTTGTATTTGAATAAAATCTACGTACTTACATATACTACCTAAACTGTCGATCATATACCGGATTACATGAGAAGGTTAGATCGGACGGAAAAATTCTTTTTTGTACGTTAGGTAACTTACGACCCCTTGCACCAATTAGATCCATAACACAAAATCAATTCCTAATAAAAAAAGATCTATTTCCATTATTGATTATCATAATAAAATAATAATAATTACTTTATTTAAGAAATACAGGTTATACAATTGAGTCAAAACAACATTTCTCGTGATGCGCTCTAAGTTGAGCATAATGTAGAATTTCGATTATTATTATTGAGAATTTCGTATCCAATTTTGACAAAAATTTAATAAATTACAGCCTTTTAAAATATGTTCATACGAAAGATATTTTAAATTTAAAAAATAATTTTTTTTTTTTATTCATATGGCATAGATATATAGGTGAAAAACAAATCCAATTAACATTAAATTAACAAAAATATAAATAATTTACTAGAACTAAGGTAGATAGTAGTATAAAAACAATTTAAAATATACTAATAGATTTAACAATAACAAAGATAATAATAATAATATTTCATAATATGTTTAAAGGCGAACTTGAGTCTTATACAACCAATCCATTACTTCGTCATCACTTTTGTGGAGTCCCTTAATTCCTCCCTTGTATCTAGTTTGAGGACATTCCTCTACAATCTACCTGATGATTTGTATTTGCCTGCAGTTACAATGAGAGGAGTTCTTTATTTTCCATTTGTATAGAAGGTAGTTACAATTGCACCGCTCCGTACATATTCTAAACAGAATACGTAGATTGGTCCACATGGCTCTTGGGCAGTCAAACCCTGGGACTCTTTGAACAGGGTCACTTATCAGATATCTATTTTTTACATAACCATCTTCCCAGCATTGTTTCCATATATCATCCAATGTGTTAGAATTTTTTCTATTGATCGGATCGGGTGCCTTGATCTTAATCTTTTAGTGGTTGCATTAATAAAGATTTGATAGGAACACTTTCCGTTATACTATTGTAACATAGTTTTAGTTTATTCATCTTACTCTTTAACTCCAGCTACATTTATAAACTGCTTGTAGGAAGCGAGTCGATAAAGTTACATAAAGTTTTTAAACTTATACCCGTATCAATGAAAATCAACTACTAACAAAAAAAGATTCGGAATGAAGATCGGTTTTACATGTTTTGAAATGTCGAAATATTTACGATTTTTTTTACATTTTTTGTTTGTATTTTTTGAAGAACAACTAAAACCAAATTTCCTGTCGAATGTTCAAGTAAATCTGTTTATTCTAACAATTTTAAAAATTATATCCACTTACCAATAAAAAATTACGTAAAATACTCGCAAAATTAAACTAGCTCATAAATGGCTCGAATGTTTTTAAAAAGCAAATAGGTTAAAGTTCCTTGTCTACATTTATGTCACTCACTGTTAATATTTTGAATTGATTTACTACAAGAAAAAGCCCCACTGTTTTTTTCGGTGGGAAGTTGAAAAGGTAGAATATATAAAGTTCGTAAATTTAAATCGCAACAATAAACCATTGCTATTGAAAAACAATACTGAGGAAGTTTTTTTATACAATATATAAATGGTACGTTATATTTATGACTTTCATCAATATTTGATCTTGAAACCGTCATGAAAAAAAAATAACTTCTAATTTTACATCCTATTAGATTCTGAGTAAAGCGAAGAAGCTTATGGTTTTATAACAGTTTTGAAAAATGGGAAAAAACATGGGAAAACTCGGAAAAACATAGGAAAATAGGGGAAATCGTTACAATATTAAACGAATATTATTAAAAAAAATAAATTGAGTCTATTCGATTCTTTTACTATAATATGGCATACATATTGTTGACAAAGCATCACGATCTCACTGAACTCTGCTCAGAATCGTTTTCTTGTAAGCAATGGTTTATCGTTTACTTACCAAACAGTAGACAAATCTCGCAAAAATACAAAATTAAAATGGCAAAAATGGCTCATAAAATATTTTGAAAATGTTTCCCTCATTTAGAAAAGGCAATTATAAGTTTTTTTGTTAAAAGTTCCTAGAATATGTTTAACTGAATTAAAACCAAAAAACAAACGAGAATAGGTTGTTCATATCGAAATATTATTTCATTGCTGACGAGTTATCTAAATTGGCCATACAAATGACGTGTGTAATGGCTATAAAAAAAAAAAACCAAAAATGTGAATTTCAGACATATTAGCTTTTCAACTTGTATATTGGTATGGCAATTTATAAGTTTAAAAATAAAATTATGAACTATAATTTTAGTTTATTTTTTTATTCACTGAATAAATCAAATATCCAGATCTAATCTCACCTAACCAAAATTACTAAACTACAAAATTAAGCTGGTAATAAACTAAAACTATTTGCCAAATCAAATAAATAATAGTATTAAAAACTATAAAAATAATAATGATATTATTAATAAAGTTTAATAACTAACCGTCGTGTAAAATGTCATGGTGAAAGGTGTTGAAGTCTAGAAAATAAGAATAATTCGCGTCGATTGAAATACAACGTTAGCTGAACACCGACTGCAGAACCCGTGACATAATGCCAGTCGTTTTTATAGGGTTCATGTAGTAACAATATCGTTGTTTGCGATGACGCTTTTAAAACGATGTTGATAACGACGATGACAGCGATAGTAACACTTTCCCGAGGGTTCGGGGAATACAGGGTGTAACACATATTTCCAAACACTTAAAGTACATTTTTTACTGTTCATAACTTTTTAATTTTCTTTTTCTTATACGACTTTCTAGAATCATTTGCTCGTATATTCTTATATTTTAAGTCTTTTTGCAAATTGAAAAAAAAAAAAATGTTTAATTTCTACAGACATTATAAATAAAATTTTGGTGTAACAGATATTTAATCATGATGAATCTTTAAGTTCCTACGATTTTCCGAGTTTACAAAAATCATTAACAAATTCATTTTTCATCGAAAATTTGTGAATCGATTGAAATGATTGCGTGTCAATGAAAACAATTTAATTTAATATAATCTTCAGAAATGTTTAGAAAATTAACGCTTTGTCATTTGTCAAATACCTGTGAATGCAAAAATTCTGGTTTGAAATATATTAATTAATCAGGTTTCTTGGATTTTTATAATAAAAAATAAATTTAAAAATTTAAAAAAATTTAAAATAGAGGAATCATACCTACAGACTAAAGTAATTATTATAAAAAAAGAAACTTAAAAATATTGAACGAAAGAATATTTATTTCAGATGATGGATCCTCGTGTTCCAGTCTGAATATTGTATTTGGAGCTAAAGTTTACCGTTGTACAATGTATTAAACTAAATAAAGACTTAAAATTGGGTGTTGGAATTTTCGTTAAGAAATTGTTATAATTTTATAATTATAACTTATAATTTTCAATAAAATTTTTTTTTTTTTATAAAAACATTGTTTTTGCGCAAGCTACAGATACATGATATTTACTCGTATAAACACTTATACCAAACATTCTTGTAGGTATTATTTTTCTATCTGTTTATAAGATATCCACCAAACTTTTGCATCTATCATGTCATAATAACAGCGATTTTATTTATAATTTTGATTCTAGTTCATACATTTATGTGACCACTGTATGATATTTTAATATTTCATAACAGCTAAGATAAATCGGAGAAATGGAAAAATGTACGGCGAAAAATGTGTCATTATTTTAGACTTTTTCTATCGAATTTTAAATTTTTCTGATTTCAATTCCAAAATTACTACATTTATCGTAAGCGCTTTTTTTTTTTTTTTTTTTACCAATTGTTCCAACTTATGAAAACCAATAGTAAATTGACGAGTACTTTCGCTAGGCCAAAATAAATTTTAACAAATAAAAAATATAAAAACTCAAACTAGCTATAAATCTCCATTATCACTTTGTCGTAATTTATCAGCCTGATAAATCAAAACATACTTTCCCGAATGTATCAANATTTATCGTAAGCGCTTTTTTTTTTTTTTTTTACCAGTTGTTCCAACTTATGAAAACCAATAGTAAATTGACGAGTACTTTCGCTAGGCCAAAATAAATTTAAACAAATAAAAAATATAAAAACTCAAACTAGCTATAAATCTCCATTATCACTTTGTCGTAATTTATCAGCCTGATAAATCAAAACATACTTTCCCGAGTGTATCAAATTAACAATATTTTCTATTAAGAGCAAAACTTAAACTTTATTATCACAGTATTATTTTTGAAATAAAGTTATTTATATACAGTTATATTGAGTGTAAAAAAGACCCCTGGAGTTAAGTACAATAACAATATAATTTTAACATTTTACATTCGCTCTTCTTATATCCTTTCAATTCGATCACTATGTATAACCAATAACATTTTTAAAAGGTGTAAAAATTATAATTTTCTCACCAATACTATACATTCAACTGTATTTGATTAACATATAAGTCCTTAACTATACGAATTCTTAACACCTGAATAAATTCAGCTAAACTTACACAATTTGACAAATTTTAACGACACTGGTTTAAAACCATTAGCGAAAAAGTAAACACCTTCGAAATGTATTAAATATTCAATTTAGTTCTTAAAAATATACGAAAATTTAATGTTTCTAACCTTTAACAAAATTGATAAAATTGAAAATATTTTAAAATTAGCTTAGTTGTAAAAAATAATATACAAATTTGAGAAATTGTATGGATTTTAGAGATAAGACAGATTTGTTTTCTCTTCTGAAAGACTGATATCCTATAATTATTCTATAATTTACGAACATTCCATACGTACACCATAGAAGGGAGAGGGGAGATTTAAGTTAAATGCTAAACAGATTTTAAAAATGGTTTATTTACTTATAGATAAATAATAGTTCATAGAACTATTAAATTTTAGATTCTGTTTGTTGCGAAGAATGTATTTTATTTTTTTTTTAATTTGTCGCGGAAACTTTTCTAACTGAGAATCTGAAATCTGATTGAAAAGATACTTTACGTTGGTCATTTTTCGGTTTTCCCAAGATTTTTCTCAGCAAATGTGAAAAGGTCGGGAAAAAACATGGGGAAACCAGGAAAAACAGGAAAATCGGCTCAAATATTTTAAGAAAATATTTAATGCCTATTTAATTATTTTACCATAATATGACTTATATATATTGTTGATTTAGCAACACTGTTTACTGAACTGATTTGCCAAGGGGTTTTAAAAATAATTGCGAAAAACCAGGAATAAAAGTATATGTAAAACGGTGGTAAATATTTACAGCACACTTCAGTATTACTGATTTTATAAGTTTTATTTTTGTGAGCTACTTTTTTATGAAAAGCATTGTACCACTAAAAAAATTGTATGGGAATCAGGGACCTTAATTCTAGTTCTGGTTTGGGTTCAAGTTTTTAAAATATTTTTTTTAGGGGTTTAGGTTAAATTTCGATTTTTTCATCCTTTCATATAGGTACCTACTGTAAAAGCTTATGTACGATACGTGTGGTGTATGTAGTGTATACTGTGTATCTTTAGTAGGATATCTTTATCTGTGTAGGTTTATATTGAAAATTTCAAAAATCCAGTGTCATTTTAAGAATAATTATTACATTTGTTCACAGAAATTATCCGTTATTAATGTTATCGCATAACATATAGATTGATATTACATAATATTATATCATGGGTCGATTGACCGTCCTCATCAGCCATCACGGGCGCTGACATACGGCCGACGTTGCCAGAAATAAAACTAAATAAATTCTATGTATAAAATATAACAATCCTTGTATCTAAACAAATAAAAAATATACATTTAGTTTAAAGAGTAATTAGTTTCTACCTCTCTAATCACTACTTTAAAATAGAAAAAACCCTAAAAATACCGGTATTTTTTTGGTTTTGTATAGGAGTTTCGGTTTTGGTTAGGGTCTTTGACAAGTGTAGGTTACGGTTATTTTCGGTTTTTTAAATTTACACAAGGTTTTGGGTTCCATAACCGATTCTTTTCGGTCCGGTCTCAGTACTTGATAAGAATATTCTTGAGAAAATCGAAAAATAACTATTTTAAGATACTTCCCTATGCCAATTTTCTTTCAGAAAAGGTGCTACACTTAGAAATCCGAGCAAGTAATCTAGTATAAAAATTATAAACAGATTAAAAAAAATTAATGAATAAATAAACATCTTTGTAAGACCATAAGCTGTTTCGCTCCACTCAGTATCTAAAATATTTATTAAGAGAACCACACTAAGGCAAATATTTACTTTAGTTTTTCAAATAGACAGTATATCTTCCAATATTTTATTTATTAAATATTAGTTATAATGTTGAATTCTATTCATTATTATAATCTGTTTTTAAAAACCTTGATATTTGAAAATTCACTTTGTATTTTATTCAAACATTGGTTGCAGAGTGAACAAAATAATAATGCCTAATAATTATTAAAGATCGGATAGGTATACTTTTCGGATGATATCATTTGACTGTTACATGGTTTTAGTTATATAGCGTTGTTCGTAATTTTCAGTTATTTTTTAATCCTCAATATTTTAAAAAAAAAATAATGATCATAATAATGTAAATTTGTTTTATTTTTTGTATTGAATAACATAGTGAACTCGAAAATAGATTAGTTATAATGAAAAATTATTTGAGTGATGACTAGTTACCTACTTGAATAGTTACATAAAAATATAATATGTAGCTACTATACCTATTAATGTAAAAAAATAAGAAAGTAAAAATGGTCTTACGAAAACAGACTTCCAGCACTGCCTCGAGCAACGGAAGAAACGAATGAAACGGTATGTGGTGAGGGGAGGGGAGTATATCGAAGGGGAGCATTTGAATGTAGAATAACTTTTATAATAAAACACTTTTTCGTAACCAGTCTCGTTATTTAATAGCCACACCTCGTAATATAATAACCTCCATCATTGTGTAATTTTTTAAGCTTTATTTTAAAACTATCATTAATTTTTCACCCCAACTCCATGTATCTTAAATTAGTACCTACTTTTGATTTTCTGAAAGGTGATAAATTGCTTATCTCTGACCCCTCCCTACTCCTCCGGTCTAAACTTTAAATTGTTATAACTCATAAACGGTATGTCTGATATTATTTTTGTATTACTTTTATTATATTATAATCAATTGTAATATTTGAGTTTATTCGTATGGATCATTTAACTATTTTGGATTCTATTCCAGAACTGCAGGTTAGACAATTTAGTTTTTTTCTTAATATATATAATATATATAATGGAACAATATAAAAATATTATAATCATAATAAATTCGAGGAATAAATAAACATTCAAATATGTAAAGCACAATAATTGTCATAATTAATTTATTATAACTATTTAAGTTTATTAATGAGATCATTGGTCAAATCTATATGCAGGTTTTTTGAAAAATATGACATCATCGACGAGATTGTATAGTTTGTTTTTTGTTCAACAATAACACACTTATGACAAAAATATTTAGGTAAAAACGTAGATCGAGTGTGATATTTCTATAACAAACTGTAGATTGTATTTATTTAAAGTTGTGGCATTCTTCAGCGCACATTTTTAATATTTTACACAAAATAAACTACCATCATACTGCGATATTCGGACTATCGAAACTAAAGACATTTTTTTTACCCTAACAAAAACAAACCAGCCAAGTGCATGCCGTATACTCTATCAATTCAGTTAATGTTAAGTACCTATAATTTTCGTGGGAAGTATTTGTTACTATTTGACAGAGTTTGGAATGTTCACGTTAGTTGTTCAATAAAACGGATAAACATTCATATATTTTATATGAATTTATATAATATTTTATATTTTATATTCATATATTTCGTTATTATAAAATAACGCGTTTACGTTCACGTTCGTTGAAAACTGAACGTGTTTAACTCAGAGGTTGGCGCTCTGAGTAAAAATAGAAATTGCTGGTAGAAAAGATGTTCATAGGAAAAAAGAAGGCCGTAATATTTTTTCAACTAATACCTATATTTCGTACGTTCTTCCGTTAATGCTCCTTTTTTTTTTTCATTTTAGTGCGTACGACACCCGAAAAACAATACGTTCAGATATATTAGAAAATAATATAACATCGAATAGTCAAAATCCTAAATTCGCATTTTTATTGTGGAAGTGTGGTTTTACCCATGCGTGGATAAAAACAGACGTACGAATATTTCGACCGTGACTTCGGCAACGTCATTGATTGAATTTGGGTTATTTTCTATAACAGCGAACGAACGTGATACGGTACCTACGCACGTTTCACGTATTGTTTTATTATAAATATTTTTTTTTTTTTAGTCGAACGTTTTTATTTTATTGATTTCTAACTCTTTTTATGTTTTGTTTTGGTTTTTTTTTGACAAAACAAAAATGTTATAACATTCTCAGAGATTCTCACTTATTTTTTTCTTAAGTCTATATAAATCTGAATAACCAAGTATACGACTTGTAAATCTCGAACATTCGAATTGTATTTCTTTTTTTTTTTTTATAGTTCCTATATATATATATATATATATATATACGCTAATATGCTACGAATAATTAATATTCATTTACAAACAGTTTTCTAACGACAATCCATAAGGTCCGTACATTTTTTTTTTTAATAGACATACAATAGTATGATGATTCACATTAGACACCTTACCTAATATACCGAGTTATAAGTCTTAAAAATGGACAGGCAAAATGGAATTCTCATTTATAATAATATAATACGTTCACTTCTTTTATTTTGAAATGAATATAACACCATAGTTACTTTGTTAAAGCTTACTAAATAGTGTATTCTTGGAAAATTCGTAGTTCACTTCAATTAAATAATTGTCTCGGATTCCGCGATTTAAAACACTGATCCTTAATTGCAGTTTTCAATCGATAGTTAATATAGACAAGCTTTTATATTCGGAATTTACATAAACAAATTTGTGAAAATATAAAATAATAATTTATTATGATCACATCGCAATGATGCGCTTGTATAGATGTATATGTTAAGCACTTTAGTAAAGGCCTCATTATTTCATCCGCAATGTTTGCTGTATTTGCTACTATGCATGTATTTTAGTGTAAAATTAGACGCAATTTTTTTGGAGAAATTCACGCATACATTGAATACTTTGTAGAAAGAAAATGCACAGCTTCTTTTTTAAATCAACAAATCAGCTGTATCCTAGTCAAGTATGCTATCGTAGTAGAATAAAAATGAATTCAACGAAACGTAAATAAAGAAAAGAGTGGAAAGGAGAAAGAGGGGAGAGAAAGGAGTTGGGATTGGGGGTTGGAGTATGGGGGTTATAGGTATAGATATATTAATATTCATATGTATGACGTATAAAACGATCGCGCAGCTATCTATCGTATAATCGACGACAGTATAGCCTCAGCGCGCAATCGGTCGGATGTGACCTACAGTAGATTCGCAGTGTAATATTATGTTGATAAATTTGGGTATAGTGTGTGTATAAACACTTCTATGTGTGTGTGCGGTCGTATCGATTGCATTGTAATAGATGTACCTATGTTGTGTTGATATTAACACGTATTACCTATTATATTTATTGACGATGGCTGTTTCCAACTGTATTATTTCTCTTCTGGCTATTTTATTCTTATTGATATTCTACTACGAAAATTTGATAGATAAAACATACCTTATATAGTTATGTTACCTGCATGAAGTTCGCAAGATGTTCGTTACTCAAAATATTAGGAGCAGCATTTAATGAGGTATTACCATAAATGAATCGTTGCAATGTATACACCTCGATAGGTACCCAATATACTTGTGAATATAACTTATAACGCGGTGACCAGGTGTATAGACAATACTAGTGTTAGCGAGAATTGTATTTTCTCCTTCGCCCTTTCTAAGCGTACAGGGTATAGCTGTCTACGTACCGGAATATTATATATATTTGTTTGAGAAATAAACACAATTTATAGTAAAAAAATAGTGACAAAAAATGTTTCCTCGAACTCAGAGAAGTAACCAAATTAGTGTTACGTATAGCATATTTATTTTTTCCGCGGTCTCCCAAACAGACGATTCCCACTGCGCGACAGTAGGTACGTTGACGCCTCTACGTAAGCGACGCACGTAATTAATATTGTGAACTAATGTGTGCCGTATAACGGAGGCAACACTGTTTAAGAGATTTTTGTGATAGAACTGGTAATTATGCTGTGGAACCTTGATAGTTTATTTTACAAGTATTAAATATTCAATATATTAGACTAAAGTTTGAAAAATATATTCTGTATACGTTATACATCAAACGATAGAACTATAGATGTCATATTTGAAATACTGCTGTTGTCATACACTGCAATCGATGAAAGTATTGAGAAGTTAATACCTTAAAATAATCATATTTTTTCGTCGTCAGCTGATCAATTTAATTTCTTACACATACAGGATAGTTTTTTTTGTCATGGACCGGCAATTATCTCAGAGAATTTTAAGTGAATTAAATTTCTGATTCTTCTAACCATTGTGAAATCATTTAAGCATTTAAATTTTTTACCCTTTTTTTATACACCATAATTACTAAATACTTTTGATTTTCAAATAGGAAGATACCTGTTGAACACAGATTTGAATAGAATATTTATCTAAATATTTTGATATACTCAACACCAATCTCGGATTTACCGTTCATGAATTTTAACAGTTTAAAATTTAGACCGGAGGGGTAAGGAAGGGTTATAGATAAGCAATCTATTACCCTCCCCTACTCCTTCGGACTAAACTTTAAACTGTTTTAACTAATAAACGATAAATCTGATATTAGTGTTATCCATATCAAATTTTCTAAAAAAATATGAAAGTTCAATATAAAAATAGTTTTAAATATAGGTTATAAGATTATTTAATGATTAGAAAAAGTAGAAATCCAATTCTCATAAAATCCTTTTGAAAAAAATTGCTAATCCATTTAAAAAAAAAAAACATATATTGAATAACAGCTGCAGTTTCATGCAATATCCTAAATTAGAAGCAAAGTAGCGATAGATCGATAAATTTAATCTATTCAGTTCAAAAACGACTAAGAAATTATTGTAAATACAATAAAATAATTACTGAAGTAAAACAGTTTATAATACATGTCAGAATAATAATTAAAAATGGATGGTAATAATTAACATGATGAAACAAACGACGTTATACAATGTCCAAGAATGTAGCAATAAATAGTAAATTAATACAAATTACGAAAAACAATAACCGCTACTACTTTTATTTATATAAGCACCAAATTAAGTGCAGCATCTATATTACAACTCTTATTACAATTAAAATAAACTGCAGACTTTCTAAATGTATTCTTAGCTTATGAAGCATTATATTCAACGCAATATAACATTTGCTGAAGCATAACGCTACTTATCATAAGTTAAAATTATTGAGTTTTGGTAGGGTTCCGTAATATCCCAATAATAAAACTATAAAGTTTGCTCTTATCAAGCAGTAAACTAATTATCAGCTTTGATGGACAAATCTCTATTATTTTCATAAATTATAACTATGTTCAATATTAAATATTTTATTATTATTATGAATATAATATATAAATATATCTTTTTTTAAAATAAGAAACAAATTATTCACTGGCTGGTTTTAATCTTATGTGTGGATGAGTGGATATTTTTAATATTGCCTGAATGGATATAATATTCGTGACATCAATGAATGTGAACATAGATCAAATGACCATGGTTAAAAATTAGATGCGTCATATTCAAATCCTACAAATGAACCACCCTCCTGTGGTGTTTGGTAACGTTCGTGGTGGCCTGATTTCTTATCGTTGCCAACCCTTCGTCCATGTGAATCCCATTGAGCATCGCCATTAGTGTAATATGTACTCCCTTGATAATCTGTATGAGAATGGTTATTGTGACTGTGACCGGCACTGTGGTCTTTTTTATATTCCGAATCATTTTTTTTTTTGTTTTTTCCTGGCATCGGTATGCATGACGCTTGTTGAATCACAATAAGGGCCACAATGAATAAAACAATTATCTATAAAAAAAAAAATAACAAACACAAATTGTCTTAATATAAATATAAAAGTAAAAAGATAAAATATACGACATTTCTAACATAAATATTGCTCCTACAGATCAACGAGAAGAAATCATTTTTGTTGAATTGTGTGGGTGACCGTGTGATTGAATTTTTGATTTTCTTTTAAGTTTTACTAAAAATTGAGTAAAATTGAAAAATATGAAGAAGGAACCAGGAAATTTACGAAAGTTATAAATGAATTATCTAATTATTTGAAATTTTGTTTTCAAATGATTTTCAGTTTACAGTATTCACAAAAACTTACATTTTGAACAGAAAATTAATATTTGCTTTTTCTAGACTTGGTAAAACTTTCAAACTATTTGAGCTATTTTTAAATATATTAAAGATATTTCAATTTTGAAAATAATTTTTATTTATTAGGTACTATCTAAAAGTAATTACAAACGCGAATCCACGAAAGGGAGCGGTGGGGTGAATCGCCCGAACACATGCATTTATTCAAATTATCATTATTCTTATTATTTTATAATCAACGAAAATAACTTAAACAAATAAGTTTTACATAAAATAGAAAAATGCACACTGTCTCATAAATTCTATACAAATAATTAATCATGTTTTAATTTCAGAAATGTTTTTAATTTATATTTGATTCTTATTATTCGGATTATTTGATTAATTATCGGCGGAAATCGTTCAATCCCTAATAATAAATTATTAATTGTCACGGAATATGTTGGAAAACAGCAGAACGCACATTAACTTATCCATATTTAATAAAACCAATGATTTTATAATTACGCACAAATTTTATATTAATATATTATACGCCTCGTTCAATACGAATAATATCCTCTCATACAGGTTAAATAGCAAAAGAGAGCTAATACTAGGGATAAAAACCGCCACTGTTGTAGGTAAGAAGTTGGGATGGTAGAATACATAAGACTATAACATTAATATCTGTCAGTAACGAGAAACCATTGTTTGACGAAAGACGACTCCGATTGTAGTGCGGTAATACATGATTTAATGTCGTAATATTTTTTGAGATTTTCGTTTAAATTCGAATTCAAAAATGTTGAAGATAATACCGTGAGAAATTAAATCAAAAAAACAACAAACAAGGTATCTTGTGATTTTTTAAATGAAACATATTTTTTAGTAAAAAACGTCGTTTGTGTTTTTATAAAATAATGAAATCGTGAAATTGTACGTTTTCCTACGTTCTTTCCTTAATATGCGATTTTATTTAAAAATGCATCGTATAACAAAAAGATAACTTGAATCTAAAGTACCATCTAGACAACTTGTGCTTTCAGAGAAGTCTACACGTAAAGATCAGAGCAAGTTTAATGGAAAAAAACATGTCCACAGACTAAAAGAAAGAAGAAAAAAATAAATATCATAGTAAAACCATTAGATCCCTTACTACACTCGGAATCTAGAAGGCCATTTTAGTTTTAAAGTCACCCCTTTCCCCCACAGGTGACCTCTGATATTTACAATTGTCGTCAAAGTTTGATTTTAGAACTCTTACAATGAAAAAAAATACTGCGTACATAAAACTCATTTTTTATTTTCAGAACACCAAATACGACTTTTAATGAATCTGATGAATCTAATAATTTGTCTACAGAGAACCTACCAAATAAAAATTACGTACAAAAGTCGCAAAACTAGAATTTCTTAATAGCTCGATAATGGCTAAACATTTATACAAATTTTACCATCACTTCAATTTATGTTTTTTGTCCAAATTTCAAGTCCTCTAAAAATTTTTTGAACTGAATTACAACAAATAACAAAACAAAATTTTAAATAATATATAAAAGCATCATTTTCGTAAATAACCGGTTTTGCTTAAGTTTTATCCTGGGTTATTCCCAGAAATTTAGAAAACCGCTTGGAAAAGACATTTTTTGCGACTTTTCTAAAGTACCATCTAGGAAATATTTCTTTCAGAAATGGTACCGCCCGTACATACTGGAGCAGGAATTCTGTTAGAATATACACTCGCTCTGTTCAGAGTCTTATTTAGTTTTTAATAACTATTTTTAATCCGTCATCCAATAACAGAAGAAGTTTTTGAGAGATAATTTTGTCTATTTGGTGTATTAGATTAGTACTTGATTTATTATGATATAGCATAATTCTACCAGAAATCTTTCTTCGTTATGTAAGTGTGACACAATTCATGAAAGAAAATACTGTCCAGGTGGTACTTTTAGGTAATTAATTTATGATTTTCATAATATCTGAGAAAATCACGGATAAAAAAAAAAAATCAATGAAAATAATGTTTTTATTATTTTAAATTTCGTTTTTTTGTTGTAAGTAGGTAAAATTATTCGTAGAAACTTGAAATTTAAACAGGAAACTTGTATTTGCATTTTCTAGAAATAATACAATTTTTAAATCATTTGTGATCGTTTCTTAAAAATTTTAATTTTGAAAGTCGTTCACGTAAATTGTATTCTGTAGGTATTCTGTGAATACAATTGTAGGACTGAATAGAAAAGCTTGAGGATTTAACAAAAAGTTCTTTATAAGCTATACGTAGTGAAAAAATTAACTTGAGTGAAGTTAGCAATGGTTAACCGTTGCTTTCAGGTATACATTAAATAACTTTAAATATTCTACTTTTCCGTGTTCCCATCTACAACAATGATGCATTCGAACCAGGATCAACCCTTTTTTTAAGAATAGTATACCGAAATAATCACATTGTTCTCTGTCCTAATCTTAACTCAATTATCCCAAAACATTAAACACCAATATTTTAGTGCTTCTAATACTGTTACTACATCTAATAAACTACTAAAACCACCTAAAAGTATTTCTGAAATTAAAAAAGAAAGGAATAATAATTATAGTATAATAAAAATTATAAAATTATTAATAATGATTAATAACAAACCTTCGTGACGCGTCGTGTAAGACTGTAAGATCTCATGATAGGGAGTTGAAGACGAAAAATTAAGAACGATAACGTCGATTAGAATGAAATGCTGGCCGAACGACTACTGCAGTACCAGGGACCCGATGCCGGCCGTTTTTATAGAGTTCATGTAGTAGGCAGGTATAGGTACTACCGAATAATAATAATATTATTCTAATCATTTTTTTTTTGCAAACAACAATCAACATTTTTAAGATAATGTTGATGACGACGATGATGACGATAATATTTATTTTTTTATAATGAATTTAAAATTTGTTTGATTTTTGAGTTACCAAATTACTACATTACCCACAACTGTTTATTCCTAACCACTTGTTGCTCCTAACATACAATTTGTGTTAGTTAAATTGTCGATTTTTCCGTCTGGGCTAAATCAATTTATTGATTTTTAAATTCCCGTAATCATTTTTCCGAATTTTTTCTTTTTTTCTACAAGGAAACTCAATAAATTACTCTCTCAGTGTAANATGACGATAATATTTTTTTTTATAATGAATTTAAAATTTGTTTGATTTTTGAGTTACCAAATTTCTACATTACCCACAACTGCTTATTCCGAACCATTTGTTGCTCCTAACATACAATTTGTGTTAGTTAAATTGTCGATTATTCCGTCTGGGCTAAATCAATTTATTGATTTTTAAATTCCCGTAATCATTTTTCCGAATTTTTTCTTTTTTTCTACAAGGAAACTCAATAAATTACTCTCTCAGTGTAACCATTTCTATTTTCGGAGCAATATTTCCGATACAATGAGTTTTATATACACACAAATTAGTATAAGAAATACCCTTCTCTGTTTATGTCGAATAAAATAATTGCAAGGGATGCTCTATTTTCATAATTTTTTCGTTTTACAGTTTCTCTTCACATGGTCTTACAATTCGAGCACTGTGTATACCCAATAACATAATCAAATAAAATAAATTAAAAACTTTATGAATTTTTGTCACTTGAATAAATTCAGCTAAACTTACAAAGCTCGATAACATTATAAAAATTGATTTAACACTATTAGCAGAAAACTAAACACTTAGATAATGTTTCAAATATTCAAGGTTTCCTTGAGTTGTGTCCTTAAAAAAAAAAAATGGGAAAATTTAATACTTCTAACCAAGACAGAGAACTATGTGTTCTAAAATTTATCAAATTACGCTCTCAATAAAAAAAGGGAACTAATACTGGTAACGGGTATGACACTATTATTGGTGAGAAGTTTGAGGAGATAGGATATAAAAAACTATTTAATTTATACCTCTAAACAACTCTAATCTATTACTGACGAAAAACGATTGGGATTTTTTTTTTTGTAGTTAACTTTTCTACCAGAAAACTAACTCTAATTTTTACGTATAGTACTTTTTCTGAAAGGAATTCGGTGTTGGGAGGTACCTTAGGGGGTTATTTTTCCATTTTTTTAGAAGTTTTCCCATCAAATACGAAAAACCGAAAGAAAACAGGAAAATTTGTGGAATAAATATTACAGTTTTTTTTTCTGTAAACCATATTTTTACCATCAATTTTGCTCCAACTTTTAATGATAGCAGTTTTTTTTGAAAGGATATTCACTATGATGGTACTTTAGTGAGGTAATTTCTCGAATTATTAAGAGTTTTCTCATCAAATGGGAAAAACTGTTAAATAACTCGGGAAAACCAGGAAAAATTTATGATGATCGGAGACATCGATACAACATTAAACTAATATTATTAAGGAAAACATATAATGCCTATTTAATAAGTTTACTATAAAATGACATATATATTCTTTATAACGCCTTGCTATTAAATTAACTCCACTCTGAATCGTTTTTTCGTAAGCAATAGTTTATCATCGCTTACAGGCATGCATTAAATTACCTATTATAGTGTTAATTCCCATCCCCATTATCCTAGGACGTCTTTTTTTTAATTTTTGACTAATTCTTTAATGCAATTTTTAATTAATTACTGTTAAATTTTCAAGCATTTCTATTGAATTACCAAAAATGATGTACATTTCTCGCTAAATTAAAATTTATATAATAGTACCATGTGTACATACAGTTGTGTTTAGTATTCACGTAGGTACTAAAGAATTTCGTTCGCTCTATTATCACTTGAATAAATTCAGCTAATCCAACAGAACTCGAAAACATTTGGACAATAGTGAATTATCACTATTGGTAGAGAATTGTATGCCCAAAAACTACCAAGAAGTGTATGAAGTTATGCCCAAAAAAAAAAACAAAAATTTGAAATTGAAAAAAAAAATGCTTATATTTTAAATCATACAAAAAAATTAGGCCATTAAAATATTGTTTTAGAATTCATTCAATCGTGAATTTTTCTGTTCTTTCTACGATTTTTCTTTTAGTTTTCTCAATTATTAAAAGAACTACACGGGAAATAAAAAAATGTCTTTATTTTCTTACCAACTAGATTAATAATGAAACAAAAAAAAATACCTCGTCATTTTTTTATTAGAGCAGTATATCTGGTAGAAAACATAAACCGTATAAATTTAAAATAACAAAATCCTAACGATGATTACTTATCAGTTTTTCACATCCAGTTTTTCCTAATTATTCTGAAAACTACTGTCCTCTTGGGTAATCAAAAAATGATGCTCCGCTTTGAATCTAAAATTTTAGTGGAGTTATAAATTTAAAATTACACAACGAATTGTTTGCCCTCCTGAAATCCTAGAAGAATGTCGCTTGGGCTCTTATTGATCACAGTTTGATCAATATACTCAAGGACGTTTCATAACACCCTAAGGAGAATCAATGCTATACCTCCCTCTCTTAAGGAGATATAGCATTATTTGAATAAAAATGATTTGTTATTCATTCATTTTTCACTATATTAATCTTGATTATTTTAATTCATGATAAAGTTTTTACGATTATTCATTATTCTAGATATATTATTCATAAGATATTATTCTTTAGTTTTTTATTCGTTATTCATTTTTCCACTTATAACACATAATCATGATTTACATTGGTGTGTTCCGTTTTTATAATATATTACCATGTGCTTTAGAAACTAAAGTTATTAATGTTTTTGGAATCGATTAGTGGTTTATCTATTGGATTTACTACTGGTTATCAACTTGTTATTAACTCAATATGGATTTAGTAAAATTATTGTGCTTAATTTATTATATATAAAGTCTAATTTAACTTGATTTTAGGAAATCAAACAAAAATCTAATATTATTTCAAATTTATCGATTTGTTTATTCAGAATAATTTGTTTATTCACAAATTAAACTATTCAAAATATATTTTAGATTTCAAGTGAAGCGAGGATTGTATTGGTTTTACAATGAAGTTTATTTTTTATTTTTTATATAAACACTTATTCTACCTGAAAGCATACTCCGATTACCAAGTATAGCACCTTTTCTGAATGAAACCGTTCTCTAGGTGGTACTTTAAAGAAGTCATTTTTTGAAATTCTCATTAATAATTGAGATAAAGAGAAAAACTTGGGTTAAAAAGATTGAAAGTATTAAAAGAATAATATCTTAAAAATAAAGTTGTCATTGGCAAATATTTTTGTTTATTTTTTATTATTATTAAATTTTCATTGTTTTAAATCATTTTTAAACAATCATTGTTGTCATAAAAACGCTAATTGTTTTAATAATTTTACCATAATATCACATATATATATTGTTGAGATAGTAACACTATCAAATGAACTCCGCTCAGATTCATCTTTTCGTTAGCAATGGTTTACCGTTGCTTACTGATATACATTAAATTCCGGTCTATATTATATCTTCCCAACTTCCCACCTATAAAAGGAGCTGCACCCACGTGTGAAGCATGTCCGTCCTTTTTATTAATTGTAATAATACAAATAATACTTCAAAATGCATTTTAGATTCTAAGTGTAGCAAACCTTATGGTTTTACAAAGATGTTTTTTTGGTTTTATGCACAACTTTTCTACCAAAATTTTGCTCCGATTTCTAATAATAGCAATTTTTCTAAAAGTAAATTTCAGTGGGGTAAGAGATTTTAAAAAGATCATTTTTCGATTTTCTCAGGAGTTTTCTCAAAAAATATGAAAATCTGAAAATAAAAACGAGAAAATGTGAGAAATGTAGGAAAAATTGTATCCATTTTTTTTTTCGGTATTGGAATAATTGGAATTTTACCCGTTTATGGCATATATATTTTTGACATAGCAGAACTATAAACTGAACTTCTCTCATAATCGTTTTTTCGTTAGTAACGGTTTATCGTTGCTTACAGGTGTACATTAAATTACTTATACAGTGGCTACACCCGACCCCATTATCTTAAGACGTCTTTTTATTCATTATTTTGATTTTTTTTATGGAGTTCATTTGACCTGCACGTAAAATAGAATTAATAAATGTTAGAACTCTAAACTTTATTTGACGAAACAAAAATAATTACTTTGAAAATTTATAACACCCCGTTTGAGTGAAATACAAGTATAATTTCATCTTAAATTCTGGTATTGAAATTATTAGTTAAACTTTTTATTTGTATAAAATTAAAAGTAATTATTTCATTATTCCTAATACGTTGAGTCACTTAGAGAAGAGCATTTTAACTAATTTAAAATACATCCAAGTTATGTCTTAAAAATAAACCAATAAAATTGTATTAAAAATTTAAAAATTAAAAAACAAACCTTTTTATATAGGCATACAATTGTAAAAATTTGACTTCTACGTCCAAAATAACTTTAAAAAAACTTTTTAAAAAAATCAAAAACATTCGTAATGAAACTGCACCAAACATCAACGTAGGAGAGCAAATTTTAAATTATTTAGTTTATAGTATAAAATATGGAACGATAATATAGACGTATAATAGTTATCTACACCCAATAAAGGCTAGATTTTAATAAATTTAATCTTACGTTTTTAAATTTGCTTTTTAGTAAAATACAGGGTAATTTTTTTATCATGAACTAGCAATTATCTCAAAGGATTTTCAGTGAATTTGATTTCTATTATTTCTATTGATTATGGAATCTATTGGGCTTTATTTTAAAACCATTTTTAATTATTTATCCCTACTCCATATATCTTAAATAAGTGCATACATTTGATCAAAATGATGTGCTTGTATATATGTATATGTTAAGCACTTTAGTACAAGCTTCATTATTTCATCCGCTATATTTGCTGCTTTGCATGTATTTTAGTGTAAAATTAGACGTCATTTTTTTGGAGAAATGTACACATTCATTAAATACTTTGTAGAAAGAAAATGCACAGCTTCTTTTTTAAATCAACAAATCAGCTGTATCCTAGTCAAGTATGCTACCTCAGTAGAATGAAAATAAATTCAACGAAACGTTAATAGGGGAAAGATTGGAAAGGAGAAATAGGGGAGTGAAAATATTTGGGATTGGGAGTTGGGATATGGGGGTTATATGTATATGTATATGTATTGGTAAATTAATATTCGTATATATGACGTATAACACGAACGCTCGGTGATCTATCTATCGTTAGATGATCGACGGCAGTATAACCCAAGTGCACAATCGGTCGCATGTGACCTTCAGTAAATTCGCATTTTAATATTATGTTAATAAAATTGGTATAGTGTGTTTGTACAGATTGCATTTTAATATATTTACCTGTGTTGTGTTAATATTAATAGGTATCTAAAATATTTATTGACGATAGCTGTTTCCAATTGTAGAAAGATATTATTTCTCTCCTGTCTATTTTATTTTTATATTATTGTACTACGAAAATATAATATAAAAAACGTTCCTTATATAGTTATGTTACCTGCTTGAAATTCGGAAGATTTAAGAGGTATTGGTGTACATGAATCGTTACAATGCATACACCTCGTTAGGTTTTTTTGTAATGGATCTGATAATTGTATTGTGGAACCTTGATAGTTTATTTTACAAGTATTAAATATTCAATATATTAGACTAAAAGTTGAAGTATATATTTTGTACACGTTATACATCGAACAATAGAACTATAGATTTCATATTTGAACTATTACTGTTGCCATGTACTGCAATCAATGAAAGTTTTGAGAAGTTAATACCATAAAATAATCATATTTTTTCTTCGTCAGCTGATCAATTTAATTTTCTACACATACAGGATAGTTTTTTTATCATGAACTAACAATTATCTAAGTGGATTTTAAGTTAATTTGATTTCAATTTTTTCTAACCATTATGGATCGTCTAAGTATTTTAATTTTTTACCCCTACTTGATACACCTTACCAAAAGTAAATAATGTTGATTTTCAAATAGAAACCCCCCGATAAACACAGATTTAAATAGAGAATATTTTTCTAGAAATTTGATTAACTCAATAGTAATAACAAAATTTCTAGAAAACCATGAAAATTCAAAAAAGAAAAAACCGATATCTAATTCATTCAAAATCCTTTTGAGACAAAGGTTGGTTCAGTAAAAAAGAATCATCATATCAACATATCTTGAATAAAAGCTCCAGTTTCAATTTTCATGCAGTGTACTAAATTAGAAGCAATAAAACGATGGATCAATGAATTTAATCTATTTAGCTCAAAAACTACTAAGCAACTATCGTAAATACAATGAATTAATTGACAAATAAAAACAGTTTATAATACCACTACTACTTTTATTTATATAAGCACCAAAGGAAGTGCAGCATCTATATTTCAACTCTTATTACAATTAAAATAAACTGCAGACTTTCTAAATGTATTCTTTTCTTATAAAGCATATTTAATGCCCATAACATTTGCTGAAGCGTAACGCTACTTATCTAAGTTAAAATTATTGAGTCTCGGTAGGGTTCCGTAATATCCCAATAATAAAACTATAAAGTCTCCTGTTATTAAGCCATAAACTAATTAGCCACATTATCAACTTTGATGGACAATTCTCTAACATTATCATACATTTTAACCATGTTCAATATTAAATATTTTATTATTATTATGTATATAAAATATATATTTGTATGGATTTAATTATTTTTTTAATACGGGTACCTATTTTATTAAAAATGTACTAAACTGCTGCACTGAATCCATTAAATTATGGACTTGTAGTAAAATCTGGTACATTAAAGCAATTGATATAAAATAAAATCTATATTTCTTTTAAAATAAAAAACAAAATTTATACTAGCTGGTTTTAATTGTATGTGTGGATGAGTGGATAATTTCAATAGTAGCTGTATAGATAAAATATTTGTGCAAACACAAGTTAGATCAGAGGATCGTGGTAAAAATATTATTTTGACTTTCATTTTTAACAACAAGAAACTATGTATATTGTAGATTAATAAATGATAATGAAGTAAGAACAATGGGCCACTCACGAGTGAATTATGTTCCTCTTTTTAGATAATATTATTATACCAAAAATCTTTGTCCAAACTTCAAAAATAACATTTTTCTGAAAATAAAATTTTGCCTAGTTTTTGAGTAAAAATAAATTCGATTTTCAGTATAACTTTCTGGATAATTGGAAATAACCCGGAAAAAAAGTAAAAAATATTGTAAAATTTACAGCATTTAGATTTTTGTTGTTAGTCGGTAAAAAATTATTTTAGAGACATGGAGTTCTCACTAAAAACGAATATTGGCCTATTATAGACATAGTATAAATTTCAAAACAATCTAATCATTTTCAGGCAATTTATTGGGATTTAATATTTTCGTGTTTTTACATTATGTACTTCTCTATCTAAAATTAAAATTATATGACTAAAAAGATATACTTGACAACTTAATAGAAGGTACATTAAAAGTTGTGCTTGAATGTTTAAAAAACAAATTTTAGTTTTATAATCTGTGAATTAAAATAGCGTGCTTATATAGATGAATATGCTTAAAACTTAACGTGCATATTGCATTTTTATAATCATTCATGCATATGGCTGAATCCATGTCCGTGACCGGGATTGTATCCACCTTTATCAACACTGCGATTTTTGCTGTTTCCCGTCATTTACACGCGTTTTTCTACTGCCACTTCTATTAATGTGGCTGTTATCACCGTGTCCATTGTTTAATCCATCGCCATATTCATGACTACTTAATTTCCTAGCGGTGCTAATCTTACGGGTTGCTGTATTCCAATGATCTCTACCATTCGTGTGAATATTACTTCCTTTAACATCACTATGTTTATTTTGACTGTCGTCATTATCGTGTTCACAGTTGTGTTTTATATCACTTTTTCCTGGAATCGGTGTGCATGACGCTTGTTGAATCACAATAAGGGTCACAATGGATAAAACAATTATCTATAAAAAAAAAATAAACAAATACAAATTGTCTTAATATAAATAGAAAAAATAAAAAGATAAAATATACGAAATTTCTAACATAAATAATGCTCCTACCGATCAATGACAAGAAATCTTTTATGTTAAAATTTCTGGGTGACCAAGGGATTGTATTTTTAATTTTCTTGTAAGTTTTACTAAAAATTGAGCAAAACTGAAAAATATGAAGAAGAAACCGGAATATTTCAATAATCACAGAAACTTGCATTTTGAACAGAAAATTAATATTTGCTTTTTCTAGACTTGGTAAAACTTTCAAACTATTTGAGCTATTTTTAAGTAATTTAAAGAAAATTCAATTTTGAAAATAATTTGGGAGGAACTATCTAAAAGTCATTACAAACGCGGATCTATGGAAGGGAGGGGTTGGGTCAATCGCCCGAAACCATGCAGATAATAAAATTATTACTAACTCTTATTTTTGACGATGATACCGTGAGAAACTAGATAAAAAAAAAAACAACAATAAAGGTACCTTGAGATTTTTTATATAAAACATATTTAAAGTAAAAAACGTCATTTGTGTATTTGTAACAGCCACCACTGTTGTAAGTAAGAAATTGGGATGGTAGAATACATAAAACTATTACATTAATATCTGTCAACAACGAGAATCCATTTTTTGACGAAAGACGACTCCGAGCGCAGTGCAGTAATACATAATTTATTGTGCCGTAATATTTTTTGAGATTATCGTTTAAATTTGAAATCATAAAGGGTTGACGATAATGCCGTGAGAAAGTAATTCAAAAAAACAACAAACAAGGTACCTCGTGAGTTTTTAAATGAAATACATTTTTTAATAAAAGACGTCGTTTGTGTTTTTATAAAATAATGAAATCGTGAAATTGTACATTTTCCTAGGTTCTTTCCTTAATATTTCCTAAAAATTTGTACACATTTTACCATATCTTCAATTTATGTTTTTTGACCAAATCTCAAGTCCTCTAAAAAATGTTTGAGCTGAATTACAACAAATAACAAAACAAAATTTTAAATAATATATAAAAGCATCATTTTCGTAAACAACCAGTTTTATTAAAGTTTTACCTGGGTCACTCCTAGAAATTTAGAAAACCGCTTGGAAAAGACGCAAGAAATGACTTATCTAAAGTACCGTCTAGAAAACATTTTCTTTCAGAAATAGTACCGCCCATACATACCGGAGCAGGATATCTGTTAGAATATGTATTCATTTATGAAGAGAAATACTATCCAGATGGTACTTTTAGGTAATTATTTAATGATTTTTGTCTAAGAAGATGTCTAAGAAAATCCAGGATAAAAAGAGAAAAATTCACGAAAATGTAATATTTTAAATTTCGTTTTTTTGTTGTAATTTAGGTAAAATAATTCGTAGAAACTTGAAATATGAACAGAAATCTTATATTTGCATTTTCTAGAAATAATAAACTTTTCAAAAAATTTGAGCCCTTTGTGATCGTTTAAAAAACATTTTAATTTTGGAAGTCGTTCACGTAATTTTAATTCTGTAGGTATTCTTTGAATACAATTCTTAGAATTAGTAGAAGGGCTTGAAGATTTAACAGGAAGTTCTTTATAAGCCATACGTAGTGGAAAAATAAACTTGAGTGAAGTTAGCAATGGTTATTCGTTGCTTTCAGGTATACAATAAATAACTTTGTGTATCCTATTTTCCCATGTTCCCATCTACAACAATGATGCATTCGAACCAGGATCAACCCTTTTTTAAGACTAGTATACCGAAATAATCACATTGTTCTCTGTCCTAATCTTAATTATCCCAAATTATTAAACAACAATATTTTAGAGCTTCTAATACTGTATCTAAATCTACTAAACTACTAAAACCACCTAAAAGTATTTCTGAAATTAAAATAAAAAGGAATAATAATTATAGTATAATAAAAATTACAAAACTATTAATAATGGTTAGTAACAAACCTTCGTGACGCGCAGTGTAAGACTGTAAGATCTCATGATAAGGAGTTGAAGACGAAAAATTAAGAACAATAACGTCGATTAAAATACAATGCTGGCCGAACGACTACTGCAGTACCTGTGACCCGATGCCGGCCGTTTTTATAGATTTCGTGTAGTAGGCAGGTATGGGTACTGCAGAATAATAATAATATTATTCTAATCATTTTTTTTTTGCAAACAACATTCAACACTTCCAAGATAATATTGATGACGACGATGATGACGATAATACTTTTTTTTTATAATGAATTTAAAATTTGTTTGATTTTTGAGTTACCAAATTTCTACATTACCCACAACTGCTTATTCCGAACCATTTGTTGCTCCTAACATACAATTTGTGTTAGTTAAATTGTCGATTATTCCGTCTGGGCTAAATCAATTTATTGATTTTTAAATTCCCGTCATCATTTTTCCGAATTTTTTCTTTTTTTCTACAAGGAAACTCAATAAATTACTCTCTCAGTGTAACCATTTCTATTTTCAGAACAATATTTCCGATACAATGAGTTTTATATACACACAAATTAGTATAAGAAATACCCTTCTCTGTTTATGTCGAATAAAATAATTGCAAGGGATGCTCTATTTTTATAATTTTTTCGTTTTACAGTTTCTCTTCACATGGTCTTACAATTCGAGCACTGTGTATACCCAATAACATAATCAAATAAAATAAATTAAAAACTTTATGAATTTTTGTCACTTGAATAAATTCAGCTAAACTTACAAAGCTCGATNAAACTATAATTTTTACGTATAGTACTTTTTCTGAAAGGAAGTAGGTGTTGGGAGGTACCTTAGGGAATTAATTTACTATTTTTTTAGAAATTTTCCCAACGAATACGAAAAATCGAAAGAAAACACGAAAATTCGTATAAGAAAGATGACAATTTATTTTTCTGTGAACCATAATTTTAACATCAATTTGCTCCAATTTTGAATGGTAGCAGTTTCTTTGTAAGGATATTCTTCTATGATGTTACTTTAGAGAAGTAATTTTTCGATTTATTAAGAGTTTTCTCATCGAATGGTAAAACTGTTAAATAACACGGGAAAACCAGAAAAAATGTATGATGATCGGGGAAATCGATACAACATTAGACCAATATTATTAAAGCAAATACATAATGCCTATTCAATTATTTTACTAAAATATACTTAAATTTATATTGTTGAAACAGCAGCACTATCAACTGAATCTTTCTCGGAATGGTTTGTCTTTGCTTCGTATATGCATCAACTTACTTATAACAGTAGCTGCCCCATGTCCATTTATTTTGGGGTTCTTTTTTGTACTTTGACAATCAGTCTTCTTTGCTAGCCCTTTTTTACATTTTTCTTTCTTTCAAAACTGTACACAAAATAAACTACCATCATACTACAAAGTTTAGATAGTTAAAATTATAGACTTTTATACATTGACACAAAGAGAGCAGCCAAGTGTACATCGTCAATTATCATACTCATCAATTCAGTTAATGTGGAGTACCTAAATCTTTCGTGAGAAACCTTGAACTTGAAATTTAGACATTAAACATTTTTTACCTTTTCTAAACATGGCCTTTCCTAATTTGGAGAATTTAATTTTACGAGTTATATACATAATTTCAATTCGGTACGTACTTTATAGATAAAATTGTTACCCTCAACTGAAATGCTTGAAAATTAAACAGGAATTTCATTAAAAGTCGTACTTAATGGTCAAAACGTTAAAACTGAGCTTAATGTATTATTTTTTTTATAAAGGAATTTTAATTTTAAATTTGGCGAAAATTATTGGAGTAAAAATTATGTGGAACAAAACTTGTTATAATTCTATGCAAGGATTTTAACTTTCGTCTTTAACAAAGAAGAAACTATGTATATTGTCGATTGATGAATCATGATGAAGTCAAAACCGCAGACCACTCACGTGTGAATTATATCCGTCTTTTTAAAATTTATTTCTCTACTTATAATGTTTTTTTCAACAATAACATTTTTCTGAAAAAAAATGTGTCTACTTTTTGAATAAAAATATGTTTGTTTTCAGTATTGATAATAATGAAAAATCGGGGAAAAAAGCAAGAAATATGTTAAAGTGTACACCATTTAGATTTTTTGTTGTTTTTTAATTTAAATTTATTGTAGAGACATGTCGTTTATTTTAAATATGTAAATTGGCCTAATATAGACGTAGTACATTGTTTAGTTTAATACACAGAAGTGTTTTTAAATCAAATTTTGACGAAAATCGTAAAAAATTACAGCAAATAAATGTATTTCTTACCGAATTTTGCTCCAAATCGTTACGATACGAAGAGCTGAGAAATGTAATACAGTATCATGTATTATATTTGAGTAAAGACCTTTCTGACGGTACTCCGCAAGGTCCATTCCTTAGAACCAGGAGTGGATTGAAAAGAAGTATGAACGAATCTGAAAACTAATTTTTTTGGATGGTATAGCATCGGAGACCAAAATTTTGATAGAGGAATGTATGCTTTTGAACACATACAATTAATGGGATTAACCATAATTTTTCCTAAAGTCGATTTCCTTTCGTGTATAATATACTACACGTCAACCTCTTGTGTTNGAATTTTGCATAATATAATTTAAATATAATATTAACTAATTAACTAAGAAAAATAAAATTATATTCACATCGTAATAGCGTCCTTACATAGATTTATATGCTTAAAACTTAACGTATATATTGCATTTTTTTAATCATCCATGCATACGACTGAATCCATGTCCGTGACCGGGATTGTGTCCACCTTTATCAACACTGTGATTTTTGCTATGTTTCCCGTCATTTACACGCATTTTTCTATTGCCACTTCTATTATTGTGGCTGTTATCACCGTGTCCTTTGGCGAATCCACTGCCATGTCCGTGATTGCTTAATTTTGTAGCGTTGCTTATTTTACGTTTTGCTGTATTCCAACGATCTCTGCCATTCATGTGAACATTACTCCCTTTTTCATCACTATGTTTATTGTGACTGTCGTCATGATCGTGTTCACGATTATTTTTTTTATCATGTTTTCCTGGCATCGGTGTGCATGAGGCTTGTTGAATCACAATAAGGGCCAAAATGAATAAAACAGTTATCTATAAAAAAAAAAAAAATACAAATTGTCTTAATATAAATAGAAAAATAAAAAGATGAAATATACATAATTTCTACCATAAATATTAATCCTGCAGAATAACAACAAGAAATATTTTTTGTTTAGTTTTGTGGATAAAAAAAAAAAGAGTGAATTTTTGATTTTCTTTTAAGTTTTACTAAAATTTGAGTAAAATTGAAAAATATGAAGACGGAACAGGAAAATTTGCGAAAGTTATAAATGAATTATCTAATTATTAGAAAATTTGTTTTCAAATGATTTTCAGTTTACAGTATTCAAAAAAACTTGGATATTGGATAGAATACTTATAGTTGCTTTTTCTAGACTTGTTAAAATTTGCAAATCATTGGAGCCCTTTGTGATCATTTTATTAAAATTTAATTCATTGAATACGATTCTAAGACTAAATATAAATGCATGAAGATTTAACAGGAAGTTCTTTATAAGCCATACGTAGTGGAAAAATAAACTTGAGTGAAGTTAGCAATGGTTATTCGTTGCTTTCAGGTATACAATAAATAACTTTAAGTATCCTACTTTCCCATGTTCCTATCTACAACAAAGATGCATTTGACCCAGGATCAACCCTTTTTTTAAGAATAGTTTACCGAAATAAACACATTTTTCTCTATCCTAATTTAAACTCAATCAGCCCAAATTATTAAACAACAATATTATAGTGCTTCTAATACTGTAACTACATCTACTAAACTACTAAAACCACCTAAAAGTATTTCTGAAATTAAAAAAAAAAGGAATAATAATTATAGTATAATAAAAATTACAAAATTATTAATAATGATTAGTAACAAACCTTCGTGATGCGTAGTGTAAGACTGTAAGATCTCATGATAAGGAGTTGAAGACGAAAAATTAAGAACGATAACGTCGATTAGAATACAAAGCTGGCCGAACGACTACTGCAGTACCTGTGACCCGATGCCGGCCGTTTTTATAGATTTCGTGTAGTAGGCAGGTATGGGTACTGCCGAATAATAATAATATTATTCTAATCATTATTTTTTGCAAACAACAATCAACAATTTCAAGATAATGTTGATGACGACGATGATGACGATAATATTTTTTTTTATAATGAATTTAAAATTTGTTTGATTTTTGAGCTACCAAATTAATACATTACCCACAACTGTTTATTCCGAACCATTTGTTGCTCCTAACATACAATTTGTGTTAGTTAAATTGTCGATTATTCCGTCTGGGCTAAATCAATTTATTGATTTTTAAATTCCCGTAATCATTTTTCCGAATTTTTTCTTTTTTTCTACAAGGAAACTCAATAAATTACTCTCTCAGTGTAACCATTTCTATTTTCAGAACAATATTTCCGATACAATGAGTTTTATATACACACAAATTAGTATAAGAAATACCCTTCTCTGTTTATGTCGAATAAAATAATTGCAAGGGATGCTCTATTTTCATAATTTTTTCGTTTTACAGTTTCTTTTCGCATGGTCTTACAATTCGAGCACTGTGTATACCCAATAACATAATCAAATAAAATAAATTAAAAACTTTATGAATTTTTGTCACTTGAATAAATTCAGCTAAACTTACAAAGCTCGATAACATTATAAAAAAATGATTTAACACTATTAGCAGAAAACTAAACACTTAGATAATGTATCAAATATTCAAGGTTTTCTTGAATTGTGTTCTTAAAAAAAAAAAACTATAATTTTTACGTATAGTACTTTTTCTGAAAGGAAGTAGGTGTTGGGAGGTACCTTAGGGAATTAATTTACTATTTTTTTAGAAATTTTCCCAACGAATACGAAAAATCGAAAGAAAACAGGAAAATTCGTATAAGAAAGATGACAATTTATTTTTCTGTGAACCATAATTTTAACATCAATTTTGCTCCAATTTTGAATGGTAGCAGTTTTTTTATAAAGATATTCTTCTATGATGTTACTTTAGAGAAGTAATTTTTCGATTTATTAAGAGTTTTCTCATCGAATGGTAAAACTGTTAAATAACACGGGAAAACCAGAAAAAATGTATGATGATCGGGGAAATCGATACAACATTAGACCAATATTATTAAAGCAAATACATAATGCCTATTTAATTATTTTACTAAAATATACTTAAATTTATATTGTTGAAACGGCAGCACTATCAACTAAATTCTTCTCAAAATCATTTTATTATTAGAAATTGTTTGTCTTTGCTTCATGTATGCATCAAATTACTTATAACAGTAGGTGCCCCAGTACCCATTAACCTTGGGAATCTTTTTTGTACTTTAACAATCAGTCTTCTCTTCTACCCATTTTTTACATATGTTTTTCTACGATGATGAAGTCAGAACATTAACCAACTCACGTGTGAATTATGTCCGTCTTTTTAGAATATATTTTTCTACCAAAAATATTTTTTTCAACAATAACATTTTTCTAAAAAAATAATTTTTCTAGTTTTTGAGTAAAAATATTTTTGATTTTCAGTATTGATAATTATGAAAAACCGGGAAGAAACGCAAGAAATATGTTAAAGTGTACGGCATTTAGATATTTTGTTGTTATTCAATCAAAATTTATTTTAGAGACATGTCGTTTTCTTTAAATATGTAAATTGGTCTAATATAAACGTAGTACAATTTTCAAAACATTCTATTCATTTTCAGGCAGTTTATTGGTATTTTAAATTTTCGTGTTTTTACCTTTTTTTTTCTATCTCTTTTTAAAATTAAATAACTAAAGAGAATTGTTTGACAACTTAATAGAAGGTACATTATAAGTTGTGCTTGGTTGTTTGAAAAAAATTTTAGTTTACACATAGATGTGTTTTAAAATCAAATTTAAACAAAAATCGTAAAAATTACAGCATATAAAATTATGTCTTACCAAATTCTGCTCCAAATCGTTACAATACGAAGAGCTTAAAAATGGAATACAGTATCATGTATTATATTTGTATAAAGACCTTTCTGATGGTACTCCGGAAGGCCTATTCCTTAGAACCAGGAGTGGATTGAAAAGAAGTATGAACGAATCTGAATTTTTTTGGATGGTATAGCATCGGAGACCGAAATTTTGGTAGAAGAATGTATGCTTTTGAACACATACAATTAATGGAATTAACCATAATTTTTCTTAAAGTCGATTTCCTTTCGTGTATAATATACTACACGTCAACCTCTTGTGTTCTGACTTAAACAGAACACATTATTTTCTTGTTAAATTTTACCATTTATAGCCATACCGCTGCAGTTTTTAATCGATAAAGACAATCGTTTTTATTCGGAATTTTGCATAATATAATTTAAATATAATATTAACTAATTAACTAAGAAAAATAAAATTATATTCACATCGCAATAGCGTCCTTACATAGATTTATATGCTTAAAACTTAACGCGCTTAGGGCATTTTTATGATCATCCGTGGTGTTTGTTGTATCCGCCGCCGTTTCCGTGTCCGCCACCATGTCCGTATCCACTTCCGCCCTTATTACCGTGCCCGTATCCACCGCCTCCACCGCTGTGTCCTTTGTTATATCCACCGCCACTTCCGTGTCCGTATCCACCACCACCGCCGCTACCACCGTGGCTGTATCCACCGCCGTTACCGCTGTGCCCTTTGTTGTATCCACCGCCACTCCCGTGGCCATGTCCACCGCTACCGTGATGGCTGTATCCGCTGCTACTACCGTGACTATATCCACCGCTACTACCATGGCTATAGCCACCGCCACTACCGTGGTTGCCATGCCCACTACTACCACCACTGTAATAACCGCCGCCACTACCTCGGTTATTACCGTAACCGACGTTTTTCCCCGGTACGCATGACGCTTGTTGAATCATGACAAGGGCCACGATGAATAAAATGATTATCTGCAGTAAAATAAAAAAATATATATTTATTTATTTTACTAATAATTTCATATAACTTGGCATACACATTTCACAAAATTTTTTTTTTCCTTTTTGTGCATTTTAGATTCGCAGCGTAGGGAGGAATGTATTGGTTTTACAATGATATTTATTTATTTTCTTTTTAATACTACGTATGTATAAAATGTTCGCCAGAAATCTTGTCCCAATGTATCAAGTATAACACCTTATCCGAAAGACAACTTTTATCTAGTTCCTACTTAAGGAAAATTATTTCTTGGATTTTCGATGCCATTTTTATCCAATTGTTATAAATTGTAAAAAAACAGGGGTAAACGAACAAATATTTACAGCTCAAATGTTTTGTTTTAACATTTTTTTAACTTGTGTTTTCTACTAGAAAAATTGCCCAGATTAAGTAACAAAAAAAAGTCTTTTTTTTTTGTTGGATTTTTAATTTGATTGGTGAACAAGAAAATCATTATTTAATTTTCTTTATAGGTTTTTTAATAATTTAGTAAAACAGAAAAAGTACTTAGGAAAACTGAAAAATTTACAAAAATAATGCTTTTATTATTTTCAATTCGGTTTTTTTGTTGTAATTCAGTTAAAAATATTTTTTATAGACATGGTAAACCATTCAAAACATTCAAGCCATTTTTGAGATATTAGTAGACATTTTAACTTATTAAGATTTTTACTTAATTTTTATTTAGTAGGTGTTCTGTGGATAAAATTGTTTAAGCAAACAGAAATGCTTAAAAATTCAACAGGAGGTTCATTTTAAGTTGTACATTGTGATCGAAAAAACAAATTGAGTTTAATGTAGTAATTTTTTTATAAGAATTTTAACGAAATTTAATAAAATGTTGACGATAATCATACATTTTTATGGTCTTTCAAAAAAAATATAACCGAACTTCTCTCCGAATCGTTATTCGTTATCAATGATTTATCAACATTTAAGTACCATCTAGATAAAATTTCGTTACAGAAAATTTAGTATACTTGAAAATCGAACATGATTTCTGGTAGGAAAGTTGTCACTGATAAAAACAAAATTAATAAAAATAAACATTATTTTAAACCAAAACATTCGTTGCTGTGCTCCGAATCTAAATACATTAAAGTTAATTTTGAATAATATTTTATTGATTATTTTTGTATATTTTTTTTTCAATACTTATAATATGATTATATCGAGTTATATCAGACTTTATTTATCATAATTTACATTTATACTAAAGCACCATATGTGAGTAAATAATAAATCAATAAATTATGGTAATTGGAAACCACTTATCGATAACGGTAACATTAATGACATGATTTTCGGTAGCGCATTATGTTATAAACACGGAACACACCGATTTCAATAAAGTTAAACATTCAAGTTATCAATGAAGCATTCAAATTAAACATATGGAATATGTTATACTAATTAATAATAAATAATTAAACTATGGAATAAAAAATGACGAACGATTGAATAATCAATAATCAATAACCAAATAATGTATAACGATACACAGGTTGTAACAGGACTATTTAACACTTTTACATGTAACTATAATGACGTAACTGTCAAAAAGTCCTGTTACACTTTGTATAATGATTAATAAATTATACGTCTAAACTCTAAATTCATTAGTCTAGATTGTAGAGTAATAAATAATGAATAATCTTAAAAATTCAAATTGTGAATCAAAATAAACAAGTATAATCAAATGAAAATTAAATGAATAAGTAATCTTTTCTTATTCAGATAATTTCCAAGCGTATTACATTTGCTTTCGTTTTAAGATATTCTGGGTTTTTTTTTTTGGAATTTAAATGTTGTTACACTTAAATGTAACTAAATTGATATACGAGTAGCTAAAATAAAAGCAAAACAAAATTTTTATCTCCATATTAACTATATTATAATGAATTTTAAAATTTTATACAAGTTCAATTATTAGAACCAGCTGGGTTGTGAGCACTGATCAACTATAAAAGTTTTATAATATTATAAAGTGTCTTCTTCACATCAACATTTGTATTCTAATAACAAACATTTTGTCATTGATTCATTTGAATATTTGAATATTTTCATTTGAATATTCATCGTTATTGGAATATTTCGAAAATTGCAAAACGTATAACAATTACTTATACTAATACAGCTCCCTTATAGAATATAACGTTTTAAAATTCGATATCGACCATCGCTTTCACTTCGAGTACACATCCACGAGTGCCTAATCTGTACATAACCTAATGAGCATATTATCATATTCATTATTCAGCTTTTAACTTGTCAAGTGTCGATATTAGTATGCGAAATGAAATGAAAAATAATATTACAACTCGATATTTATTATTCGTTTTGGATTTAAGTATAACCGATTTGGTATAAATAATACAAGTATATTATTTAACTATTTTAATTTAAAATTTAGATTGGAAATAATAGTATAATATTCTAGTAACCAATTTTCATTATATTGAGTAATAAATAAAAAAAAAAAATGTTGTATAAAACAAATTAAAATAAAATATTTGCAACAACTAAAAACAAAATCCATACAATAATAATTGAAAACAAACATAATAATATACCTTTGGTTTCATTGAAAAAGGATTTAAGATTTTTTTATATATATAAATTTTGTTCAATAGAAATGTTTTCTTTTGCTTTTTTTCCAGATAATTGTGTGTATATTTAAAATACAGTTCAATAAAAATTTAAAAATATACTATTCGAAAAATCTCATATTAATTTAGATTGAAAATAATCATATAAAAATGCAAAACAAATTAGGAGAAAATATTTGTAACAACTAAAAAGAAAACCATACACAATAATAATTTTAAAATATTTGTCTTCTATTGAATATTAATTAAATGATTAATATAGCTGAAATTATCAAAACCTAAACGTTTTAGTTACCTACTTATATATTATGATTAAGAAAAAAACCGCGAAATAATTATGTCCGTTATCCCAGCACTGCCATATTTGAAATATAATATAAAATTATCAGTCCTATAAACAGTCCTATGTACTTTATTTTGTACGATTTTGTACACCCTCCCGAACACGAACAATTCCCCCATATCCGCGCTACGATAAAGTATGTATTGCTAAAGGTACAAATATTCGCTGAAATAATTAATATTCATATTTATTTTATTAAATGGGTAAAATGTTTAATTTATTTTATAAAATATATTTGAAACTTTTAGAAAGTAAATATTTATAATTTTTTATATTTCATTTTTAAAATGGTAGTTATAAAAAATAAAGTACTTAATACTGTATGAGTTAAATTTTAATTTTTAATAATTGGTCATTGACAGTGCTGAGGTAACGTTACCGCAGCACGGACATGGGAAAATCGTTTTTTCTCGTGTTCGGGAAGGTGTGCACAATTTGATTTTGGTTGTACAAAATAAAGTACATAATACTGTATTATTGTGAAATTCAATTTCAAACATGACAGTGGTAGGATAATGAACCTGAAATAATTAATAAAATTGTTATTAAAAAAATTACATTAGGTAATTTAACTCTACATTAAAAAAAGTGTATTTTTTAATTATATATAATGTAATTGTTATATTGTATAGTCTATCGGTTAAATGTCATAATTTACTATCAATTGTGAAATAATTTGGAAAAACATAATACATTTTATTAAGTTTATTGGGTATAGAATATTTTTTTAAGAGATTTACAAATATAAAAAATGACCAACAAAAGAGTTTAGTAAGTGATCCAAACGAACGCAAATAATAACTTTAGTTTTTCAACTCGTGTGTATTATATTTATTATAGTTTTTAATTATAATATTTATTAAATATTTATTATAGTTTTTAATTATAATATTTATTGTGATGTTCTATTTTGAAATAGATAAGTATTTGAAAATGTATTGTTGTCTTTTATGCAAACGTGTAATCAACCAAATAATAATATTTTGTCTAATGCCAAATTATTATTGAAAATTTCCAGATATTATAATATTATTGTAACACAATTTTATTATTACGTTTTTTGAAAACTCTGGGTACTATTATAAACTTCAATTCAAACAAATATTATTTTGTGTGTGGATTTTTTAGTTTAATAATACAATGAATTCAACATTAGGTCATTTATAAGTAAAGAGCGGATTTATATTCTCTTATAATCTACAAAAGGATGCTTTAAAACGTCAAAAAATCCCTGAAAAAAAGTACTTACAAATATTTAAAAAAAAAGCAAAAATTACAGAGGAGTTCTAAAGCAGATTTAACTTATAAAATAATATTTTCCAACACCACAAAAATGGTTGATAAAAAGTAATTCTTTTGAATAATACGTACGATTTTGTTTAAAAGAAATTACTATGTGAGAATCATTTTTGTGGTGTTAGAAAATGTTATTTTATAAGTTAAATCCGCTTAAAGAGAGACTTTTGAACTTCTCTATTGCTTTTGCTTTTTTAAATATTTGAAAGTGTTTTTTTTTCAGACATTTTTTGACGTTTTAAAGCACCTTTTCGTGAATTATAAGAGAATATAAATCGGCTCTCTATTTATAAGTATGATAATAATAATATGATATAAATGACTAATCCACTGTATATCATAATATTACGTGTACAATACCTATTTATAACAATAAAAATAAAATGTATAATGTTGATGTCCGATAAATGATATCGTTTAGCCTGTATACAGCTGGTGCGGATAGGTAGACGAAAGTTAATTAATTCAATAGACAATAATTTTAATCTTTTTTTTTGTTTTATGTATATAAAATAATCAACCGAATAAACAATTCGTTAACTAACCAAAGTTGGTTAAGCCCAATCTGACTTGTATTACGACCTCTAGTCTAAGCGGATTAAACTACAACTAAAAACGTATGCTACCTGTATAATGTCGAAAATTGAAAAAATAAATAAATTATACATTAATAATACTAACCTTCGTGTATAATCTCATGATGGGTTGTTGAAGTCGAGAAAATAAGAATAATATTCGCGTCGATGATGAGAAAAAAAAAGAAAAAAAGAAATAATAATAAAAAGAATACGACGTAAGCCGAACACTGACTGCGGTACCCGGTTCCGATGCTGGCCGTTTTTATAGAGTCCGGTAGTAGTAGGGCTGCAGGTACCGCCGAACAATAATAATAATAATAATAATATTATTATTATTGTTCTGTTCGGTATTTTCCACAAACAACGATAATCGTCGTTTCCAGGACGATGGCGATGATGACGGAGATGACGGCCGCGGTAACAATAAATGTTATGGCTCAACCTTCAACTTTTAAAACGTTACCCGAGGTTCGGGAGTACTTGTGCCCGTACAATATTATATTATTATATCGTGTGCGCGGGTGTACATAATGTCATGTTGTGTTATGATAATATAGCTGCACCCAAGCCAAAACTCTTCCGCGGTCTGCCGGGGGATTTCGCTTCCCGTGCCCCGTCTTCATTTCCCGCCCGCGCCGGCGTACGGACCGGTTAGACGTGCGCCGCCGCCGGACGATTGTATTATTATAATATTACCACGTTTTATCGTACGCTCGTACGCGCGCGAGTAATAATAGTAATTCGTATTATTATCATCGTCGACGGATAAATCCCAATTTTTCTATTATTATTTTTTTTTTTTTTTCCTCGCGGAGACTTTGATACCGTAATTGCATACCTCCCCGCGTGTTCCCTAGCTGCAGCAATACTGTTGTCGGCATAATGACCGTTGTTCTAAAATAACTTCGGACATTGGAAGGATCTCCGCTTCGGCCGAGGTTGAACGTAATATACTATAATATATATATATCTATACGTACAAGCAATTTCAAATTTCCGCAGAACGCGTAGTTCTATTCGATTCGTACACGGAACTCACGCGCCATACTTATAATAATTACGTATAGACACCTGCATGCATGTACAATTTTGTGTTACGCCGAATTTTCTGTTGTTGCGGTGTACTTTTTTTTAAAAAACATTAATCCGCGGATCGTCTCTCACGGGTGGACGGTGCACCACAGTAAAATCGAACAAATTCGATACACACAGACAGTATGGAGTAGACAAATTGGATTTTAAAATTTAAATAATCAATTTACCTGCACACTTTTATACATAGTATAATAATATGCGTATCTCAACTGAGTCACAATATTTAATTTTTCAACTAGGTACATACATTACACATTTACCTATAGTTAATTGCTTTTTAGATTCGTACCAGAGCGAGAGATCTGTTGGTTTTACTATAGTGTGTGTGTGTGTTTTTTTCCCTGGCTATTTGAACAGAAAACTTGCTTCAATCGAAAAATGACAAAAGACCTTTTCTGTTGTATTTTTGAATCTAGTCGATCAATAAAAAAGATCAATTTTTGAAGGGATTATTTTTTTACTTTCCGAGGGGCTTTCAAAATAATTGAAAAAACCCGAAAACAAAATTATAAGAAAAACGAATTTTGAATTTTCAAAAATCCTACGTGGATTCCTACGTCATAATGACTATCTGTACGCCAAATTTCAGCTCGGTTCGACCAGTGGTTTGGGCTGTGTGATGATGAATCAGCCAGGACTGAATATTCAAATTGAAATACGTCAGAGGAATATTGTTCAAGTCTTATTGATATATAAAACAAATTTAATATTTAAAAAAAATAATAATAAAATCTCAATGTTCCCTTTGAATTCAATCGACCACTATAGTACATACGTTTGAAATAGGCATTTTTATATTTTCTATAATATTATGTTATATTATTTTGACACATTTTTAGTACTGCGGCTTTCTTTCGATTGTTTTTGACGATTAATTCTAAAATTCGTATACAGTTTTTCTCCTAAATTGCTTATATTTTTCTTTATACATAAAAGCGCACAAAACAAGACGACATTTTAGTATTATTTATATAGTTTTAAAATATGAAATTTTCGATTTACGTAAAAGCCTGGTGTAAAGGGCGGAATTTCCTTTATCTATTTATACCTTATGATAAAATTCCATCAACGTTAACTAGCAATGTGTACTCCCTTATCATTGCACCATAATGTACGAATATTTGTACATGTAATATTAGTAATCTTTACCCTCAAACCAAATTAAAAACGCATTATTTTCATTTCTCAGTGAAGTAATTTTTTTCGAGCAACTAATACTAATCAATTACGTAGGCACTTTCGTCATTTTCAAATTTTAGTACCTTTCTTTTGTGTACGCCATTGTCACCAATATTTTCTATGGTATTTTAAACTGACTTTAAAATCCAGAAAGCGTTATAATATTAAATGGGCTCCATCCAAAAACGTACCCCGTTTATTAGCCATTTTTTAAAAAAATTTTAATATAATACTTATATATTCTTACATAATCTGATATTGATACGTTCAACTTTCAAGTACGTTTACATTTATTGTTCACTGTTCCCTATAAAGTATAATTAATAATATGTACCTGTATACTAATAGACAACAGTATTTTGTATAAATATGTGTTAAATTTTATGTTGAAAAACGTTACCCACTCCTATCTGACACAGATAATGCTACAAGAGCGACACACGAGACTTTTAACAAGTTTTTATTTATAACCCATATAGGTAATATTGTATTAAATATAATTTAAACGTTTATCAAACCAAAAACAATGGTTTGATTGTAAAACGAAAGGTATTAAACGAAAACCGAAAATATAAATAAAAACCGAACGGGACAAAATCTAAAATAAAACATACTAATAAATAAAAACTACCTAATAATAATAATATTATTAGTGCCTATACATAACATAGCTTTAGTTCCATTACAATAGTTCTCAGACTTCTCGATTTTGTTATTCGTATTCAAAATTATTTAAAAAGTAATATTATCCGAAATGAGACATTTTACCATTCTGGTGTAAAAATTATCTGAGCGGAAAAATTTGCCTGTTACCATATGCGAAATTCTACCCCTTAAGGTAAAAATTATTAAGGGATAAAATGTTTTTATGACACGTCTGCGTAACGTTGAGATTAATACATTCAATGACCTACTGCAATATCAACAAGTTCACGATGATTTTATATTACATTGTTATAATAATATTGTATAATTCATTTCGTTAATATTTATTATTAATTCTTTAACAGCGTTTAAAAATATATTTGATAATTCCTATAAAAAAAAAAAAAAAATCTCATTTAAATTCGTAGCAATTTATTATTAATACTGATTGATTTTATAATAATTCTTTTATGACATTTGCATATTATAATGTCAATCATAATATAATATACCCTCTCATAATCGATTTTTAATTATATTATATTGCGAAATAATTTCGACTAGAGGTTTTTTTTTCCACCCTGCGTATTATAGTATAAGCTGCACATTTTGAAAAATCACATCAACATCGCCACAATACGATTAGTGTGGTGCACAGGTAAGGGGGGAGAGTCAAGGTTAACGTCTTACCTCAATTGGCTTATAATTACAAAAACTACGAGTGTTTGTTTAATAATTTAATTTTATAATTATATATTTTATCTAAATTATAACGAAAAAAGCTTGATTTATTAAACAAAAGTTGACTTTTTTAAATGTGAAATGTTCATTTTCGTTTAAGTATAACGAATGAAAATTTTACGATTTATTTGTGAATCGCGATGATTATTTACTATATCCCCTCCCGTTGAAAATTCCTGGGCACTCCGCGAAGTACAATCAGCATAATATAATAAATAATGACCCAAACTTACAGTCATAATAGTTCAACGCAAAATAATTCGTCTTCGGCCAAGAAGAAATATCGAGGGGTTTTTTTTTCTATGAATTTTGCCGGTATACGCGCGTGATGCGATACGCAAATAATTTATGATATACCATGCAACAACAAAAAAAAACCAGTTCTTTCTTTCAGGTAAAAAAAAAAAAAAATCAGTTATCATCTTTCGCTCCGATTACATCAACTACGCCACGCCGCTGTCGGCGGACCGGTATGATTTTATACACAAGTGATGCGTGACTTAAAAAATTTAATGCTGCTTACACGAACGAGCTGATTTTGAAGGATGTAGGTAAATCACAAAGCTGCATAATAGTAGGATATTTATTCGCGACTCCGTGCAATATGCGCGTGTCGTTTTCAAGGATTTTTTTATACATATATAAAAATCGCTGTAAAATCATAATTCGCCACGAATACGCGACGCCGTGGCGTGAAACATATTTGATTTATTTTTTGTTTATTGTGGTTGTTTTTTTTTTTTTTTCATTTCCTTATTTTCAATTATATTATACACACCGTCCATCATCGTTGTTTTTTTTCTTTTAGATATAACTTTAGATTCTCAATGCGTAGCGAAGAAATCTATCGGTTTTACTAAAATTTGCTGTTAGTGAAAATGCTCCGGTTTTCTTCTATTCCGCATCTTAAAAGATACGGGTTTTCCGCCTAATGGTATTTGAAACTTTTTTTAAAAAAAATCACAACAGGGCAGGTACCTTCTAAATACTTTTTTTTTAAATTTTTTTCTCATAAAACAGTTTCGTTTGGTAAAAACGACTGAAAATCATACCGTTAACGATGCAGATTTTTTGTCCGGTGATCCTTTATTTGAATATTTTTTTTTAGATTCCGACAGTTTTTCTAAAAAATAAAAATAATAACCGAACAACCAATGGCAATTTGGTTGATATCTGGATTACATTGGCTACAAGCGCAAAACACTACTAACAGTCATATAATACCTTACGTGTTATCCGAGCTCCGCTCAGAATTATTTTTTGATTGTTACGATTTACTGATAATTTCAATAAGTACCTATGTCAAAAATAAAAAAAACTCTATATGCCTATTATACAACAGTAAATTGCTTACTCATGATGCGAAATTAGTACCAGTTTTTTTGTATTATTGCTTGTATATTATGTTTAAATCGAGCCGTTTGTTACTTTTGTAAAATTCTAAACTGCAGAACGAACTGGAAGCCTCGTTATGGTAGGTATTACTGTAACTGTATTTTTTTTTTTGTAGTTTTTTTTTTTTGGCTAACGATTTCTTGCAGGGTATTAAATCGCGCTCGAAAATGTCGCGAGGTGACTTAACGGATATAATACTACGCGTAAATTATGCGGGAATGTTTCATATTTGAATCGTATAGGAGAGGTTTTTTTTTTTTAGGTCTCTTATTACATTTCAAAATGTTATTCGAACGCAAGGTTTTTTTTTTTTCCAATATTCGAAAAATGTATAAACTCGTAAACCTACATAATAATTTATCGACAAAAACTGACTAACTATAATATAATCAAATATAGAAAAACCGCGCCAAAGAATAACATTTTGTGAATAAATATCTGAGCGCGCAAATATAGTGTGACAAGAATAAAGTTTTAGATTAATTTATTACAAATTTAATTAAAACGTTATTTTGTTGTATTTTCTTTTCCTTTTATATTAAATCTGGGATTCCTGTTATTTTTTTTTTTTTTACGCTTGTTTATATAAATGCGAGAACGACATTTCATAACAATTAACTGGATATTCCAAAAGAAAAATTAGGCATTTCATTTTCTCGGACTACCGCGCGTACGCTTTTCGATAAAACGCGAAAAATCGATTTTTCATTTTTTGGATTATTATTATTATTTTTTTTTTTTCTGCAAGAATTATATAGGTTTACGTGCGTACTCTCGATTATTGACGAAATTATATAGGCATATAATAACTTATGTTGTAAAAATTGTAATCTTGTGAATAGCATTTTTATGAATGTCGAGCGTATACACTATACGCGTCTTCGGTCCTGTGGGTTTTGTTTTCGAGCGTTAACCATGTAAAACAAATAACAAGACCGGCGGGTAAACGAGGTCACCGTATAGTAATATCTGTATTTATTATGTATTGCACGCAAATCAAAACTTACAGGAATCCGCATGTTTGCAACAATACGTCTTTTGGGTTCATATATATACGAATGTAACATAAAATAGATTTTAAATAAAATTCTACTGTACTGTATCGATGGTTTAATGTATTTCATTTTATACAAAATGGTTTGGTCGTGTTATATTTTATTATGTAAACATAGTTCTTTCCACTGAACGCGTTTTGGGGGCGTATTTAGGAGGGGCGTTGGCTGCGGGCGGCATAACCTCTAAGACACGGTAGAGTTGAAGGTTTTTTTATAATAACTCTATCCCGTAGTGTACAAATGCTCGGTAGGGCTTAAAATAGTGGTTTAGAGCAACGATTTTCTATCTAGAAGTCGTAAATGATACATAAATGAGGGGTCAAAAAAACCATACATATTATGTAAACTGTATAGTATTCAAGTTCTATTTAATGCATTTTTGAAAGGGTGGTCTTACAAAAAAAAAAGTATTGAAATCGTTGCGTAAATTTAATGTAATAGTCGTTTTTATAACAATTCAACTAATTGTTTGAATAAATACATTTTTTATATTAAATATTACCTACATACTTTTATTTTTATAATAACATATTCCAAAAATGTAATATTTACCTGTAATCAAAATTTACTATTTTGTAACTATTTTGTTTTGTCAAGGGGATAGCCATTTGATGAAAAAAAATTACACGATATCAAATTGTACTATCCATTTTGTAAAAAGATATACACTTAATGAAATTTTAAAATATTTCACTAAGTAAAAATAAGTTGTTGGATGTGGCATATAAAAAGGGTGATTCACTAATTTTTAATTCTAAGTGGAGCTAAGAAGCTTATGGTTTTACAAAGATGTTTATTTTTTTTTTCTGTACACAACTTTTCTACCAGAAGACTTGTTTAAATTTTTAAGTGTAAAACCATTTCTGAAAATAAATTGATGTGGGAAGATACTTTAAGCAGATCATTTTTCAATTTTCTCAGAAGTTTTCTCATCAAGTTTGAAAAACCGAAAAAAAAATGGGAGAAAAACGGGAAAATGTACGAATATATTACTATGATATTACGATTTTTTTTTCTATGCACATCTTTTCAACCAGCAATTTTACTCCAAGTTATAATAATAGCAATGATTCTAAAAGGAAATTTCACTAGAGAGGTACTTTAGAGATGTCATTTTTCGATTTCCTCGGGATTTTTCTCATCAAATTTGAAAAACCGAAGAAAAACGAAAAACTGTAAAAAATTTAGGTATCAGCTAAAAAGATTATGGCCTTCTTTATTCCTGTGAACAACTTTTCTACCAGCAATTTTACCGAGAAACAGAAAAAACATAGATTAACCGAGAAAAACGTAGGGAAACCGGGGAAATCGATACAGCATTAAACAAATATTATTAAAGAAAATATATTGAACCTATTTAATTATTTTACTATAATACCACATTTATATTGTTGATAAAACATCACTATCAATTGAACTCCACTCAAAATCATTTTTTCATAAGCAATTGTTTATCGTTGCTTACAGGTATACATTAAATCATCTTTAACAATGACTACACCCGTCCCTATTATCCTAGGACGTCTTTTTTCGGTTAAATTTTGCATATATTCAAATTCAGATTTTTGCCAATTTTAAATGTAGTTAAAGCCGATATTTCCGAATACTTAGATTTTTCACAACATTTAAGGAGTATCCTGTGGCGAGACCAACTTTGATCTTTTAAATGAAAACCTATATTAAAAATTCCATAAATATATGGAGTATTACTTTAAATACATTTTTGTGTAAAAATGTTTGATTTCCGTCAACCTCGTTAACGAGGTATTCTTCTTTAAAGTTTAAGTAAGGGGAGAGTAGTAGAGTATCATTTGTGTGGCGGTATGGCGCGCAGCGTTTTATTAGTGCTCCCACTACTCTCCCCCTAACTAAACTTAAATGTGAAATATCTCGTCAACGCCTCAATGGGTTAAGGGAAATAAAAATTCGGAATTTGAATATATACAAAATTTAACTAAAAAAAATGTGGTGACACGCTCAATGAATCCTCCTGTATACATAATATATTTAGTTGAACCCAATAATTTATACTCGCGTGCAATCCGGCATTTTTTTACCATAAAATTTTCGAATTATACGAGTACACATTTCAATAGCCCCCATGACCCTTTTTAAATTTTTAAGTTTTCCAACACAGCTGTATGCACCATTATTTAGTCCCTATTTCTTATTTGAATTTACAGTTTGACGTGTTTCGCAGTTATTTTATTTGGCTTTCGCTCTATCGTTATGAAGTTTAAAAAGTAAATTCGCAAGTCTAAAATGGTTTACTATATACGTACGTCGCGCACTTATTCGTTTTTTGGTGAGCCATCACGGAAATCCCATTCGTCGGATAGCATTTATTCGAATGACGTGTTTACGGGCTTAGGGGTGAATTTTCCGCGTTAAATAAAATGGTAATATTATATCGATAAAATATATCAAACGTGTGTTTAAATTGTTCGTGTATAATATATATATATAAATACATATATTTATATATGCGTCTCGCAGTGATTTGTGTCCGCTCGAAACGTTTTCAAGTCTAATAAAATAATATATATATATATATGTATGTACGAGTATAGGTGCAGTCGCTATTCGTCTTTTTTGATTTGATTTTTAGTATATGTTACACATAAAAGACGACATTCTGCACCGGTGCCATTTAGCCATTCACCAATTCGTTATTATGATTTCCAAACTGCTGGCGTTTCGTAAAACGATTCCGAGTATATAGAATCGAAAAGCCTGTAAGAATTTCCTATAAATACGTACACGCTAATCCGTAATTATATTTACGATTTTCGTCAAATTTGATTTTAAAACTTTTATAAAAAAAAAAAAGAAAATAATACATTGCACTCAAATTTTTTATCTCTAAGTATGACTCATAATAAATCTCTTGTACAATTTTCTAACATTTCTATTAAGTCTAACAATTTTATCTACAGAGTATCTACTAAATAAAAATTAACAAAATTAAAATGACTATAAATGGCTTTAAAGTGTCAGAAATGTTTTGAAATTTACCACGTCTAGAAAAAGCAAATATAAGTTTTCTGTCAAATGTTCAAGTTTCTATGAATATACTGAATTACAAAAAAAACTATTTAAAATAATAATAAAGTTATTTTTGTTAATCTAATAATCCGTAGATTTTTTCTATGTATTTTTCGGTTTGGCTCAATTATTTGATAATTTATCTTAAAAACCTCTTGGAAAATTTTAAAATTTACTTTTGTAATGCTAGACAACTAGACAATAAGATATTATTTTTTAAAAGCGGAACACATTTTCAGGTAGAAAAGTTATTTAAAGACATAATTAAAAAGCGTTTATTATAGTATATAACAAAAACATTTCTCACTGAGCTCAGAATCTAAAAAATGTATTTCTTTTATAGGTAATTTATAAATAAGTATACTTTGATAAGTAGTCTGATTTTAATAGTGTAGGGTGACCATTATTTTACTGCATGACGATTCCCCAACGATTCTGAGTATGAAAAAATATTATAATAATAGTAAAGTTTGGGTGCTATAACTGTGAATCTCTTCCCACGCCCCAAGGGGGTTAAAGTTTTATAAAAAGTTTTGTTTTTGCTGTCTTAAATAATTTTGAAGTTATGCAAAATTGTATATAAACCATTACGTATAATATTATAATATTAATAAAAAAATAACAAAAATAAAGTATTTTTTTTTAATCCACTTTTAATATTATATAATAATTCTGAAATAATGTCAAATATTCATCTATTTAAAATACACGAACAAAATTACTGCGGAAATATTTCAGAATTCTGAAATAACAGTGGGATATTTTATAGAAGACACCGATTTCTATGTAAATTGTGCAGACGATTTATTTTCTATTAGATATTTTTAACACAGCCAAAAAATAAACAACTCATACTGCTGATGGTTGTGCCACTGTTGTAGAAAGGATACATAGAGTTGTTATAAAAACAACTACTAAATTACACTCTAAATTACTAAAATACACTGTAACTTTTTATTTTTTTGTCACTAAGTACAATTTATGATGAATCTTGGGTAATATTTCTATTAGTTTTTGCTGGGCTAAAACAATTAGTTTCATAAAAAAACTAAAATCTAAAAATCAAACAACTGTAGATATCAACAAAATTGCCAGGATATTTTTAAAATTTTACCACGTTTAGAAAAAGCTAATATCACTAATCTGTGAAAATCTTTGGTCTTTCCGATCGTTGCTAATCGAATTACAACAAAAAGACAAAATCGAAAATAATGACACCGTTATCACAATAAATATGTCTATTGTCAGTGTTTCCTTTTCATTTTTTTCCAGTTTTTCCCAAATATTAAAAATCATCAGGAAAAATCAAATAACGTTCCAATTACACCAACTAGATAAAATTTCCTTTCGGGAAGGGGGTTATAGTTAAAAATCGGAGTAAGATTTTTGGTAAAAAAGTTATTCACAAATACAAAAAAATGTATACATCATCGCTTCGCTCAGAATCTAAAAAATAAAAGCTTTTACTACTGGCGAGTGTGCCATTGGTGTACGGATGAGAAGTTAACATAATGTATATCATTACTTTGTATTTATATTCTTATTTGTATTATGTTATTTTTTAAAAAATCGATTGCTATTAGTTCAAATAAAATAAAATTACTGTCAATTTGAGAATATAATTTCGAAACTCTCTTCATAAATAATTTAAAAAATTCAAAATTCGGATTAATTATAGATTATTTTGCTATAATTTTATCGCCCTTGTTTTTTGCATATTCTGCGATATTATTATATTCTATTTTAATTCTGTGCACTTTTTTTTTTATTATTCGTGTAAAATGTGTCAAACGTTTTAAATATTAATTTTTTAAAATGGATTTTATACGATAACGAAATTAACCGTCAATAATTTATTGTAAAACCGTCAATTCTGCAGAATAAACAGTTTTATTTTTTTCGGTTTTCGTCAGTTTTCACTCGCGATCAAATTAATTGTTCATGTGTACAAATAAAATTCTACACCAACACAGTGAAACTCAAATTCAAGTGTAAATAAATAAAACGGTTATCTTTATCGATAATTCACAAAATCGTGAAAACCCGTTTATTATTATTTTTAATTCAAAGTACGGTTTTAATTGTAAAGACTTAACGTTAAAACGTTAATAAACGTATTACCGCAAACTATTCAAAAACCAGCTTGTGGACATTATAATATAGATATTTATGTAAGTATATATATATATATTATGTTTAATAATAAACATTAAAAGTTTGAAATATCTTAGACGAAAAAATAAATTAATTTCATTGTTAAACTTTGCGATAACATCGTATTTTGTAGATAAACTTTTGAAATGTAAAATAATTTAAATACGATATAAATTACCTACATACCCGGTGCAGTTTAAACATTTCAAGTCATAATACCGAAAACAGAAAGTTTCATCGAGATAAATCTAAAAAATAATATTATTGTCGTGATATTAAAAAAACGTCAACGCTATTAAAACCATGAATTTTCATAAAAATACCTAGGCAATAATAAATTGCTAGTCGTTATTTCCAAAATATAACACAGCGAATTATATTATATTATTAGCTTTTGTATTCTATATTTCTCAAGTTTTCCGTTTAAATTCACGAACGTTATGAAATAGTAAAAAAAATTATTCTGAAAAATGTATTCATGTAATTAATATTAGTAAAAAACAAGAAATTTTATCCATACTATAAATTTCAACATGCAATTATTATTATAATCTGTAATGTAATATTTTTAGGTATTCAAAATTTAAAAAAATTAGAATTACACAATAGGTTTAAAAATAAACTGATTGATGTCTCAGGATACGTTCAATAATTGTAAAGTACGTTAATTTTTTAAATCTCGTAGTCCCTCTTCATCTGTTTTTTTCCAAACCCTGACCATTACTGCTGAGACACCCACATCTAAACTGTATGAGCGCAAGCCAGTAAAATATTAAAATAATAAATTATTATATCAAAATGTATCGAAAAAAAATACAACGATTAATCAATATTGCAGTAGTGTTTAATAAAACGACTTTGACCGAACACTGGTAGGAATTATGTATTATTTGTACAAGGAATCGATTTATAGTTTTTAGTTACATTGCACAGTGATATGTATAATATATACCTGCCTATTTTTTTTTTATTATTTTTTTTTTTTTACTGATAGTTTTATACAGTTCCAAACATTGTCGTAGCTAATGCAGATAGATTTCGTATTTTTCGTAATCTAACTCTATAATTTTTTCTGTTGATATACTGTTCATAACAGTTCGAAAAAAAGTCTGGTTTTTAAAAATATATCCCTTCACGTGTAGACGTAGAATTGAAGTTTAATGCGTGTCATACCTTAGCCCGGGGAAGGGAAAAGGAGGCTCACGTCAGGTTACCGAATTGACGGACATTTTGTCTGTATGGATAGGTAATACAGAAGAGGTTGATTACAGTGCAGTAGCATTAAATGCCATAAAAAGAGCTTTGCAGAGGAAAAAAGATTTACCTATACATCAAAAGCACTCGCATATACCGTGTATTGTAAATCCCTCACTACGAAAATATGAACTTTTTTTGTTCGATTATAAACAATAATCGGTAAACCGGATTAATACAGTACCTATAGGTATTAACTAAAATATACATAATATATTCAACTAAATATGTTTACTTTCAATGTATATGTATTTTTGCGATCTGCCTGTTTTTTTTCTTCTTTAGAGGTTAATAATTAAAATTTAATATTTTATTAAAAAACAATACATGAATCACCTATAGATATAACCTAAAAGGTTTGTTTGAATTTACGATGGGAAATTACGAATATTTTAGTGATTATGACTCGACTGTCGGATGACGGGACGGATACGAGACAACTCCGTTAAATCGCTTAAATTATTTAATATTGGGTCTATTTTAATAAATTTAAAAAAGGAAACTATACTGCAAGTCCCCTCACTGTACTCTCCCGAACCCTATCTCATGGGTTACCACAATCCTGTCCAGGGTCCTGTTTCTCTGAACTCAACCGTCACTCGCAGAGTCCTATACAAACTATTTCGATCGTTTTAATAAATAATAATAATAAGGTTAAAGTTGTACGAGTACACATCATTATTTATACAATACAACGATGTTTTTTTTCTCGCAGGAAACAAGTTTTTCAAGGACTTTTAGATTATTTCGTACACTGGGACTGCGGCATATTGTCGTCATCAACAACACTAACGAGGTATGATGATGAAATATATTAAATATGTAAACTCGCTTATTTGAATAGGTACTATTAAATTTACGTTAAATAGGTAGGTACCTAATTAATTTGTAGACAAAAATTTACAATGTTTTTGACTATTTTTAATTATAGTGCATCAACATCGTTTTTATTTAATATCCGTTCCAACTGCATATTATCTATTTTCATGTACGGTTTCATTTATGATTTATATTATTTAAAGATAACTGTTATAGATAAGAGTTGAATAATATTTAAGATACTGGTCACGGCTTTACTAAAAGTACCAATATGTATACGGTCTGCAGACTAAATAATATAGCGTTAGTTTCGGTTGTCGACATATTATTATTATGTTAAATTCAAGACCGTCGCAGTTCTTCTATTTTTAAGGAAAATATCCTCTTGTGCAGTATTTATTTTTTTAAATTTTATTCCTTTAATTTACTAGTGTCATTAAAAAAAGTAATAATAATAATAAACCTCAGTTATACACAATTACATATCCTGTACAGATCCCGAGGTATTATTATTAAATTGTCCATCGTTGCTATCTTAAATAATAATTTCCAGTATACGTACATATTCGTACGAATAACTATCATATTTTATGTACAACAAATATGGTAAAAATACAAATTTGAGATCAGCGATATCGATCAATAGCGTCCGTGCGTGATTCGTATTACCTTGATTTCCGCGAGTAAATATAAAATGTCGTCATATCCAAAAACAACGACAAGGATTACGCTAAGTAACAAAAAAATTAATAGATGGCCAAGTCGCCAAGGGTGAAACGTTTAAAACGTACACATTATGATAAATAAGGACAAACCGACGCACATTTTACTGAAATATATTTATATCGAGTCCCAGGCGTGTTTACAGAAATAATTTACATTTTATAATAATTCAACACCCTATATATATATATATATTGTTTTGGTCTGTGGAACTCAAAACTAGACTACTGGGTCACATCATCAATTCTTCTGACACATATTTTTTGTTACTTTGTGTATTCTGCACGTGTGCACCACGGTATACTTTTTTTAAAAAAAAATAGGAACACCCTACATTTTCCATATATCATATTTGGACCGATCAAAATTTCGCAAAACATTTGGATGTATCAACTCGAATTCTACTTGTACTTGTATATTCAAAATTGACTGAATGAGAGCCGTTTGAATTCCAATATACATAATATATAGGGCATATAAGTACTAAAAAACTATATAATAAAAACTATAAAAAACTATAATACTTTTTCAGTTTATAATTTTTTTTTTTTAATTTCAATACACAAAAACATTGTATAATAATGTATTAATAATTGCAATTGAAACGACTCTCATTTAGTCAATTTTAGATTTATAAGTTTATATATTACAATGGCTAAAAGAATTCGACCAATTTAAACATGAAAAATCAAAAACATCAAGAGTTCCCATTAAAAAAAAAATAAAACAATTTTTTTAAATTATAAAACCAAAAATTATGTATGTAACAGTGTTGCCCTTTGGGTTTTAAATTCCGGGATATTATAAGGCTTAAAATGATGTTTTTCTTATAAAACTAAAAATCTGTAAAATAAAATTCGTCGAGTACATCCATAAACCTTGTTATAATTTTATTATAACATATTGTATTATGTATTTTATAAAATAATAATTTTCACAAAATATCGAAATATATTAAAATCAATGAGTAACATGTAAAATTCGCAGTGGGTTTTGGGTGTTTCCCATTTATTGGCTCCCATTGATAAATACTGGCTATGCCTCTGGAAACTGCAATAATCAATAGATAAAGTACCAAACGAAGGAGGACCTCGTGTACAATATTATAGCAATATAATCGCAGTAGGTATAATCCGTATGGTTCAAAGGACTTTCATCACAGACGGCCGTATACAAAAATAAGTTTAATGTTTGCAGCGTAATATATTATCAAAAGCCGAGAATCAAAAGGCCGCGGGTTTATATTATTATAACATTATTAATATACACATATAATACTACCACTATTATTATTATTATATAATGTTATTTGTCAAAACTTCCTAGTGTAGAGTTTAACATCATTGCAGCAGTGTAAGCGACTTGTTTAATAACACGCCAAATATTATTATACACGTGTACCTATATACAAATACAACACACAATACCATTTTAAAAACGAGACGAGGAGAAAACTTTAATTATTATTACAACTATCGTATATGTACAACTTTCTCGTACTTGAAACACGCATCACTATAATATAATAGTACAGAGAGAATAATATATTAAATTGTACAAACAGTACTAAATAAATACAGATACGTTCAGTTCTGTGTCAGAACGTTCGATGATTTGCACTATTATAATATTATACCCACAATAAATCAATAAACAAACATCTACAGGCTTTCGGTAAACAGTATTCAACTCGGAAATCGTCATAATATTATTATGTAATAAACGGACAATATCGATACCGGTGGGACAATATTACCGTACAGCAAAGACTGAGAGGAGTCGATTATAATAATATCAGGTACGATTTTTATTCGACTGCAGTTTTGTCGGCCGACGCCATTAGGTCGACGTAGTATAAATAGGTACATGACTTAAGTAAGTGATATTATGTGAATGTGACATCTGAAAAGCAAAACCTTTCTCGATTTCTAGGTCTTAAAATTTTTCAAAAAGTGATTAATCGGCTAATTTTGCCGACTAATCACTCCGTTGGTCCGTTTGAAACTAATGATCGTTGGAAAATTAACAATTTAAATAAACATAAATTATAATAATTAATATTATACTTTAAAAACAAATTAATTAAAGAAAAATGTATTTAACATAAAATTCTCGTTGTACAATTTTGTTTTTTTTTTTGTTTTAAGAAAATGCACAATCTTATTAGCACAATAATTAAACATGATCATACACATATTATTTCATTTAATTTCGTACGAGGAGCGAAACCAATTCAATAAAAGAACTCAACATGAGTATTTATTTATGATATGCTTTTATTGCAATAAGTATTTACACTATTATTGCAACATCAAGCGATGAATTGGATTGCCAGGGAGAAAATTACCCGAGTGCTAAGAAATTAGATTTTAATTTTTAAAGTATATGCACGAATTTGTTGAAAAATCATGTATAAGTAATTTTTCCATAGTCCCAAAGACGAATGGCTTTCGACAATTTTGTTTTGTTTTAAATACACATGCGAATTCAATTTTTAAAATGCGCATACTTTTTTTACAGAAACTGATAAATAAAGAGGAAAAAATTACATTAGGCAAAATTATTAAAAAAATATGCCAACAATTCACTTAAGCTATTCTTCTATAGAATCGAAGATTTAGAAATTTATTTTCAGTTTTTAAGATCTCCAAAAGTAATATGTTATTTTTAAAATTACGTAATATAATTCTGTATTATATTAATATTTTCGAAAAAATTATGAAATTGAATTATACAGATGGTAAGTGCAGGAGTTGAATATTAAAACCCCTGAAATACTCGGCTTTGATATTAACTCCATTTCCATGCACAATATTTCATCCCTTTAGCTTAATTTGGAAGGTCTGTATACTGCTATACAAAGCTAAAAACCACCCTCCTCCCGCAACAATATGGCTAAATTCATATTGAAATTCAACCAAACTTTTATCACTTCAATCCGCTTATAAAACAATTCGTATTCCCAAGTTTGAGCTCATTTGACCCAGAGAGAGCCGCTAAAAATGGCTAATAGTAGCAGAAAAATAATTATATATTTAACAGGCATCATATTGTGTCTGTTAAGTATGTGCATACGTATATTCCCTAGAAAATTCCACAAAAATAACGCTTAAAGAATCTGAAACCATATTATGATGTTTCAAAATCCTAATTTCACAGTTCAGAAAATCAGGATTCTCGAACTTTGACAAATCAAATTTTTTTCTCCATCGTTATATAGTTTACAATACTCATATAAGCTTATAATGCCTACTATACAACATTATTATATTATTGTGTACCTACTATATAATAGTCGTAATAATATCATGGAAAGGATTACATTATTAAAATAATGAAAAACTATCGTCAAATCGTAAAATATATACCTATGAATTTTGCTTGTTTTTTTTTTTTTTTTAACACTTGGCAATTATTTTACGATATCGTTACACGATATAATGCAGAAAGATAATAAACAATTGCGTTTGACATGGTAAAAACGATTGGTTTTTGGTTTTTTTTTTTTTTTTTTTTTTTATTGTCTGTAAAAACGTGTCCGATGTAACTTTTGTAATAAAATACCAAATTGTAAAATAATTAAATATAAATACTTGGCAAAAAATAAAAATAAATCTTCGCAATCACACTTGACTAGGTACGAAACCGGCCATCACGAAGCGAAGGGAAAAACGCATCGAATTTCAGAAACAAATCTCGACGAAATTATATTAATTTAAATACCTGTCGGATGCACAGTAAAAATAAAAAAATTAAAAAAACTGCAATTACTTGGGAAAAAAAACTTAGATATAAAAAAAATGTATACCTACTTCGTGAAAATCCAGCGAGACCACGCTGTGACTAAATAATAATTAATCTTCGTATTATATAATATTGTACCTACCTACTGGTATACTACTGTTTTAATAAACGACTAAGAAAATAAAACAAATAAAAAATCCGCCCGAGGTACGGCGGTAAGTGACGACAAATTAAATGGCGACCATAGTTTTAAATCACGTAAAAACGAAAAATAAACGACATTTAACTCTATTTAAATCTATTTATTATCATACGTAGTTGAATAGTAAACGTAACGAATTGAATTGACGACAGAAACACGCCGCTGCCATATCGCGCAGGTATAACCCGAAAACGTATTTCATAGTGGTTTTTTAATTTTTATCATTTCAAAACTTTTAGAGAATTTATCTAATTTGTTATTATTAATTTTTTTTTTTGTACTTGAAGGTAGTTGGCGTCATTACCCGAAAGGACCTCGCGAAATTTCGTCTCTGGAGAAAAGCTACCACGATGGGATTGAAAGAACTGAATGTTTATTAAAACTATGACACTATTTTGTTAGGTATAGATACAGGCATATATTGTTTAGGTATAGTTGCAAAATATCAAATATTTATAATTCTTTAGTCTTAATTTCGAAAAAAAAAATTATCTTTTCAAATATTACTTACTACTTGCATGGTTTTTATTAAATTATACACATCAAATAAATTAAATTTGTTTTGTAAATTTTATTGGTCTAAAATAAATTTGATGTGTCTAAGAGTAAGAAGAAGTAAGGGAGTAAAGAGTGGAGTAAGAATAAGAAACAGCCCAAATATATATTATGTTATTACCGGATTATTATAATATAAAATATAAATTTCAGGGATTTTTGGGAATAAGTCCTCCTACATCCTAGTTTTCCAACCTCAAAAAAAAAGGCGGACATACGGGGTGTGGTAATTAAATAATGAAAATTTTAAATTTGAAAACGTTTATTTGATATTTATAATGGTTTAAGCACCCATGCCTTCACAGTACTCTCCTCCGAGTCTAACGCACTTGGTCCAGCATTCTCTCCATTTCTGGAAGCACCCCTGGAAGTCTCCTGAAGTTAGGTTCTTCAACACTGACGTTATAAACCGTTTAATGTCTTCCAAATCCTTATACCGATGTCCTTTCATTGGTTCTTTCTTTGGAAACAGCCAGAAGTCCAGTGGAGCCAGATCAGGGCTGTAGGGGGGTGGGGGAGCGTTGTTATGTTCCTACTGGTCAAAAACTGTGTAACTTTTAATGATGTGTGAGCAGGCACATTGTCATGAAGAAGGATCCAACCATTTTTTTCTAATTCCGGCCTCACACGAGACACTCTTTTACACAATCGACTTAGAACTTCAATATAAAATACCGAAGTCACCGTTTGTCCTTGAGAAAGAAATTCTCGGTGCACAATACCCGTTTTATCGAAGAAACAGATGAGCATTGTCTTGATTTGGTTTCTTGCCATCCGGCTTTCGTGGGACACTCTCCTCCGTCTTCAACCCATTGTTTGCTCTGTCGACGAGTCTCAGGATCATATTGATACACCCAGCTTTCATCTGTCGTGATAATCGAATTCATCCAGTCATGCCCTTCACTCTGAATTCGTTCATGAAAATCTGCGCAAATCGATCGTCGCAATTATTTTTGTTCCACCGTCAGAACTTTCGGAACAAGCTTTGCACAGAGCTGACGCATCAATAAATCATTGTGCAACATCTGGCAAATGGTTTCTTTATTAATACCGAGCTCATTTGACATCATTTGAATTGTGAGGCGTCGATCTGTGCGCACCAAAACTCTCAAACGTTCGACATTTTGCCTAGTGTACACGACTTTAGGGGCACCTGACCTTGCATCATCTTGCGTTGTTTCTCGGTCTGATGCAAAACGTGTGACCCATTCGTACACACGTGGATTTGACAAGCAGTCATTACCGAACACACGTTGCAATTTCCGAAAAATTTCGGCCGGTTTTTCGCCAGATTTCACCAAAAACTTGATGACAATTCGTTGTTCGTTTTTTACTTCACACATTTTTGTACGTAACGACACAACACTACTAACTTGAAAAAATCACAGAGCACAAAATATAACACCGATCACTATCAAACTTGGTAGAGTTGTGTATAATCTCCTGAACTTTATGTCAACAAATTTTCAAGATATCAGTATTAACATTATAGAAGCTAGAAACTAATTCTAGTTATTTAATTGCCATACCTCGCACTTCGTATCACAAATATATAACACTATTGTAAGAGTGAAATTAAGAAAATAATATTTATTCTGAGGAATTTTAGTTTATTTATAAACAAACAACGATTGTAAGTAAATTTTAGTTAGATAGTTTTTGATAGTTTCCCTTTTTGAACACCTATTGTACTTCATATTATTTGTAACAACGGAATAACTAGTTACAATGGTTCGTGTTTTTAACGAATTTTAACAGAACTTAAAAAGCCGATAAAAATAAATTAGACAATTTTTATTTACATAAAAAACCAAAAAAAAAAATCGAAAATTTAACATAAGTTATTAATAACTAAAAAAATGCCCAAGAATATTTTGAAAAATAAAATGCGTCTATATAAGTAAGTATTCATTGGAAATATTTCATGCCACTACAATTATTTTTTACTAAATTACAACAGAAAAATAAAAACAAAACTAACAGGAACCGTACTTTGTATTAATACTCTCATTCCTCCGACTTTTTCTCCGCTCTTCCCAATAACTTCGAAAACTAAGAAGAATAAAACACAATTCTACTCCCCAATGCTCCTTTTAGACAAAATTTATTAGCAGAAACCACCCCTGGAAAACCTCAGGTTTATGCTGTATAGTTTTTAAAAATAAAAATAATTATACATTTTTTTAAAACAAAATTAATACATAACAGAAAAATAACAAAAATTGATTTTCACAATAAAAAAAATAAATAAAAAACAATTATTATTATGTGTATAGTTCTGTGCAGTAGCGCACAAGGTAATATTCAAAGTACACGCAATTAACAAAAGTATACTCACCCACTCATTTGTGTGAAAATTTAAAAAAAAATCGTCTCACTACGTTCCGATACTCCAATACTATACTCAAGAAGACATTAACATTCTCTTCAAAACTGTTTTATAAAATAATTTCTGTATTGAAACATATGTTTGTTAAAGATCGATATAAATTTGAACTGCAATAATAATCGCTAACTTAAAATAATAATAATGACGTCTCGAGAGCACATCATACAGTTGCATTATCTGGTAACATGTCTGAACGCCATTAGTTTTGTATCTTATTATATTATACATACTTTAAAACAACACTGCTAAGGTAGACTACAAATACACTCGTATAATTTATGTACGCATTATAGATTATCGTCGTATATTTTAAAAACAACTGCAGTAATATCGTTGCATCGTGCAGTGGTTGGAAATCGAGTACAAAACAAATGCAAACATTTTCGTCTCGGACGGACAATCCGCAAGATACGTTAAGACCGCAGGTTTTCTATAGTTTTTCGACCGCTGCTAAGAGTGAAATATAGGTGTAAAAAAAAAAACCCACTGAAATATAATAGTACCGCATACACGCGTGTTCAATTTCTATCTGTATATAGACATTATATAGCTACACGAAACTTTTGGATAACTTTTATATACTGAAACAAAAGTGTTTTAGAAAGAAAAAAAAACAACAAAAGCCAATCCGCTCTCTACTACGAATCTAATAATATATTTACCGTGCAATGAAAATCAAAAATTCGAAGCCACATAAAGATAGCGGGAAAATTTTACGGGAACTTCGTACATATATAAGGACGCAGTCAAATGTAAGCAAATTATTATTACCTATAGTATACAGCAGTCGGAATTCGATATGTTAACGCACGAGAGTACGCAATTAAAGTACTTTACAAAATACTTTGTATCTAATTTCGACTATAATTTGTATAACAGCGATTTGTTTTCATGAAATTATGTTTATATTATGTCTTCGACATGTTTTATATCGTTCTTAATCTCCGTGTACAGTAACAGTGACTTGAAAAACGTAAAAAGCAGAACAAGAAAGTTCCGAACAATTTACACAAAAACGTGTACACCCTGTTGCAAATACACTAGGTGCCTAAATATAGTACACATTTCGTATAGCGAAGACGTATCTTAAGATAAGATGTAACGATCGTCACAAAGTTACTGAAATTACTAACTTGCAATTCGGGGCTTGCGCTAACGTGCAATTCTACAACGAAATGTGCAATTCTACGTGGAATATTATTTTTAGTTAATAGTTTTCATACAATATTATGATTTGAGCCTTTTTTTTCCCCTATTAACTGCAAGAAATAATTTTAAAAATAAAATAGACAGAGTTCGCACGATGAGTGGGCCACTATTGTAGGTAAAAAGTATAATATAGAGAGAAATTTAATTTATATCTGTACGCAATGATAAACTATTTCTAATGAAAAACGATTCAGAGCGAAATTCAAGTTATACATTTTTTTTCGGTTTTAATAAATTATTAAAAAAACTACAAAGAAAATTAAAAACGATTTTATTATTCACCAACACGATAAAAAATTCAACGAAAAAAGTCTCTTGAGCAATATTTTTGGTAGAAAACATAAGTTATAAATATGTAAAATCATAAAATCGTTACTCCATAAATATTTGTCCGTTTAAACCTATGTTTTTTGTATGTTTTTTTTCCAATTATTATGAAAATCACTTAGAAAATCAAAAAATAATCTTCTTAAAGTACCAACTATATAAAATTTCCTTTCAGAAAAGGTGTTATACTTAATATATCGTAACAAGATTTCAATAATAGGCATTTTGTTTACAGTATAAAAAATTAATAAATTACCATTTCTGTAAAATAAAATACATTCCTCGCTATGCTCCAAATCTAAAAGTATTTTAGAGTGGTGCTAATTGCCAAAAAAACAATCATTAAATCGATTGAAAAGAAAATGTCAACCTCTCTCCCTTATCAAACTTTTTTCCTAGTAGAGGCCTTGAAACAGGATAATATGTAGCTGTACAATTGTCTTAAAGTAAGAATTGTAGTAACTTCACTAGTTACTACAACTAAAACGAGTAGCATACTGAAGTACTTCACTTAATATTATGGTAATACGTAATATTTTACATAAAACAAATATAATATTTTTAAAATTGACTAACTAGTTATATAATTTTCTTTTAAGTAACTTTATGAATAAGAACTTAACGAGTTAATATTTTTATCTTGTTTAGTAACTAGTAACTTATAAAAGTTGTTAAATCAAGGTATAATGTAACTGTATAAATTAATTCAATCACTATAATTGATTAACTCGCTTATCATAGATAGGTATTTGAATTTTTCGATTTGATATAATTTTTGATTATATTACAAGTAATATTATTACCTATATAATAAAATATCAACCAATAAATTTAAGAGGTTGAGTATAAGTAATCTTAACGACATTTGTTAAGAAAGTGAAAATTAAAATTTGTCCACTCAAAATCTAACTACAATCGCAGGTCAATAGTCACGTGATTTTAAAATAAATTTATGTATACATTTTTTTTAATCTATTTTTATTCCAATTGATATTATATTATTTGAAAAACGAATACGATAACTTTTCTTTTAAAATATAAAATAAAGTCCATTATATATTATATTAATGTGTTTATTATAATTATTTCAATAGTAATTTTGTGTGCCTTTCATTCAGAAAATTATCGATGACACGTTCAAAATCCAAAGCCGTTCGACGTGATCCAAAATGACATCAGTGTACACGTAAATATTATAATGCTTACAGTACTTGATCACTCTAAATATTAATTTAATACAAATTCGGATGAACATTGCAAAACAATATTGCATCAGGGGATTGTCAAATTTACTAACGATAAATAATGATGTTTGTTATACCTAGATAATAATATTCTACATACTGGAAATATCTCCTACCGAATGTTTTTAAAAAATCGTTCGTCATCCACCGTTGTGTATATTACTCGTGATGATATAGTATAATTTCATATCGTATTATTTTTTTCTTGTTTATATGCGAAAATAAACGCATGTAGTTTCAAAAATATAATAATAATGAAATACCTCCCCCCCCCCGAAAGTCGTTTTATCCACGTGCCATGTTAAATGGGGACGGGGAACGGAGACGGAAAGCCAAAAGATTTGTAGGTATAATAGAAGTCGAGAAAAACAGAAAAGCAAAAAAAAAAAACATAAATTGTCGACTGATTTGTTTTTTTCCCCAGATTATATTATATAGCTCTACTCGTTTTATAACAAAATGTATGCCTACACTTTTTTTTACCCACGTAGATTTTGCACTCTGGTGTAAATTCAACATAACCTATATTTACACTAGTAGCGGACCTAACACTGGGAAACTGGGGCATGACCGACCAGGCCCAGCCACGTGGGCTCCCTTAACGAAAATGTTAGGCTAAACATTAGATTCAAAAAGTAAACAAATATAATAAATTATAGTTATACACAACGCACCATATAATTAGAAGTTATTATACAATACAGAATGAATAGCATATTATTGTTATAGTAATGAGCTAAAAATACCAAAACTGATAATTCTCCTTGTCAACCCACATAGATTTTATCTTATCTTTTGTCTTTTATCTTTATCGTCAAATTGCTTAATAATTGCCATTTATATTTTTTCATTGAGTGGTTACGACAGATCATTATAGAAGTTTGAAAAAGATCACTTATTTATAATTACAAAATATATGTATTATTAACTAAAATAGTATTTAATATTAATTATCCCCAGTCCGATTTTTCTAAAAGGAGGACATTTTTCAATTTTCCTAGGAAAATTTTAAAAAAAACAGGAAAACGGAAAAATTTACGAAATATAAATACTAGTAGATAAAAATATTACAGCCCTTTTTTTTGTGAACAACTTTTCTACTAGCAATTTTGATCCAACTTACAATAATAGCACTTTTTCTAAAAGGAAATCTGACTGGGGAAGTACTTTAAAGAGGTAATTTTTTAATTTTCTCGTGAGACTTTTCTCAACAAATGTAAAAAAACCGAAAAAAACGGAGAAAAAACGAGGCCGTAAAATACCGGAAATGATAAATTGTCACCATTATTATCGATTTTTCTCCACCTTGCCGAATTAAATTGACTACGTCTAGAGCCTCGGCCACGCAGAGCCTCCTTCGACTTACCGGTCCATCTGCTGCTTGCATTACAATTTCCGAGACCTTTGTAATAGTGTCGAACCTTCCTGAACCCATACTGCCGTTCACTCAGGCCACCAACACTTTCTAGATGTGCCTCTAGTCGTCTCTTAATGATGCGCTCGAATAGCTTTCCTACTGTGTTGAAGAGACAAATGGGTCGATACGATGATGACTGCTCTATGGATTTGCCTCGTTTTCGGAGCAGTACTAACTTCGCCATCTTCCACATCGTAGGGAAATATCCAAGGTTAAAACCGGTGCAGCACGTTCGGGCACTTTTACCTGTTCCATATTCAAAATCCATAAAACGTTTGGGCATTCAATATCCCTAAAAACATAGCGCGTTTGGACATTTAAATGAAAAAATGATATACCTTTGTTAAAGAAATATATACAATTATATACATGCATATATTATATTATACAAGTATAAACATATAAATACAAATTTAGTGTCAAATCAAATATGTATAATCCAAAATAATACACATACCAAGTTATATAAAATACGTGAGTACCTATATACTCGTGTTAAATGCAGGGTTATTATGATTGGTGGTATTATTATTGTTCATAAATATTATTAAAATGCTCATTACTACTCGTATTCATTACTATTAAGATAATTATTATTATTTTAATTATTGTAACCTATTATTATTGTTAATATGACTAAGTACGTTTATTATTTGTTTAAATGCTGATTATTATGATTTGGTGATAATTTTTTGTATAATAATTAAATTTAAAAAAACTTGACATACTCTGCATGTGGGTACAGCCACTGCTGTAGGTATGAAGTTGAATAGGTAGGATACAGACGGGAATTTCATGTACATCAGTAAGCAACGGTAGACCATTGCTAACGAAAAGACGATTCTGAGCAGTGAGCGGAGATAGTGGATAGTGTTGCTTTGTCAACAATATGTATACGGTGAAATGATTACAACAATGTGCATTTCCATAACAACAATGATTGTTTAGAAAAGATATATAAAATAATAAAAACTTATTAATAACAAAAAATAAAACTGTTGCCAATGACAACCGATTTTTAATCTTTTTAAAAATTTGATATTAAAATTCTTACAAAAAAAATATTTATATTACTTTCAAATTTTTCTTGTTGACCACTAAGTACAACTTATAATGAACCTCCTGTTATTACAAAACAAAAAAATCAAAATTTAAAATTATAAAAGCATTATTATCGTAAATTTTCTCGTTTATTCCCGGTTTTTCCCATTTATTATGAAAACCCCTAAACAATTCAAAAAATGAAAAAATATTCATCAATTTACTCGGAATTATACAAATTTTATAACGTGACCGATATGAGTGTAGTGTATTCCTTACCAATAAAAATGGTGTACATTTTTTTTTTTTTTTAAAACAAACATAGCTTATTATATTTCCTTACGGCGCGGTCCGGGAGTGACGGTAAGTAGATTATTGTGTACCGGATACCAATTACCAGGTATGTTTATATAAATTTATAGATGTATATATTTGAATAATATTATTACGGCGTGCGTATAATTTTAGGGTGCCGCGCAGCATAAAGATTTGCTAATTTAATTCCGATGTCCGCTGGCTAATGGACCTATCCGGTATATTGTAGTCGACCGTCATCACCGCCACATCACCGCTGCCACTTGAAATTAATTATAAATTTTCGTCTTACGCATACAATTTAAATTATATACCTGTATTATAGGTACCTATATAATATTATTAATGTATACATATTATGTAAGTATAGACGTAGTTGGCGTTATACGTTGTTATTCCGGCCAGATAATGCCCCGAACCATAATAATAATATTGTTAAGATTAAGCGGTTAATATGGGCGTCATTCATTTGGGCGAATGACCCAAAATTTACCTGTGAAAATCACACATCGTTAGTTCGAAAAATTAACCGATAGTTTGGGCGAATGTATCTTTGTATGTTATACGATATTGTAACATTTGTTTTTTTTTTTTAATTTGGATTAATATTAATTTTTAAACAAAAAACGTTAAAATAATTTGTTTAATTTAGTATATTTATATATTTCGATATTTTGTAAAAAAAAAAAGTTGCACATTAATGTGGGTACTCAAGGATATACTGGATTAAGATAGATAACTTTACGTAAGAAAAAACAAGAGAATTTTTCAGAGAATTGAATTAAATTTATTTTTATTTTTTTATGTCTTGCAAAATTGTATATATTGTATTATTATATGTATTATACAAATTTTTAATTCGAAAAAACATGATGTACTTATAATTAATTGCCTAAATTGGCGAGAAGCTTATATTTATGAGATAGTGAGACTAAATACTGAAATAATTATTGAAAATCCAATATCTCAGACTTCAAACACTATATTACTACATAACTAATGTAAGCTCGCCCAATTGATGCATTAGACATATTAAAGGGCCGCATAAATTTCGCCCAAATGAAAACCGCCCGCTAATATGGCCGACGACGACCGCGTTGACTAATACTCTATAACCGGAATGGCTGCCCAATGAAAACTAATCTAAATACAAAACCGGTCACCGGGTAATACTTAATATAATTATATACGAGTAGGCCAGAATCGAAACTCGAACATGTTCCAAAAATAAAACGAAATGGGGAGATGAGTTAGCGGTTTTCAGGATTTTCGAATGGCGAATCTGATTCAATAAAGGTAATCAGTTCGTTTTAAATCGATTTGTGTCGAAACTAACAAGTTCCCCATGGATCGTGCCAATTTTTATGCTTAACCCTATTTCACCCGTGTCAAAAAACCACATGATCCGTAATACGAAAAGTCACGTATTCCATTTCGAATTTTTATTAAAAACTCGTGTGTCCCGTCAGCGGGTGGCTCCAGAGATTTGGTTAGGGGAGGGGTTCAGTCATATTTTTTTAGAATACTGCACTATAGCAAAAGGTATATTTTATATTTTATAGTTTATTTATACGTCTTCATAATACATAAATAGTAGATACTTCTAACTACACACTTGCACGTGTCTATACATGTCGATAATATAATATGTTTGTTTTTGTTTTTTTTTGTAAAGTTGTTTTTAACAAAAAATACAGGCTGGGGGTCGGTGGCCCCTAGGGTCCCTCTGGAGCCGCCAAGCGTCCCGAAATACGTGCACGGAGTCAAAACTCATTTGTTCGACCTCAAAAAAAAAAAAATGTACAGACGACTAAAATTTAACTTACAATGGAAGTTTTGGATTTTTTTTTTATCGTATACACCTACATCATACTCGTATTATTCTTTTTTTTTCCGTGTAAAAAAAAAAAAAAAAAAACTATAAACGCTTTATTAAGAAAAAGAAAAGAACCGTTCAAAATCTATTCGACTTGCATACATAATATGAGTATACAATAATAACGCAATATTATAAAACAAATATTTGATATTATCATCATTATTGTAATACATGGGTACTTCGTTAGTTTTGTTTTATTTTTTTATATAGTATAGAAACAACGTGAAACATAGTCCGACTACAATATACCTACTCGTTTAATATATTATTATTGTATACTGATGTTATATTATGTTGTTGTAGTATACGGGTTATTCGATTTTGACGCGAATAATAATTTCCTGTGCGGGCAAGTACAATATTGGTTTTGCAATCAATATAATATTATATACGTTTATTTTCTCTAACCTGCGGAAAACGATCGATATTTTTCGTTTTTCGTTTATTGTTATTGTTATTAATATTATTGATACGTTTTTCCATATCGGTCGGTTAACCCTAAACGCGTACTAAAAAGAGTTTCGTGGCCCGAGGGCCGAGGGCGCGAGGGTGTCGTGTCCGTACATTTTTTTTCCTCCCAACTTATTATTAATGTACTATCTCTCCGTTTGAACCGTTCTAATAATATACGTACGCGCCTACCTATATATTATATAGCTGACCCGGCAATGCTTTGCTATTGCCAGATATTAGTGTAAATAATAATAATAATAATTATTATTATTATTTCCTTGTCCGTGACATCATCTGCATCATCTAGGTATCACCCACGAATAAACAAAAATAAATAAATAAATTTACATACAAAATTAGACGTTCGTATCAAAAATACCTATAAAAAAAACACTATATAATTTAATCCCAGGAAAAAAGTTTATGTTGTATTATATTACAATTATAACAATATATTGACGATACGTACATTATTGTACGTTGCTATAATACGTAATATACGTTTATATAGTATTTTAATATTATTATATTTTAACATTATTAATATAATATTAAGGAATCATAACTCCTTAACACTTATTTCAGTTTAATTATAATATTGTTAAAATTATATACATATTGCTAATATTTACCTTGAGTCGTAAATACTTTAACATATTGTTATATAATTATTAATATGTTTATACTTACAAATTGTTGGTGTTGCCGTCACTTTACGAAATTAATTTTGTTCCAACAGAAAAATCGTTAGTTTACTTTGAAATTTCAATAACAGCGTATCAAAGACGCACTTTGTGTGTCGTGATGTCCAACGTAACTTACAGCGCCATCTGAGAGAAACTTATGAAACTTACAAATAATTGCCCTTTGAACTATATAATAAACATTTAATTTGCAATAAAAAAATATTGATATCATTAATCGAAATGAAGACTATCCTATATTTTAAGTTGGACTAAATCACACACATTAATTATTATTTTATATCAAAATCGATTGAGTAGTTTCAAAGTGCATCGCACGTTAACTCGTCATAAACGCGTGATTTTTATGTATTCGACAAATGCAATAACTTTTCTTCTATTCAATATATTTTAAATAATTAGTTTGTCTAAGCGCTGCAGTTTATATATGAATATGTTTTTCTTTTTAAGGGTGAGGACTTAGAATAAAAAATTTATAATTTTTTTAAAAAATTCAAAATAGCCATTTTGTAAAATAGATTTTTAAACAATTTTTGGTGATTCAAACTTTTGTTAAATTGTAGTCTTTTATTTTCTATGATTTTTTGAAAATTTGAATAATTTTCTTTTCAATCATAACAATATTGTTTATCAACATAAATTACGATTATTGATTTATTGATACTACCAAATCCTTATAATATGATACAATTATTGCATGATATTAACTCATGGAAAATAAAATCCTCGTTGTGTGCCCTAACTAATAACTGATTAAATATTGTAATATTCACATTTGTAAAAACTTCAAAAAATCGTATAAAATAAAAAACCATATTCTAACAAAGGATTCAACCACCAACAATTGTCTCAAAATATATTTTACAAGATGACTATTTTGAATTTTTTTATTTTAAGTTTCCCTTCCCTAAAAACAATTTTCATATATAAACTGTAACGTTGATACATACTAATTATTAAAAAAAAATATATATATCAAAAATATTAAATAAAACAAAATTTATTGCATTTGTCGAATCCTCGTGGAACACTCTGTATATGTTTTGATTTTTAATTTTTTTTTTTCGAATTAAGATTGGAATGAGCTTCATTGTAGTTTTAAACTTACAAAAAAAAAAAAATATTCAAACTTGCACATATTTAATTTTTCTACTTAAATAACATAGGAAAGTATAACGATACTTTCAATTAAATCACATTTACTCATTAAGTTCAAAATTTACGAGGTTGTACATAATTTTTTCTCAAAGATCACAAAAAATACACAAGATTCACTCAGAACCAAGTTAAATTTTACTATTATTTGTAAAAATGTACACAAATTCTCGATTTTTTTTTAATTTTCAACTCGTAGTCTATGAAGCTGATCTATAAAAAAGAACCCATAGCAAGATATTTTCATAACTTACAAAATGAACCTTGTTTGAACATTTTTGGTCAAAAAGTGGCTGCATTATATAACTTTATAATATAAATAAAAAAGTTACAAAAACTCAATTTGTATAGATTTCTACAAATAAGCTATTCTTACAAAAGTAAAATTTAACTTCCTTCCAAGTGAATTTTTTTGTGGTATTTAAGAAAAAACTATGTACAACCTCGAAACTTTTGAACTTAATGAATAAATGTGATCTAATAATGAAGAATATCCTTACTTGCCTACATGTGTTATTTAAATGGAAAAACTAATTACGCGATGAGCGAGATCTGAACGTTTTTTTTGGGAGGCAAGTTTAAGACCACAAGGAAGCAATTTCCAGTCTTAATTCAAGAAAAAAAAAATTCAAATTTAAAACAGCCCTGTATAAGATATACATTATAATGGTCAAAAAAACTATATAATATTGTACACTTGCGTAAATCCACGTAATGAGTTTTAATATTTCGATAGGTACCCACTATACCCATCATAAATATTTTATAATATATTCATTACTAACAACGCGTCTATAATAACGTATAATGTAAATAATATTATAATATAGTATCATATATAATATGATATTCGACCAGCGCGAAGAATTTGGCCCGAAAACTGTACAGTGCAGTAAATTCTGGTAGCAGTTTATTGTACCAACATAATAAGGCTAGCTCTGTAATATCCGGGCTGTGTATAATCAATTTGGAGACGGGCCGATACCGCTTTTTTACCGATATTTCGATTCATTATATTATGCTACCGATGTAAAATCGATACCCGATATTTGAAATTGAATACCACTAGACGACATGGAAATCATTTATGTGGAAGCCACTTAATCAAATTTAAAAGTAAAATATCACGTCAACGGATTGACGGAAATTAAAAACGTCAACAACAAAATTTTTTTAAACTAAAATTTAGAACTTCATCTAGGTAAGTACTCGTATTTATTGAATTTGTAGGTAATATAGGTTATTATTTTAAAATTAAAAGTTAACTGTGGTTCCATCGTCAAAAATAATGGTAGCGAAACATAACGGTATAATGTAACATTTTAGAGTGGCTTGTTTCTTTAATTTTTTGAAAAAAGTTGATACTTTCCGAAATAATGAGTGAATCTTATCGAGGATTGATCACACTGTATAAATCATTGTTAATAAAAATTCCGCGCCAACATTGGAGTGAAATACTGAAATCCAGTTTTCTGTTGTTTTTTACGTCGTATTAATTAACATAAAATGTAATATTTTCTCAGCGTTTACTAAATATTACATTTCACAAGCGTGTTATACAAATACTGGTATTTAAATGGAATGTAAATTTGATTACTTATTGTGTACAATATCACTTTTACAGCAAGAAATCGAGTTTTACAGCGCGTTATATTTTACATAATTAATCAAAAATAAACGATTACGACGCCAAAAGATTTTAATTAATTTTTAATTTTTTATAACCTAACTACCGGTACCTATATACCACGTAGGCACATCTAGAGTAAAATACCCGAAGGGCTAATATTTCTAATTTTTCATCGAATCGTGTGCGCTATTTCTCACCCCCATCTCACAAATCACTTAGAAAATACTAAAGAATGAAATAAATTCAAAAGTTCAATGGAACATACTAATAATATATCACCACGATATAGAGTTAAAGACCATTTTATCAATCTCTAGTTAAGAGAATTTAAGCGTCAGTTAATGTTAATCCACAGTTAAACTAGAAATTTGATTTTATTATTACTCGGTTAACATTTTAACTGGATTTTAACTACAGTATATTTAATCTGAGATATTTAGCCAGTTAAAAAGTTTAACAAGTGATTAAGTTCAATATCATATTATATTATTATGTGATTACATTTTGAGTGATTTTACTTAATTTGAAAGGCTTCTTGTTTCATTGTGGATTATTTCTTCTTCTTTTCGTGTCGATCTTCAGCTTTATGTTCCCTTTTCTTCCTAATAAGTAGTGATTTGTACCGCCTTGTCCATAGATAAATAGTATGTACCTAATCATATTAAAGTCAGTACCTACATATGAATTTAATTTTTAAAATATCTATTTAATTTTATTACCTATAATACTTCTTTCTTATAATATTTCTGTTACAAATTTACTAATCAAAGTTAGCAACATAGGTATTCATTAATCATATTACCGATGGAACTAACATAAACTAATCCATCTTGATGATGAATAAATCTTCAGTTTTTCATACCCTAAATTAGTTAATCTCAGAATAAATGTGATTGATAAAATCATCATTTACTTCTTCTCCTTCTTCTTTTTCTTCTGTTTACGGCCTCTGAGACAATTCTCATAAACAAACTTCAATGACTGTGATGCTGACACTGGAATTACTGGGCAAATCATGTTACAATAAAATGGCATATTAAACATATTACTAGTACAATAGTGTACGATGGATACACGGAGTTATAGAGTGAAATAAATAGATTAGAACCCGATCTCGAGGCCGGTGCAGGAGGAATGAAAGTATTGTAATAATGGTTTATACGACCGCGCGTACAGAAGTATTAATCCAAATACCACCTATCCTATCCACCTGTCGAAGTGCGTACCTATACCGATGAATCCTAAGATAGTTAGGTGATATGTGATAACTATCTCGTTATTGACAATTTTCTGCGGGCACAATTCACAAACGGTTCAACGGACGTTCAAAAGTCACAAATAATAGTTAAATAGCCATATAATTTTAGGTATTCGGTAGTATCATATATAAAATTCACCGTTTAAATAGTAAATATATACCTATATATCAGCATTCAACTGTCTACTGTCTGTACATTTTTATAATATAGCCCATATAGGTTATAATAATATAATAATATATTTCTAGTCAAAAAATCGTGGGAGTGTTCGCATTTATATAACAACAATATATATTCTGGTGTGGTTATACAAATAATAATAAAATAATTTATTACAGAAAAGCGACAACAAAAAAAAATAATAATATCATTACAATTACTATTATACGTCCTCCGTGAAATGGCGTTGTCGAAATCTCCCGCGGCGTTTCCTTGCGCTGCCTCGTCCAAAAGGCCAACATTTATTTTATTATTATTATTATTATTCGACGCCACCGGGTGGATGATTATTACATATTTTGGAAATTCGGATTTATATAGTAATATTATTATGTATATTTTGAAACTGATAATGGGTTACATTCGCTGTGATATTTATGTATGTTGAACTTAGTGGTATTTGTCCGGCGCTGATAAACTCGCAGAATTAGTTTTACCTTCCTCTAATCCTTTTAATTTCCGTGCGTAGCAAACGACCACGTTTTTTTAGCTGTAATTCAGTCAAAAATATTCGGTAGAGACTTAAGAAAACTTATATTGGCCTTATTGTAGACGTAGTAAAATTTTCAAAAAATATATAAACATTTTATATTTGCGAGGTTTTTCGTAGTTTTTATTTGGTGGGTACTGTGTGGATATAATCATTTTACCAAATAGAAATACTTGAAAATTTAACAAAAGGTTTTCATTATAAGTTGTTTTTAGTGATCAAAAAAAAAAAAAAGTAACAGTAATGTAAACAGTATTCTTTTTTTTTTTTTTACACTTGTTTTAAAATCAATAAAATCGATGAAAATCGTATACATTACGGCTTATCAAATCCTATGTAAACGAACTTCGCTCTAAATCATTTTTCTTTAGCAATGGTTTATCGTTGCTTACAGATATAAATTAAATAACTTTATGTATGCTATACATAATGCCTTCCGAACTTCCTAACTACAACAGTGGTGCACTCATCAGCAGGGAGCTATTAGTTTTACAATGTAGTTTATTATTTTTTCTTACTTTGTTCAAGTCTGTGGACACGTTCTTTTCTAGAAAACTTGCTCCGATTTTTACGTGTTACAATTTTTCTGAAAGTTCAAGTTGTCTAAATGGTACTTTAGAAAGGTTATATTTTGATTCTCAATTCATTTTTTAAATAAAAGCACCTAAGTGGGAAAAAAACGTAGGGAAATTCCAATTTCACGATTTAATTATTTTATAAAAACCCGGACGTTTTCTACCAGAAAAAAATGATTAACTCAAAAAATCACAAGACACCTTTTTTGTTGCATTTTTGATTTACTTTCGTACAGTATCATCGTGAAAACTTTTGAGCTTTTAAGGAATTTTAATTTTTAAGAGTTTTTTTTGCTGTATTTTGATTATAAATAAACGTAGAGACTTGAAACTTGGTAATAATACTTATATTGGACTTAGCTAGACGTGGTAAAATTTTCAAAATCATCGGACGACTTTTTTTTTTTTTTAATAAGCGTTTTGAAATCAAATTTGAACGAAAATCGCAAAAAAAATTACGGCACTTCAAATCATATATTATCGAACTACGCTCGGAATCGTCTTTCATCAAACGACGTTTATCGTTGCTTACAGATATAAATGAAATAACCTTATGTATCCTACCGTCCCAACTTCTAACCTGCAACAGTGGCCGCTCCCATCCCCAGTAGGTTTTTTTTTTGTTTGTGTCGATTTCCATATTACGTTGATAACAATTGAAAAAAAAAAACAAAATCGTTTTTTCATTGATAACGATTAATGATTTATCGTTGCATACAGTAGCATTTGCCATTTAGTATAATAAACTGAATTACCTAGTCTGTTGCACGAGAGATCGGGTCGCTTATCGACCAAAACCAGTTGCTGCCGCCCATCTTCAGGCCGCAACCATGCCAGTTGATAACCCGCCTGTCGACACTCAAAGTCAGTTTTAACATTATACATGCGCAGAAGCGGCCTGATGGACAGACTATTGTTTGACTATTTTTAAATCTAGGTACTTTATAATATCATATTTAAAAATAATGTTCTGCGTTAATTAGGTAGATTACCTGCCTCAGGTTTAATGATTTTCGTCACATTAGTAACAATAATAAACAAACTACTAAAAACTAAATAAATGACAATTATTATGAATTGTAAAACACTACAATTTATTCAACGTTTTTTCAATTGTTTACCGTTAGGATGCACCTGCAACCGAGAATTTACCATTTTTTTTTATATATATAAATCAAACACCTACATAATAAGTAATAACAGAATCGTAAATCGTCCTTAATCGTTCATTACTTCAGTCGGTCAAGATGGTCGGTTATCGTTTTGTTTGTATTGTAGATATCACCGACTACAATCATGGTTTGGACCATAGCTGATTACTCTATAATTTTAGTTGGCGAGACTGTGGCTTAACGGCATCAGCCCATCGCGGCTTTCCACACGTAATCAGAAACATAACCTATAAAAAGTCTTCAATGTTGTCTTTCTAAACTTCTCGACTTTCATGTCGTTCTTATTAATATTTCATTACCTTTAGCGTTTTTCCGTTTTTGTCATTTTCACAGTTTTTCAGACAATTCGCATTACAACATTTATTCACCATGGCTAAGCAAAAAGATGCAGAGAAGCAAGAAGATGGACAAAAAGGAAAATACAATAAGGATGATACAGACATCAATAATATTGTTGTTGACGACATAAGCGACGAAGGTACTTAATATAATTGATTGACTGTGTACAATAGTCAACTCTTCAAAATCGTAATTCATTTCTAGAATTGCTTGGAGACATACTATTAAAGAAACCGAAAGTTTCTGATGGTGTTGACACAGTCATTATTGTTGATGGCGTTCCTCAAGTCAACCCCGATCGTTTCGACAAGCTCAAGTTGGTGGTTACAAAAATTTTCGCTCAGTATGGAAAAATCACCAGCGATTATTATCCAAAATCTGAAACCGGTCATACTTTAGGGTGAGTAGCACATCACTTCCAATTTTGAACACATCTTAATGAAATCCTATTTTTATTTTTTTTTATCATAAGTTACATATTCATTGAATACGAAAAACATGAAAGTGCATTAGAAGCTGTTACACAAGCTAACAATTATAAACTTGACAAACAACATACATTTTTAATAAACTTGTTCTCTGACTATAAAAAGTAAGTTGAATAACATTCTTATAATTTTTTTCAATAATAAATAACTAAAGTGTTGATATTTTTGTTCAGATACAATGACATACCTGATAAATGGGAACCTCCTACGATACAACCATTTCCAGAAAGACCTAATTTACAATACTTTTTGATGGAACCTGATGCATTCGATCAATATTATGTTTACAATGTAAATAGTCATATTGAAGTTTGGTTAAATAGTAATCCACAACCAACTAAAATAGTTGAACGTGAAGTAAGTACTGAGTTTACTTCTTTATTTTTTATTTTTAAATACACATTAAATAATTATTATAATATGTATTTTATTTTCAAGAAATGGACTGAATCGTTGATAATGTGGTCACCTCTAGGAACATACTTGGCAACACTTCACAAACAAGGTGTTGTCCTTTGGGGTGGGCCAAATTTCACAAATGTATTAAAGCTGTCCCATCGCAATGTTCAATTTGTTGACTTTTCTCCTTGTGAACAGTGAGTTATTTGATGTCTATAAATAAATAGTAGTAAAATGATGTTTTTTCTAAATAATTTTCTTATTTATATTTAATTTAGATACTTAGTAGCTTATGCTCCATTAGATAGCGGTGAACAAAAGTTGACCATATTTGATATTCGTACCGGTGCCGAAAAGCGATCATTCATTTCAGATGCTCCAATGGCAGGACCAGTACCAATATTAAGGTGGTCAAAGGATGATAAATACTTTGCCCGAATTGGGCTTAATACTTTAAGTGTTTATGAAACTCCAGTAAGTATTTGAAGGATATTTAGCATATTTTGAAACTGCATAATAATTATATTTTTATTTGTTTTTAGTCTTTTGGTTTGCTGGATAAAAAAAGTATAACAGTTAATGGTATTAGAGATTTTAGTTGGTCCCCTAGTGATAATGTTCTTGCTTACTGGGTCGCTGAAGATAAAGATGTTCCAGCACGAGTGGTTCTTTTAGAAATTCCCAGGTTAGTAAAATAATATGTATTGATATTGTCATCACTTTTCTAGCACCGACAATATTCTAGTTTTATTTATGGTAAGGTATTAACATTATATGCTTAAAATTTGTGAAAAACCTCAATAAAAAAATTATTTATATATTAATGTATATAATTGATTACAATTAGTCGAAAAGAAATCAGAGCAAATAATTTGTTCAATGTAGCAGACTGTAAAATTCATTGGCAAAAAGTTGGTGACTACTTATGTGTTAAAGTTGACCGATATGCAAAAATTAAACGTGAAAAAGGAGATGTCAAATACAGTGTAAGTATTTACATTATCCATTTTAAGTAAATTATTTATTTGTGTTGCACTTTTAAAATAATACCATTTAAATCAATTTCTCTTGTAGGGGATGTATTTCAATTTTGAAATATTCCATATGAGAGAGAAAAATATACCCGTAGACATTGTCGAAATAAAAGAACCAATTCATGCGTTTGCTTGGGAACCAATTGGTTCAAAGTTTGCCATTATTCACGGTGAACCAAGTAATAATAGTGTCAGCTTCTATAATGTGAAATCTGGTCAAGCGCCAGTTTTATTAAGTAAGTTGATATTATTAAAAAAATCTATTTCCTTAATAACGCTGTTGTTTTTTTATTTTTCTATCATTCCTCATTTAAAAGCCTACCATCCCACCCCTCTCCCCCTTAAAACCTACTGCTCACGTTAAGAACTACTTCCTTGACCCATTTTTAAGACCTCAAACTGGCTTTTTTCTAGAAGTATATTTAATAAGTGTTAATGTGATTATACTTAATAAATGTTATGCCTTTTAAATTTACTTTGGAGACCAAAATTGTCAAATGTTATTCAAAGCTGTTTCCTGTCAATATTATCATAAGAGTATTTTAATTCAATAAATATAGGTCTATTATATTTATAATGTTTATCTATTATTTCTCATAAAGTGAGTTTGGTTTCTGGTCAATTTTCCATTTCAGGAAAACACATTGGCAGTTTTCAGCAATTACTTATACATTATATAATAATAGAGCAAATACACTGACTTTCATTTGATATTTGTGTTTGTGTGATGTTTATTTAGATATAAAGTATTATGTGTTTTTTTTTTTCTGTAGAAAAATTAGATAAACATTTCTGCAGTCATCTATTTTGGTCACCTGCCGGACAATATATTGTTATTGCTGAAATTCGTGATTCTGGTGCTCTAGAATTTGTCGACACTGCAGACTTTACTACTATGTGTTCTACAGAACATTATAAAGCTACTGATATAGAATGGGATCCAACTGGTAGATTTGTTGCTACTGGTGTCAGTTCATGGAAGACAAAGGTATATATCACGATTATCCATACAGGCTGTAGCTTGCATAATGCCTTGTAAATCTCAGCAGCTATAAACAAAAAGCGTTCGTTTCTTGTTTTCAGCACAGTTTCAAGTTATAGAATTCTAGTAATGATCAACGATATAATTTTAGATATCAATATGATATCGAAAATATTTTAGGTAGGTACTTATTAATAATAGGTACCTAACCTACCTTGTTTAAATATCAAACATATTTTATCAGTGAGAAAAATATAATATTGAATACAATAATATAGGCAAACCTAAATAAAAATTATTTTTGAACTATAAGAAACTCCATAATACCTAACTTTACAAATAACATAATAACTCATATAATAATATAACGTTATCAACCGTCAGATATTATTTAATATTTATCATAGCTACAAATTATTCCCTATATCGATATTGTTGCCCATCACTATCGAATTTACATCGCGTTGTGATTTTTGTTTCTTAACAAACAAAATTTAAAAATAATATGCTAACCACCACAATTTATTTACCTTATTGGTTTATCATACATTTGTTAACTATAAAACAATAGTTATCTAGATAACGATGATAAAAAAAATAACATGATATTAATTTTAACAGATTATAGATTACAACCACAACAAAAATATGACTAATAATCAAACTCTTCAATTTTATTATTAAATATAATATAGTGAAGTATGTAGTTTTCCATTGAACATCGGGTTATTCGAGGAACTGTAAAACAGTCAAATAAGAGTTGGCCTATTTTATTGCCGATCTCTATTTTAATTGAACTATAATTAAACCATAAAACAGCCAAACTATTTTTGTCTTAAATATGGGTCAGTTGTAATACAGTTTAGCGGTTTTATGCGGCCCATTTATGGTTATTCAAGTAATGCCAAAAACTAAATCCTAAATTTTGTCCTAAAACACCCGCTGCTTAGGGAGAAATAAGAAAAGCATACAAAATAGTCAGTTTGATAATTATTTTGCACAAATGTATTTATCGCATGACTTTTTTTTGTATTTATAGGGAGATACTGGCTATTGGATATGGTCATTCCAAGGAAGAATATTAAATAGATTTAATACAAATACCTATTGTCACATGCAATGGAGACCTCGACCTCCTACTTTGTTGAGTGCCAAACAACAAAAGGATATTAAGAAAAGTTTAAAAAAATACACATCTCAATTTGAAACTAAGGATAAAATGAGAATGACCAAAGCATCTAAAGTAAATTAAACTAATTTAAAAATGTAAAAAAATATCAATTGATTTTTAATTTGTTTTATTATTATTATATTTAACAGGAAGTCATTGATAAACGTCGCCAATTGATTAAAGAATTTGAAGAATACCGCAGCAAACGTTTAGATGATTGGGCTAAACAGAAGGCTGAAAGAATGGCTATAAGAAACCGTAAGTAAAATAACAGAATTATTGTCAGTTTTGTCTATACATTGGTTATAATATTAGAAATGCCATTTTGTATTGACCATTTTATTTTATTCCAGATATTGATACTGATGAACTGGATTCTGATCGTAAGAATGTCGAAGAAGAAAAGGTTGAATTTTTGGTTAAAGAAGAAGTAACTATAATTGAGTAAGCATTTATAGTGATTTGATGTAATTTTTTTTTTTTTTTTTTTTTTTTGTATTTGGATAATACCAATAAATTTAATTTTGGCCATTTTGTCTTGAAACAACACTATTTCTGTCAATAATGGCCACCGTATTCCTTCATATAATTCTTATGAATAATTTCAATTTAATTATATTTTGTAAATTAGAGTTCAATTTTAATTTTAAATACAGGCGAAAATGGATTAAATTTGTAAACAAAAGCAAAAATGTCCATGTTAATATTTTTTTATTATTATTACATAAATACATATTTAAAAAAATTATTTATAACACTATATGCGTGTATTATAAGAAAATGATTAATATATATATATATATCACAATTGCCAACTAAAATGTATTTATTATACAATGGTAGTCATATTTTATATTAATTTGTGACAACAAAAATAGAGTGAAATAGATAAAATAATTGTATGTATACGTATATTAAATATACAAAAAAAATAATACAAGATCCGTAGTAAATATACAACTATTGCAGTTTTTTTGCCATTATACCCACAATATATTGAAATTTATTTTTTTTTTTTTATTTATTCTATGCGTGTATTTTATTACTTATTAATAAAATATTACTAAACACCTTGAAAATATTGTATTCATAACTTTTCGAAATCAGTTTAAAATAAAAAAAAGAAATACTTTTTAATGGCATAACCATGGTTGATGTTAATTTTTAACCTAGAAAAAAGCTAGACACAAAGTAATAATATTACTCTTGCGTACTGGTTTGCATTATTATTCATAATAAAAACAGAAAAATAGGCAAATATTATTATAACTTATATGAGAAAAACAATTTATTGTAACATATTTCATTGTTAATCAGTTTAAGACTGTGTTTACAGTGATTTTTTTTAGATTTGAAAAAAACATTGGGTAAATAAAGAACATAAATTAATTAAAAGAATTTTTTTAAATACCATACATTTTATAATTATCCATAGAAGTTTATTTGAGATCATTTTCTACAGGGAAGAATGGTTGATACATTTTTAAAACATAGAATTACATGGAAGCATCATTTTGTAGGAGTGGCAAAATAAGAACCATTTCCAATAATTAATTACATTTAAAGAAGTATACTTAATAAAAGATAAAAAAAATAAATAAGAAATGTTTAAGTACCTACGTATTTAATTTTTGAAATCCAATAAATATTCTTGCATTCTATTTCTTAAATAAAAAAATGGCCAGAGAAATTAACTTTAATACATTTAATATAAATAATTGCTTTTTATAAAATAATTATTAATTAATAAATGGTCTACTTTTTTGATGATAAAATGCTAATTTTAAGGATTTTTAAAACAAATTATTAGTTGTAAATTTTTTTAGTATTTTAAAGTAAATCTGCCCTAACCTACTTGCATAATAATACAATTTAGCCGTTTCAAAATCTATTCTATTTATATTTTAATATATATATAACCAGTCATATACAAGTCAAAACAAAACTTTAGATCGGACTATTCAAATTACCAACAAATAATAGTACAACTACAAAAGGCAATGTGTACATTCTTTATTTACAACATAATTACCTTTTTGATTTAAATCTAATCAGATTATTTATCCTAATGATGCAAGTAATATTGATCAAAAAAATGAATACATAAAGGAAGAAAATTTGTCTGGTTCTTATTTTGTCGATAAAAATTTTCCTGGTATACACATAATATTATGTGTTTGACAAATGGGTAAGTACATAATTATTTACCAGAGTAGTTAAGTACAATGACGTTATCACTTTTAGTAGCTTCTTTAGACATACTGACTATGGCTTCTTCATACGACGGCGGAGGTAGATCACTTCCTTCCTCGTTATGACTACCAATGAGTTGTTCATAAGACGGAGGCAAAGTGAGTTCACTCACTGTACGGATTGGCAACGAATACTGGTGCTCAGCTTCAATCAATTGTTCTTGTCGAGCCCGGAGGTCCTGTATAGATATGTGGTCAATACAAAAACAAACCAAAGGAAAAAACTTTATTTTACTCACTGCTATCTGTTGGCGAATGACCATGTCAATGACTCGACGTCTGCGTAAGTACAACATATTTCTGATGCCAATCATAACGGCGGAACAGATGCACAGCGGACCGACCATCCACATATGACCCAGGTTAGCAAAAACGGTGTCGCTGAACGCACCGAACGAGAAAACGGACAGGATCGTGCCCAATGTGAATAGGAACACTGATATCAAAAAATAAGAGTATGTTATGCAATCACAAGAGCTGCACGACCGACTCATATCTTCAGCTATGTGCACTCGTTCCCACATGTAGTAAGCTTCCATTTCAAAGGCATTCTCGTTGTAAAAATCAGAAATGAAAAGAAAAACGAAAACAATAATTACTGATTGATTTGTGTACAGGTAATGTTTACTGTTCAACGTTTACGGATAATTGCATCTTTTTCTATTTCTTTCTTCATATCTTCTTTTGTGTTACCATCAGGAATTATTATTGTTATTGTTTTGGTTTTTTCATTTCATCGCACAACTGCTAAGCTTTCTGAGTCAGTTGGCCAGAGACAGTTTTCCTAAAGATAAGAATCTGAAGATAACAATATCCTAATCAGTAACACCAACTTAGATATAGATACTGTTGTTGAACGACGACCTGTATTTTGTCCTACTAAATATTAATGGTGTACACTTATGTTTATATTATAAAAGAACTAGGTAATTCAATATTTAACAAGTGAATTTTGTAACACTTATTATTTACTCCTTCACCGCTTGACCACGTACTAACAATATTGGATTGATTAAAATGTGTAGACAGGTAGCACAAATACAACCATTTTTTTGTTTTCTAATTGCATACCTACTTAATGATGTTTACCATAAAAAATTGTTTAAATTCATAAACTAAAATGTTATGGTTTTAAAATACTATGAGATTCACGCACACAACACATTTCTGGCATTTTACTAAACACGAGTATATAAAATAACTAAACAGTGTACTCAGAATATCAGTTCAACACAGTTATTATATTGTGATGAATATAATTATTAAATAATATTGGTATAGATAATCTATAACCTAGATATACAAATAATTGTATAATTTATAAATAAATATATTAATTTTAATTTATTAATATAAATTATATATAAACATAAAATTACGAGAAATACTCAGTGGCGTAGCTTCAAAATTTGGGCGTGGGAAAGAAATTTTTAACAGACCCCTCATCCAGAAACATTTATGGTGGAAAAAGAGAGATGCAAAAAGGTATACAAATATTGAGCTTATGCTTTTACAATGATGTTTTTTTTTATCTGTAAACAACTTTTCTACCAAAAATATTGCCTCGAATCACAATAACACTTTATGAAAGGAAATCTGACTGGGGTGGTATTTAAGAGAGGTCATTTTTTGATTTTCCTAGAAGTTTTTCCATAAATGGGAAAACCCGGGAGAACAAGAAAATAGGGACAATATTAAATAAATATTATTAAAAAAATATTTTATACCTATTTAATTATTTTACTATAATATGACATATATATTGTTAACAAAGCATCACTATCAACTGAACTCCGTTCAGAATCATTTTTTCGTTAGCAATGATTGCTTATAGATATACATACAATTCTCGTCTGTATCCTATCTTCCCAACTTCCCATCTAAATCAGTGGCTGCACCCGTTCCCATTATCCTAAGACAGCTTTTTATTAAATATTCATGTCCTAATAACATTAAAACATCAATTAATATAAATATCAACATATCATGAACTCGATCAGTTATTATGTTATTTTGTTTTAAACGTATAAATATAGCTTCGATTAATATTTTCTTCCTGGACCTTCTTACAATTTTTTGAAGAATTTATTTTTCTTCTTAACAAATTGATTTTTAATTTTTACCTTACTAATGTTATTTTGATTCTGATCTAGGTGTTTCAAAACCGGAAGATGACATATCTCTAGTATAACATACAGTCATTTTATCATTAATAATTCGATGGTTAGATGGTAAAAGGGGCGTAAGTCCCAAAAACCAAATTTTTTAGAAGAGCTGAAAAACATTATATTTCAAATAAATTGTACTACAACCTTAGAACATCAAATAAAAAATCGTTTTGAAGTTTAATAAGAGACATAATGGGTTTATTATACGTTTTGTACGGATTAATTGTTCATAATTATAGCCTATAATATATATGTAAAAAAACGCTCTTACGCCCGTTTTTTTTCTGTACAAAACTTCTCTTTTTGAATACTTACCTACCACTATTACCAGTATCAAACGGGTACCTTTTAGGTTGAAATTTGATATCAGATTACTATTTAAACTTTAGAATAAACAGATCTGTAGAAGTTTCCAGGCGTCTTTCGGGTCGGGAACTGTTTTTTTTTTAAATTAATTTTTCATTAGCCGGTTTATTGTGCTGCACATACTAGTTACTACCAATTTTCTTTTTAGAGCCTTTTAGTTGACTTCATATTGTATATTTGTAACCATTTATTGCTTGTTTAACGCCGATATAAGAATGTTTACACACTTTAGAAACAACTGGGCTTTTTTTTTTTTTTTTTTATTAAATATTGCTGCCTGAACATATGTTACATAGACCTATAAACAAATATAAAGTCTATGGTTATTTAATTAAATCCACAGATATCTAGAATAATATCATAGTAGGTAGTTAAATTTAAATTATTTATTTCGTATTTTGTTAGTTCTTTTTTTTAAATAATTAAGAAAGAAGTGAAAATGGATTAATTCTTTAAAACGAGAAGGGCTTTTACCTATAAAATACATTCGAGTTGGGAATAAACATTTTCGGTCATCAGATTGTAAAAATATTAATGCATAAAACAAATATTACTAAAGAATGCTACATGTCCTACTAATAGCAACTGTAATTCTTTGATGATAACATTACAACTTCTAGTTTTTTTCTTTAAATTGAACAAAAATAATCAAATTATAAATATAGAAGACAATGATTCATTAGAAAATAATGAATTTAACATTTTTAACCAATCTGATATATTTAACTACCTCTATGAAAATGATAGAGCCAATACAATTTTCTACATGGCTTTGTATGCAAAGTATGTAAGAATAATTCCTTTATTGCATTGCAATTTGTGCATAAATGTACTTCTGAAAGAATTTTCCTAACACATTTATTACTACTATGCAGACTACATCAACTTTGTTAATTATAAAAATAATGGTGAAATTATTTCTGTATTTAATTATTAGATCATATAAAATGGTATTAATTTCCTTACTCATTAAAAATATCTAAGTAAAATAATATGTTTTTTGCAAAATCGTTTACTATAATAATGCATTATATATTATTATTATGCCTAACTCGGGTCTCGGCACTCATGTTCCCATTAGCTTTGTCTTATTCGTATAATCTAGAATTGATTACACTAATCGTGAATAGTTAATTTTTATTTCCTAAACAAATAATTTTTAATAAAATAAATATTTTTAATTCAATAATTTTAGTATAACAAACTGATCATCACAAAACTGATATTTAATTTATTAATAACACAAGTTACACATGTTTTTATAAAAATATGTTTATCAACAATATATTTTTTACAAAATTAAATTACCATCTTCGACTTTTGGTTTGAAACATTTGTTTTAACATTATCCAATTGTTTACTATATACTTACGGTTACCCCATACATACATTGATATATATTTGTACCATATCCTGTGGAAAAAAAAAGGTTAAAATATCATGGAATTTACTAAAATTATAAATAGGCATGGTTTTTTTTTTTAATGATTAGGAACATTTATTTTAAATAATAGTTAACAACTAATGAATAGGTCACGGATTTAAATGTATTTAAAATTTAAAAAAACCCGCTTAAAAATAGTAGAAAGAGGCTGTAAAAAAATTAAAACCCAATAATGGTAAAGGGATTTTAAAAGTCCTCTCTCACAGCTAAAATAAGTTAAATATAATTGTCTACAATGATTAATACAATTAATTGTGTTAATTATTTTTGCAGCATCAGAAAATTTTCTTTAATAAATTAAAACTATTAAAGGGGGGGGGATTTTTAAAACCATCTTCACCAATTTTGTTTTTTGTCATTTTTTAGTGCTTTTTAGTAGATTTTAAGTACATTTAAATGTAAGCCTTACTTATAGGAGAGGGTAGAGTTGCTATCTTCAGAAATTTTTCTTATTAATATTTGATTTAATCTGTTTATGGTTGTTAAAAAAATTCAATATTCAACCAAAAATAAATAATAAGTTTGCCAATACGTAATTTGAACTTCAAAGTCTTATGTACACAATGGAGTAAAAAATTAGTATTAATATTTTGAAATTGCATTTTCTCGTTTTGTAGTCATTCTAGGTTATCTATCTCCTAATTCTCCTTTCTCCCAACTATCATCTTATTCTAAGCTTTTTATATTTTTTTAATAATTGATATCACCCTGTAAATAAATTAATATAAATAAATACAACAATAACCATATTTAATATCAAATTAAAAAATTATATTGTAATTAAATAAAATAAAAATTAATAGCCATAGGTGTTTTAAAAAATGTAATAAGTTTAAATTATATTTAATTTTGATATTTTGATAAATTACTTATATTCATGTTTTTTTTTTTTTGTTACCACAGAAACATATAATTTAACAATCATTAAATAAAATATAAGAGAATGATAAATAAAAAAAACGTAAAAGAAAAAAAAAATGTATTGAAGAGAAATATTTATACTCTTCACCAATCACTTATTATTGAATTCTTAATTTGAAAATATTATATCCAGTATAATATTTGTTTATGACATAAGGTAAATTGAAAAGATTTTACAATCAAATTTCGAATATAAAACTGGGTAGTAAAATAGTAGTTTTTCAATCAAAAATTAAAAAGAGTTTAGTATTTTAAATAGTATAAATATTGTATGTAAAGTACAGTGAAATGATAATAGGTACTGAGAGGTATTAAACGTTTGTTTCTTAATTATCTATAATACTTACAACCCGAATATTGTTCCTCCTAAATGTGCTGCATGGTCCAAGACTTTCCATCTTAAAATCAACCCCAAAGTGTCCAAAGATACTATACCATATAAAGCCTAAAATCATATTTGAACAAAAAATATTTTACTTCAAAAATAAAAATAATTTTTTTTATACTTAGAGTGAATATTCTAATGGTTTTACAAAGATGTTTATTTATTATTTTTGTAGACAACTTTACTACCAGCAATTTTGCTCAGATTTACAATGATAGCATTTTTTCTGAAAAAAAATCTGACTGGGAAGCTACATTTTAAGGTCATTTTTTCAATTTTCCCAAGAGTTCCCAGCAAATATGAAAGCCGGGAAAAAACATAAGAAAATCGGATCAATATTAAACAAATATTTTTAAAGAAAATTTTTAATATCTATTTAATTATTTTACTATGTCATACATATTGTTGACAAAGCATCACAATCAACTGAGTTCCACTTGAGAATTGTTTCTTTCGTTAACAATAGTTTATCGTTGCTTACAGATATACATTAAATTCCCTTTTGTATTCTACCTTTCCAACTTCCTACCTATAACAGTAGTACTATAACCCATTCCCATTATCCTAGGATTTTTTTTTTTTTTTTTTCAGTATTTTTATGTAAACAAGTTTAAATTTTTAAATAGCAGTTAACAGTTACACGGTGTTAGAAAAAAAAAAAGAGAAACTTTTTAAATTGTTGATCTAGGTTGTTGACTTAGGTAATAACTGCAATGTTTATAATAAGTAATAACTAAAGACAATTTTTACTGTTAGTATCTAAAATTAATTTATTAACAATAATGTAAAAACAATTTATTATTTAACTTGGTAATAAATATTTAAAAACTGGACCAAATTCTTTGATTATTTTTGTCATACATATTTCTATGAAAATAACAATATAATATTTTAAATTGTGATAAGTTAATGCAAAAATAAAATACTTTAAATATTTTAAAACTTACGTAAATCGCTTCAAATTGCAAAGTCGGTAAAAATATTATACTACAATGTTCTTTAGGATGTGATATTGAAAAATATGCAACAACTGATAGTATAGCACCAGACTAAAAATAAAAATAAATAAATAAACAATAAAATATTAACAGGTAATGGTATAACAAAAGTAAAAAAAAATAAATTAAACTTGACTGAATATAAAATCAAAACAAGAAATACATAGAAAACATTTTAAACATAGGAGTGAATAAACTGAATAAACAAAAACAAGTAACTATAAATATTAATTTATAGATACGTATTGTCACCGAACAATTTATTTTGTTGTACGAAGAAAACAAATTGTGTGTGAAGATTGAATATTTTAATAATTAATATAACAAACACATTTTGTGTAAAATCAAATACATGATTGGTATTATTACATAGTATACATTTCATTATTAGATTATACTTACAGCACCTAAACTTATTCCGGGACTTTTAATGCGTCGTCTAAATACTATACTAGCTAATGATGATACAACACAGGAACTTATATACATTGCAGTGAATTCTTCAGGAGCCATATCACCCCATTGGATCACGCCTGAATATTATAAAAATATACATTTTTAATTCAATAAATATTATATATATATATATATATATATTATGTAATAGGAATCACAGTCTGTGTATTGAAATTAAATATATATTTGCTTACCCCTACAAAATGAATGAAGAGCAAACATATTAAATGATAAATGTACTAGAGAACTGTGACTGAATGCACTAAGAAGAAGTGATGACACTGGAATTCTTTCTAAAAATAAATGTTCAATAATAATTAGTTTTGCATATTTAAAGGATTTTTATATAAATACACAATTTATTTAATTTATTTGACAGAAATCATTTGAGTAAAAAATTATGTGCAACAAATCTAGTTATTGGTCAATGGAAATTTTTCAATTTTGTTTTGTTTTTAACATACATATATTGTTGATTTAAGAATCATGGTGAGATTAGAACTGAGCGGACTGACTTAGTTTAAATTATTAGTTTTTTAAATTTATGATATTATACGGATAATATATGTGTTATGTTAAATAACTCAATATTTTCATTTTCTTAGTATGTCTGTCATAGTAATGGTACATACCTGTTGTCATCCATGATATCACAAGTTCAAACCAAAGTTTGCAAAAAAATTATTTAACAAAACAATGTTGGGTAGTTATCAGGGAAAATTAAATACATTTTGGGTGCACCTAGACTCTAGAGACCCAAGCTGTCGGAATATGACATTTATATTGTTGAAAAAAAAATACTATTAACCAAGCTTCGCTTAGAATCATTTTTCATTAGCAATGATTAATCTTTCCTTGCAGATATACATTAAATTCTCCTCTATATTCTACCTTCCTCACTTTTGATCTACACGGGTGATCCACCCGTTATGCGAAATACATAAGTCTTTTTTTATATTAAAATAAAACCAGTTCCTTAAAACTTGCATTCAATTAAACAAACTTACTAGCAAGTGCATCGGTTGTAAAATATTTGATCATTGTACCCTGCCACCTAGGTATTTGCCACGCAAGAAATACAAGAGCATTTAAAAAAAGGATTGTTCCAAATATTTTTTCTGATGGTTGAGTTTTGTTCCACAAGTTTTTCAAGTTTGAGAAAATACCCTAGAAAAAAATATAATAATTAATTAATTAAATTATCTAATCTAAAAATAATTTACCTTATCAAAACAATTACACATTTTAAGAATAATTTAATAATTATTAGTTCAAAACAGACTGAGCGGTATTGTATAGCAACTTTCTTTTTATAAAGGATCACATTATGATGTCACCACTTGATGAGTCATAGTCGGGGTTTTACATTATTATTTATTATTTATACAAGAAGTACTATAATTTCCTATAACTTACTACAAAGTATTATTTTTGTTTATAAATTATCATTATTTCCTCTTTGATATTTAATTCTTGATTATTTGTACCTTATGGCTTATTATTAATGTACAAAATGAACAAAGTCTTTAGCAAATCTTAAATACTATGTCTCATTAGCAAAAATAGAGGATATTAGTCCCCCAAAAGGGGACTGCTAAGTCTCTAAAACAAATCTTTATCAATTAAATACTAAGTAAACATAATCAATACAGTCTCTATGGGTAGTGAAGCTAAGTTAAGTAAAATTATAATGTATATATAGTTATGTGGAGTATAGTTGAATTTTAATTTATGATTTGAAAAGCTTAGGAATTTTCTTTTAATCTATTTGAATTGACGACTGTCGCCTGTGGGTCCATATAACTGAGTCATACTCAAGTATTGACCAATCCAGAGCACATTAAAGAGACTTAAGGGAATTAGTCAGTTTAAATTGAACAGCTATTATTTTAATAAAACCTAGAGTTTAAAATGCTTTGCACAAAATATGGTCAATGTGAAAATGTGGAGAAAGTGAAGGAACAAAGACAAAACTTATGTCCTGAACAATTTTTATAGAGAGGAGTTCAAAGTCATTGTTAGAGTATTTGAAAACAATAAGATTCCGACTTCTGGTATAAAACCCAAAGGATTCCTCCTATTCGAAAATGCATCTAAATCATTCTAAAGATCTTTACAATCATCAAGGGAATCAATCTTCATAAATAGCTTTTTATCATCTGAAAAGTACAGAAGACACCATTTTAAACCATAAATGATTTCCTTTTAGCACATTCGAAGAGAATATAAAGGAGAGTCAAATATAGAGCCATAAAGCTTAACCAATTGTAGCCTATGGCTTAAATACAAAATTAACCACATTAACAAGGATTTACTGAATACTGAGGTGTACAGAATAGCAACAAGACCTTGGTGATTTAGTGATACAAATGCGTTTATGAAGTGTGTGTATATTACATCAACTTATGAACTAACTGCGAATGCACTGGAATATATAATTTACAATTACAAAGGTTAAGTGTTGTTCATAAATGAGTAACCAATTATTCAAGAAAGCATGAATGGTATTAAGGATTAGTGATTTGAAGAGACTTTTAGAGATGTGAATACTGTGTATTGCTATTAGCTTGGAATTGTTAATTTAAGTAGGATTACCTGATTTGTAGATCAGAGTTTAACAAATTAATTTTTAGAATGTCAAGGAAAATTCCAATGTCCATTAATTGATGAAAAATTAGCCATAGCAGGAAGGATATCACAAACCAGAGGTTATACAGAAATTTGTTACTGTAAAAGGATTAGACTTGTTGGATTTATAGAATATTAATCATGGGAGTTTAAGTCTCTCCAAAATATTGGGTTATTTATACCTAAATATGGCATTTTATTATACACTTTAAGTATTACCATTATATTATAATATATATTGTACATAATTAATGGTACTATTCATTAATAGGGTTCAAATTCAAGGACATACAAATAATAAAGCATTAAAAATGTGAAAAAAGACAAAAAGCAATTTAAAAATTAATTAAAAATTAAATAGGCTTCATAAGAATATTAATTGCTGTAACCAGATTGTTGTTGAAATTATATAGATTTAACAATAGAATTTTTATGAATGTAAGGCTGTACTTTTTTTATTAATTTCAAGTTTTACCAAGGCATTTTTATGTTTTTCACTTAATAGGTTAATTTTTTTTTTTTTTTTAAATTTTAAACACATTTGGTTATACTGTATGAATACATAGTTGTAACCCTTAAAACATAAATTAGAATTATTTATATTTGAATTAATTATTTTCATTTTACATAAAATAATGATACTATAACTAGGAATTGGAAAAGATAAATAATTTATCACTTGCATAAATGTGCGTGATTAAAATTAATTTATGTAACAGTTTATATCTTAATTTTTTAAAGGTTCTTAAAAAGGAAACTTAAAAATAGGGTGACCAGACCTCCTTTTTTTACGAGGACTTGTCCTCTTATTTTGTTTTTCTATAATATAGGTTCACCTGGCTAGGGTAGGTAAGTAAATAAATTCTGATTATGGATGATAATGCAATATTGTGATAAGATTTATCTAAGGATTTATAAGCACTTTGCTTTTTACTATTATTAGAACCATTCAAATAGAATATTTTATGGACCATGAAAACCATAGGATCTTAAAACACAAGATATAAAGTAAATTTATATAAGTATATATATATTATTATAATTATATAACTTTATACAAATAAACTTTTTATATAAAGTATTTATCATTAGTTTTATATAATATAATATAACCATGTTTATAGTACTTTAAGAGCTTATCACAAAATTAAAGTGAACCGCGATGATATACTGCCAATAGATATATTATATAGTAGTTACTAGTCAGCAAGGTACACCTAGGTAGTTAGACTTTTTATGCTGATATGCTACCTACTGTGTTTTAATCAGCAAACTGAGTGTAATAACTAATGGTGTAACATTCACGGATGTTACAGCATATTAGTAATAATTTTAGTGTACCCCTGAAATACAATATTTACAGTTATATAATACTGGTTGTGTGAAGTGTGAGTTGTGAGTATCATTAAAGAAACAATAATTTGTAAAAATATCCTCTTTTTTTTTTTTTATAACACACATCTGATCACCCTACTTAAAAGTAATTTCCCTTAGAAGTTCTAAGGGAATTTCCCTCAGTAAAATACTAATAAGTGTCATAAATACCTATATCACAATATTTTACAAAAACCCATTGCAATGTTATAGTACTAATTATAGTATTATTTTAGTACAATATTATAATCTAAAAAATTTATTGAATAATAAATATATCATTGAAATCTAAAATTGTGCTCAAAACCCCCATCGATTGCTTAGATTAATAAAATAATTTCTAAGATAACATTATTATACAATCTTAAATCCATGCACCTATACAGTATATAATATACATTTAGTGAATCCATGTATCAAAATTATTTAAAGCAGTATTACATTTAGATGAAATTTAGTTGTCTTTATTTTCAAATAAGTAATTGAATAAAATTCTTAAAACTGATAGAGGCAGTTTAAAACTTGTTTTCAATGGGTATGTATATGCTAAACATAAAAATCTTGCGAACAACAAAATCAGATAGTGTGTGAAAATAAAAAATAAAAGTAGTAAATTAGACATCTATAAAAAAGGAATTTATGTGAAAAATGTCCGAGGAGGAGGGCAACATTTTTTAACTTTTTTTTTGTGGCTTTTTTTCCAAGAATCCATTAGCATAAACATTAAATAAAGCACATTTTTATACAATAATAATTTTTTTACTATCATTCAAGATATTTGCATTCTAATCCAAACCCTATTTATTAAAAATTATATTTTTTTTTTATAATACTATATTATTAACTTACTTAAAACTTCACAGTGAAAATAGTACCACAGTATAGAGTGGGTTCCAAAGAGTACTTTAATATAATTATTTTCTGCTAATACTTGCTAATAATAATATAGTCCAGTCAAATTATAAAATTATGAACTAATTCTTCGAAAGCTGAAATTTGGTACACGATTAGTCTATACCTCACTAATACATATACTAATAATTCTAAAGCCTACCTTATGTGATTAGTGTTCCAACTATCAAAATGGGTACTTTTGACTTTCCCCCTTTTCACTTATAACTCATTAAACGTGATATTAGACTTGAGGTAAAATGTATAGTATTAAATCTAAAGGCCCTCAAATATACTTAGGAATATACTATTTTGTGTCCTAAAATTATCACAATATAGTGACAACTTTTTAAACAAAAATTGAATTTTTTTTTTAAAAACTAATTTTAGCTAAAACTTGTAAAAAGCAAAAATATTTGTCAAAGAAATTGTAAAATTATTAAACACTTATCAATTAACATTATTAAGTCACATTTATTACGTAATTGTTACACACTTTATACACTAATAAAAACTTAAATAATTTATAAAAACAATTAGGAATTCTGATACTTAATAAAAAGAAAATAACAAAAAATTTAATTTAATATAATTTAATAAACTCAAATTCGCGCTTAACTTTACTATGCCTGTTTCATCAACCTCTAGTTACAGCACTGATTAAATATATAAACCTAAGTGGCTCAATGAAAAACCTAAAAATTACAATTATTATCTAAACATTTTTACTTTACTAACTATAATTAATTAATTAATATTATATAAAATTGTTAGTCAATTTGTATTTAAATACTAAGAAAATTAGTACTTAATTGTTTAATTAAATTAAAATTACTGTTAAAATGTAAAAAGTTTTAAAATTAATCAGTCATTAATGACTTATAGTGATAAATGTCTAATTAAAAATTGTTAGATTTTGGGGTTTGGAGACAAATCAAAATTTTAATGACAAGTCTTCCCCAACTTTAAGTTCTAATAGTTAATGTAGTTACTTAAAGCAATAAACTCACATTATTTTGATTCATGATATTTTGTCTTTGTCTGTAGTATGTTTGAAGTCTAATTGGTACAATACTTTTCTGGACCCGTTCATATTGTGCAATCGTTGCTACAACTATAGCACCAGAACTAACCTTGAAGAAGAATACATATACTTGCAAATCACATCTACATAAAATTTGAATAGTAATTTGAATATTACAGTTAAGCAAAATAAGGTTGGTTTAAAAAGAGAACTTGTAAAACTTTGCTGTCTTTTGTGGCGTCGAAAAGGCTCATTGAATGCTCTTCTAGGAAAAAAATGGTTAGCGGACACAGTCAGTTTTTTTATCTGAACACATGTTTTCACACTAAATAATTAAAAATCAAAAATAACAATAGGTTAATAAAATTTATAAAACACCAGTTTACTCGAATTTCAGGACTGCTAGTGACTATTATTTTTAAATAGTGAAAAAAGTGACCAACAGTATTTTTTTCAAAGGAATTGGTGCTAGTTTACCAAATCGTCTCTAATTTTATTAAATTAGAAAAAAAATTTCTATTAAATTTTAATGACAAGACTATCACTAATTTACTGCCCAATACCCAGGAAATGAGTATTACTGAAAAGTTTATTATTTTTGTCAAAAAGTATCAATCTTTTGACAATTGTACTGACTATTTTAGCTATTAAACAAAAAACTTCTGAAAACGTAAATATTTGAAGAAGCCATGAAGTTTAATGGAAATAAACTTTTTTTGTTCAATATTATTCACTTTTTAAAATTTTAAAAAATTGTATGAACTGTTTAAGAATTTATTTTCAAAAATGGTAGTCGTTTTAAAGTAAGAAGTTTTAATAGTATTTTAAGTTCTATGTGCCAATACAATTGACATAATTATATAATTAGATCTAATTAGATTTAAAAAAAACAGACAGTAGAGAATCCCTTCAATTAGTGTAAATAATATAAAAAATATTAAGTTTTCTTATTTACGATAAGTCATTAGTTTTTATTAATTTTACTATTTGAATTTTATATTCCAAAGAAATATTTTATTCAAAATGCAGTTGTAACAAGTTCCAACAAAATAATTTCCCAGATTCATACAAGCTCCTGTAAACTGACATTAACTCTGGTTTGTGCAAGTAATGACCCAATCTCCTATCTCGCAAATACCGGCTGTACACAAATTCACAATTGCATCCAACTGCTACTTTTTCAGTCTTCCTCATTACCTCTTTCCTCTAATGTTTATTTTCATTAAAATTATTAATAGTTAAGATTCCTTTCTCCTCATGACATGTCCATACCATCTCAGTCTATTTTCTATCTTTTTGTCTACTATCAAAGCCACACAAAAGCTACCTCTTATTTACTCATCCTTAATCATATCTTCTCTCGTCAATCTATTCATCCACCTAAGCATTCTCATCCCTGCTACTATTTTTTTGTGTATTACCCAACACTCCAAACGCTACAATATAGTCAATCTCACCACATTTTTGTAGAACTTATTTAGGGTAGTAGGTATCTAACAAAATGAAAATATATTTAAATAAGATGATATCAGTTTAATCCAATTTTTTAAATTATTATTATTAAATATATTTAATAATAATAATAATAATAACATATAATATAATATAATATATATTTAATATTATTTGACAATAATTTATAAATAACAAAATAATAATGATGTTAACAAACTTAATGTAACATTTAAGTGTATAACTTATAGGGCATAACATGTTTAGCTTGGTCTAAATCTAATGGTTTATGTAATGTTTTAACAAAAAATTTTATTAACGTCATAATATTTTTACCTGTACGCTTTACTAAGGAGGCAACTCATGCTAATTTATTTTTTTTAATTATAAGTAAAAAAAAAAATATATATATATAATATCGAAACTATGTACCTAATTAAATCTATATTAATATATTATTACTCTTTGAATTAAATCGATTCGACATGAATATGAACACTACAGTCAATGTTTTTGTTAAAAATTAAAAATCAAAAACTATTTGATTAAATATCAAAAAATCTCTGTAGTTCTCCTGGCAATATTTGATAAGAAAGCCCAGTGGTTCACAAACTATGTAAACAATTCTATATAGGCGTTAAATAGGTAATAAATGTACATAAATACACGAAATGAAGTCCACTAAAACGCGCTAAAAAAAAGTAAATTTTTAAATATAAGTAATACCATACGATAAATACATGCAACACAATGAACCGTTTGAAGTGTTAGACGACCGATAAAAAGTAGAAGGAAACCCTGTTGACGAAATTGTGTTTTATGAAATTAAGTTTTGGTTAACCTAATCCAGTAATAAATTGTTTGTTTTTCATAAAATTAGATTAAATGACATTATTTTGTTTTAAATAAGACTAGAAATATTTATTTTAATTGCATAATTAAGAGCTAATTGTGATGTCTAATTTGAACACATAATTTGTACAAAACAAATTCATCTAAACATATTATGATTAACCAGGTATAAAAATGAAAACACAAAAATAATTTTTAATCGCATCATCTAATACGGTTCCCTATAGGCGGTTATAGTACATTAATACATAATATAATAATAATTTTACTAACAAATAAGTCGATTAATAATTAATAATTGATTACTTAAAAATTAATAAAGCTGTAGCCTGTGGTTAATATCTACTCAAACAGTCAAAACCATTAATGAACAGTAATGAAATAAATAATTATAAAATATGTATCGTTAAAAATTAAAAAAAATAACATTGGTCTTAATATATAAAAATTATTCTGTGCAGTTTGTACGATAAATGAGTTATAATAGGTTTTAATAACAGTAATATAAATTTATAACACATAATCAATGTCTTCAAATCTAATAATTGGAATTTTTGGTTAAACTAATAGTTAAAGCGATACTATTATTAAAAAAAATTGGTGGAAAAATTATTGGCCTAATATGATGGCCTCACAAGTGATGGGGTTATTACCAATCGCAACATGTTAAAATTATTGAGAATAAGTGCACAAGAAAACAATTTTAAAAATTACTTCAATAAACCATATGATAAAATACGCAAACTAGGTAATGTGTTTTCTGATGCACCGCATCTTATGAAAACTGTCCGATATCGTTTGTATAAGACAAAGTAACTCAGGGTAATAAATTTAAAAAGTATATAGGTACTATTACTAAAATTATAATACTTTTGTTTGCATTATTGTAGTTATATCCAGAAAAATCATACATATATATTAATATACATGTTTACAGACATGACGAATATTCACAGACTATAATATAATATATATAATATATTCTTCTTACTGACTTTTCTATATTTAGACATTCTTATAAATATTTTAAATATTTAAATGTATTACTTTTGAGAGAGTTTATAGGTAATATGAAACACCTAGGCAGTAGCATCAATCCTATATATTAGGCGTGGCGGCCCCCACATCTTATTAAGGGAAGGGGTGGGTATATTTCATAGAAATGGTAGTTTAGTATAAAACATTATACATTTTACAACAAATATAAAAAGTAGTAGACATATTCTAAATAACGCGAATTAATCTATTCCTATACTGCCGCAGTGTGTAATGTGTGATTACATTAATGAAAACAGAGAACTACAAGTTTACTGTTTAACTATAATTATTCAATTAATAGTTTTACGATAAATAACATATAGTACCTAATAAATTTCTGAATCTACAACAGCCGCTACAATTTTGTCGGATAATAATGATAGTGTTTGTTGAATGGCTTAGTCGTTATTTGGTGGTTATATGTCAGATGGCTTTATATTGTGTCACCCCTCCCCCTCCCCTTACCTGGCATTTTCGGTAACGTTATTTGGAATATTATATATAAAAATGATAACCTATGGTAAAATATAGTGGTTACTGGTTACTGGTTATTAGAATTATCGCTGTGGTAACAAGATTCGGTATCATAAAAAACACTATCATAAAAAAATTGGTTGAGACGCTATTACGAACACGCTGGATTAATTCAAGTTTGTTGTATATTTCGAGTATCTTTATGTTGTATTCAAAACAATAAAAAAAATAATTTACAAGGTAATATAAAATTTAGTTATTATTATTCGATATTTTAGATTTTTGATTTCTATTTCACACTTTAATTGATATTAAAATAAAAAAAAAAATATTAAAAATAAATATTTTAAATTAATTTTTTAGATACCATGTTGGGTGGTGGTGGTTTATTTTCCAATAAGGCAGTAGCAGCGCCTGCGAACCCAAATAAAGATTTTGAAGTGATTCAACCTCCTGATGATTCTGTTTCTGCAATGGCATTCAGTCCGTCTACCATACAACAAAATTTCCTCGTTGCTGGTAGTTGGGACAACAGTGTATGTTTTATAGAAATTAGCATTATCATATTGTATAACTTAGTTAATTTTTTTTCCTTTTATATAATTTAGGTACGTTGTTGGGAAGTTGAACAAACTGGTAAAACTGTGCCTAAATCTATGCAATCCATGAGCATGCCGATTCTGGATACTTGTTGGAGTGAAGACGGTTCAAAAGTATTCATGGCTTCTTGTGATAAACAAGTGAAATGCTGGGATTTAGGAAGTAATCAAACCGTTCAAGTAGCAGCTCACGATGCACCTGTAAAGACTTGTCATTGGATCAAGGCCCCATCCTACACTTGTCTTATGACCGGGTCATGGGATAAAACTTTAAAGGTGACGTCAATATGTTAATGGTCGTGTGGTTTTTAGCATTATTAATATATTTGGATTTAAGAGAATATTGGTCCATTCGCTTTGGATTCTCAGATGTTAACAGTGTTTATGCTTACATTTGCGTTTATGAGCTATAATTGCATTACATTACTATTTCAAAAATATATTGATAACAAAATAAAAATTGTTAACACATTACACCCATTGATTATAATATATTTCATTTTGCTGGTTTATATTTTTGAATTTTCGTAATTTTAAAGTAAAAAAGAGCTGATACTGGGGATGGGAGTGGCCATTGTTGTAGGTGAGAAGTTGTGAAAAGGTAAGATACATAAGGTTATATCATTTATAACAGTAAGCAACGATAAGCTATTGCTTGACGAAAGACGATTCCAAGGACAGTTTGGTAATACATCATTTAAAGTGCCGTAAACTTTTACAATTTTCGTTTAAATTTGATTTCAAAACGCTTAAAAAATAAAAGTCGTCTGATCATTTTGGAAATTTTATCATGTCTAGGAAAGTCCAATGTAAGTATTATTACTGTTTCAAATCTACATGTATTTATAACCATATTACAACAAAAAACTCCCAAAAAATAAATGCTTAAAAGTGGCCAATGTTTTGGCGATGATACTATAAGAAAGTAAATCAAGGCAACTAAAAAGATGTCTTATGATTTTTTGATCTAATCATTTCTTCTGGTAGAATGTCGTCCGTGTTTTTATAAAAAATGAAATCGTGAAATTGTATGTTTTCCTAAGTTTTGTCCCATTTAAGTGCTTATATTTAAAAAATGGCGTCGAAAGACAAAAAATAACTTCTTTAAATTACCATTTAGACAACTTGAGCTTTCAAAAAAGTTGTTACACATAAAAATCCTAGCAAGTTTACTAGGAAAAAACGTGTCTGCAGACTAGAAAAAAAAAATGTCAACATTAGTAAAACCAATAGCTCCCTCGCTATGCTTAAAATCTAAAATTTAATTTGCATTTTCCAAATTTCACAGATGCATACAACATATTTAAAAAAAGTATATAAGTATATAAGTATTGTTTTGTTTATTTATGTATTAAATTTAAAAATAGTTGTTTATGTTGTTAGTTATTTGTCTTAAATTCATTAAAATGGTAAATTATTGTATAATTTGTTAATAGCTTTATTAAATACACAAAAAATAATCAATGTATTGAATTAATATGCTGTGTATTTTATTTTATAGTTTTGGGATATGAGGAGTGCAAATCCTATGATGACCATTAATTTACCAGAAAGAGCATATTGTGCTGATGTGGTACGACTACTAAACATTTTTATTTTTCTTAAATTAAATGAGTCTTATAATTTAAAAACAAAATACTTTAATCACAATTATGCTGATCAAATATATTCAATAATATTTAGGATTATCCTATGGCAGTGATCGGTACAGCCTCAAGGGGTATAGTTGTATATAAACTGGAAGGAAAACCCGAACTGGTAAAATCTGTAGAATCGCCTCTTAAATATCAACATCGTTGTGTTGCAATCTTTAGAGATAAAAAAAAACAATCACCTGTTGGTAAGTTGTGTTCAAAAACAGAGACATAAATGAGGTAAATAAAACTAATGCGGTATTTTGGTTGTTTTAGGTTTTGGTTTGGGTAGTGTTGAAGGTCGAGTGGCTATTCATTATATACAGCCTCAAAGTTCTAAAGACAATTTTACATTTAAATGCCATCGACAGAACAACACTGGCACTATGAACGTACAAGATATTTATGCTGTATGTATTAGTGTAAAATTATTTCTTTTTGTATAGTTACTCATTGAAATATATTATTAGGTTAACGATATTAAGTTCCATCCAATTCATGGTACAGTAGCGACTGTAGGTTCAGATGCTACATTTGCGTATTGGGATAAAGATGCGCGTACAAAATTGAAGTCGTCTGAAACACTGGATCAACCAATCACTAATTGTTGTTTCAACAATAATGGTCAAATATTTGCTTACAGTACTGGCTATGACTGGTCCAAGGTTAGTATTATTTTTTAATTGTAAGGTACTAAAACAATTTAAAGAAATAAATAGATAATAAATTTACTTTTGCTGAACATGTTCAATTTAAAAATTACATAAATATGTACTATAATATTCCCTTAAATATCGCTAAATATAGGTACACTAAAATTATGTAAATATGAAGTGTATGCGATTTCTCTAAAATTCTAACCACGCTCGTGATAAATGTATGTAACTATTTTATAATAGAAATATTCGAACATCACAACAATTCACAAACAACATCGGTATTCATAAATAGGTAAGCTATTAATTGGATAAATAATTTGAAAAATCTGAAAAATTAAATTCAACTATTAAAACTATTAAAGTCAATATAAATAAAACTTAAAAATATATATATTTTAAAATTTTAAATACAGCTAACAAAAAACCATTATTTTGATCAGGAATAGGTTTTGGTTATAAAACTGGGTTTGAAAATAAAAGGGAACTGCTTTAATATTAATACTTAGTTTATCTTGATTACCATTAACTAACAAGCATTTCTAGTATTAATAAAATAAAAACAAAAAATTGGTTTTTGTTTCAAATTGGTTACTGGTTTTAAGCCCTGTTAATAACTATTGATTATCCAATTCTTCTATAAAGTTAGTTCATATAGTAAAAAATATTACTATTTATGTTAATTACATTAACTGTTGTATTCACTATACTACAATTATTATTTTTATTATATTTATTATATAATTTGATTTATTAAATTTCAGGGCCACGAGTATAATAATCCCGCCAAAAAACCGCAGATATTCTTGAAACCGTGTTTTGAGGATCTCAAGCCTAAGAGTAGCTCATAAACTTCTAATTTTAATCCTTTATTATAATTTTTTTTTTTTTTTTTTAACTAAGTGTTCCAAAAATCTAAATGTATTTTTTTTTTATGATCAGTTTTAAAAGTAAAAGTTTAAAGATTTAGGGCCTTTAATTATAATAGTTACATTTTTTATGATTAATACGTAATTATTTTTCTTTAAGTCGATAATATAAAGAATACTTCTGTAAGTAATCAAAACGTCTTATATTATATAAAAAAATAATAGACTGTACAAATTAGTGACAAAAAAAAATAGATTACTTAACTATTTAGTAGAATTTGTAATAAGTATTATTTTGATGAATAAATACATATATAATACACAGTCAATATTTACAGACCCCAGAAAAAAATTGAATAATTAGAAATATATGCTGTACACAAAAACCTATGATTATTTTTAAATAAAATGACAGTCATAATCGGTGATTATGCATAATGACATTGATGAATATATTGGTATCCATCAATAGTTTTAAAACTGGTCTAAAATGTTCGCAATGGTAACACTATTAGCACTAAAATGCAAGTAAAAAAAGCAGACATATTCGCACATGGGTCGCAACCAATGTTGTAGGTGGGAAGTTTGGAAGGTAGGGTACAGAAGGAAATTTAATATATAAATGTAAGCAATGATAAACCATGGCTAACAAAACAATGATTATGAGTGGAGTTTAGTTGATAGTGATGCTTTATCAATAATATTTTTGTTGTATTATGGCCTAATAATTAAATAGGCATATATTTTCATAAATAATAATTGTTTAACATTGTACTAATTTTTCTGTTTTCTCTACATTTTTCCCAGGTTTTTCAAATATGCTGGATAAACTCTTGGGAAAATTGAAAAATGACCCTAAGGTACCAATCCAAGAAAATTTCCTTTTAGAAAAAATAAATATCTTTAGAAAATTTAATATATTTATACAAATTATTAAAAATTAATACCAAAAAATAAAAATATCATTTAAGCAAATTGTAGTCCTTATCCATATGAATATAAAAAAAAAAAAAAACAGAATTTGATTACCGATACCGTACTGATAATACAATATGATACAAACTCCTACATATGCCACTGTTTCAGTTTAAGAAAATATTGATTGGTTTTTCTGTTTCATTAGTTCCACGTCTAGGTATATATTTTGAAAGAACCATGTATACTTTTCAATCATTAGATAACTCTTGAAATTACTCTACTGCTCTCTGGTTTGCTCAGATACTGAATATTGCCCTTAAATTTGGATAAATAACACTCTTAAACAAGACAAAACCATATAATCTGTGCAGAATAATTCTTTACGATTTGTATTCTTCAAATTTAACATTCTTAGACCTACCCACAAATCATACCAAAATTGTCTTAACTTCTTTAATTTATCTCCACTTATTGACAGACATTCATCCCTGCTTTTAAGATTCCTACATAATTTAATACTAGGATCTGTTGATTTCCCTGAAATGCTTTCTCTTATTCGCTTCAAAATAGATTCCCTAATTTGTAATAGGACTATTTGTTTGTATATTTGAATAAATAAATACACTAATACTAAGCTCAATCGGTTAAAATGTTAGTAGTTGATTAAATTATTTGTTTAATTAAACAAAAAATTTAGGGATTTTATTTTAAACCATTGATTTTCTCTTTTGGGTATCATTTTAATACATCATAATAATTTAATAGTATTTATACAACAAATAGGTAATAACCTCACATTTATTATACACAAAATGTATAGGTTAAATATTTCTTAACTAAATGTCTAAATCTACACATATTATGCACAATATAAAATATGTGAATTTCGGTTTTTTTTTTTTGTTCAGTACATGATGCATTAATAAATAATTAAATGTATCATTAAAATTTATCTGAGCCACAATTTTAAACGTAAAGCATCCACACCGTTTAAATAGTAGCAGAAAAGACGTTTGTCTCGAACAAAGCCCAAATTTTCATATAATTTTAATGCTGGTTTATTGGTGATTTCTGTTTCAAGGACGACCTGAAAATTATAAATAAGTATAATTCATTGAACAGACAAATTTAATTATTACTAGTGTCTTAGTAATTATTATACAAATAACTACTACTCATAAGTAATTATACCATTGTAAAATATAAATAATATAATGCTAGATAAGTTATGCAATAATGAAGAAAACTGAAGTGTTTTAAGTAAAAATTATAAACTGTTCTAACTGAAAATATGAATACTTATACATTTTTGATGAGTACCTATCAACTATTTAGTTTTAAAGGTACTTTACATAAAATATAAAACTAAATATTGCATGTGTTTGCACAAAAAGTAATACCTAATCATTATGTGACAATTATTTCTAAACAAATTATAATATTGGGCCATTCATCAAACAATTTAAAACTATCCTAGATGATGTAAAATAATAATTATTTGCAAACACAAGTGGAGTTCCTAAAGAAGATACTAAGGAATGATTTGGAAGTGGTTGTTTTGATAGTTTAAAAATATGAGAGAAAATAAAATGATAAAAAGAGATGAAAAGATGCTATAGATCTGTAATATGATGTTTTATTAATACATATGGGAGACTAGGTTGAATGGAAATTTTGGACAAGGTTGTCCAACTCCAGATAGCTAGAAAAATGGGAAAAAGAAAATAAAACAAACATTTAAAAGAGCTGTTGCTATACCTCAGCTCATCTTTGACAAGTGGAAACTGTATTTCAATTATCACTTATGTTTAATTTTTTATTATTTAGGTACCATAGTAACATTTTTGTCATATATTTATTTATTAATTTTTATATTTATAAAAGATTTATACAGTATGCACTAATAGGTGTAATAAGTATAATTGAGGGTATTTAATATACTACATATTTTATATGAATAGAATGAAAAGTAGGAAAAAACCCAGTGGTATCACTACGAAATTGACATACACTTTATTTCCTTTGCTTTTATTTAACTAGGTCACGGCACCATTGCCGCTTTAGACGACAGGTTAGGATGTTAGGTATGTCATAGGATGAAAGAGCGGATAGAAGCGAATTACTATGGTAAATAAGTTTTGTATGGTATTTTTTGTAAGAGATTTTAAGAGAACTGATTACGGTAGATATTTTCAAGTCTTTGTGAAGAATATCATTTTGGATGTAAAACAGGACTTTTGGTATAATTCTTAATATTCTGGATTGGATTACATGTAAACAGTTTATATATATATATATATATATATATATATGATTTTTTCACAAAACCCCAGATTTGTGAGGCATAAGACCAAACTGGTTTGATTAATAGTTTATATATGTTTTGTTTATTGTTTAGGTTTAGTTTTGAGTGAGTTAGGTAATATAGTTGCTTAATTTTCAATTTTATAGCTTTACATTTATTTTTTATATTAGGCGACAATCAAATGGGAAATTTAGGTATTTTGCTGAAGTTTCTTGTGGGATTGGAATGCTAGTTAAAGTGATTACGGGTATATTGCTCTGTTAGAGCATGGAATTTGTATGGATTGATTTATTTTAACCCACCAGGCCTTGTACCATAAGGAAAGTGTCTTTAAGTGAGTCTGAGTATCGAGGTGAACTATGTTTGCGTATATATTAAGCAAAATCAACTTGGAATACAGAGTTTGAAAATGAAAGATCTGCCTTTTTCATAATATATAATTTATTATTCTGCTATTTTATGTCATTTCTATTTTCTCGTCTAAAATGATTCAACTTTAATTACATAAGTATAATAATTTCATTGTTTTTTTTTATACATTATAAACCTATTATAGGCTCTAGTAAATATGAGTTTATAAATAGATGCTATTTTGAGAAAATTTATTAATTAATAGATTCATTCAAAAATAATAAATATGTATCATTAAAATTTTAAATGTAAATCCATTTAAACATTCAATTGACCTCAACACATTTATGTTTAATCATGTTTCTACACTCATAATATAATATCATCTTTATTAATCCTACCATTAAATTAAATATTTAATACTTTTGTGTAGATAAACATATTATAATTTAAAATGTGTATTGTATACAGTGTGTTCAAATGATAATAGTAATTTATAATAATAACTAATAATAGTATATTCATGTGCACCGCCTTGGATTCAATTCAAATTTATTAAGTTGAAAATGTAAAGAGTTGTCCTAGGATAATGGAGACAGGTATAGTCAGTGTTGACTTTATAAGTAAGTCAACGTATACCTGCAAGCAACAATAAACGATTGCTAATGAAAAAACAATTCTGAGCGGAGTTCAGTCAATAGTGATGCTTTGTCAACAATATATATGTCATATTATGGTAAAATAATTAAATAGGTATTATATATTTTCTTTAATACTATTTGTTTAATGAACCAATTTTCCGGTTTTATCCCAGTTTTTTACATTTGCTGGGAAAACTCTTGGGAAAATCAAGAAATGACCTCCCTAAAGTAGTACCTTCCCAGTAAGATTTCCTTTTAGAAAGTGTTATCATTGTAAATTAAAATTACTGGTAAAAAAGTTGTTCACAGAAAAAAAAATAGTAAAATTTTACTAATATATTTCATACATTTTTTAGTTTTTTTTTTCGGGGTTTCCACATTTGATGAGAAAATCGAGAAATGACCTCCTTATAGTACCTACTCAGTCCAATTTAATTTTAAAAAAGTTGTTTTATTTAAAAATCTGAGTAAGATTTTTGGTAAAAAGTTGACCACAGACAAAAAATAAAAAAATTATTAACATCATTGTTAAACCATAAGCTTCTTCACTCCATTCAGAATCTAAAAATCTAAGTTCCCTTTTTCATGATGAGAGGCAAGTGTAGGAATATTTAGAACCTGTCTTATGTTTGAATAATTGTAAGTTTTGTAATAAATATTTATTTTGAATAAAGTTTAAAAATATATTTTGCATTTATTCAAGTGGTATCTAGTCTTTGGCAAGATACGGTTGCAATACGACAGATCTATATTCAAGAAGATAATGAACAAGGGTGTAATATAAGGTACAAAGGCATTTAACAGACTTGAATAATATTACTTATAACTTAATACTTAATAAATTGTACCCCATTACCCCTGTGATTTGAAATTCACATTTCCCACCCATCTTCAGAACTTTAATATATCCATTACAGTATTTGCTAATATCAACATTTATATTATATTTAATCATTATTTATTATTATTGTGCTGCCCTTTTAAAAAATTGTAATTTTTGTTTAATATTACATAGGTAAATAATAGCTGATGTGAGTACCATTAAAATGCCTACATAAAATAAATGTCAAAACATATATAAGCAGATGTTACTTATTTGCATTTACAGACATTATTGTTTTTATTATAAAAATATAATAATTTTGAAAAAAATGTATTTTAAGTATTTGAGTTATAAATATATATTAAATAATTAATATTGTAAGGAAAAATTGAGCTATGATTACAAATACTTCAACTGTTCCTCACAAAATATTTATTTTTCTATTTTAAAATAATTTTCATTTAAACTAATTATTAAGATTAATTTAAGTATTCATATTTAGGTAGGCAGTACGATTAAAGTAATATTAAATTAAAATAAATAAAAATTAAATAAATTTAAATTAAATTAGTTTTATAATAATAAACTTACTTCATCAGCACCATCATTTACCATTGCTTCAATTGCATTCAGTACTAAATTTGAACCTAAAATACAAGTATAATTTGGTTAAATGATATAAAAAGCATACTAGATAATTAGCTCTAACTACAATTTATAAGGTTTAATACCAATATGTTGTTTTCGGTAATTTTCATCCACAGCCAACATTGCAATATAACCTCTTCTAACTTTCCTATGGCCGTCTAACTTACATACTATTGCTCCCACACTCTTGTCCACATCAACTGCCTAAAACGTGTAAAAATTATATTGTACATTATTATATATTTTGATCTAAAAATATAAAACATCAAGAGATAAGAAATCTGTAAATGACTTACCAAAAAACAAAGTTTAGGCCAATTGTGTATAAAATACCGGTATGTATAGATAGAATATGGTTCGGATAAGTCTTTTTGTATTAAACGCATAATATCTTTCATTTGCTGTTCGTTTTTATAACAAACATATTTGACACCATTGAAATGTGGTAAACCTACAGTAGTAGGTTCACTATTATTTACATCACTAGATGAACACGAAGGCATACATTGACTAGACAATGGTGATAACGACGGCAATGTTTTATTTAAACATAACAAATTATTTCGCGCTACATCACCACTGAAAACGTTATTTTCGTTTATCGAGAGAAGATTTACATCAGCAATAAGGTCGGTGTTTGAGCCTGCATTCGATTCATTTACATGGTTGACATCAGACTCAGACACCACCGCCTTGTCATCATCTCTTGTGTCTAGCTCGTGTGATTGAAGTTGTACGTCGGCCATTTAAATTAAAATTTATTTCCGGCATTAATAGTTGTTATAACATATTTCCCTGTTCGAAATTTTGTGCATGATGGCTTGCGCTTTAAAAGTCAAAATACATACTATTATCACTATCATAATTTCACATCGCAATTGATTAAAATCTGTTAACAAACTTTCATGGAAGAATATATGATTATCCACTGATATTGTGGCTATAAGATGTTCTAAAAAAATATGCTCAAATGTACAAATCTTGAATTTCAAGTTTCAACTAAGTTATAGTTATCAACTGCCGAAAACTATCGTTCAAATTCGACAATTTTACTTACTTAAATTTGTAGGTATGGTTCAGATTTAGATATTCGAGGTTTATAAATATATTATTAAAATAAGTTATTATTATTTTATTCCCGACTCAATTTTATGTACAAATTCGTAAAATGTTCTTATAGTAGTTGTGTCCCACCGTCTCAAAACACTAACACTAATGCAACAAAATAACATATCAAAACCGAAATTCGAATTGGGGGGGGCGCAAGGGGACAAAGTATCTCAATGGCAATGGCTCAATCAGAGATTTTTTTTAGGTGTCTGGATACTCCCCTGCATGGCCACATTCGTGTTTAAATAACGTATATATGTATTAAAATGTGTTAACAAAACAGGTGCATCACTCGGGCACCACAATTTAAACATTTTACTTCGAAATCGATACCATCTTTAGTAACCAATTCGTAACCACAAATTTTGAATTCGTAGCAAAAACCCCTAAGTATCGGAAAAATTGTTTTTCTGATGCGGGTGCCGATGTTACGTTACGCTAACACCACACCTAGATTTATAACCAACTTAGAAATTTTAAAACTGTTCTAGGGCTTAGTAATTGACCTATTCTAACGGTTCCCCGGTTATATTTAAGTACGATTGACGCAGATAACACATACCTCCCTATCTAAATTTATAACAATGAATAGGTAAGGATAATCTTCATAATACTCTTGGCGTACTTAAACATTTTATCTAAACGAGTACAGAATAGATCAGAATACGTATGGATAGTACCATAGGAGCAGATCTAAGGAGGACTTAGTGAGGCTGATCCCTCTTTTCGGAAATTTGGAATTATTTTTAAAAAATGCGTTCTATTTTTAACGTAGACATAACACCCACTTAAAAAAAATCCTGGTTACACCACTGTCCATGACCATGAGAAAATGAAGAAATTCATTCAAACATGATTAATATCAAACAATAAAATAATAAAGTAAAAACAAAATTATTAAAATGCTTAATAAATAAATATAAAAATAAAGTCACGTTTTACATTTTACTTGATGACGAATTTTGAATTCGAAACCTTTCGTATAATACACTTATAATACTCTAGGCGACGCATTAATTAATTAGTTAGTTGTACTTTTATATACACATTTTTATTTCTATATTTATTTACTATATTTAACTAATATCAAATACTGTAGTTGATATAAAATTATTTAAAGGTAGATATTTTGTATTTAAAGTGCTATCGTAAAAGACTATAAATAGTTTTGTAATAAATTACAAGCTTTTTCAACTTCACTTGTCGAATGTGATCTGATATCTGTTGGCTATTATATACCTTCCTATACCAATCTTATTTATATTTTACATTACCTATTTTATGAAATTTAGTTAATAATGTCTTAGTTAAAGGTATTGCCGGTACTGAGTATTGCATTAATTTAATTTACGTAACGTTCTCAAAGAAATATACAATAAAATATGTTTATGTATATGTATATACCTACAAGTAGCTTAGTACCTAAGCGGGTGGGTATTTTTTTTTGTGTATATGTATTTCAATAAGCGATGGCAGCAGTGGGGTAGGTAGTAATGTAAGAAGTAACCAAGAATTAAGATAAGTATCATAATACATGGTTAGGTAAGTACAGAATACAGATGCTCTACTGTTATCAATTTAACCAGAAATAAAAGTAGATATTCTTTGACATTCTCAAACAACCGAACGAATTTATTAATATTATTATGAAATGTGACCAATTAATTCTTTCGAATTGTCCTGATATTTTCATTGTCTTTTTAAATTCAACGCGATATTATATTATTTTGATGAATTGCGTATTATAATATGGCTCATAAGACCATTATTTAATTCAGTGTTTCCCAACCGGGAGTACGCGGACCTCTAGGGGCCCCCGAGAAGGTATTAAGAAGTTCTCGGAAAAAGTGAAATTTGTGTTACATATCTTATTATCTATCTATCTATCTTGAGTTAACATTTAAGGGTCTGTAAAGCAGTGGTAAGAGGTCTAGGGGTACGTGAATGAAAAAATGTTGAGAAACGATGATTTAATTGATAAAACATGTTTGGAACACGGATGATGTAGGTAGGTATATAATATGCAATATTGTGTACCTAATTTATGAGGTCAATGTACAAATGCGTTTATTATTATTTATTCACCATTCGACAGATATGTTTAATAGTCCACAGTATAACAACAATATTTTATTGTGGTTTAATGTTATACCGGAATTATAAGGGCATAACTGCATAAGGTAAACTGTGACGAAACAGTACACAGTTACCTACTTAATAAAAAATTAAACATACAAAACAAAATATGAATTGCTAGGTATTGTAGTTGTATTACTTATATCTGTATATACCTATAGAACTTCATGACAATTTCTTTTAAATTCATATATATATTCGCCTCCCACCCCTCCATCAACTACTACCTACGTAGCTATAACCACCTCTCTACTTATTTCACTAAAGAAAATTACTATTCATATGTTAATTTATCCATCCACTGTCCCTTGACACATCGATCCACGTAATTTTTGAAACTTTAATAAGGTAAGTACCCGGTACCTACTTACTATCGACAAAGCAAAAAAAAAAATACTCCAAACCTACAATTATATTTATTACACATTGACATCTCACGCGTTTAAAATTAAGTGGGTATTTATAATACGAAACAATTAGGTACCTAAATTGACACAATGCAATATATTTATTACAAATAAATCACTTATTAGGTATTTAGGTGTAAGTATTTGTACTATGTTAATTCGTTTTTATTTTTTAGCCTTCATTGAACATTTGACCACATAATAATACGCAATTTCGTAGTAAATTGAATAGGTCACACGTTGCAATTGTGCAGTGTACATTCGGCCAAGGGCATCTTCTCTTCGGACATAATCTATTAATTATCGAAGATATTGAATATTGATCGATTCACGGTTAATGATTCTATCACAGGAAACAAAATGTTTGCGTCGATAACACATTTGTATAGGTATTATTGTTATTTATGTGTATACTTTAGCAATAAAATTCCATAATACACACCGACAGTGGTGTAACCAGGATTTATAAATGACGGGGAGGGGGGGTTACAACACTTAAAACGCTCTTTGGGCTCTGACTACGCCACTGCACACCGCAACGACGACTGTCGACTGATGTGTAGTGTTTTACTGTTTTGTTCATGTCTATGGTTTTGTAACACAAAGATCCCGTATCACAGTATTCACATGGAAATCTCAGGCGGTACCGGGACCAATATTCCAAATACATGTGGCGCTGACGGCGTTTAGGAGTAGAAAGTAAAATATCGTTAAATTTTGCTCTTGAGTCTCGGGGGTATAGTTGTGGCCTTTACCGTAGCTAAAATGCTAAATAATAGTATTTTAGTCCTGTTACAATTGATCGTTATCCTCCTTCTCCAACGCAATATACATGCAAATGGACAGATGATATGACCTATAAGACGTATGTACCAGTCGCAAATCAAGGAACTAAAAAAATATATAAAATTTATTGTAGATTATAGGTCAATATGGTAATGGCTACTACTGTTTGAGCTCCGTCAGGACTATCATCGATCGAAATAAAACTTTTAATGGAAAACGTTCGGGCGAAATATTACAGGTAACCGTGGCGACCTTTGTTTTACGTCATAATTGTCAATTGGAACTGCATTACTAACATAATATATAGTAGCGGAACTTCTTTCAGTTCTCCGACTAGATATTTGTCCCTGATGAGAACGACCCGGTAAATGTAAGGCGCCGAGCCGTTTTGGAGTGTCCGTGACTTACATTTTGTTCAGTTTCAAGTTCCCTTCCCTTTCTTTCACTCGGTTCCCTCTGCATGATCGCACACCCGCGGGTCTTCGGGGACTACTTAACAATCGAAAACACCGTCTCTCGGAGTTCGGGGTTTGATCGATCCAGCGTAGATTTTATTCACATAGTACACCCAAATAGTTCGGGTATTAATAATAATAATATTTATAACTCGCGTACATCACGTTTGTACTTCTACAATCGTGATGTAAACAGTAAACGTAGCACGCTGATGGCCCATCGCCCACGATGGCTCACGCTTTGCTCGGACACGGCGCTTTGGTGACCGTCGCTTTGTGATAATGGCTTATCAAATTTTTCGTTTTTCTTTCAAGGTTTTTATTGATTCCGTGTCGCGTTCGTCTGCGACATATGTCGTGCGGCAACGGCGTTTTCTTGCCCTCTCCTCCCGTCCTATCGGCAGACCACGCGCTTGTCCGTCCCCGTCATATTGTCGCGCACTCGCACTTATCTATACACACGCGTCCCGACCGTCCCGTCCCTCGTCCGTCTTTATGATAATGCGCCGTTCCGTTTATTTATTTTGTATTTAGGTAGGTACCTACTATTATTTGAGGTTGGCTAAGGACCGCCTCCGCCGTACACTTCGTGTCCTTGTCACGAACGTACTTTGCGCCGTCGACGTAGTACGCCGGCTTAACGTGCTACTACTATTCCGTTTTGTCGTTGGTCGCGGACGTCTCGCGCACAACTCACAGGTCGCTCACAGCTGTTCGCGCGCTAATAGTCGTTCAACGTCGCCGCCGTCCGATATTTCAGGCTTCTTAAGTAGTGCAGTGTGTCGATCCTTGTCGATAATTTTTTTTCCCGTCCGTCAACGGGTCACGACCAACACGCCCGTCGCCTAGAACACCTATCGGCTATCAGTTGTCCACTCGTCACCGTTACCGACGTTCGTTCCAATACGTCTATTCTGAGTGGTCTCCGTTTTGCGAGAAAGTAAGTCTTTCCGTTTGTATGTTTGTAATATGAACACTTTTCCGGGTCGTGGGATGTTGATCGTTCGTCTTCTACCCTCAGTTTCTGGAAGCACCTCCCCTCGCATAACACTGACGAATAAAATGCGAGCGGTCAATCCGTACCCCGTCTAGTCGTATACTTTATAGTTGGCCTAGGTCAAGGTGAAATTAAATCTTGTCGAATAACAACAAAATTGTATTCAACATTACGGCATTAATTTTAACAATTTGTTTTATTATTTCCATAGATCACTGGTATAATATTATACAATTAAACATATAGATACCTACCTACTTTTATATAATATTTCTGAACAATTTGCCGTACACATTTACAGACTATTACGTTTTTCATTTCCATTGTATTTTAATCAAATAATAAACAACAAACACTAATTCAGGTTCATATCATTGCAATTTGAAATTGATAATATGATACCTACTGAATATTATCTTGGATTTTTTAAAGTTTGTACCTATTTTGTTTTGTTAATGTTTAATTATCACAAAAAGTTTATGAGTCAAAGTGCTATGCAATTATTTTAGATATGTACCTAATTGGACAATAAGTTTTAATAACATCTGGTTACTTAATGTTTTTATGTTATTATTATGTTACTAGATATTAAGTTAAATACATTTAAGTTTTTAATATAAAACAATTGATTTATTATACTGCCTGTACAGAAAAGAGGAAGAAGACTAATAAAATACTTATTTACTTGTAAAATATTGCCTAATATTAATTTCTGTAATTAACGATTTTACTTTTGTTGATAACATACAAATTAAGTATACAATTATTTAAATTACTTTATTATCAAATATTTAACTAGAAATTAAATTAAAATACAATATAACGGAATGTAATCAATCAATGTAAAAGTGTTTGATATAATACCTAATATACTATCTCTGTTAAAAAAAAAATATTTGTAGGTACTTTTTAATATCAATACAATTTATTAGAACTATTACCTTTGATTAAAATTGTATTATGTTATGAAGAAAAATAAATGTCCTTGTAACGTTTTCAATAAATTTGGCTGTGTATCAAAAAAAAAAAAAAATGTTGAATATCTATTTATAAATCGCTGTGTTTTGTATGTTAGAATGTAAATTTATTATTCAAGAATGTTAATTTTATAATATAATTTACAGGTAGGTAATTAAATGTGACATTTTCACCAATGAATCTAGTTATTAACATTATCTTGGGCGGAACTTATAAACATAAGATTATTATAAACTTAAGTAGGTATATTAATTAGTCATTGCATTACTTTTTGTTATCTTGTGATATGAATTTTGACACTACAATATTTATAAAAATAATAGGTTATTTCTCAATGTATAACCTGCCACTGAATGTATTTAATTTGAATATTTTTGTTGGTATTCATGAGTGATTATAAAATCAGACGGATAACATTTACTTAAATAAAAAATTGCTTCACAAATTGATTCAGATCCAGTTATTGGACAATTTTGAGAATTGGTTGATCATAAAAGAAAAATAGAAAAATAATTTGTTTGTGATAATTATTAATTTTAACAATTATAAGAAAAAGGTTTTTAATTTGCACTGAATTATATATTCTAAACAAACAAAAAGGTTAATAAAATGTATGAATCCATTTAGATTATAAATTACAATTAAAGTTTATAAACAATTTTTAATTTTTATAACTTTTACCTGCCCTCTCTAGCCTTAAACATAGCTTGTGCTAGGGAAGAATGAGTCGATTCATTGTTAAAATACTTCGATGTTTATTCCTACGAGTATTAGAAATATTTGTAATAGCTTAACCAGAGACTCAAGGGCCTAATTCATTGTGCATTGTCAATTTAAAATTTTAAATAGTTAACAATATGTATTTATAATATTAATGTGTTAATAAAAATTTTGGCTGCAGTTAATTGTGCCCCACCTTAGACGAATTAAACTGATCTACCTACTTTATGTCAATTTACCTAACAATACGAAATTATATAATAATATTGCATTAGTACTAATATCAGGTTGGTTAGGTTAAGTTAGATTAGGTTAATAATTTTAATAATTTAAGTTACTATGCAATTGTTATTAATTATCTTTAATAATTATATTTCCAGTTTCATTTATAATTATTTTTACTTATCTTATTTTATTTTGTTTTAAACATTTAAATTATAATTTTTAGTTACTTAGGTAGGCCGTGAAAATGGTACTAAGTTGTTCATTAAACACTAACCAAAATTTTACAGTTTGCCAAAAATGGAAAAGGTTTTTATTTTAATAATTGTTTGACTAAATTATACATTATGAGCCTTTTGCCAAAAGTTAATAATTTTATAATACTAACAGTAATCTTTTTTTTCTAAACATTCATTATTAATTAATTTTTTTAATTCAGGAATAATGCATCGAGCACAGTCAGTCGTGAATCAATTAGTCCCTTGTGTGCCAACAATTGTTGGCAGACAAAAATTTGCAACATGGCTGATTGGACCTAAATCTAGATCTTTGATAAGAGCTACTAAATCATTAACAGTGACAGGAAATAAGTACTCAAATAATGTTAATCAGGAGCAATTTCTTAATGGCACGTCTTCTGCTTATATCGAAGATATGTACAATGCGTGGCTAGCAGATCCAAAAAGTGTCAATGTTGTTAGTATACATATATATTTATTTAATATTTAATCAGTTCTTTATTTTATAAGGTCACATTAATTTTTATATCTTTTTCCTGTAGTCTTGGGATGCTTTTTTTAGAAATTGTGATGCAGGAGCACAACCAGGTTTTGCATATCAGGCACCACCATCATTGGCTCCACCAGGTAAAAATGAAGTACTATTGTCAAGTATATTACCTGCTGTAAACAGTACAGCTGCTGTTGGTGGATCATTCAGTGAAAAATTGATTGATGATCATTTGGCTGTTCAAGCAATTATACGATCCTATCAGGTACACTTAATTTTATAATACAAATCACTAAATAAAGTTGAACTTATTATAATTAATTATAATATAATATGATATTTACAGTGTTCGGAAAATTCACTGAAAAATTAAATTCATTATGTTCAATTTAAATTTAAATACCAATGCCCGAGGTCTTTGTGGTCCAAACTTTTATTGTTTGCTTGTCAACACATATTTGTAGTCCAATCCTTAGAAATAAAATAAACACTACTTGTTATTTTTAATTTTTAAAAATCAATAATAAAAAAAACAATACACTTTGAAGATATTAAAATCAATAAAAAAAGGACTAATCATAGTTACCTAATAAATATCGAGCATTTTTTTTCTAGTATTCAATTTTAAAAATATTTATTAATGCTTAGTTCATGAAAACTGTTTATACAGGTAAATAGTGACAGAAAAACTGTTACATGTTCTATGTTTTATTAAATTAAACATTTTAAGTAAAAAATATTTTAAAACAATATGTAATAGATCTATGATAAAGTTATTACAATAAATAAAACAAAGGATTGATATAACTACCATGTGCAGTCCTTATCAATTTAAAAATCTGAAAAATAATTACAATTTTTTAGAACAACCAATAATGTTAATGTATACGTTATACTTGACCATAATGAATGATGTTCACAATACAATTAACACATTCTTTCCGAACGCTGAACCATTATATCTAGTTAGTTAGTAAGTATTAGTGGTGACTGAGTCATGTAGAAACAAATTTATCTTTGCTGTGGCCTTTTTTTTCTAAGTGATGATATTATCCTATTAAGAAATATTATTTAATTCATATTGACATGATTATTTTCTTAAAATAAATTTATCTGTATAATTGTACTTATAAAATCATAAAATTAAAAAAAAAAAAAACTGATGAAAATAAAAACGGTGTTCGTTTATATTTTAACTCTAAGAACTTTATTTTGGAATTTCATGATATACAATTATTTTCGTTTTTAAAATAAGTAATCAATTTTATCTAAATAATCTGGATATTTTTATGAGGAAGATATTATTTAAGTTTTATACACTATAGGTTCGAGGTCATTTTGTAGCTCAAATTGATCCCCTTGGATTTACAAATGCAGATTTGCGAAAAAAAGGTAGACCTCATGATGTTGTACTAAGGCAACATTCAATAGGTAAGATTGGGTATACAAATGTAAATAGACTTGTAAGGAGTTTTTAGACAGTTTGTTTCTATGTTATAACTTATCAATAATAGTTTCTCCTGTGTGTGCAATGTGCATGTCTAAAGTTTTTTTTTATAACATGTTGTACTAATTTATTAACGTGTATTAATAATAAAAAATATTCTTAGTTTAGATTTTATTAAAATAAAATATTTTTAATCAGTTTTTAAATGGTATTCACCAGTTATTAGATAAGTGATCATAGACATGTGCAGGATTTTTTTGCAAGGTGTGCTTTAACCAAAATGGGCAGTTATTCTTTAAGTGGGTTTTATACCTTTCCCCTAAAAAATTAAAATAATTAATGCAAAATATCAATTTATTAAAAGTAAGTAATATTGTTTGTACTACCGAAATACCTGTATTTATTTCACAAAAACATTATTATAATATATCATTACATATAGATAACTTTTAAAAAAACGATCTAGTATATTTTTATACTAAATTATTACATCGCTTAAAATAAAAAATATCATTATTAAGATAAAAATTTAAAGTAATAAGTAGTATCACAATTATTGGCTGCCAGTTGGTTTGATTTATTAGTAACTTAATGACAATTAAGTCATTATTAAGTCACAATTAAGTCAAACACAGTCAAGGTCTGTGCGCACTCCTATGTTAGTAATACAAATAATAATGTATTTTATGTTTTCTTTATTAAGATTCAACTCAAAATTATTGAGTTACTAGAATGGTCCTCTTATTATTTCTTTTAATTTTTTTAAAAATTCTACCAGAAATTCTGTTCCAAAGTATCAAGTGTAGCATTTTTTCTGGAAAAGAATTTTTTTGGGGTTGTACTTTAAGGAGGTTACATGTAATATTATGTATTATATTAAAAATAATTTCAAGATATCTTTCATTTTATTCCCTAATTTTATCTATGACCTTGTATTTCTAAATATATACTTAAATGTATGTAATAAATTTATCATTACAAATAGTTAATTATAATATAATTATGGCACTGTTGCATACAAGATAGAATTTACTGACATTTTTATGGATTTAAGATTAAAATTTGCAAACAAAATTATAATAGTAATAATAAAAACATTTTGTTTTTAAAATTTATCAACAAACAATCTCTATTGTTGAATTTACCATCCAATTTGATATATTTGGTAAATTGATGGTATGCATTGTCATGTTTGTGTTTCACTTATTTGCCAATTTGTATTAATATAAACCACCAACTTACATATATATGTTAAGAGAGTTGTACAAATTTTTGAGAACTATAGTCCAACTAAAGTTGAACATCTTTTGATAAATTTAAAATAAGTATATACTATTAATTAAAGTAATTCAAAATACATTTTCTTCTTTAATATGTTCAAAATATTCATATATATGCTTAAAATGACAACATTTAATAAAATCATAAGTGTAATGTAAAATTAATTTAATTTAACTTTAATGTCTCTACTTTAGCAATAAACATAACTCTGAATCATAAGTATATCGATATTTTGATTTGTATTTTCTGTTCTAAAAAAGTTTGATATTTTAATCATTGAATTATTATATAATATGTATTACACTATTGGGCTATAACTAAACTATTAAACTTTATTAATTAAATGTTTTGTTTTTTTTTTAATTTTTACTAATTGAATGTTTGTTTTAAATAAATTTGTTTGTGCTTTATTTGTTTGTCGGCCAATTAGATACGAGGACATCATATTGCACGTCTTGATCCTTTAAATTTAAATAAAGTTGACCAAGATGATAGACTCCCACAGGAGATTTTATATGGATGTTATCCTCCATTTGGTAAGTAGTACAGTTTTCATTGTACAATTACATTTTAACACTAATTGCATTTGTTAATTGTTTTGTGAGTACACATTTAGCTATTTTTTATTTTTATAAAACTGATATAAATATAATGTTTAAAAATTTTTGTCCTATATTTAATATGTTTATATTAATGCATAATTTGCATGACTCCATATAAACTATTAAGTTTTCATAAGGTTATAAATTATAATATAAATAACAATATTTTAATTTATTAAAATATAATCCAATTTTTAAGATATTGGTTTATTATAGATTTACCCTAATTATAATATTGTAGAATATTATATTTAAGAAATTATAATTATTTAATTAAATTGAAAATGCCTACAAAGTATTAAAAATCTAAGATTGTACTACCAAAAAGATACCAGCATTAACAAATTTATGACAATAGAGTTAATCAGGATTTGTTAAGCATACGCTTCAATGAATTTGATTTTTTCAGCAATACAAGTAGAATTTTGGCAATCATACATTTTTAATTCATTTATTTCATGTTTAATCTTAGTGTCTTTATAGAACTACATTTGAGTTGCAATGAATATTAATAATATAATTAATTACAATTTGTATCATATGATTTTGGTTGTACTATACACCATAGAACTTTATAGGCTATTTCATTATGTATTTGTAGTTCCTTTCATAAAACCAAAATACAAAGATTGATACTTAATATTAAATTAATGTTTAAATGTACCTAATTTTAATTAAGCTTAAATTTATTGTTTTAAGTTAAACTAAATATATTAGTAAAAGTGTTATTTTAAACTATAAAAGTAAAAATACAGTATTGCTAAATTAATTTTTATATGAAAACTTTATAGTTTAATTTTATTGTCATTATACATGTTAACTTTTTTAGGCTTTAAATTTGTCATGCAAATTAACAAGAAATAGTATAATATGTAGTTAAATTTTTCAAAATATGATTGTATAAATATAGTTTAACAAATAATATTGCTGAATATGCTTTTTTTTTTAATAGCTGCCTGTTTTGTCCATTTTGCTTTTTCACATAAACTGTAATGTTAAACTAATTTTAAATTAAAATGTGTTACATTATTTTATTTTATTGTTTAACTTAAATTCAAGGCTTCTTGTCAATAGTTCACCTATAAATTTCTTATGATGTATTTGCTCTTTATTAATTTGTTAAGACGATAATTGATTGAACAATATAAGGAGAATAGCAATATGGAGCAGTATACAATTAATAGAAAAACAAATTATTTAAAAAATTTAAACTATTATAATTAATGTTAATAATTTTCTATTTGATAATATTATTAATAAAAAAAAAAAATTTAGGATAATATTTATTAATATTTTTTGTAACTTCTTCATTATAGGTAATAATTATTAATATACCAATTTTAACTTAATAATATTATAAAATATTGTATAAATAATAGATTAGGTAGGAATAATTTTGGAAAAAAATTTTATTTTATTTTTTTTGTAAAATTTGCTTACATACAACTTAAAAAATAATACTAAAAAGTTAACAAAATATAATAACATAAATTAGTTAAATTAGTTAAAATTGTAGATTGACAGTCAGCATTTAATGTTGAGTAGAAACTTAATATTTTAACTCTTCAATTTTTAGTTTTAATAATACTGTAGTACATTTTATTTATATTCTTTTCATTATAAGCAATCTATTTTCTCTTAATTAATTTTTAATTTTTCTGGCATTAAGTACATTTATTTTAAATTAAAATTTAATTTTAATTAACATTTTTATTGATTGTTGAACTTGTTTTATTTTTAAAACTGAGAGTTTATTTGTAGGCAAACCACCCGATAATACTACATATTCTCAACACCTACAGAATAAAGTAGCCGAATTAATGGGTATGTAGTAAGTTTGTGCTATTTATACATATATATATATATATATACTTATATTTTTATATTTTTAAGCATGTTTTTTAATATTTCATACATTATTAATCTCAGCAAGTTTTTGATTGTTTATCACTAACATCACTATTCAAATATAATTTGTGTATATGTATAATATTATTCTTTAGGTGCACCTACACATAAAAAGATAACGTATTTAAACATTTTTTTTAAAACTTTATATAGATGTATTTTTCATTTTAATAATATATATTTTTGTGTGCATAAATAACAGAAGAAGCTGATATGGAACGAGTATTCAAATTACCATCTACAACATTTATTGGAGGCAAAGAAAATGCATTACCATTGAAAGAAATTTTGAACCGTTTAGAAAATACATATTGTCGATCAATCGGTGTAGAATTTATGTTTATTAATTCATTAGAACAATGTAATTGGATTAGGCAAAGAATGGAATCTCCAGGCACAATGGAAATGGACAAAGAACAGAAACGACTTATATTAGCCAGACTTACTAGAGCCACAGGGTATTTATTATATTTCTTAAATAATTATAGTTATATTTACCTATTTATCATACTGACATATCATTGAAAAAAAAAACATATACTTTTTCATTTGAACCCATATTATGAGAAATTTAAATAAATCAATATCTTATAAACCAAGGGTTCGTAACCTTTTAAGGTACATGCTCCCTTTCATACTATTTTATCATGCCCCATCACCATAATAATATTGAATTATGTTTAATGTATACATCATACCTTCAATGTTGGTTATTGGGTTTATAAATGAAAATCGATTGAGTGAAGAATTAAATTTTGTATCCTACATTCCCAACTTCCTATCTACAACAGTGGTTGCAACCATGTGCAATGTATGCCCGTCTTTTTAAATATTTAATGATTTATTTGTTAGAAAAAAATTTTATCATTTTAAATTATTAAAATAAGTTATATTATATTCATTTTTATAAATAATACATTTTAAATGTATTATTACTTAATAATAATAAAGTAGATATAAATTAATGAAAGGATTGGTAACTGATAACACGCATCTCAGGTCACATTACATTAAAATTTTCACGCCTCCCTAGGGGGCGCGCCCCCCCCCCAGATTGAGAACCGCTGTTATAAACAGTCCTAAGTAAATAAATTATATACATTCATTTATTTATTATAATTTTAATTAAAATTATTACATAAAATAAAATGAAGTTCCACTTTTATAAACTAATTAGTTTAATATAACATGCATGTGCATAACAATTGGTCACAGATTTCAAAAATATTTTATTGGATTAAAATGTTACCTAATAATGATATAAAACATGACGATACAGTTAATGCTAATATTTTTATCGGTTTAAAAAATAAAAACATTTTATTATTAGATTTGAATCATTCTTGGCTCGTAAATGGTCAAGTGAAAAACGTTTTGGCTTGGAAGGATGTGAAATTTTAATTCCAGCTATGAAACAAGTTATTGATAAATCTACAGAATATGGGGTAGAGTCAGTTATTATGGGTATGCCTCATCGTGGACGACTTAACGTTTTAGCAAATATCTGTCGTAAACCTTTAAATCAAATATTCACACAATTTGCTGCTTTAGAGGCCGAAGATGATGTAACTATAATTATTTCTCAGTTATCAGATGACACTAGCAATTTTTAGAAATGTTAAAAAAATACTTTTCAATTATACTGTTAAATTAAATAATTTTTAGGGATCAGGAGATGTGAAATATCATTTGGGTACATACATAGAACGTTTGAATCGAGCTACCAATAAGAATATACGTTTAGCTGTTGTTGCTAATCCATCCCATTTAGAAGCTGTAGATCCAGTAGTACAAGGAAAAACTAGAGCTGAACAGTTCTATAGAGGAGATGGAGAAGGAAAAAAAGTTTGTATTTCTACCTTAAAACTATACATGATTGATTTTAAGATAAATTGTATATTATATTTTAAATTTACTTTTAAATAATAACAACAATAGTTAATTTGCATTTATATGTATTCATAGTATTTGAATATACCTAGTGAAATTAAATTATCTTTAAATCAGTTATTACCTATTTAGTAGTTATTTTTTTTTTACTAACAACGGGATATCATTTCTTCTTTTTACATTATACTTTTTTGTTATTTTAAAACATTATTAGTTCATATTTTATTGTTTTCATTACTTTTATTTCTATACTAATACTATTGTCTCTATGTAGTTCATACATATTCTACACAATTAATTCATTAAAATAGATTGTTGTTGATCACCTTCTGTTTGGTCCTTATTGAAATATAAATACAATTATTTTCATATTTTAAACTATATTATTATTTGATATTTTATATTTATTTATGGAATAATATTCCAATTACAATAATGCTTATTTATAAGTATTGAGATTATAATTATTTAGATTAGATAAATAAATAGTTCATATAATTTAGGTAATGTCTCTCTTACTTCATGGAGATGCAGCATTTTGTGGTCAAGGTGTTGTTTATGAAACATTCCATTTATCTGATCTACCAGATTACACTACCCATGGAACAATTCATATTGTTGTTAATAATCAAATTGGATTCACTACAGATCCACGGCATTCACGTTCATCACCTTATTGTACAGGTAAAATAAAAATATGTTAAATAAGTTAAAATACAATATAAATCCATACATATGTTTTAATACATTTATTTTCAAAAAATTATTGTTTATAAAAGGTAAATGAGTTAAAATTTAATTTACCTGCTATTCCATCTAATATAATTATAAAATTTGTTTAATTTTTGGATTATTTGTTATAGATGTCGCTAGAGTGGTGAATGCTCCAATTTTCCATGTCAATTCGGATGATCCTGAAGCAGTTATGCATGTTTGTAACATTGCAGCTGAATGGAGAAATGTTTTCCATAAAGATGTAGTCATTGATCTTGTAATTATATTGACATTATTTAATAATTCAACAGTAAATAATTACCTTTATTTATTCATTTAATGAATTATCATTTAAATTATAGGTAAGTTATAGACGATATGGTCATAATGAAATAGACGAACCCATGTTTACGCAACCTATTATGTACAAAGTAATTAAAAAGACTCCGCCAGTTTTGGATAAATATGCTGAAAAACTAATAGAAGAAAAAGTTGTTACTAAAGAAGAAGTTAAGGTATTTAGTTAGCTTATTATCTACTAATTTAAACATTTATAATAAAACAATACATTTCAATTATATAATAACTAGCATTAATACCCAAGACTTAAAACTGGTTATCATCTATTTTGAATTTTCATATTATTTTTCTTGAATGTAGATTTTTTTCTGATAAATCTGTAATTAATATTTTTCAAAAAATTTATTTTAATTGGCATAATAATAATATATTAAAACATGTTATACAACAACAATAATTGGATGGGTTTCTGAAAATGTTGCACTAACACAACACAGTAGGTATAGTCAGACACTTAAGCCATTCTGTCCCTACCTACCTTGTTGTTTCCTGCACAATAATTCTATCTTAGTTTTTGATTTTAATTTATTTAAAAAATTATCTTTAAGCAAATTCATGAACGGTAAATGTTTTTCAAGTACTTGACAGTTGATGTTTGAAATTTTTGTATGGCTGAAATTTAACAATAATTGTTATAATAATAATAATTGTAATAATAATAATTAACAACGATAAAACTAATCTTAAACTGCTATGACATAGTAATAATAAAAAAAAACTTAACTAACCATTTAATTATAAATAGTAATAAATACACCTGACTAAACAAATTTTTTTTTTTTTTGAAAACAGGTAACGAGGAAAAATAAACGTTATGTTTTGAAATTGATAAATTATTCTTTGTAGGATGTTTGGGATAAATATGATGGAATTTGCGAGGATGCTTACACGGCATCACGAAAAGAAACTACTATTAAATACAAGGATTGGTTAGATTCTCCATGGTCAGGATTTTTTGAGGGAAAAGATCCATTAAAAGCTTCTAAGACTGGAATTAAAGAAGAAACATTGACACACATTGGTAAACGATTTTCTTCACCTCCTCCTAATGCTGCAGAATTTGTTATTCACAGAGGTATGTACAATTTAAATATAACTTAACTTGATTATGTATTTTTAATATTCAGAGAATTTATATTTCAGGTATTGAAAGAATTCTAAAAGCACGTATGCAAATGGTTGAAAATCGTACTGTTGATTGGGCTCTGGGAGAGGCAATGGCTTTTGGATCTTTATTAAAAGATGGAGTTCATGTACGATTAAGTGGACAAGATGTTGAAAGAGGTACATTTTCTCATCGACATCATGTACTACATCATCAACTTGTTGACAAAGCCACATATAGAGCACTTTGCAACTTATATCCCGATCAGGCACCATATACTGTATGCAATAGTTCTCTGTCTGAATTTGCTGTATTAGGTAACTATAAATTCTAAATTGTAATTTATTTGATATGATTTTCATGTTAACAGTGTAATTTATATTAAAAACAACTATTATGCATTGGTATATGTATTATTAATTTGTTTAAGGTTTTGAATTGGGATTTTCTATGACTAACCCAAATGCTTTGGTGTGCTGGGAAGCTCAGTTTGGAGACTTTAACAATACTGCACAGTGTATTATTGACCAATTTATTAGTTCTGGACAAGCAAAATGGGTTAGACAGTCAGGACTCGTAATGTTACTGCCCCATGGTCTTGAAGGAATGGTAATACATTTTAATTTATTATTGTTTGTGTATAATAAAATAAAAATAATTATGACCATTTTTATACTTTTTAGGGACCAGAACATTCATCAGCCAGGCTTGAAAGATTCTTGCAAATGAGTTCTGACGATCCAGATTATTTCCCTCCAGAAAGTGATGAATTTGCTGTCCGTCAACTGCACGATATTAATTGGATTGTAAATTTAAATTTTATTCACTTTATTATTTAATTTTAAGTATTAATATTAAATTTTTCTTATTTTTTAGGTTGCTAATTGTTCAACACCTGCTAATTATTTCCATATACTTCGTCGTCAAATAGCTTTACCCTTCCGTAAACCATTGATTTTAATGACTCCTAAATCTCTGTTGCGACTTCCTGAAGCTAGATCTAGTTTTGATGAAATGAATGAGAACACTGAATTTTTGAGAATAATTCCAGAACAAGGTGCTGCAGCTGACAATGCCTCTAATGTCAAGAGATTAATATTCTGTAGTGGAAGAGTGTACTACGATTTGGCTAAATCGAGAGAGGATCGTAATCTCATTGATACTGTGGCAATTGCTCGAGTTGAACAAATATCACCATTCCCATTTGATTTAATTAAAAAAGAATGTGCCAAATATCCCAATGCAGATATTATATGGGCGCAGGAAGAACATAAAAATCAAGGATCTTGGACGTATGTGCAACCAAGGTTCCATACAGTATTGAACAACTCTAAAACTGTAGGGTGAGTCATCACTACACTTTAGAAATTTAATTTAAGTAAATAAACTGAATTTAAAATTAAACTGGAATTATATGACAATCTGAATTCTATTTAATAATGCATATTTACAATGATTAATTTACTAAAATTATTTTAATAATTCATCAGTTCAGTGAAAATTATATTTAAGAAAGAACAAGTCAATTCACGAGCAATGATAAATATTTAATATGTATACACACTAAATAAACAAAATGAAAAACTATTTAGCATCCATACATGTTATTTTAACTTTTACAATTTTATCCAAAATAATTGTGTTGCATGTTAGCTAACTCAATAAAATATGTATGAGAAATGTAAAATTATTATTAAATATTAATACAAATTATAATATACTTAGACTTTATTGCAGAAATTATAACTAGGTACTATATGGCATAACTTCGGACTGTGATGTAACTTTGAGTCTATAATGTTTTTTTAATAATTTTGTTGATAACCCATAGAAATTTTTTTATTTTTTAGGACAATTTTTCAATAAATTTCTTTATGTGTATTTAAATAATTATCTTTTATAACCATAGATATATATATATGTAGACAGAACATTCAGCATAAAATATTCTTATTTTTACTTATTTTTGTAATAATTTGTATAATATTTTGATATTACAATTTTTTTTTTTTGTGAAAAACTTAAAACCATACTATAGTTTTTGAACCTACTCTTTACTTTTATAAATTCGTTCTGTCACATGAATAACTCCTAAAATATTTGAGTGTCTAAAGTTATAACAAATGAGAGATAATTTCAGACACCTATATATATATATATATATATATATATATGTGTGTATATTAAGTTAGTAGAATTCATCATTTTTAAAAATGTTTTTCTTATAGTGTGTTAGGAGTATTACCATCTAAAAATTAAAATTAAGCTATAAATTAATTTTTTATGAGTGAAATGTCTTAAAAATCGTCTGAATTTATGCCAAATAATGGTACACTAATATTTTTTATAAATATCAGTATTGGTTTTTTTTTGCACTTCATAATTATTTTACCCCAACATTAAGTTTTTTAAATTTAAAATATGCATGTTCCTAATAATTTAAAGATAATTTTTTTAAAACTTAAGTTGTTGGTAGTTATAATATATTAATTTAATAAATATTTGGGTATGTCACTGTTACTGCCAGATTTTATAAGAAAACAGTAAGTCATTTTTTTTTTTAAATTTAAAGTTTTTTTAAATATAAGATAGGTATTCAAAAATTATAATAAATTATTGAACTATAATATATACATTTTAAAATTTAAATTGTATTTATTAAAGAAATTTTTTTCAAAAATAAAATTAATTTAATAAAATGTATGTAAACAAAACAATAGACATTTTATTATTTGTGCAGGCCTCTTGCTAAAATTTCTAAAGGATTTTTTTCACGAATATTCTCTTCTGGGTCAAACCATGATGTTTCAAACACAATTTTACCTGAGCAGAAAAATTCTACTCAAATTAGGTGAGATTTCAATGAATCTGTTTATTGTTAGTTTGAAATCTAATAAATTTGAGGTATGCAAGTTATTTATGATATTTTATCAAAAATATCATTTCATTGAAAAATATATATTACATAAAATATTTAACTATAATAATTATAATAATTTGATTTATTATGATATATTTGGGTTATTGCAAGTTTGGACAAGTTACAGTGACATGAATTTAAGTAGTGGCATGTCCATTTTTTTCTCTTTAAACATATATTTAACACACATGCAAGGTGCCCTATAGTGTTGACTTTTTACTAATAACTGTCAATTGGTTTTTCAATAATTAAAGGGATGAAAATAAAAATTTAATTTTGTCTACATAATATGATGTACCCTCTGCACAAAACCCCATTGAAAAAAAAAAAGGAATATTGATAGAATTATTAACATACAGATAACATTGTAGAACACTCTGTATAGGTGAATACATTATATCAAAACTAAATGAACAATAAATAAATTATAGTTGTTTCCAAGAGAATTATTTGAAGTAAATCGTTATTAATTTATAATATATTGATACTTGATATTAAAATTTAATTTTTCCTAAAATCCAATTTGTGCGAGATCATATTGTTTATGTATTCATTATTCATTTTAATATGTAATAATATATTAAAATTAAAAATGACAACATTTATTTTCATTGGGAAATCACATAAATAAAAAAATTATTATACCTAATTATTAAATAATATTTGATGTATTTAATAATTTTTTCTTTAAAAGTGTAAAATAAATAATAACCTATATAAAATTGGCCAAATTATCAGGTAGTGAATTACATATTGAACACAGTAACATTATTAAAAAAAAAATACTATTTTTCTTGGGAAATAACACATAAAAAAAATAGTAATTATTAAGTTATAATAATTAATCTCTATAACTAAAAAAATCCTACGAATTATCAACATTATTAATGGTATATAATTAAAGTTAATTGTTCTATTATATTTTTCAATACTAACCTCCTAACCTTTTAATCATTAGACTTCAGAAGTAAAAATATTTAAGAGAAGTATAAGTTAGACATAACTACTTTAATGAAGATCTCATTTAAAAACATTAAATTACCAAACTAGCTAAGCTCATTTAACAATATAATTTTTTTTTAATAAGAGTATTAATATTACCTTGTTTTTATTTTATTATTATTATTTGGTTTTAATTTTTAATTTAAATAGATATTTTTTATTTTTAATTCAATTAATTTACTTTTTTATGTACGTTAGGTTAGATTCCAAATAGAATCTTGTTATAAAACAAGTCTTGTCCCCTTTTTCCATTATAAATAAGCTTTTTAATTTAATATGTTGAGTTGTGACTTAATAATTAATATTTATGAGTCTCCGTCTTCCCACTAACAAAGCTTACAACTTAATGCAGAATTAAATGTTATTTAAATTTGGTCAACATTAATTTTAACCTAATTTTATTAAAACAATCTAATTAAAATATTAACACTGTTTAATTTAAAATTATTGTGTTTTTGACATTGCAGTTATGCCGGTAGACCAACAGGTGCTTCAGCAGCTACTGGCAGTAAAATGCAACATTTGAAAGAACTTAAAGCACTTCTAGATGAGTCGTTTGCAGTTTAAATCTAGAAATTCGTAAATAAAACATAAATTATTTAAATGGCAACGCAATATCCAAGGATGTGGTAGATTTTAAAAATCCAATTCTCTGTACTCATTAAATATAATATGCTAACCCATTATTAGTATGTACTTAACATACTTTGTATTAAAAATTGTTAATTTATTTTTTTAAAAATGTTATTAGTATTTATTTGTACCATTATATTTTGATTTACAACTTAAACTATATGTTTTTGTTCCTAAGTAAATCAATTTTTTCAGTTTTAAAATCAATTAGGTTTTTTCTTTCAACATCTAAAGCTTTTATTATTCACTTAATTATTAATATCTACTGTGACTTTGTTTATTTAATTTGCAAAATAGTTGCTTAGTAAACAAATTAAAATTATGTACTTATAAATTGCAATGTGAAAGTATTTTGTAAGATAGTAATATTATTTAAATTGACTACCAAAAATGTATTTAGTTAATTGAATTTTAAGTATTGTATGTTATATTTTTACGGTAGTCGTTAATAATTTAAATAATTTAATGAATATGTAAGTAAATTACAAGAGTATTCTTTTAAACAATCACTAATGTTACTGATCTAATGCACCAATTATCTACGATCAATTTTATGATTAAACCTATATTGTGTTATTTGTTAAAATATATTTTGGTCTTCACAATAAACACATTTGTGTATTATTATTTAAATTCATATATCATATAATATATATTATCGATTATACAGATATATTCTAGACTATTGTATAATTAATGAAAATATATCTTTTCATGAATAGTTGCCATTTCATATAATATAAAACAATTTTTACATGTTGTGAAATACAAAAATACACAATGAGAAATAGTAGTATTTTATTATCTTATGAAATAGTAACTCCAATTTATTATTATAATTTTTTAATGTCATTAATCATTAAAATAATACATTTACTGTGCATAATTTTTTTATCATTTATTGTTTCTTTCCGTTTTATAATATACTAGTTATCCCGCACAAAAAAATAAAACATGTTTCCCATGACTCCCTGTTTCTGACTGATTCACTCCACTCTATCATTTAGTTAATTTCTGTTAGCCATAAATGTTTAAAAATTATTTTTCTTTTCATTTTTCATTATCTTCATTTTCTTATATTTATAAGTGGATAAATTTTGAATAAATTATTCCCTAGTGGTTGCCTTCTGAGCTCCCCCTTGCACCTATACTTCAAACCCCCCTTGAATCTTAAAGTTAAGTACCTATGTGTTAATATGTATGTAATATTTGGTGCCTATTGATTTTTAAGTATATATATGGTAAATAAACAATATTTTTATTCAGTAGATTTTACAAATGATTTCAATATATAAAAAGTACACTCATGAGTTATAACAGCTGTAGTTCTCTATGAATACTTATTAACTTCTTTTTCAATTACGTAGGGCTACTCATTTTTTGTTATCAAAATTTAAGGCAAAATTGATTTTCACAAATAGAGACAACTGATAATATAAAGAAAATGTTTTAAATAATTATTTTAAGTATACAAAAAGATTAAATTAATTATAGCATACATACTTCAAAAACGTATTTAGAACAATTATTTGTTACTACTTATTATGTATGAACTACTATGTTTATTTTTATTTGTTTCATAATATTTATATTATAGGTTTTTACTTTAATAATATGTTGGTTGAAAAAAAGTCAGATTCCCACCAATTTTTAACTAATTAGGCAATTTAATTCATGGCAGTTGGCTACAATGGTATAACTAATTTGTATACCACGTGCAGATGATACCGTTAATATTGATAATTTGTTATCAATGATAATAAATTTGATTTAAGTACACGATTAAATTTGTCACGTTCTTTATAATATGTTGATAAGAGTAGATTCACTTCATTTGGTTAGATCAACTCTTATTTCAAGTAAAATAAATAAATATATTATTAATTAAATATACTATTTAACCCCCTATGGTTTTTTTATTAACAAATTAAAACTATTTAGTTAAAAAATGTCTTCGTGGATAAAAGCATCTAAAGTTAATCAAAAAACACACAGAGAACGTCACCAGCCCGAACATCGTCAAAAGTACGGATTGCTCGAGAAGAAAAAAGATTATAAGGTTCGAGCCAGACATCATCAAGAACGCGAACGTGTGCTTAAATTATTGAAGAAACGAGCACAAAATCGTAATCCAGATGAATTTTATTTTCATATGACCAAATCTAAAGTTGAAGATGGGCGACATACAGAAATACGCGAGGAAGACGAACATACTGAAGATCAAATTAAACTAATGCAAACAAGAGATTTGAAATACATCAATATGCGTGCTACTATGGAAAGGAAAAAAGTTGACCGTTTACAATCCCAATTACACTTTTTAGATCAAGCTAATCAAACAACAAACAGTCACATATTTTTCAATGACAATGATAATCAGTGTGTTACTGATTTAGCCGAAAAGTTGGGTACACATCCTGATCTCGTTGACAGAAAAACGAATCGTTTAAGATTATCAGATTTAGAAAAAATTAAGCTTCCTGATTTGGACGAACAGACAATTAAAGAAATGTTATCTGAAAAAAAAAAATCATATAAAGAACTAGAACGACGAAAAAAAAGAGAAAAAGAATTGTCAGTTGTGCAGAGGAAGTTGGAAATAAAAACTCATTTGCTTAGTGGTTCCAAGCAAGAAACGCCCAAGAAGATAAAGCCAGCAACAAAAGATGCAGCTCCAATTTATAAATGGAAATACGAAAGGAAAAAGTAATAATTAATTAATTTGGTATTTGATGTTTAAAAAATAATAATTACTTCTTTATTCAGAATAAAAATAGTTATTATAACATAACATTTACATAAATTTATTTTATTTTATATTTGACTTGTTTCATACATTATATACTTCGGTATAAATTCACTGTTTTCTTGCTTAATCAAAGAACATTCATCAGCTGTAATTTCTGAAAAATAATTTCATCCAGATGGTTATAATAATCAATATTATTACCACATTGAATTCAGTAATCATATTATATATACTTAAATTATATAAATATTTTAAACTAAACGACTGACTCTGAAATAACATTTCTGTTATATATATAGTATTAAAGACATCAAACTTAAAAATAAAATGTACACAAATTCAGACTTTTGAAATCAATTTCGAACATTATGAACTTGAGAAATACATTTTTACTTTTATTTAGCTGTTTGATTATAAAAATTATTTCATTAAGAGATTTATAATTTACTGTCTTAGTCTAATGGGCAGCAACAAAATGGCATTACTTAGAACACAAAGTGTGGCCTTTAGGTTGAAATTGAAGTTCAAACACAAATAATAAAATTTAAAGAGGATCATAAATTTTAGGTCTGTACTTAGCTTTTTACATTATAAATATTTAAATTACAATTATCCAAAAATAAAATGTGGACTAATTATATATTATTTTTTTTTTTTTACATTTAAAAGTAATTATTTAGAAGTTATTTTATTATGAATTACTTACCATATGGTAGATCATTATTTAGTACTACGTTATTTATATATTTTTTGCTGTTATTAATATTGGTGTTTTTACTCTTATTCCAGTTGCCAATAAATAATTTTTGTTTCAATACAATTTTCTTTTTAGAATTTTTTAAAACAATCTGTAGCTGTAAATAAATTACGTGAAACTTATTTTATACATTTTTTAAATATGCGGAAATAACATAAATTAATACAACAAAAACTGATCTTTTATTTTAAAAATAGATATCTAAAATGAAAACTATTTTTACATTATACCTTGGAAAAAAAATATTGTAAAATATTAAGTTAAGTACTTAAGAGTAATACTATAAGTATAAATAGACCAGCGATTCCCAAACTGTGAGGAGCAAGGTAAATATTGATATTTTTAGATCAACGATAATTTCTTTTAAGTTTATTAAATGAAAACCCAGTATTATTTTGTCACCCAAATATTCTCGAATCATAATGATTAAAGACCGGATTTATATTCTGTATAATACCCAAAATAGAATGCTAATATTCTCTGAAAAATCTTAAAAAAATCTCATTATATTCTTTTAGTAAATTGAAAAAATATGCAAAAATAATCAATAAACATCAATATATGCTTTAACATGCAATTTTTTTTTTTACAACATTTCATAAATAATTAGTGATACTTTCTTATTAAAATAGAATAATAGTGCACTTAAGTATGAGTAAAAATATAATATAGATACCTAATTTAATTTTTAAAAACTTAAAAATTACGCTACAATGATAACTCAAAATAGTAAGGTACTATAACAATAAACCTTTTTATCAAAATGATACGAAAAAAAAAAATTGTAAATTTTCAAAATATATATTTTCCAAGCACTGTTTTCATTAACCCATTAAATATTCTCCATACATGCTAAGAAACTTTTTCCTATGATTTCAGAATTGAATGAATCGTCGACATTTTTTACTCTCATAAGACTGCATAAGCTCAGTAACGATATGTAAAAACATAAATCCGGTCTTTAATAGTGACCAATATATTATATACATATATATTGTTTGATAATAGCAGTAGTAGTAGTTGTGAATTAGTGGTACATGAGGTGTGTGCAGTATAAACATTTATTTTACGTTTACTCTTATTTAAAAAGGAAAAAAATTCTCAATAAACAATGTGTGTAGCTGTTACCTAATTTGGAAGAATTATTGAATAAAAAACAAGAACATTATTCATATTAAGGTTAAATACTAATAGTCATTGTTCTTTTTTTTCATAAAATAAAAATATTTTTAATTTATTGAAATTAATTAATATTTATGGTTGAATTATTTTGTCACAAATGTTTGAATACTTAAACAAAACAAATTTGCAATTTATTCATGGGAGGTGCAATTATTTATTTTTAGGGTGGAGTGAACCAAAAGATTTAGGAACCGCTGCTATAAGTATTAATTTGTTATATAATTATTAAGTATTTATTGTTTCCACTGATAGTGAAATATAGTTTATGTTTCTTTAAATTGAATAACCTATATGAAGTTAAAAGTAAATGTGTGGTTATTTTTAATTTTGTGTTAAAAGATGAATTTTTTCACCTTTAATTTATACTTTATTTCAAAAAAGTTGAATGGGTTATTGGATGTATTTGTAGTAGGAATGACTGCTGGTATATATAATGGCTCATTTTCCCATATTTGCGAACATCCCCTAGATAGATGACCTCTTGTTCCTTCGGCAATTACTCTGGTATGTTTCATTGGAACTGAGTAATAAGACTTCCAATACTTTGTAGTCTATAAAAATAATATATCCAATTATTATTTTAATAATATAAGTTTTAATTTTAAAATAATAACCAAATCAAATAAATTAATAAAATAGCTGTTCCAAAATATTTCAATGATGCCATGAACTCAATATAATACACAATCCGTTTTTTTTTTTTTAAAAAAAGAAACTTGCTTGAATAATGTATATTTTGGAGAAAATCACATCCTTCCATGAGCTATTTGTTATTATAGCTGCTACAAAAACCGTTTCTCCGGGTAAATAATGTGTCTGATCTAAGTTTAATAACACATCAATTGATTGGCAAACATTGAATAATGGTACAGCAAATGTTTTGTGTTTTACCTATTTAAATAATTTTTAAAAAGATACTTACTAATTAGAATTCACATCAATAAAAACGTTATTACTTACTACAGAGTTATTTTGTTTTAACAAACCTACCCATTGGTTAACACTGAAGTATTTAAAAATAGTTTGATCGTTATAATACGTTTCCAGTTTATACCTTGTATGGCCAAAGGGTACTTCGTGTGATGGTGGCAAATTGTTTGGTAAAACCAGATGAAACTTAAATTTGTTGGGATAACCTAGGAATTAATGAAACAAATAAATTAAAAGAGGCAAATTAATAAATATTTATCTACCTCTGGTTTCGTCGTCTAATGATAAATCAGTGAGGTCTGCATCTAAGCTCAGTACAACTTTGTCTTCGAAGAAAATTGAATATTCTTCGATTTCACTATTAGTGCCCGGTTTCCATATACGTGTAAATCCACTGGCCTTTATGACTGGTTCACCTATGGTCAACAGTGTAGAGAAATTTAAAACTAAGAACTATAAAACAAAATTATTCCGTGACTTATTACAGCTTGAATCAATGCCATCTTCTATGCAAAACACGCCGTAAATGACAGCACCTGGGAAAACCACCTGACACGTTTCGTCCAAGAAGAATTTCATTTAATGTTAGTATTAGTACAACAGTGGACAATATAGACAATAATCACGGTGGAGGATAATTTTCAATATTCGAATTTACTTGGTGGAAATAAAATCTTATAATAAACTAAAACATCGTGTTAAAATTCCTGTAAAAACGTGAGAAATCGCCAATAACCGTCAAGTGTCAAACGCACAGTGTGTACTATTGTTTATACTAATTCTCAGACCGAAAATACCGTCAGCCCCACAGTGTTTACCGACCATCGGTTTACTAATTTGCCGATTTATCACCAACTCGCCTATCTATATAAATAGATACATTGATCATGTCGTCATTTCATTATTGTGTGAATAACGATTTTTTCGTACAGTCGTTTCTATTTAAACTAATTAATATTTTATCGCTAACAAATAATTATAATTGTTAATAAATGTTTACATCGCCGAAAATTCTGATGCGAACAATTTTAAACGGAAGCTGCACGAATATCGAATAGGTACGTACCCGGTGCTTACGGACGAGCCATGCGATCTAATATTTATGGTACACGGTGTACACGTACGGCATTATTATAATTTATGGTGCGAGTTGTGCCCAGGTAACTGCTCATGTAATCTGCCACCGATTACACGATATTTTTTCCACACAAATTTTGAATTTGCCGATAACGTTTACAAAATAATAGGTATTTACCATAGTTAATTTGGGCTACGCAATATCCGAGTATATAGTAGGTACACCTAGTGTATTTAAAAAGTTTGTTTCATATTACTTGCCGTAAAACGCGAAATTGAGTGTAGATAGGTATTATTTTTTTAAGGTACATAAATGTTGACGGGCGTGTAGTTTAAATGAAAAAATTACACCTTCGGTGAAAAGTCATACGCGGGCAATGGATCTAATGAATGTTGTGATGGTAGATGGCTTGTGGACAATTGTACGTGCTACAGTTTTTAGTTATTTTTCGTTTAAACGACTCGTTGAACATTAGTGGACCGACGACGTTTAACTGTCGAATAAATATTGGATTAATACAAATACTATATTAATATATAAAAAAAAAACCGTGAACTATTATTGTGGATCGACCTACGGACCGATAATGGTAATCATTATTGTACACCATAAAAAAATAATATGACAGCAGTGGTTCCCAATTGGCGGTGCGCGGACCCCCGGGGGGTCGCCGTGTTGATGTTTGGGGATCCGCGGTTGTGTAGTACTGAAATGATGTTTTTGTTTTAGTGGAATTATTAAACGCGTAGTGGTTTGAAGTTCCAGGTATTTCGAGCAATCGCTATTGAAACTCGATTATCGCGAAAATGGTCGATAAATATATATATTTACGTGGAGCAATACTGATTATTTTCCTCTTATTATCCGAGTTCACTTGAAAGGCTTATAAGTGACACTGAAAACGATAATACTGTTAATGATATGAATGAAGTTCAAGTAAACGATTCGTGGGTTTATGATGTTTATATTATTACAAAACGGTACTTGAAATAAATCGTATAATTTTTTTTTTTTCATATTATAATTAAACGAAATTGAAAAGTAAGTATTCACAAATAAGGGGTCCCCCGTGAAATTTTAAGTTTTAGCTAGGGGTTCTTGGCTCATGCCAATTGGCAACCACTGTGATACAGTGACAATTGTACGTCAAATAATTGGAAAAATACGAAAAAAAAAAAAATAATAAATTGTAATTAATAGTGAAAAAGTACTTTAAAAAAAATTTAAACTCTATACAACTTCTTTTTACAACAAATATATGTATATTATACATAATCATGAAAATAGATGCAATCAGGTGTTAATTAAATCCTTCCAAAATCAATCGGCTCTCTTCACATTTTCAATTGTTTAGCAACAAATAATTAATATTTGACAATATGTATAGATTATTTCCGGATTGAAGAGGATATTTTGGCAGTTTTTCTAAGTGGTTTAGTTTTATAAATTTGTGTGTTTAAGCTAAATTTCCCTATGCAATTAATCGTAAGGTGAAGTAGGTATTTCAAATTTAAATAGGTAGGTAATTTTTCCAATTGTGAATAGGAAAATTAACTAAATATCGATTGATCAATGAAATGCACAACACACTTGTTTTTAAAACAAAATTAGTTTTAGCTATTATACAGCTAAGATTTGTACTAACTATAAATTGAAATATTTAAAATTATGTTTATTTTTTATTTGCCAAGTATTGTCGTTTTTGAAAATATATTAAATTTGGATAGGTAATATTTAAAACACAAAGAGCTGATACTGAGGATGGAACTAGATTGACTAGAACAAAGAACAAAAAAAAATTAAACATCTTAGTAAAACCAAAATCTCACTCGCTACCCTCGGAATCTAAAATAAAATTAAAAATAATAGTGACTTACAAACTAATTCATGGATTCATGTAATTTCATGAATTTCCAATTCAGAATATTTAATATTACAGTGTATTTTAGTTAGGTACGTATACTAGTATTAAAATTAAATATATGAAAATAAAACGCACAAATAATGACTCGATATACTGTACTTGTTTACCTACTAAAAAATTGCATACCTTTTGGTAATAAATCAAATTCGATAGGTACATAATATCCTTATTGCCGAGTCCAATAATGTCTAATTTAAACGCATTTATAAAATTAATAACAATATTAATGTAATTTATGGGTGATTTTGTGGTCTGTTAGTTAATATTTTAATAAATTATAATATGTATTTATGCTGATTTTAAAATGTTTTATAACAGAAAAACTAAAAATGTATTTAACTTAAATACTAACAAGCAAAGTTGGGTAGTTTAATGAAAATAATTAACTATTTTAAATTAAGTTAAATAAATTCTTTAGTTAAAAATTGACAAAAAATAAATTGAACTAGTAAGTTAAAAATTAAAACGCAAACAAATATTAGGTAACAGTTAATAAAAGTTAATTATTTATATTTGCTTTTTAAAATTAACAATAAAAGTATTCAATATTAAGTACTTATCATAAACTTACTTAATAGTTCTAAACTTTGTATATATTGTTGTACTATTATATACATTCTAATAATATAAAATATAATTTTATGCAATATTATATAGGCCTAAAATATAAAATAATACATAATTATCATTCATTTTTTAATCATACAATTTAAATTTACTAACTTAATTATCAGGTATAATTAGAATATTTTATAAAATACATTTTTTAGTAATTTAATTTAATCTAATACCTAATCAAAATTAAAAAGAAATATTTGTTGTATTTCAGTAACAAGGTACTCTATACTTGTTTAGAGTATAGTAATATTGCTTATAAGAGAAGTATCATTATTAAGTAATTTGACTAAAATTGAGTTCTTCTATCTTCCAATGGTTTTAGGTTTAAAGAGCTGTCCTAGAAAAATATGGATGGTTACAGTCATTGTTGTAGGTGGGAAGTTGGGAAGGTAGGAGATAGACGAGAGTTTAATATATATATATCTGTAAGCAACGAAAACCATTGTTAACGAAAAAACGATTTTGAGCGGAGTTCAGTTGATTGCTCTCATCATGTCAGCTGTCGATATCCGTATAGTGATAAAAAACTACATGATTATAACCTGACTACACCAAAAATCCGATTCCACGCCTACTCATTTGATAGTATGAATAGTGTACACACTAAACCAACACCTTTTTAAAACAAACAACGTGTACCGCGACACTTTTTCAAAACAAACGCTTTGGTTCACACTGTTGGTTAAAATGAACAAAGCTAAAATGATTGTATTTTCAGAGACCGTTCTTTGGAAGGTCTTTTATAATCAATATATTGTAAAATATCAGCGATTTCAATAATTGAATTACATTTGTTTTTTTTTTATTAATTAAAAAAAAATAAATGTTGCATTGTAGGAAGAAATTATAGTTCTGATGTATGTCGTTGTTAATGGAAGGTTGAGAAGCTACATAAAGCTACTTAATTTATACCCCTAAACAATGATAAATCATTGTTAACAAAAACTTGTTAAACTAAATTGTTATAAAAATGAATTGTTTTTATGGTAGGTATTGCAATTAGATTTTATTTTAAATTTAAAATAAAAATGATTAATCATTCTTTCTCATAAATTAGTTTAGTACCTATTTTGTTTATATTTTATATAGGTTTTATACAGCCATCAAAGACTTTTTAATAGTTCGTATAATACGTTTTATTTAAATTAGTTGGCCAAAAAAGTAATCGCTGTAGATATTAATGAACATAATGAAATAAAGAAAATAATTTATTATTATAGTAATTATTACTAATAATATATTTTTTTAAACATTAATAAAAGAAATCATTATGAGTTACCCAAGATCAGATCTGTTCAACGATAGCAAGGCAAACTCTTCGCTGGTCGGATCGATAGTGGTGAAAACCGATTCAGTGAGTTTCTATTCGTTCAAGGCCAACAGCACATACGTGGTAAAGAGCCACGGGCCAATGCTACTATTGCGTCAAACAGACGATCAAGAAGGGTGTGTTGAACAGGAGCCCATGGAGATCCTGGAGACCATTAACAAATGTATTAACAAGGTGGTAGTGCCAAGCGGAGACATCATAGGTCTGAAAATGGTGGCCGTGGGCGTCACCAGCCATAGAAGTTCGGTGTTGGCTTGGGACAGATGGACGGGCCACCCACTATGCAACGTGATTATGAGGAGAGACAACAGAGCTACGGAAATTGTAAACGAGTACTTGCAGATCTATGATAAGTACAAGTTCCAGACGGTTTGCGGCTTGCCTTTAAGCCCTCTCTTCAGCGCGTTTAAAATCAAATGGCTTTTGAAAAACAACGCCATAGTGAAGGTTGCATACGAACAAGGCAGGTGTTATTTCGGTACGGTGGACACGTGGATTGTGTGGAACCTGACCGGTGGAACAAAAGGTTGTATTTATTTACTGTCAGGTTAACCGAGGTTTTCCGATANTTCGCCACAGATTCTTCGAACGCATCCAACACGTTTTTAATGAATATCAACACGTTACAATGGGACCCGAAACTGTTGAAAATGTTCGGTATCAACCAGAGTAGTCTGCCAGAAATACGAGCTAGTTCCCAAATTTACGGACAATTTGCAGACGGCCCTCTGAAAAATATACCGATTTCCGGTGTGATTGGAATTCGTCAGTCCGCTCTTGTCGGCCATCGATGTTTTCGACGAGGAATTACAAAAGCCACGTTGGACGAAGGCGGATCGGTATTCACCGTAACCGGTGAAAACAAAGTGTTCTCTAAAAACGGTCTACTCACGACGATCGGGTATCATATTGACACGAGACCGGTATACGCATTAGAAGGGCCGATCACTTCAGGCGGCGCTGGCATCGAATGGATGGAACACATTACACGATTAAAAACCAATAAAGTTACACACTGTTTAAAAGCCGGCAAGAGAATCAATAATCCGAATTCAATTTGCTATATTCACGCGATAAATGGTAGGCGAAATCAATCATCTTATACATTATTAATGAATTCGCGATTAATTGGTTTTTTTTTTTGTAAATTTTCGGTATCGTGAATACACGAGAAAAAAACCAATAGAATACATTGTAACCGTAGATACCTACGCTATGGATTATTTTTTCGATTGCCATGATTTATCATTTTATTACAGTATATATACTAAACAAGCTGACTCGGCAATACTTTGCTATTGCTAAGTAGTAGTGTAAATAATAGTAGGTAATAATAGTAATAGTTTTCTTGTCCGTGACAACTAATTGTCATCCATGTTATCAAGGTAATCCACGAATAAACAAAAATAAATAAATAAACAATTAGATATTCGTACCAAAATACCTAAAAACCCATATTTTACTCCTTTAGGGGTTGAATCTCTCTATATAAAATAGCATGTCCTGACTGACTGATTTACCATTGCCTAGCCCAAACAATTCAAAATTGCTAAAAATGCTTATCGCATATTCTAATCACAGTCCATAGACAACAGAAAAAAATCACGAACTAATATAAATTATAATATACTATCCGTGGTTAAAACGTAAAATATGAACAAAGAAATCCTAAATATTTTATTATCAAATCATAGAGTTCGAAAAGTTAAAGATAGGCGTTGTTGGGCCAGCGATTTAAAAAAATTAATATTAAAATCTAAATTTAAAAAAACCAAATTCTAATGGGAAGGTGAACCACCTACCCCTCCTTCCCCCATAGCTGCGACTGCGTCATAATAGCTATCAGTATATGCTAAAGTTCAGTTCGTTCCTTCCAGTAGTTTGGGCTAGGCGATGATGAATCAGCTACTCAGGACATGTTATTTTATATTTAGAGAAGATAATTCTACCTATAATATCCATAATATCTACCATCCTATTTACCTACCTATAAAAGTGGTCTACGCATAAGCAGTCACAACTTTTTAAAATTCAAAAATTCTCTTACGTCCCCTCCCGAAAATAAATTCTAGATAGACCACAGATAAAATCCTGTGTACATTTATGGGTTCGACCAGATTGAATTCTAATATTAATTTTTGATATTAACAGGGGTAAGTATAAACTATAGAAAATATTTCGATTTCAAAAAACACCATAAAACTATCTAAAAAATTTGATTACATAAAATATGTGTATACATTTATATGTATTCTAGGTCTATATGCCCCTCACTGGAGGCCTGAAGCTTTGGGAGTTTTAGTTGCTGATGAATTTAACGCTGAAGACATGGTTAGGGCCGCGATGGAGTCTGTCAGTTTTCAAACTGCTGAAATTTTAAAGGCTGCCACCATGGACCTGAAAATACCTATTGATAGGATAAAAGTTGATGGATACTTGGCAGACAATAAGTTCATCATGGAATCCTTGGCTGACTTCATTAACGGAAAGGTGGAAGTGGCCATGTGCAAGGAGATGACGGCGTTAGGCGCAGCGATGGTAGCCGGGTACGCACCTGAGGTGAACGTGTGGAATATAATGTGCATGGCTGAAGACGTTAGCATCGCTAACTATAAGCCGACTTTAAAAGCCGACGAGCTGAAAAAGAGATGGTTCGATTGGAATAGAAATATTAACCGGTGTTATAATTTGGTTGATACCGGTAAAAAAAGTTTTTGGGAGTCTCCTTGGAAGGTCGGAGGCTCGATAGCTTGTGGATTGGTTTTATTAGGCAGCTATTTGATGTTGAAGAAATAACATCACGAACCATAAGCTTTATTTAAATTGCTTATAACCAGGTTTTAATGAGTAATCTTGCCCTAAGCAATGTATATTTTATTTTTTTGCATCTCAATATCTTACTTGTCTCCCTCTGTCTGATTTTATAATTTGTTGAAAATTATCTGTGTCTTCTGTATCTGATAGTCATCTCTTCCTCGCTTTTTTTCTTCTTTCTATAGTTTTCTCACATATTGTGTTAAATCAGTTGTTTTTTTATTCTCTTTTATTTTTCCAATTGTTTTTTCCAAGGTTTCTTAAATAACTCTTTATGTCCTTCCACATTCGTTCCACTTTCTCGTTCCAATTTTGTCGCGTTTTGAGTTATCTAGGTGGTGTTTATCTTTGTTGTTCTAAAGATAAACACCTTTATCTTTTTTATTATTACTCTCTTCTTCTTCTAATCTTAGAAATGTATTATGACATTTTATAAATACTTTGTTCCGTTTTACTACTTTATTGTTTTAAGTACTTCGACTAAATATGATGTTAAAGGTAATGTCTTTATAATCACACCTTCACTCCATATCTTACTTATTACATATTGTATCCATACTCTATCTCTTATACTGTGTTTCTTTAACACTTGTTCTATTATAGTTTTTAGTTAATTTTTCTTTGTTTTCTAATATTGTTTTATATGCTACTTCATAAATTATTTTCGGTTTTAAGTTTTTAACTTTAAAAGGAATTTTAAATCTAAGCTCTCTCACTCATCAATATTTGTGATGTTGAGTACTGTAATCCTGCAAATGCACTATTATTGTAATTTGACTTAAATATTTCGAATTCTTTACTCTTATCATGATAATTTTTAAGCATTACTTTTTGGATAGTTTGGTGATATGGTAATTTATGATAATTTTCCATTTCTTAGTAAATTGTTTGCACTCTTGTGAGCCAAAGAGCATACCTGCTATTACTACTTAAGGTATTCCATGTGTACTAAATATTAGTTTTTTCCCACGCTCTATTTAGTTTTGTTATTTAATAATTTTACTCTATCCACTTCGACAAATAGTCTACCAAGATTAAAAAAAATGTACCCGTATACTCTGCTATTTCTACAACTACTTTATTAAATGGTAAAAATGGTATTTGATGATTAATTGTCTTTTTATCTGTGATTTAGAAAATTTGTTCCATATTTTGCACCTGTCTATAAACAACTTTAGATCTGAGATCATTGCTTGCCAATAAAATAATTCTTTAGCTATTTTATAAATTTTTACAAAACCTAAATGCATTTCATGTAATAAGTTCAACGTATTTTTTCTTAAAATGTTTTGTTTTTATCAATCTTGTTTGCAGTACATACAATTTTCAGCCATTTCTATTTTATTTTTATTTTTGAAAAAATATTTTATTTCATTTTATTTATCTATTACGTTCGGCAATCCATTTTTATAGTATTCAATTAGTACTTCCAAATTTTTGTCCTCGTTTGTTTCTCTTTGAAAATGTTTTAGTTTTTCTTCACTAAATTCAATATGTTTAATTCCTACAGCATGTACTACAACCCTCATGTATAACTCTTATACTTCTTGCATATCTATATTACATCTAAATACAAAATCCCCTACAATGTTCTTCTTTTCAGGAATATACTTCAATTCAAAGTTATAAATTATTAATTTTAATCTTAATATTTTAATTCTAATATTCTGTATCTAGTCCAATGATTTTTTAATAATTGATGTTAAGGGCATATGATCTGTGTATATTGTTATATTACTGTGACCATATATATAATTATGCAATTTTTAACAAGAAAATATTATTGCTAGTAACTCCTCTATCTGTGAATACTCTATTTACGTTTTACTTAAGGATCTTGATGGAAAATAGACGGGTTTACCATTTTGCATAATACAACTGCCCAACACACACCCTTTGACGCATCACAATAAATTTCCACTAGTAACTTCACATCATTGGTACTAAAACTGTATTACTATAATATTTTTTAAAATGTCTATTGCCCTAGAATATTCTTTATTCCATGCCCAAATACTCTCTGTTTTTTAATAGCTGTCTTAAGGGCTCTGTTATTTTGGATATATTTGGTATAAAATTTCTTAAGAATCCTATCTGCCAAAAATCTTTGTAGTTCTACTTTACTATTTGGATATTTCAATTCTTTAATCAATTTAATTTTCTCTGGACTGGACTATATTGTCATGTTGTTCTAACGTATCTGCATATACTAATGTATCATCTATACATATCACCACTCCTGGTATATCCCCAAAATATTTGTAAACTAATTTTTGAAAAAATTCTGGTATGTTTGTTAACCTAAAAGGAGCTCTTAAAAATCTATATGTACCACATATTTTATTAAAACAACAGTGTTTACTGGACTCTTCATCCAGTTTTATGTGATAAAACCCAGTGTATATTAAACACTGAATAAAATTGTTTATGAGCTAATTTTAGTGCTAACTCCTTCAGTATTGGTATAATGAANCTTGAATTACTATAAATGGTATTAATCTAAAACTTTACACTTTATTATAATGCTCAACATATTCTTAGTTTACGAGATATATGCAAAAAGCTGAAAAAAGTCCGACAATTTTGAAGTTTTTACCTTCCCCCAAATTAGTACAGGGTTCTCGAAGCTGAAAACTTAGGATAGACATCCTAGAGTATCTAGCTACCAGCTAGATTTTCAGCTACCCTCGTATTTTTCATTATATTGACTAGACTAATTGTCTATTATCAGGTTTTTAAGTGAAAAATTTTTCAAAATGAATATTAGTGAGGAAGTCAAAATTATTTAAATTTTTTGTGAATGTAACCGTAGTGTTTGATAACCAACTCGGGTGTCCAGATAGGTTTCATCTACCTCACAATTGTCATCAAACTTTTACGAACGTATATCACCCCAGCCCCACCCATTTGGAATTTTGAAAAAATGTCTGTACATATATTCAGTATGCAATTTGTATAACTTCGCGTTATTGCAAATAAGCTATAGGTGGTTTCAGTTTTTTCAACTGGTAAAATCTCCAGATTCAGGTATATACAAATATGGTAAGTATTTTATGATATAATATTCTTAAATTAAGCATAAATTAATGATGGTTTATATAATAATATTACAATTTTATGAAGTTCCTAGAAACTTATGGACTTTTGAATTTCAAAAGTAATTTGTGTAAAAAACATTGGTTGAGTAGGAACCCGTATTATATTTTGTAATGTCAATGTAATATATCAACTTTTTTTAAAATATCTCTTTCAATTGGGTGCAACAATCAGACATATCCGATCACTAAATACGGATGTATCTTTTTTGTTTATTTTCTACCATAACAAGACAATAACAACGGACAAGACAGGCAGAATTAGTAAGATCCCTTTTTACTAGTAAGATCAGTTATCACTAATAATTGTATACGTTGGGTTGCCAGACGTCCCGTATATACGGGAATGTCCTTTTTTTTGACTAAGTGTCTCGTTGTCCCGGCAACTTGTCGGGACACTGAAATGTCCAGTTTGCTAAAATATGTACCCATATTATATATTGTATTTTTTTTTCGTTTTGAGATACCAATTACCTACTTGTTATTCATTATCACTATCCGTCGGCCACATAGATAATAGAAGATTATAATATAACCATATGACCATACCGACCGATACCATAGATCTATAAAGGTCTTTATAGGTCTATGACCGATACCGATTTCGTTTCTATTAATAGATTGTTATAATTTTATGTTATGTTTACCATTTCGCATATTATTATAAAATAGATTAGTCGATAAGAAAATTATTTTAATAACATTTTTAATATTATTTATTTTTATTATCTATTGATATAGAAGTATACGGAAAACTGATATAATTTTTAAAAAATATTAGATAGTTGAAAGAAGTAAAAATATTAAGTAAAGATTGTCCTATAGTTTAATTCATGATACTTCCATTAAAAAATGTCTAGCGGCGTTGTGATACAGTGAAACCTCTTAATACCTGACATTATCGGTCGCCAAAATTTCGTCCGTTATATGGAGGTGTCCGTTAAGGGAGATTTCACTGTATTTGAAGTAGACATTTTTTTAGTCCTGTATTTTGAATTTTGAAATCTGGTAACCCTATGTATACGATTTCTTTTGTATTTTATACACGGTCACGAATTAAGTTAGGTATATCTTAATCCGTGTACACGATTCAAGATCTACTTAAATCGTGATTTTATACCAGTTCTCGACAGGCCTTATCTTTTATCTATGGTATAATAAGGTATATGGAGTGGATAATAAATAATTGTTAACGTTATCTTTACTTAATCCTTATCATTCACCTTATCAATTTTTGAAATTTCAAAAATAATAATGGTTTTTTTATCATTTGACAATTATTAAATGACTTAAAGTAAACATAAACTTTCTTTCATAATGAATTGTATTTACTTTAAATTTATAGGTTTACATTTTCAAACAAAATTACATATAACATTAAACAAATTATTTTTTTCACATTCAACCGTTTCATTGAAAAATAAATGTGGTTCAAAAGGTCCTCCATGGCGTGTTATGTTTTTTGGCAATGATGATTTTTCTGTTAAAAGTCTCCAGATTCTGACATCCAAAATGTAATCACATTATATTCATCAAACATATTTGTTAATTTAATAAATAAATTAATGAATATTACCTACCTATAACAAAAATTACATATATTTTCCAATTAAGAATTATTTATTAATTTGTTTAATTTGTATTATAGGAGAACACAGACTATCATCTCCAAGTTAGATGTTGTGACAACATCCAAGGGAAATAGTAGACATGTCAGGCATGTTGCTAAAGAAGAAAAATTAAATATATATGATTGGCCTGTTACTGAAACGTGTTTAAATGGAAATTATGATATAGGAGTGGTTGTCTCGTTTGGACAATTAATACCAGAAAAGATTATAAAATGTTTTCCACTGTAAGAATACAATATAATTTTTAAACATTGTAGTATTACCTATGTATACATTTTGATGAATGATTTTAGTGATAGGAATAATTATACATCACAACCACATCAATTTAAAATAGTAAATCAGTATGTGGTAAATTGTGTTTTAATATTTTAAACATTAATTTTATCTTGAAGCTATTGATAAAATATTATGTTAAATCATTTAACAAACATTGTTAGGTTATGATATTTTCAATATTGTCTTTAAATTTAATATTTTACAATTTAATGTAATTTAGGTCATAAAACCTTAGAAAAAGTATTTTGAACCAAAAATGTAAACATCCAATTATCAAAAAATCAAATTTAATTTCTTTGTGTGTAGTAGGTGAGTTTAGATGTTTTATTTTTTTCCATAATTGGAGTGAATTCTGAGATATTATTTATAATATCGGTAATAGCATTCAAATATATGTATGTATATTTAAATTTTTAAAAATTTTTATTTGTTTATGGACTTATTGACCACTTACTGATTTTATTAAATTAACTTATTATCTTGTATATATTATATTTAAAAAAAAATTATTAAGAGACTAGGTATATCATTCATAATAATTATCAAAATTGTACCCTAATGAATGAATTGCTTAATCATGTTTCAGAGGAATGATAAATGTACACGCTAGTATTTTACCTAGATGGCGAGGAGCTGCACCTATTGTCTACACAATACTTAATGGTGATTTGACTTCTGGTGTAACAATAATGAAAATTCAACCTCGTAGGTAAATTTAGTAAATAATACTATTAAATACTACTATGTACTATTATTTTATTGTGTTATTTATTTATTTATTTATTCAATAATTGTTTATAAATTCTATTGAGATGCAATTTCAAAATAATATTACTACTAATTAGGTTTATTCATTTTAAATATAAAATAAGAATATTATCATAGTATGTTTATTTAAATATAGATTATGTGATTTGTGGATACAAATGGGATAGTTATCTTGATTTCATCATTTAAATAAATCACAGACATTTGTTTGCAATGATTGTCTTTTAGGGTAGAGTGGCTTTTATTTTTGAAATTGAAAATTTTAAGGAGTGCCCCCCAGAAATTGATTCCAATTAATCAAAAAATATGACTCAAATAATTTAAGCACAATTGGATCTTATTAAGTGAATATTTTTTATTTTTTTATTGGCTTATACATAAATCTTAATACTACAAAAAATTGTATTGAATCTTAATTGTAGAATTAGTTATTTTCTAAATAATTTGGTTTTTATACTTTTTCCTAATTTATACTTTTTCCATTAAAAATATTTAATGTTATTGAAACAATTTTAATTATTTTATTTAATTTAATTTTCTATAATTTGTATGTATACAAAAAATAATAACACATCCAATACAGATCTTATTCTTTATTAAAAATTATCTTTACCTGATAAAACAAAAAAATATTTAAAAATAATTGTTGATTAATTGTCAAATATTTTTCTTACCTAAATCAAAATTGCACTGAATTATCAAAACTTGTTTGATATTTTCATATAGTAGAAAATGACATTATCCATCAGCAAGTTTTTATATTGTGAAAAATATTGTTCGTTGTCCACTCAAGTGATTGGTGTATATTTAAAATAATTAATTTCACTAGCATTTAAATTTCCTAATTAACTCTTAAAACATATTTATATACTACTGATTTTTATGATAAAACATATTTTGATCAAACAAAAAAAAGTGGCCCGTGCAAAGTATAGTTTAGTTAATAAGGTAAAATTATAAATGTGTAGTGTGTACACAATACAATAAATTTGGATGTGTTAAAGCTGGGTATTAAACATGTCATATAGTGTTATTAATTAAATTTATGTTATTAAAAAATGTATTTCTTAGGTTTGATGTTGGTGAAATTGTTAGACAACATAGCTGTACAGTTGATAAAGATGAAACAGCTGAGGAATTAAAAAGGAAACTAGCAGATATGGGTGGTCGTTTGTTGGTTGACTGCTTTAAAGAATTAACTAGGACTTTGAGATCTGCTGTACCACAACCTGAAACTGGAATTACTTATGGTATAATATAAATAATATTGTACATATTATAGTTATAATAATATATTATATTGTACATTATAAAATGTCAGGTATTAACTATTTAGAAAATATAATTTTAGAGTTTTAAACTTTTACTGAAAATTATATATATTCACATTTCTTTAGAAGAATCAAAATATGAAAAAAAAAAATGTCATTAAAAATAATAAATATTGATACAAATAAATCAAATTTAAAAACAATTTTTAATTTTATTATGTTCAATTTAATTATTCATTATTTTAGATTTTGAATGGAGCAATATCTTAAAACCAATGAGTGTGGGGGGAGGTTATATTTGAAAATATATTTTAGGGCAATAAATATGTTCAAAAGTTGTTGACATTTTATTATAAATAGGTTATTTTCAAATTATGATATTATACAAATGATGAAAAATAATAAGCTCTGATCAGAATAATTTTGTCTAATAAGATAATAATTATTGCACTCAAATGTAAAATAATTAATACAAATATCTATTGTTGAAATAAATTATGTGAAATGAGGACCCATTTTCTATTATCTGGATCATCGTTGATTTACATTTAATAATAACATTATTTGGTTTTAGGGTTTCTAGTGCATAATAATATAGTAGATATAGAAAACTCCTATAAACTTGTGTTGTTTGTTGCTATGAACATGGTATTAATATAAAATATGAAACATTTTAAAGCTAATATTAAGATATATTAAAATAAAGTATTTATTTTAAAGACATTTTATGATTGACCTACCTATGTATAAAAACTTGAGCGCATTTGAAGAGTGCTATAATTGATTAATTATTATAATTTATCATTAGAACAAATATGTTAATAAAAATCTTATAGTTAATATAAAATAATATATTTTTAGCACCCAAAGTGGATAAAAGCATGGCAGACATTGATTGGAACGCAACAGACTCTAATACTGTTTATAACAAGTATCGAGCATTATGTGGTATATGGCCATTAACAACTACTTGGCATGGAACTACTGTCAAGTTATTAAAATTGTGCAAATATCAGATATCAAATTTAGAGATCCAGTTGAAACCTGGAGAATTATTATATGATAAGCAGAGACATAAATTAGCTGTTAAATGTGGTGGTAAAGGAGGGTATGTGTCTATTGAAGAACTAAAAATTCCTGGACATAGACCAATGTCAGGAAAAGATTTTTTTAATGGTTTCGTATATATGAAAGCGGAAAATGAAAGAAAATTTGATAGTACACTACGATAACTGGATTGTAGTATGTAAATTTCTCATTTATTTTCTATTTATATAACTTTTCCTAGTGAACATGGTTTTATATTAAAATCAATGTATAAATTAATATTTTAGTTACGAATAAATTTGTTACAAAGTTTGAATTAACAATACGGCTATTCTATTTTGTTTTAAGTTTAAATATTTCCGAAAGAAGTATAATACGATCCATGTAATAAAATATAATGCAAAACATATCAATAATTCACAATTTTATAATTTTGCATTTTAGATTCCTAAATTATCAAATTAATGAGAATGTATTGGTTTTAACATGATTATGTGCTTTTTATTTTTATTTTTTTAATGTGATAAGTATAATTTTGCTTATAGTAGATAGTTTTTTTTTATGTTACCTACTGTACTACACCATTTGGCTTAAAATTTCCATAATATAACTGTTGAGTAAACAATTATTTGTGAGTAAATCCAATAGTTATATTCGCGTGTGTTGAACTGGATAACGATATAAAAAAAATTAATATTATTTATATTTTATTCTCGCTTATGTATTTACTTGGGAATACTATGAATTATTATTATTTCTTAAAACCGTTTGGGCTCGAATACCCTTAGGGTTCATTTATGTTTTTATTTTGTCAGTCTCCGTTTTAATTTTATTATTTATATTGCAGGTAGGTACCTATCGTTTAAATATAAACATTTCTCTTCCGGTAGTTGACACAGGGTTTCGCGAAATGGCCGGGTACGTCTGGGCTTTGATAAATCATTTGAGCATTTCCGAGCTGTGCGCCAGTCCCGACTGTGTGTTGACTATAAATAATTTAGCAAAACGCGTCTTGAATACGCGAAAAGACAAATCGAGAAATCAACAACTCTTTTGGACGACATGCGTCATATTATTCATCTGTACAACCTAACTATAGGTCTGACCGATTCTGTCTTTAGTCCATAAATAATATATAATATTAAATAGTAAATATTTATTTGCATAATTACAGGCATCAGACTATTTTGAGTTCATACACCAAATAAATATCCACGTTTAAATTATATCGCTTCAAGTGCCGTTTTAGTAATGAAGCTTTCTTATTTGTATAAATGGGTATAGGTACACTACAGTTGCGGTCTTGCTGGTATGCAATGATTGCAACACGATATCTATTTCAATTCTCGTTGTCAATTTCATACTTTTATATCATTTCTTTTTAGTTGATAAACAATGAGGGGACCCCATAATACACCGGGTGTCGCCGGTTTCCGCCATAAATTACATTTCAGTTTTCCGCCAGTTATAAATTATAGGATTTTAACTTTGGGAACCCCTTTACCTAAATTAACAATACTAAATACTAATATTTTTGAATCTTTGGCATGGCGTTTCTTTGTTCAAAATTACCTAATTTGTATAGGGGATGAGCGACTGGTAAAGTATTAATTATTATGTCAATTTTTAGCATAACACTATCAATAATAATTAATAATAAATGGATCCATATTTTGTCTGCGTATGGCCGAGATCTAAAAATGTTGTGGTTCCCAATGACTCGGGACCATACATATTATTGTCGAGATCTGAATGTCTCCGACTGGTATACATTTTAATTGGAATATTTACCGGGCTCTTGATGACGCGGGATCCATTCGTCACGTTACCACTCAACGCACATCAAACACAGATCGTGAATATGAAAACAGTTCCGACAAATCGAAAAAAAAATGTTTTGATTAAATACATGTTAGGTACCTACCTATATTATGGACGTATACACAATATAATATATATATATATGTATAAATGTATATCAAAATGTGACTCGTTATTAACTGATAACTAAGCGCTATGATAAAATAATATTATAAAAAAGAATTAAACGTTTAGTTAAAGGGGTTATCAAACGTTAAAATCCTATAATTTATTACTGGCGGACGCCGGCGACACCCACTGTAGTGCTCACTCTTCCGACGATGTATACCTAATAATATTAGGCACCTATACACCAGGGTTGCCATGTGTCCCGGATTTCCCGGGACACTACCGGTTTCGTGACTTTTGTCGCGGTGTCCGAAATAAAGGCCCCGAGACACGGAAATGTCCCTGATTTACAGTTGAGAAAACACCAATTTTCAATACGTACTTACACGCCGCTTATCTATATTATTTGTCAATACGTTTATTTTGATCTATTTTTAATTTCCACTGTAGCGTAATAACTAATATCCTGAATTTATCGTCGTTAATATTATAATCTAATCTGGTGGTGTGCTAGTATGCACATAGGAAAGACATACACATGTAGTTCGTTGTTCGTATCCATCGACAATGTGTTTTGTTATTATTTATTGTTACGTTTATTTCTTTATTTGCATTTGTGATATTTTGTTATAATTATTTATTTTTCTTTCAAGTACTTTTTTTTATCATGCCACCAAAACGTTTAAGCCGTTTTACAGAAAAACTAGAAAGTGAGTTAACATTATAAAAAAAAGTGCGCAGTGTTAATGACTATGACGTATTTTGTACAATTTGCTCTAGTCCGTTTACAGTAAGTCATGGTGGATGATCCGATATTGCGGACAATTTAAAAACGATAAAGCATAAAACGGCAAAAAACGCTGCTTCATTGAGTTCAGTACGTACATTTTTTTTTAACAATTTAAAAGCTGACGACGATGTTTTGGAGAACAAAGATTTTTTGGAAAAAGTCCCACGACTCGTGTGCCGAATACTTTTTTTGAATAGCTAATTTTTTTTCTCCTACAAAAAGAATATTTACCAATAAATTTGGTCATAATAATAAATAAATTTAGACATGTTTTTCAGTATTTTTCTTTCAAAATATTGTATTATATTGGCAATAAATTGTAATATATTTTTATTAAATAAAATAACGGGGATATTATTATTTCCATACAATACTAAAAAAAAAAAAAAGGTTATTCAATATGATGTCCCGGTTTGGATTTTAAACCCTACTATATACTCACTTACGATTGTATTAATGGTCGGTAACCTTATCGTTTTTAGCTTAAGGTTTCGGGATTCAGAGCAGGTAGTTGATGTTAGAATACCACAGTAAACAAGAACGTCGCACGTTCCCTTTGCCGTAATCGATAATACTCGTAAATCTAATTAGCTATCCATACTGACGATTTCGCGATCGATTTTGTGGTTGCCGCAGCCGTACGCGTCTACGGAAGCCGCGTGCGTATACTTACGATACTATTTCAGAGCGTTTCGGATATAAAAAATATTCAATAAGAAAAACGGAAGTGCCGTGTGTCGTCACTTGCCGAGTGTGAATAACGGGGGTAATGGCGCTGTAGGACGTGTCAGGGACCAGACATGTGGTAATGCGAAAACAATGATATTGGGTATATTAAAAACAGTCGACAGTTTCCACTGAAAGGTACCATTATATTTACAGCGCGACGCATACATAATAATAATAATAATAATAATAATAATAATGTAATAAATTCAATAATATTTAGCCAATAAAATATATTATTTTAGTTCAACTTACATAAATAACATAAAATATTAGATAGGTGTATAATATACTTTATATAAACTGTTTTGAACGCGCAGCGTTATAATTATTACTAAAACTATATAAAATACAATATTAAATTTCGCACATGAAATAAATTAGGGGGGGGGGGGTATAGCCGTTTTTCGTATTAATTATACCCTTCAAATATACTCGTATATAAATATAATACAATATAGTTTCGACATTGTATGTACAGTGTTAGGCGCGTACCTTTACCCGTTTTTGGCCCACTAGATGTACAATAAATTTTATTATATCCATTGGAAACCGGTCGTATGATAAAATATCAATACATTCAAGGGCGTCCGTCTTAGAAAACCCAGGGAAGAGATAAAACTATACAAACATAATACGCACATCAAGTGGATTAAATAATTAAAATTACATTTTTTGAAATCGATTACGGATGAAAAACCTGCAGGAGGGAAACGCGTTCACCCGTTTGCTTCCCCTAATGGACGCCCGTGTTAACACAAGTTTACAAGTTTTTTTTTTCGAGATGTACACATTGACTGAAAATTAGTTTTTTTTTTCATCTTATGATATCAATGTCAAATATGTATGTGTATAGTCACGGTTTTGCAGAGTATTTTATTTAGGGAGGTTTGATTCGGTGATTCTTTTTTTTTTTTACCGTTATTTTATGAGTTTTAAATAGATTATTTTTGACTATTAAAACAGGAATATTCATTTTTAATTAAAAGTTACATTTAGACAGTTTTGCAACGCGTCTCGCCCCATCTCTTAAAATCGGTTACTGTACATAGTACGTGACTTTTGTATTGGTGGAAGTTTTTGTCCAGTAAAAGTCAGTTTAAACGGTATTTTTTTTTTCATAATATATAATGATAATATATAGGTACATATAACAATAATAATGAGTTAGAGGAAGAGCAATATTATAATGTTTTATATCTTGGACCACGTAATATATAATATTTATAAATTTAAATATTAGAAAAAAAAAAACTATTCAAACATATAATATTCACAATTATGTATTTTATTTTATATGTACAAGGTGTTTCATAATAGCTGTGCCATACTTTAGTTGACGGGGTGTTCCAATAACGATATTTTTGATATTTTTTTTCAGGTACCTCCGAAACCCTTATTTTTTACATTCATTCAAAGAATATTTGAGTGAGTTTAAAAATAAATGTTCCGTTAGATTTTCTGTAAATTCCTCATACGAATTGATATCTCGCATCATTATTGCACAATTATTGGCGCTCAATGTCGGCAAAACTGACAAATCTATTCGTATGAGAATTTTGAAAGGAATACCGTGGTTCAATTTTTGTTTTCGAAACAGAATACATCTGATTATTAAATAAGTAGAATTATCAACAAAAAAAACTATGGAAATTGATTTTTTCAAATATTGTTCAATATGACCATCATTCTTTTTTATGCGTTTTTTCATGCAGCGATACAATGAAATACAACTTTTTTAAAATAATTTTGGAATTGGCGATAATTTATTTTTGTAGCATAAGCTATTTTTTTTTCATAAATCCTCATACAAATTATCGTATCAATAGTGTTAAGTATCAAAACCTTTTCTTTGAATTATTATAGTTATAACATTTTAGTTGAGTATTTGAATGTTGTCTGATCATTCTAAGAGTGTTGTTAATTTTAATCTACCTATTTTATATTTTCAAACATTATTGTGTTGTCTTTTGCGTAGTATACCAAGTACCTAGTCATCAATATAACAATTTAAAATCGCTTAGAAGTTTATTTATGGGAGAATAACATTGTGAACTTTCACAAGACTAACATTTTAAACGTTTAAAGCTATGAGCTATTTCAAAACAGACATTTTGTAAAATACAATAATATGCATGGTTGTACGCAATATGTAATATAGTGTACACACAAGTATGGATTGAATTAAGTGTATTGTTATTATAGTTTCGTTTTGAATAAAGAAAATGTATAAGTAAAATAGAAATTTAATATTATTTATGGGTGATGTCAATCGTAATAATATAATGTATATGTATATTGTATTGAACATTATAGAAAACCAACAATTTATAATATTATAATAAATTCTTATAGTCTATAGACAAAAAAAAAAAAGGATCATAATTCAATTAATGTGAGTATTTATAAAGTGTATATTATATTTACAGTGAAGTGAACAGTACAAACTTAATTAAAAACAATATATCCAACTACTTATATTTACCTAAGCAATTTGTACGATGGACGATTAACAATAAAATAATACAATTTTTATTTTTGATGTATATAAATATTACTAACTATACCATATATTATGGGTGGACGGACGAAACGCGGACACTTTTATTGATTTAAGTACATATGATGTGACACACCATGAACATGTATGCGTATTATCATTATAAATACTATACGTATTTAATATTTATAATCAATAATATTATACAGATTGTACCAGAGACAGATGGTGCATTCTACAAGATTTTATCATCGTAATATAATTTTTATAATTTTTTTTAATGATAAAACTGAGTTTATCGGGTTTATTAGTAAAATGCCCATAGCAAATAAAAATAAACCATACCAAAGAGCTCATTCGATATTTTATAATTCAAAAAAAAAAAAATAACATTGATTCTATGGAAATTCTTGAAAAATGTACACACTTACTCATGTGACGCGCTAAAATTATAATGATTTGGATGATAAATAAAAAAAGAGGCAATAACGATAATTTTTGAAAAAAATCTTGTCAGCCCTTATTTTTGTAGGAAAAATACCAAACATAAAAAACTTAAAAAATAAAATAAAAAATGATCATATCATAATCAATGAACGAACAAACATTTGTTGTGGAGCTAAATAAGTGTACAGGTACTTGACCTGAAATGCCGGAGTTTTGAAAGAATACATGAGTACCTATATTATTATATATTAGTATGAAAACAAAAGAAAAAAAATATCAGTATACAGGTACCAATAATTACTATATTATATGTACTTACGGGTATTACTGCTATTTATTATATAGCTATAGTTATTATGATGGTGTGTGATGGTAAAATACTAAAATCCAAGTCATAAAAAGAACGGATAAAAATCGAGAGGTTTTTGATCATTATAGCGCGCATGAAATAAATAGTTGACTGTACAATATATTCGATCGATACATAATATATAATATATAGTACCTATCAGTAGCCTATATGTACATGGAGGGGAGGGGGTACATAGTGTGCCGCAGCCCTCCGAAATGTATTTCTCGAGTGATCGATTTTAGGTAAAACTCATAAAACCATCCCATATCTACTATGTCTTCTAGTCCATAATGTAAATTAAATTATATTTATATAATTAAATATTTGTTATCATTTTATTTTGGAATTCATAATATATCATAATAATAATAGTCTTACAATATCATTACCTAGTTTCATTTTCAGATATGTTTTTTCAGCGGATCATATCGACAACAATCGCCTACCACTCACCAGTTCACTCAAAATAATACCTACAGACAAACGACACCTGTGTTAGATTTTATTTTATATTTTTTAATTATTTTATGTAGGTACCCACTTCATTCTGTACTTAGCATGATTCTAATAATTGATTATTATCAATATTAAGGACTAGGTACCTATTATTTTTATACACCTACCCACTCATTAATAATTACTGGAATACTAGGTAATCAATAAATTTAATTTAACTTATTTTATTAATAAAAAAAAAACTTTCTTATTCTAAGCACTTCTTGTTCAACTTCAAACTTTTTAAAACCACTATCCATTATATCCTACCTCGAAAATATTGTCTATGGATACGTTACGCTACGGATACCTATACTCTGCTTATAGGTACGATAGTGAAACGAACTTAAATCTATAGTCTATGCGAGCATTTACATAGGAGTGATGGAGGAGTATATTGTATATACCTACGTAATATTGTATAATATAATATCGAACATGTCCTTTATTATTATACCTTTACCCGGAAATTCGAAATTTGCGTATAACACATGTATTGCGTGCCTAAAACAATCGCGTACAAGCTACCTATATTGTTATTTAGACTAAAAAAAAAAAAGGAAAAGAGTACGAGACTTAGGTTCAGTTTTTGGAGCTAGTTAGGTGTATAGGCCTACCTAGACACCTACCTAGACAATGTGTGGTGCGCTAATAAAATATTGAGATAAAAAAAAAATGTTGAGGATTTTGCGGACCAGTTTGGGTACAACAATAATTTAATAATATATAGATACATAAATTATATAATAGTTATTTGGTATAGTAGCATAGGTATTTCTATTTACATAGATGGACGAACGAATAGATAATAAGTACACGATTCTACGTCTAACGTCGGAACGGAGACGATATTTATAGTGAGGATTAGATGTGGAAGTTTATTCTTATAAGGAGCCGACGATTTGTAGGACCCAAATTGAGTACAAGTCTAAAAATAGTTTAATGAAAAAAAAAAAAGAAAATAGTGAACATCGTAATGTGCAGAAACGTATTGTGCCCTTTCGTGCAGAAATAGTATACATTTAAATTTTAAAATTGTTCAAGAAATATATTAAATAAAATTTAATATCTTTGAAAAAATTTAAAAACAAATTGTACGTTAATAACTATAAATATTATAATTTATATGGTTAGATATTTTAATCTGTACGTTTCTGCAGTAATTTTATGAAATATTATAAAACTCGATAGGTGCTTAAGGAGTTTTTGTAATTATACATTTACACGTTATTATACTTAGTCACTTGAATAAATAATTTACCTATACATCAAAGATTAATTTTTCGAAGCACCGGTCACCTGTTCTGGAAATTAATATGTAGGTGTATTTTTTCGGGCTATTCGGTATAATTATAATTAAGTATATTCATAAGATTTCGAGCAGTTATGATTCTGAAATGGAGATTTTTAGAAATGGAGAAACTAGAGATTTTAGCGTTTAGCGTTGACCGCAATAATCATAAGAAATTAGACGGATGATAATTAAACGCGAAAAAATAAATCGAAGTTTTTTAACTTTTGAGGATAACAATATTAGGCGACTAATAATAACGTTGACGCGAAGTTCCATTTTGTTTAACACGTATTATTATATACGGATTTGTACTTTTATTTATTTATTGTTTTGGTTTTTTTACCATTTCAGCCTCTAGAACAGTCGGTTATTGTTTATTTTTCAAATAATCTCGACCATCTGATTGCGGTTGACGCTAAGCAGTAACCTGCCTACGTCAAGTGTGAACCCTCTTCGAGTCCGCGTATGTCGTCCGTCCAAACCGGACCCAATAATTACGTTTCCATGTAGAAAAACATTTTCCACGGATAAGGTTACCTATACTTATTTATACTACGTTTTTTTCAGGCGGTGGAGTAAGTACTTGAGTTTCGAGAGGAGCCGGACTACAATAATTTCCTGCTTTTTATTTTTTTATTTTTTTTTTTTTTATGCCATTCTTCACACGAATTATACATAATACTATTTTATATTACAGCAAGCATTATAGGAGGCATTATATACCTAAACGCACGCAGTACGTATATTAATCTCTATTCTTTTTCATAATATTATTATATTATACGAATGATAAAAATTACTTAATATAATTATATACATAAAGCAGATTAAATGTCTATGTCCTATACACGAATAAACTGCAGGAATTATGAAGCAATAAAATATATATAACGCACCATTATGACTACATACCGCAATTCTAAGCTAAAATATAATACGCTATAAGTATAATAATATCTAGGTAGGTTTTTTTTTTTTGATTTAATACGGTATTATTATCTATTTAATTTTTTATTGTTATAATTATTTACGTTTAGTTTTCGTGTAAATACGTAAAACATTATGATACGAGCGGTTTCATTTTACGTTTTTTTTTTTTTTTTAAATATTATATCGCGTAATATATTTTGTATAATATATTATTATTATTTGAAGGGCATGAGGAAAAGTAGGGTACAGTAGTCCATTTTCGAAAATTGTTCAGCAAATCCAAACATCTCTACATGTGCACGTAATACATTCTATTTGAACCAGTATAATACATTCAATATACATTTTACTTTCAATGTTATCTAAATGAGATCTTTTTTTCGCCGATTAGAACTCAACGTTCGATAATGGTCTCAAACCACCATCGAATGGTACCATTATTATCTCAAATATGGGTTACTATTACCCTTTTTCCGCAACACCCTTTATATTATATATGACTCGTAAAGTAACAGCATTGTTTATTATTGTTCGGAAATTTCTGCAAAATCAGAAGTATGAATTAGGCATACCGCCCCCTGCAACCGGGGCGTTACATTTACGATCGCATGGCCGACAGATACACCTGAAACATAATACCGCATCCTAGGTGTTTTCACCGAAAAAGTCAAAGACCCCATATCGCGAACTTTTCGTTATACCCAGGTATATTTATGTATATATTTATATATATGTACCTATATACTTATATTTTAATGTAAATGGTTTGATTTTTCCGCGATGACGACAGTGCCGAAAATGACAAACTTGGTGTTTTTTTTTAGTGGAGAGAGGGGAAAGGGGAAAAGAGATTTGAATGGGATACGTGTTTTAGTGTTGCAAGTAATAAGGCCAATAAAGCGCATTGAACGCCATGAAAGCGACTGGAAATAGCAGCCTGGAGTATTCGTCGATTTTTCTTGCTAACACTGTGTTGGTTTCCACAGACGATGAGTAGGCGCATTCTTGTTGCAAAATTTTTTTCACCTAATTCAACAGAAAATATATTATTGGTACAGGTATTAAAAAAAAGAAATTGATATGGCACATGACGTGTTCACGTGTCACTGCCATCATGTCGTTTTTTTATAATATACGCGGTGACTGCGGTATGATCTGAATTCTGTGATGTCCGAAAAATGTTCATGAAATGTGTATACCTACCAACCTATGTACGTGTTATATGTAAAATAAATTTGCATTTTAAGTGTTTGGAAAAAAAAAAAAACGTAAAATATGTACTTTTGAGTCCGAAAAAAAACACGTAAAAAAATAATATTTATACCTATATATATACATATATTTAAGTGTCGAAGGAATAAAAACCGTAAAAAAAGTGTATTTTTAAGCGAAGGGAGATAAAAAATAAAATTGAAATACGAGGATGGATTTTAAAAGTTTTTCATATTCGTTATAGTATGATAATCCGAAATGCATTGTAACCTATATACCTATGCATACACAAAATAATAATAATGTAAACATTATTTTTTTCCTCCTCGAGAAAAAACAATAAAATATTCAATTTTTATTTTTTGGAGTAGTACCTACATTTAATCATTAATAATACAGAGATTTTTGTTCAAGGCAATAAAAGTATCAGTAGAAAAAATTAAATATCAATAAAAATTGTTTTTGGCGAAAATTTAAGAAAATATGCAAAATTGGGTATTTTAACGGTTATCGTCGTCTAAAACGGAAATAATGAAATTCCACTAATGTTTTCCGAACAAAATATATTATTATTCATATCAGGCCCGTATGTGTATTACCAAAGCTTCTATATAGCCCCAGCGTCGTGACCAAATACGCTGATCCTATCATTGGCTGGTTTGAAAGTAGGTGGTTAAAATAGGATTTCTGATTGGCCGATTTAAAATAGCACGTTAAAATATCGTGTTATCATCATAGTAGATAGTAGCAAAATTATTTCGTCTTGAGACGTTCGGAAATTTCCAATCATTCGACATGTCGGACTTTTGTCGAAAATAAACTACGATTTGTTATACGAAACCGCCCGGAGTAGGTAAAAATAAAAATTGTTTTACAATATAGTCTGATTCGAACCTGACCACGTGGAGTGGTGACGATATCGTAATAGCAAACCTACTTAGATATAATCACCGATTGGTCGCTGAATGTCCTCGAACCAGCTAAATGAAAACAGTGTGCACTTCACCTGTTTGAACACGGCGATGGGACTATAACTACATTTAGAGGCTTTGCTTATACGTTGCCCGCAGTTTGCTATAATTATTTCTACAATGGCGATGTATATAATAATAGGTATTATTATGGTTATGATATGGTATTATGGTTATTACCACGCTGACTGGTATGACCGGCGACGCTGTTAAATTTTCTTCGTACGATTTCGAACTCGCCGTGCCACCGTTGACCGGTTCAGTTAAAAGGTTTTTCAATATATCCGGCCTGAGTTTCCGCCACATGTAGTTGACCACAGTGAATTCGAGCAATGCGCAGAATACAAACGCTATAACGACAAACGCAATCTCAATAAATAAATTATATTTTATCTGATCATAGATTTTATTATACATGTGTAAAATATATAAGCTGACGAGCTACTACAGTGAAAACGTTAAAAGCTAAGTTAATTTTTTGAAAATTTAATTATAATCAAATAAATACAACTTGTTAGAAAATAAATATATTAGTCGTGATAACTTAATTATTTACTGTCCCTTTAAATGTATAATAATTTATAGCTATACTGCAAGAATTCTAACCGATAACTGCTGGAGTAAACAAAATAAAGTATCTTGTATTTACATTTCTTTTTTTCATTGCATTTTATAGTTATTGAAAGGTTTTATAATTGATGTAGTGAGATTTAGATTGCTACCTTTTCCATCAAATTTGTGACCAAATATTCTATATTTACAAACTGCACTTCATTCACCAATTTTTGAATTAACAACCAAAGAAAAACGTTTAATTACTCTTAATTGAAATTTGTAATTTTCATCTAGTGTCATATTATTTAAATAAGACTTAAGTCTTTTTTTCCAAACAAAAAGTTACGTCATATAGCTAGAGATATATCTATTTAAAATATTTTAATTTTGAGTGTAAAATCCGTTAGAGTATACATACACTTCTGCTATTTAGATCAAAAAATGATGGGAACAAATTGCGTAAGGCAAAATAAGAAATAAAAAAAAAGTTAAATATTGACTTATGTGAGTCCTTCTTCTTTGGGGAAGGTTAACCCAAACCTAACCTAACCTAAACTGAATGATCGTTTATTTAGATTTTTTAAATATTTACTTAATAAGCAAAAAAATAAAAAAAAATACGTCCTTACCAGTGCAAGTGCCCATCCATACGTCTATAGCCTTGACGTAACTCACTTGGGGCAGACCGCTTTGGATGCCTGAGAAATAATTTTTTTTTTTTAAGTTTCAACGATGATCAATAATGGAAGTCGATATATAGATCGTATATTAATTATTGTACCCGAAGATTGCGAACCGACAGCTAGCAGCGTCGTCACGCCTAACGTGGTCCGGCCTGGCACTGAGTCCACGTCCATCCAAAACGACACCCAGGAAATCACTACGATCAGCATCGTCGGCAAATAGCTCTGGACTAAATGAAAACCCACGCTTCGGCTGAGGTAAAACTGTGCCACTAGACAGCTGTAATTGCCTGGGGACAAAAAAATAAAATATATAAATAATTGTGACTACCTATATAATGAATTTAAAAAAGTGGGTAAGTACTTAGTATATTATTCGAATACATATGACAATAATAATAATCAACCAATTTCTTAAAAAATACCAATTTGTATATTTTTTTGAAATTCAGTACCTATAAGTTAAAATAATTTTGATGAATTGGGAATACATTTGTTTTGAAAAGGGTAGTTGTACCGTTTGCATATTATACTATGAGAGAATGCCAGAAATTATTAATTTTCCAATAACCGTTCTGTTATTGGATATCGTTTTCAATAAAAATATTGGTTTGGATCTACACGCGTAAATAGTATATAATGATATGGTTACGTGGTTTTTTTTTTTAGCTATATCCATATTATGCATGACAATTATTGAACAAACTGTGCCGGTTCATATTTATTGGTGTGACGTGGCGTGGGACTCGGAGGTGTTCAGACTTATTTGAAAAAACTTTAAAACTATTGTGACTATAAAAACAAAAAAATGCGTGGCTAATAAACATTTGTTTGAGTATTAAAAGTCTAGAATGTTTCGCTAACTGAATATTTCAACACTGATAAGTATTTTATCTACCACATCCACGCATGGATAATTAATAACTAAGTTTCTCGGGGTACAAAGAAAGTTTATTGGATCTTATTTTTGTTCGATTACATAACCATTGCACAGATGTTTCTAAAAATCGTTGAACGGCGAGAAGAAATGTTATCGGCCGAAAAGGGAACGCTGCAGTTGCGGAAGTCATAAGCCACTGTAATATTATATTATTATTGTATTGTGAGACCTGGGTTCGTGCGTGACGACGACGGGTGGACCCGGAGCGAGACTAATGATCCTATTTTGAAAACCGGGAATGACTCGTACACGCGGTATATTGTAAAACAGTTATAATAATATGACATTAAGACAAAAATTCGGTAGAAGGTGGTAATAGGTACAAGGCACCTGTATTGTGTACATTTACCTCTATACCGTCTACCTATTTATATACGAGTAGAAACAAGCGCGATCGGATTCTACACGGGGTTTTTTTAAAGGGATTTCCGTTCGAGTAATAATAACTAATGAGTACAGGAACTTGTATATTGTTATTATCTATACCTATATTATATATATTTTTTTTTGTATTTTTTATTATTTCCTCTCGGATTTATCCGTTTGCGAAACACGCGTTGACCCGTGCACCTACACCTAAATACTCGTACATGTAGGTGTATATTGCCCGCACGCAAGTTAGAAGTAGGTTGGTGGTACTAATAACCGGGTAGTTTCGGGTCCTCCGGCTTATTCCGCGCCGATGGCTTTTATACGCAGTTTCTGCAGGGTGTACATCCACATTATTATTATTATTATTATTATTATTATTACGGAGACGACGACGTAGATGCCCGCGATGTTTATGTATATTATAATGTTATTATATAGGTTAGGAACACTCTTCGTTGTATAGGTGTATAATATATATATATATATATATATTCTAGTGACTTCATTTGTTATTTCGTCTGCGAGCGAGTTCGTTTCCTTCGACCGGCCGCCCCGGCGAACGAGCGGGGACGGCCGTCGGGAGGAATCCACTCGAGATTGATTATCATTTCGCCTGCGTTTGAATATTATTATTATTTGTAACTATATATGCATACACCCACCTAAGTAGGTAGATACGGTACTTTCGGTTTGGCCGAAAATGTCTCTCTGTATACAAGGTGATCTAGTGGGTACACTCGTTATCTGGGAAAATGCTAATTTTTTTTTTTTGGGAATTTGTTTTATAGAACATTTAAGAAACAAGCAGCTTTATAATTTTTATATTTACGTTATTTTTTTCCATGATTATTTTTCGGGGTAAAACGACTACCTAATTTTGATTTTCAAACGGCAACCTATATCGACAGTTTCACAAATGGATGGAGTATTAGTTAATATACATTTTGGTGTTGACATTTTTGATTTCCGTCAACCCGTTGACGAGATATTCTACTTTTAAGTTTCGGTCAGGGAAAAGTAGTGGTGCATTATTAACACGTCACGCGCTGTGCCGCTGCACAAAATATGATTGTCCACAACACTTTGCCGATTCAAACTTAAAAGCGGACATTTTCGCCAATGAGATGACGGAAATCAAAAATTATTTATGAAATGTTTAATATAGGTTGTCATTTGACAATAAGAGTATTAGGTAGTGGTTTTATCCAAAAAAATAAGGGTGACGCAAAATAACATGAATACAACATTTTAGAGCTGCTTGTTTTTTTAAAATAAATTCTATAAAACAAATTCCGAATAAATTTTATACTTTCCGAGATAATGAGTGTACTCACTTAAATTGGATCACCTTGTAAACATATGCCGTAGTTGATGTTGTAAAATCGGTTAATGTCTGTATATTTATACTTTTTGTATATTATGAAGTCGATTTTGTGCTGTTAGTTTTAATATTACTGTGTATTATCAAATTTAAAGGATAACATTGTCTGTTTTTGTACGTTGGTTTTTTTTTCGATGTTTTAATTTTCAAGCGAGTTACGAATATATGTAATATTATAATTTAAAAATCATCGAAACTGGCTTAAAAATTAGAATATCGAAAAAAAAAACGATATAAAACGTACAAACACAGACATTCACTTTTTTCACTTTTTAAAATATTTCCTCAATTTCCCTCAATTAAAAATCCTGAGAACGCCTCTGTAGGTAGTACAAAACTATGTAATTACGGTCAAATAGGCAAAAGAAAACTGTGTAAATAATAAGGATTCGTAAACATTATTAACAAAAATCGAAAAATATGAAAATGAAGAAAAATTAAGAAGTAAAATAAAAAAACCGTGTTGTAATAATATTATAATCGGCAAATTTTTTTCCACGGATTTTCTGTACGTTTCTTCATGTACTTTTAATATTATGATGGTTTAATATTTTAAAATATTATTGTTGTTATATTATATAAATCGCGATATAACAGCCGCAAGTATCTAATATACGTACGGATAAATAATTATTTTCTGGTGCATGCAATATATTTTTTTTTATACTGTGATTTCAATTGAATTCGATCTCAGAATATTATTTTTAAGTCTGTTTTTAGTTTAGACATTTTTAGATGTATTAACACACAATGGACTATATTATTTCTTTTTTTTGAAAATAAATTGAAATAAGTACCTTAGCAATTGTCGGTATATCTGCCTACAACCGAAAAAATCACGAACATTTGTAATTTTTTTCTTTTAAATTATCCCGTACAACTGTAGACTGTTCAATTTAATCATTTTTTTTTTAGAATATGTATATATTTAACAATGTATGGAAAAAATATTATTATTATACTAAAAGTAATCGAATTACAATGAAAACGATAACTCGCAGACTTTGCAAGTTTATACGAATCTGAGGGTAACATTTAATTTAAAACATAAAATATTATTTACGGTACATTGTATTTTTTAATACCTATATACATTTAAATGTGTAGCGGTCTGCAGTTGATATATGATGTATAAATTGATCTACTACACATCGATTATTCCCGAACGAATGTATTATTTTAATTTATGCTTTTACGAGTAATTAAAACGCTGAAAATTATTTTGTTAAAGTTCTACATGGTGTGTAGCAACAGTATTGAAAGTTTAATAAATAATACCTATTTCTAAAAAAATAAAAAAAATTTTGGTTTTAAATAAACTATCTTTAGACAAATACAACTACTCGAATACCACTAAACTATTCAAATAGGTAGGTTTACGGTTTACACAGAAACATGATGTTATGCGCAGAATAATAATGCATAAGTACCTCCTATAAAATACTAATAGGTAAGCATATTTGAAAAAAAAAAAATTAGATTATCATGTTGAAATTTAATTATTTAAACAATAAATTAATAGTTTTGTTATTTTAAAAAATGGTAATACTCCTAGTAATACTCCTAGGTAATACTCCATAGTTTGAAACTTACTGTAAATAGGTTTTAATTATATTTTGATTTTTACCTTTATCTTACGTACATAAAAATATTGAGTAGATATTTTTATGCTAAAAGCGTGTCATAAGTGTGAAAAAAAAAATCACAAACCAACTTGGAAATATTATTTTTAGTTAATGGAATTCTCGTGTTATAAAATTAAAATAATAATTTTTTTTTTATAAATGTGTGTCCTCGGGTTAGTATTATGACTGTGTAGTCGTGTACAACGCGAATAAACACACACGTACATTTATTTCGCATTTGTTTTTTAACTATAAATTGTTCAGCATTACATTGTATTTTCTTTTTAGATATGTGCGTGATGATAACAATTATTTTCTTATAATATGCGGCTCGTAGAATATTATAGCTAAGTGTTGCGGTACCAATCATCATCAATAAACGGTATAATAAGTTTTAATGTTTAGAATATTCGGTTACCTACTTATTCAATTAAGAACAAAAAAATAAAAAAATTGAAGTTTCCAGACTTGTATTATATTTTAGTCTGTAGGAGATATAAAACCTGGTGTTTCCTGTGAAAACATAATATTTAAACATAAAATTGATCGGGCATGGAATTGACAGTTAATACCCCAAAAGGCACATCCTTGAGTCTTAAATAATGAATATTCAAACTTTTATTCCTCTGTCTTTATTTGGGGGATCTTTAGGAGTGTAAGAAACACTGAAAACCATTCTCCTTTCGTAATTCATAATGAAATTATAAACTAAAATTGTATATTTACAATTCGAGTATAAAATAACTCTAATTTTTCAATTTGAGTTCATTTGGTCTAGAAGAAGCCAAAAGTTGCCGAAAAAATATGAGTATATACAGGGACGATTTTAGGAATCATATTTTGTACGGGCACTTATAATATATGATAGGCTTATAAATAAGGTTCGGGAATTTTAGGATTTGTATATTATTTTTGAAAGATTAAACAAATAGAATAGAACATAAGTAATGCTCATCATGTAAGGAATCTAAATTCTAAATTTTATTTTGCATATATTTGCATATTTTACGATTTTTGCTTTTTAGAACATATTTTAGCAGTACATGTAGCTTTAAAGTACTATAAAAGGACATGATATAGGTACTTAGTACCATTTATTACTATTCATATCTTATTTTATTGTATGCCACGTATTATACTATTATATACGCGTTTTACGATTTACATAGTTCAAATCCATATACACTGATGTGCGATAACATAGTCGAATGGACCATTATAAAATAGTTAATTTATATAATAAAAAAGTAAAGAGTTTTTGATTAATAACTTTCAAATTATTCATCTCAAAACACAAAGTTTTATGAAAATAATAAGGACCGAGGAAATCTAAATTATAAATTATACCTAATTTCCTTTTTTTTTGAAAATATATGGTGTACTGTAAACAAATGGAATTTATTATCGAGATGATTAAATACTAAACACAAAAATTGGGAAATACTATAATTTTTTCAATTAATAATCCCTAGTATTTTACTTATACACAAAATTGAACTATTTTAAAAGGTGATAAATTATTTTGCTACGGATAGCTGTCTACCATTCCCGTACGCTAGAACTGCTATTGAGTATATATTATATACATACCACTCGTTTTTTATGACATAATACAATTATAGTTGCAAAATTTGTTTTATATCTATATAGGAATATTTATGTAGGTATTTACCTAATGCAGAAAATCTAATTCCTCGTAAATGATTACCTATTCAGGCACATGGATAGTAATCATTATTTTTTCTCATACACGTACAACCACAATTTGTCTACCAGAAATCTTGTTCCGGTCATCAATTTTTACTATTTCCGACTTATGTGGATATTATACAATTATTTTGATTCATGAAAAATGATCAAAAATTTGAGACCAAGAAACAAGGTGAGTTATTGTAATTTAATTTGTAGTTACAAATTATTGAAAATTATTGAACTTTTAAAAACGATATGTTTAACAAAACTTCGCTCAAAGTCATTTTCTGTTTGTCTGCAGACTAAAAACTCATAAACTAAATTACCCTATAATATATCCTACCTTCCAACGTATTACAACAGCGTTCAGTAGTGACCAATCGGCACATACGGTACGAGGTACCCATAAGCCCTTCTCTTTTCTTTCCTCTTTTTTTGAGCTCGCTTATTCACGACATGTAAACACTATATGCCAGCGCCTGTGGAAGGTATGTGTGACCCGTGCGATCACACGGGGCGAACAATTTTTTGGAATTTTAGGGAAGGCATCTTTCATAAATAATGTGAAATTCAATGTGAATCTAAAATAAAAATAATGCATATTATATTCTTTTGATTGGCTCTTTTGATTATGTAGTAATAAATAAGTACCTATTAATAAACAATATAATATGGACTAGCCGTTAGTATAGTAGCTCCGCACGATTGTCTTAACTGTTTCCAATTAGCAAACATCAGCTATATCAAATCACGGCAATCACGATAAAGTCGAATAGACGCACTTAAACCGTTTCGGTATTACATAGAAGAAATTTATGATGCTTTATTTGAAATATCAGAAAACAAAAATTTAGATCTAGTAGTTAAACATGAAACTAAATGTTTATGCAATTTAATAAAAACGTTTAAATTTATTTGTTCTATAGTTATTTGGTACGACATACTTAATCATATAAATCCAATCAGTAAATTAATGCAAAAACTAAATGTTGACATATATCTTTAGCTTTGGGCATTTTAGAAACTTTATTAAAACATTTAAAGGAACTAAGATCAGAAGAATCCTTTGAGAAAATTGTTATAGATTCAACAGTACTTGCAACGGAAATGAGAGTAGAGTCTTACAAGTCTTAATAAACTTAACAAACTTCTGAGAAAAAAACAATTATTTCGGTACTGTTATTTTTATTTGATTAGATAACTTAAATTTAAAAAGTTATTAATTTGAAGTTTAAGTATAATAAGAAATTGGAATAATGTAAATAAATAAATTGATTATTTGTATTTTAGATTCTGAGTGAAGCGAAGAAGCTTATGGTTTTACATGTTTTATTTTACATATTTTAGATATTATTTTTTTTCTGCGGATAACTATTCTACCAGCAATTTTGCTTTGATTTGCAATATAGCATTTTTTCTGAAAGGAAATCTGACTGGGAAGTTACTACAGGGATGCCATTTTCAGATTTTCTCAAGAATTTTTCCAGCAAATGTGAAAAACCAGGTAAAAACACGAGAAATCCGAGAAAATCGAGATTCATTTTAATTTTGGAATTGAAATAGTTGACATTTTACCATAATATGACATATTTATTGATGACAAAGCAGCAATATAAACTGAGTTCCGTTAAAATCGTTTTTTCGTTAGCAATGGTTTATCGTTACTTACAGGTCTATATCAAATTATTTATAACAGTAGCCGCACTCCGCACCCGACTCCATTATTCCAGGACGTCTCTTTTTTTTTTTATTCTTATTAAATAAAGGTATTGTGCTTTAATTCAATCTACTTATAATTAATTAAATTTTCGGAAAACAAAATTTTACCGTTTTATCTCCATACAATACAACCTAGTTTTTAATCAATTTTGTTATTTTGTATACTAATTATATTTATAAAAATTTATTGTAAGGGGTGCCATTTTTTTTAAATTTCACAGGGCGGCAAAATACTTGGCGCTGGCCCTGAGTCTATATCGGTTGTCCTACTGTTTATTATTCACGCGGGCGTTTATATGTACAGTTAGTAGTGAAGTGTATATTTAAATCCGAACGTCCGCAATATTAATGAACTGCATGCGTAGGAGAATGCCCCAGACGATTAATATGAAAAATGGGTGACCCTTAATGCATTGTATAATACACGTATACATTTTGATTTAAGTTTATATGATACCTATATTCGTTTGTATATTATAATATATAATAAAGCATTGTCGTCGCTACGTTTACCTATATACATATTATATATATTATATTATATATCTGTTAGATTTAATTTCGAATAATAAAAACAATAATATTGACGATTTTTCTCCTAAAATAAAAACTATTGCACTGTATTGAGATTGGTATAATAATGTCGCACTACATTATTATTGAATTATAATTTAATTTAGTTTGTTTAGTTTTAGATCAAGTACTACAAAATATAATATGACTATTATATAATATAAAAACGAGGGTTTTTTTTAATTGCTTATAATCATTATACAATGTACAATATTCAAATACAATAACGGTTCCAATATCGAAAAATCATCTTTTTATACATATACGAGTCGTATAAGGTTTTTAGTTTTATTACAGTAATAAAATTAGTATTTTGCTAGTGTAATATCACTACGTTCTATTTATACAATAATGTAACTGTATAGTTTATTTAAATGTAAAAATCATATTGAATTGTAAAAATACTGCAGTATTGATTTTTCTATTTCAAAATGCATAATGTAGTCAGTAGATAAAGGTTTTTTTTTTTAATAATATACTTATCTAAAAGACTTAATTTTAAAGTAAACGAACAAAACAATGAATTATTTTTTTATTTTTAGTTTTTTTACTATTTTAATTTTAACTAAATTCATTTGAATAACTAACGAATAGTTATATTAACTTATAATTATTTTATCATTTTTACCATAAAAATGTTTGTATAGTATTAGAAGTATTTTGTTGATTATAATATTATTAATATTAGTATAACTAGTAAAAATACAAAACATTCAATCAAAAACAGCCGGATACATATTGCACTATAGGTGGGCTATTGTTGTATGGATAAGAGATTGCAAAAGTGGGGTATATAAAATAATATAATTTATATTTGTACGCAAAGATAAAAAATTGTAAACGAAAAATGATGTTGTACAAAGTTTTTATATATTTGAATTGGAAATTATATTCATTTAGTTAATTTAGTAGGTACTATAAAAAAAAATAATATTTTGTCCACGTTTTTGATACATTTTAAAAGATATTTGAACGTTAAACACTAATCAAAATTATTTGTGTCCACATACAACTAAGAAGGAACACTAGAATGTTCTGAAAATCGCTCCACATCTAAAAAATGATAATATAAGTACGCGGTTAATATTTCAGGTTCATACGAATATTTTCCATTAATTTTTAACAATAAAACAAAATAGAAAATATTAGAAACTGTTATTGAGTAATATTTCCGTTTTCTGGAGTTTCTCTCCAGATTTTCTCTGTTATTAAGGTACAAGAAATATCAAAAATTTTCATCCAATGCACCAACTATATAAAATTTGTAATTAAAAATGTTCATCCCTGAATTTAATGATCGGAGATTTCAAATAAAAAGGTTGTTGATAGATTACAGATAGAAAAATAAAAATAAAATAAAGCCAATACATTTAAAAAAATTATTTTAGCAACACAAAAACCATATTCAATTGAAAAATGTGGTGGCAGGATATTCAACATATATAACATAATATGTTGCAGTCGTACTTATTTTTTTTACTTTTACTTATTTCGGTATCAGTTTTAAAACGGTTACGAAATTGTTTGCTGTAATATGAAATGAAAATAAAGTTATTGTTTGTTTTAGGATTAGGATTTCGGTAACAGATTTGATTGGGTTTTTATTAGTTTTTGTCGTATGGAAATATTTGATATTTTTTACTATAGTCTATAACAAAAGAAATTCAATACGTTATCTTTGAAAGTAAAGGAAAACCAATTCTAGACAAATCTAAATTTTGTAAAAATAGAAAAATATGTACGTATGTTCCCATATTCGGTATTTTGTTAGTTAGACAATTATTATACCTAGTCAATATGTGCTAGGAAATTTATCATTAAAAAATTTGACCGTAGAACAATTTTATTTTGTACAAAAACCTAAGTAAAGTACATATATTATGTATTAAAATAATTTTTGCATAAGATTTAAATTGGGTAGAAGTTAGTTATAATATTATATTGAATACTAAAATTGAAACTACTAAATTGGCCAAAATAATACGTATTTCGTTACTATACTAATTGGGAGAAAATCATTACATGTTATTTCTAGTAGTAAAAATAAAAATTAACATTAAAAATTTTAACTCGAATAATTTAGAACTACTATCAAAATTAATGATGAATACCAGTTTGGATGAAAAAGTTGAAGTAGATTTTGTATTCTTTTTAGAACATTTTCAAGAATCTTTTGATTCGTTAAAATCCGAAAGCGACAAAGAAATGTGCCAAGTAATGCCTACGTAAATTAATTAGTTAATTTTATTTATTAAACGTAAACGTGTTCATTTTTAGAAATGGTTAGAAAAACTCGCCATTGAAAAATATAAAGATACAAACGAAAAACAAATACGGAATATCTATTTGTCACAACTGATTATTAATATGAATGAAAGAAAGCTCAGCGCCCCATTCAATGAGTCTCCTAAATTAGCCCAATTATCATTGGACGGTGTATTTAAACACATCACAACTAAACCGACCTCAGAAGTGGAACACGAAAAAGCAGTGAGTATTTAGTATTTTAAAAATACTAAAATATTTATGGTTAAATAACAATGATAAAAAAAATTTGTGTCTAGATAAGCGAGAACCAAAAAAATTGGCAAAGTTTTATTCGTAACAGAGAATTAGAAGTCATCGATATGAATCATATGTCTATCGACGGTAGTACGTATATAGCCTGCAAGACATTGGCGGAAAATTCGGGTATATTTGCGTACGTAGCCGTGACGTTGGGAGGAAATACCGATCAAGGATGGGTAAACACATGTGGGCAGCCGATGTAAGATAATTTATTTTACGTCTTAAGTATTTTTTTTCAGTGTTTTACAATCTTTACATAGTATCATAAAAAAATGCAATTGTAGATTTTGAGTGGAGCGAATGGTTTTACAAAGATGTTTATTATTTTTTTTTTCTGTGGACAACTTTTCTAACAGAGGACTTGCTCCGATTTTTACGTGTAGCACTTTTTCTGAAAGAAAACTGGTGTAGGTGGATACCTTAAAGAGGTTATTTTTCGATTTTTGAAGAGTTTTCTTATTAAATGCGAAAAACCCAGAGGAAAAAACGGAAAAATGTACGAAATATATTTGTTTAACATTACGACATTTTTTCTTCTTTGGACAATTTTTCTAAAGTAATTTCGTTCCAAATTATAATGAAAGCAAATTTGTCTAAAAGGAAATTTCACCGGGGAGGAACTTTAGAGTGGTCATTTTTCGATTTTCTCTGGGGTTTTCTCAGAAAATGTGAAAAAACATTTGAAAATCGGTATATTAAAGAAAATATAGAGCTTATTTAATTATTTTACTATAATTTGGCATATATATTGTTGACAAAGCATTACTATCAAGTAAACTCCGCTCAAAATCAGTTTTTTCGTAAGCAATGGTTTATCATTGCTTACAGGTAAACATTAAATTACTTATAACAGTAGCTGCATCCATCCTCATTATCCAAGGACGTCTTTTTGAATTTAAACTAACTTAAAATGTGATTCCTCTATATAGAAATTGAAGTTTAAAATCTATAGTTTAATACACACAATGTATTTCTAGACCGGTGCCAGTTGTTCAGCCATTAGACTTACAAGTGGAAACACCCAATTCACGAAATAATAAGAACGAACACGACGATAAATTGAATCAAATTACGGTTGAAGTCAAAGCGATTTTGTCTAAGCGAAAATCTGTGGAAGCTCGGGTGTTGACTCAACAATTTTTCCAAAGAATATACAACAATATCGAACAAGAGATGTTGAGAGAAGAGGATCCTAACAGTACAGCTTGTCACGACCCATATGTTGAAAAACTTCTTGAAATGTTAATTGTGAGCAGAAAACCGTTGGATAACGATGAATTTCTTCTAGTGTCTGTTATAATAACAAATTTTGTTACGTTTTTTTCAGAACGAAAGCAGGGCATGCGGCAAATTTGATCCATTTTCATTCAAAAAGATAAAAATGCTTTCGCTGTTGAAGAAAAGAGTCAAGAATACTTTGATTGACGTAAGAAAATAGTCACGTCGTCTTATATACATGTATATAATCATTAATCAACGTTGGGAAAGTTCCTTTTTAAAAGGAATTCGTTCCCGTTTTTCATTCTATAGCAAAAAAGAAACTCGTTCTTCTAATAATTACTTTTTTATTTTTTTTTATTACTTAATTCAAAATCAAATCTAGTTTTAGATTCTGAAGATTATAAACAAAGTTTGGGCAACACATTGGCAACCGTTTTTGTTTATTTTTTGTTATTATTGAATTTTTATTATTTTAATCTTTTTAAATAATTATTGTTGTCAAGGCATATTATTGTAATCATTTTACCATAATATGACAAAACAACACTATCAATTAAACTCCGCTCAAAATCGTTTTTTCATTAGCAATGGTTTATCCTTGCTTACAGATATATATTAAATCCTCGCTTGTATTCTACCTTCCCAATTTCCTGCTTAAAACAGTGATTGTACTCACGTGTGAAGTATATTCGTCTTTTTCACGTTATTAATTTAAAATATCAATAATTAATTTGCTTAGGAAATATATACATACGACAGTGATATCAATACTTAATAATTACTATGAAAAATTAATACCTATTGTAATCACAACTGTAGATAAATATTATTTAAAATCGTATAATGTAAAGTAAATTGAAAAATAACGAAGGAATGATTTGTAATCAAATTGTACAAGTTTATTATAAACAAAATTTGAATTTCATATATAATTTTTGTCATCGAAATATTATTTATTTATTTATTTATTCAAAATTCGTTTGCAAATATTTAGATCGAAATTCGTAACAAAAACCTCGCTAATATAAAAGTCGCTTCTACTTCTCCGATGTTAACCCTGACTAATCCGGCATCGACTTGCTCAAACTCTATGACCAAAATGATGTGGCAAGGGGCTTCAATGGAAAAACCCACTAGCAAGATGGCTGACGCTTTGGCTAAGACCTATCCTGCGTGTTTAGTTAAAATGTAAGAACTTGTTTTATGTTTATATCAAATATGATAATTTTAATGGATTCTTGTACCATTTTCAGGCTATTGGCACTGATGGTGCGAGAGCGACGAAGTATTATAAGTCGGCTGCAGGAAAAACAGGAGAATCTCATACTAGATATGAAGCGAGATTTGCAAAATGAAATTAAACAGGGAATATTAAATTATAAGGTGATTATCGTTTGAATGAATAAGTAAGTTAGTGAATTGTTATTGTATTGTTATTCATACGATTCTTTTTTAACAGGTCGCCCGGACAGAATGGGCAGATGTCATGCGTGTCGTGTTGCACTACAATAAACTTAAAGAAGTGTTGACTGAAAAAGACGGAAATAGTTTGAACGACAAGGGTTACCATTTGCAGGATACTATCCGCAAAGAGATAAAAAATACTAAGAAAAAGTTGGAAATGATGAATAGGAAAACAGAAAACTTGCAAAACGACATTCATGAAGCAAACAGAAAATTGCATGGGATAATTGAAAACACACAACAAAGAAAGTTACAGAATGCCGAAATTTTGCGCGATCTAAAAATCGAGATAAGCAATGAACAAAGTTCGATTACGTCAAGATATCAGAGCATCGAAGGTTTAGGAAAGATGTTAAAAGAAAAGAATTTATAAAAATGTCATTCTAATGAACACAGGATGTGACAACATTGTAAGTAGTATAATAATGTATGTTCAGTAGGGTGGTCCTTATTTTTCGCTTGTGATTTTTTTCAGGATACTTCCCCTAAAAAGGTTTGATTACTTAAAAAAAACGCTACAAAAAAAGTTTCAGGCAAATTCATTAATATTAACCCGTGCCACAACAGCTCTAAATTTACAAAAATAGAAAATTTTCAATATTATCAATTTTTAAAATTTTNCTTATTTTTCGCTTGTGATTTTTTTCAGGTTACCCCCCCTAAAAAGGTTCGATTACTAATAAAAACGCTACAAAAAAAATTTCAGGCAAATTCATTAATATTAACCCGTGCCACAACAGCTCTAAATTTACAAAAATAGAAAATTTTTAATATTATCAATTTTTTAAATTATTTTTTAATATAACTCCAGGAAAAAAATACTTACAAAAAATTTGTTAAAATATAAATGATAGAACACTACATTTTCTACAATTTGTTTTAGATATAATATTTTGCAAATATATTATTTTTTCAAATATTTTAATTACAAGATAAAAACAAGAATAATCTTAAACATTTTAATATTTAAGGCAACTTAAAATACAACTAATAATTATTTATAACAACAATTTACAATTATAATAACATTTTTATCTAATTATTTTATCTGTAATATATTTTAATTCTAAATGATAAAACCAAATTATTGTGATAGTGCAGTAAGTGTTTCTTTTTTGTGGTCAGGATATTTTTGCGGTAATCACTAACAACTTGTAGAAGGTATTGGTTTTGAGATTCGTTTTTGGTAATTTTGTCATTATAGTCCTTCATAAGTTTTACTCCTCTTTCTGCTATATCGTTTATTACTGGAATATTTTTTATAACTAACAAATCTTTAGAATGTTTATAATGTGAGTTTTCATTATTTTCCCAATTAATTAGATCTTCATTCAAAAAAATGGTGTTGATGGAAAATCTTTTAAATAGTGTATTAGTATTAACACATATAAAATCATCGGTTTCCTTTTCTAATAACTTATTTGAAGTTTTTGGCGATATAGTTAAACGTTGTGCATTTGAAATTAATTCTGATGAACTTTTGTCGTTGTTTAGAGCATGGCCATTTTTCTTTTTATCTCCAGTGGCACAGCTTCATCGAAAAAAGCAAAAGCACATAATTCTGCAGATAANTGATTTTCTAAAAGTTGATCTCTAGAAAATTTGATAATATCATCACATACGTTATTTACAGAATCCATTATAATACTATTTTGTATGCCAGGATTATAATTTTTAGTATTTATTATTCCCCAGGCATGTTGGAACCTTTTAAAAATGGCCATGTCTGGGCCCGATGTCTCCCCAAATTTTAAATCGAACACACTTTTTAGTATAATTTCATACATATGATGGCGACATGGTAAATATACCAATTGTGTTCTAATAGTTACTCTAGCAAAACACAAGCTCCGTTTAAGCGACCTGTATTTGATGCTGTAGTATCAGAACAAAATGCTTGTACATTTTCATCNTAGTATTTATTGTTCCCCAGGCATGTTGGAAACTTTTAAAAATGACCACGTCTGGGCCCGATGTCGCCCCAAATTTTAAATAAAACACACTTTTTAGTATAATTTCATACATATGATGGCGACATGGTAAATATACGATTTCGCGTTCTAATAGTTGCTCTAGCAAAACACAACCTCCGTTTAAGCGACCTGTATTTGATGCAGTAGTATCAGAACAAAATGCTTGTACATTTTCATCTAGACACCAATCTACAAGCGTTTGGTATACTGCGTTAGCTTGTTTAAGTCCAGTTCCAGTATTTAGCGTCGGAACACCTAGCAGTTGTTCCTGACCATTAACGGAAGCTATTATAGGAAGCCTATCAACTAATCCTTTTCACGTTAATGTTGGAAGAAGTTTTCCATCCCAGTGTATAATAACTGCCTCTTATTTTGCCAAGTTATAGTCTCGACGTATTTTTTCGGCACGTTCCTTACGATATTCTATACGAGCGCATCAAATTGAAGACCGGTTTATAATAAGTGTATTAACATTATTACCAAAGCTTCTGCAGCAGCAGTTAAAAGATGTACAGCATTCTTGTCACTGACTTTACATTTGTCTAATACATTTGCGAGTTTTTCGGAGATAAAATCATCGTGCCCTCTGCTTAATTTGAAAAATTTACTTAATGGACCAATAGCATCTTAATGTATAAATTCCTCACTATCTACATCGTCACATTCGTCAGAACTACTCGACGACTGTAGTTCTACAGTTTTATCTGAAATTAATTTTATATTATTACACATTTATTGAAATCAAAATTAATATTATAGACTAAAAACGTACACAAAGCTTCAAATTCATCACGGGCACGATATTTTCTTTTATTTGTCGCTTGTTTGCTTTCTTCTATGATTTTTTCTTTTTTTATCATTTTTTGATCAATACCAAGCAACGACCCAGGTCAACCTTTCTGTCTCTGGGCTATTAAAAATGCTTTGTCATTCTCAATAGATAGGAAATCTAATACATTTGCACTCGCTACGTCGAATAAATCATCTAACTTTGATAGAAACTGCGTATTTTTTTCCATTTGCACTTTTTCTATATTCTAATTTTTGTAAATTTCTCCACTCTTTGTATAAACCTTCCAGCTTGTTCACACACTTTTGTTCTGTTCTCGTTGGTATGCGTGCCTTCCGCCAAAAAATGATTGCTTCTTGTATCACTAATGTAGCACTTTGATGCAAATTTAAGTTTACTTCACGCATATTAAAAAATAGTACCGACAAAACTTGTTTGTTTGATGGTAATTTACTACCAACAATTTGATTTGTACTATATCCAATTAAAAAAATATATTTCGACTCACGTAAACTATCCCTGGTAACCATTGTAAGTCACTAAAATAAAATGTATGACGTACAAAATTTGAAAATTTAATACTCAACAATTTTAGTGTGACACTAGTCGTTGTAGTAAGTCAACTGATAAATTAATCAATAAATCGCAAAATGACTACAATGACATGATATATCCGATAACATATAAGTATAGATTGTAATAATGTGTGATGTAGAGAATAAAGAATGTAGATAATATATTATTTGATTGTCTGAGTCATAAAAATAATCTTTAGGTAATAATCGCAAAATATGGGTACTGGGTAAAGTGCATATTATTTATTTGTGCANTTTTTTTTGACCTTTTAGTTCAAATATTTAAAAAAGCTTTAAATTTATAATCTAAAAAATTTATCGTGAGATTCTTTTCTCTAGAGCTATGTTGGTTTTATAACAAAAACTTAACGATTTTGAAAAATTTTCTATATTTATAACTTCAGAGTTGTTGTGACACGAGTTAAATTTATTTGATTTGTCTAAAACTTTATTTATATCATTATTTTTACTAATGGAACTTATTAGGGGGGAGTAATTTGAAATATTTGGTTATTTTTTTTTCATACATAATAGAGGACCACCCTAATGTTCAGGTGCAGTTGATATTTATCACAAATATAACAAAAATTGTATAGTTATACGTTTAATATAAAAACTGTTCAGTTTTCTATACAAATATCTATTTTTTATATCCATCGATATTTATTCATGTCGAACCCCCCAACAAGTTGCACATAATGATTTAAATTATTTTAACGTCCTCAAACTAATAAAAAGATCATTTCAAAATTCTTTAGAAAAGTTAGCTAATAATTTAAAACCATACCAGTTTAATGAACTGTCTAAACATTATCCTGTACAATTGGATTTAGTAAAAGGAAAATTAGCATATCCTTATGAATATATGGATTCTCCAGAAAAATATGATGAAGAATCTCTATGGATTGGCGATGTGTAAATATTTACCATATAAAAGATTTAAATGATATAATCCTGATTGGTTTAATACAGAAAAAATTTTAAGAATTAAAGATGACCAGAAAAGGCTATATTTTCGAAGTAAATTTGAAATATCCTGAAGACCTTCACAATCTTCAATCAGATTATCCATTGGCTCCTGAAAATGTATTTGATAATAAAAAATTACCAAAATTAACAACAACTCTATATGACAAGAAAAAATATGTACTACATTATATTAATCTTAGGTTGTATTTAAGTTTAGGTTTAAAATAAGAGAAAATACATACGATTTTAGAATTTGATCAAAAAGATTGGTTGACCATAATTAGAATTCAACACAAATCTTCGTACAGACAGATAATGAATTTGAAAAAGATTATTATAAGTTAATTATTAACAGTGTATTTGGTAGGACTATAATGAACACAAGGGACCATAAGGATATAAAATTAATTAATAATGGAAAAAAATTGGAAAAGTGGACTGCTAAACCAAATTTGGATCGAGCGACTATTTTTACAGAAAACTTAGTAGCTGTACATATGAAAAAAACTACGATTAAATTAAAACAACCAATTTATTTAGGAAGTTTTATTATAATGTATTGAAAAAAAGTGTGATATATTAACTGTGCTCTGCATTACCTCAAATAATTTTACATGGTTTAGCANTGCCGGGGAATGATTGCGATGCGTCTAACTATTTATGTGTGATAATTACGACTGATTTTTTTTATTGAATTTTAGTTAGAAAAATTGATGACCTATTTTTTTTTGTATACTAATTTAAAAAAAATTTTTTCAAAACTAATTATGAGTGGTTCTTATTCAGTAATATACATTTTTTTCGAAAAGCTATTTTTCAGGTATAAGGTTGCGATATCAAAATAATATATTTTTTATATTTTACTTTTGCTTATTATGTTTTTTCGAGTTTTAAGCTTACCAAAGTTTTCAACGCCGTCGATTAAATTTTTTTAACATCTCAATTCCAAATCAATTTTTCCAAAGACATGATAGACAATAGCACCTATACTGGAGAAGAATCGGAGAGTCTTGATGAAGCTATTTATCGGCTATTTATGAGCTATTTATTGACACGGCCAACCTACCTAAAGACCACCCATGCTTCGTCGTAGAGAGGAAGAAGTTGCCGGGTCTTTTCTCCGACGAGACGGATGGGAAGAACAATTTTTTTTTTGCATCGGTTCGGTAGACTTTGTCGTATACTGTGGTGAAGGTGGAATTTTGATTGGCGTAAACACTTCAATATTGTATATTTTAGATTCTTGATCAGAAATAGATCCTAACCCCCCCCCCCCCATAAGCTTACTAATAACTTGTTGTATATCATCTACAATGGTAACGGTTAAAGAAACCTGATTTATCAAATTTTCTAATTTTTCATTCAGGGTTTTAGTATTGATTTCATGCTTATCAGTCTGTTGGTTGTATGAAGTAAACCCATTTTGAATCAATTTATTTGAAATAACGAGCTCGGAAAATATCATATTTCTTTCCCTTTCTCTAGTAGCTTCAAACTCGTTCATGGTTGAAATATAACTAACGTTATTTCTTAATTACATCCTTATTTATCTAACTACTCGTATATATATATATTTCGTATGACAATTTATCCAACTATTGTGGTTATTATCAAATCCAAACCATTTTACAAAAACTTTTGGTCCTTTACTACGGATGACTTTTTCGATCAAGTAGGTATTTGGAAACTGGTTTATTTATTTCCTCCGCATAAAAACACCGACGATCGATTTACCTATATAGTCTTCTAACATATACGTTGTAGGTACTGTTTTATTTATTTTTACAATAGTGAATATTTTTGTCGACCAGTTGGGGAAATATCCTTTCGTAAACACCTTTCTGTGTATTTATTCGTGTACTATCACATACTTTGAATTAATTTTTTCTAGTAGGTGTTAGGGGTAGGCATGAAATCCGAATATCTGAATTATCCGAATATCCGGATATCCATATCCAGATTTGAATCAAATTCATATCCGGATTTTTCGAATTATCTGGATTATCCGGATTTATGGATTTTCTTTTTATGTGACTTACAGTTATGGTAAAATAAATAATTTTATTTTATTGTAATGAAAATTTAACAATAAATTAATACTAAAGTTGTATGATTTATTGTATATTTATCATAATTTCATTGGTTATTTATAGTTTTTTAAGAATTATCAAAACAACAAGTTATCAAATTATTGAATTTATTTTATACCTATATGACTTTTTCATTTGTTATATTATATCGAAGTTCGTATCATAACGATCGTTCGAAATGTATACATTTCAAATAGGTAGGTAATAATGGGTATTTTCCCATTCTAATTTACTAATCTTAAGGTTATTGAAAAAGGTTTTTTGAAGATAAGATATACTACAAAAATAATTGCCACTGATATAATTATTTATACGGACATGTTATCTTACAATTATCAAGAAAAAATTATTTTAAAATGTCGAAAAATATAAAATCAAGACATATTGTAAGAATAGTATTTCTGTTGCATCAAACGTGTTAACATTGATTTTTACTATAATGCCGCTAAGTAATATTTGCATTTTTTTTACATACATTCGATCAGGATATGTTGAGTAAACCGGATCCTAAAAGTACGGCTTTTTATGATCCATACGTCGAAAAACTTCTTAAAAAATTATAATAGTGAGCTGAACACTGTGGAATAACATTGAATCCCTAGTACCTGTTTATTACGCAATTTTTGTTTACAAAAATTGTTAGATGTTAACAATAATATTATATGTATTATTAAATACATACCTATTTGAAATGATTCTTGACAGTCTGAAGGTACGATGTCCACAATTTCAAATTGGGGCATTCTCAATCCTTTGGCCATTAATACGGGATTAGTAGATTTCCACTCCAGCCGAAGTTCTTCGATTGTTTTAGAAACTATAGAGTAAAAATGAAAATTAGTGTTGGTTTGACGTCAAATTACGTGATTTTTAACTACAATAAAGTTGTTATTTTTATCACAATGTTATTGTATTGGATTATTATTTATTTTTTGTACTCGAAGTTATTTTTTAATAGAAAACAAATTACACTCCACATCGAAACCCCAAAAATACAAAAAATGTAGTTAGTACGTAAAAAAACGAGTTAATATTTAAAAATTATTATAAAACAAAAAAAAAATGTATTGACGTATCGTACGATTGTGGAACAGAATGAATTTAAGACATAACGCGCATCTCGGACAACCGAAAAGTTAGAAAAAAAAAAAAAAATACGATAACGTTTTGTATCGGTCGAGTTGGTAACTTATTTGAAAATACAAATTAATAAATCGTTTAGGTAACCCAATGTTTTGTTATGTTACAAATTACAATACCAAAAATAAGACAGGTATTAATAAATACATGTGATTAAGTATATTATTATCCACTTCCGTTCGTTTTCGGCGTTTATAAGAATTTCTGTTCAAATAGTGAAGAATTTTTAAAACAATATGTATTTAAAAAAAAAAAAAAAATCGCATTATGTATTATTAAATATCAATAGCTCAATAATCTTAATTCCGAAGTATTAAAAACTAGCACGGCGTATTGTAATATTTAGTCGCGAAAATCTCGAAAAACCTTTCAAATAAATGATTATACCACCGGGTGGAAAATCCGCATATATTTTTATGGTACGGTGTGGAATATTGTTTCTCGAGAAACGTATTAGCTCCACTTATAATCTAAATTTTGAGTGAAATAAAAAAAGTTCGGTCGTTAGTACATGTAATATATATATTTTTTAATATCAAGACTGACGTATTAAATTTCGATGACCGTTAGTTTATTATATTATTTTCGATGTATTATAGACAGGGTCAAACAAAATTACGTTTCAATAAATCGGGTCGGGGTTTGTTAAGGGCGGGTTCTGCTTCGTCCCTCGATATCACAGCTTTGTTTGTTAACGGGATTATAAAACTTGCCTTTTGTCGTGTCCCGTTCATGGTTGCGATATTAAACCGTGTTCAGTATATACCTCCATATAATAATAATAGTTTCGACGTTTACGGAATGAACTCTCCGGCCGCCGCCATCCGTGGCCAATTCCGTGTAAATATTGTTTGGGCGACGTGTCAGTCAGTGCCGTTTTTGAGAGCTTATCGGCTTTGTATTATAATATTATATTTTAACTCGGTCCGTTAATTTTGTCGTTTGAATTTCGATCGGTTTGTGCGTATCACAACGTTGTAATACATATTCGATATTCTTCGGCACACCCAGGAGTTTGTAAATGTTTAATTGTTTTGGCAGAAGTTTACGGAGTTTCGTAAGTCAAATCTAAGTGAAATTGGTGTTGAACACGTGACAAATCAATGTTGGTATTCGCAATTATCCGTATAAACAATGCAATAATTGTGATAACTCGTACCGTGTAAAATATATTTTAGATTCCAAGCCTTTACTAGAAATCATGGTTCAATAAAAAATTACGAAAGAGCTTATTTTAGCGAGTTTTGTCTAGTTCGTGCATTTAGGTAATTTTTTCCTTTTGTATTTTATTTAATATGGGGTTAAAACGGAAAAAAGAGTAAGAAAAACGGAAAAATTAACTAATAATAAATGGCTCTGTTATTTTCGATTTTGTTTTCTTGGTATAGTTCAGTTTAAAAAAAATAAAGACCTGACATTTTTACCGAACTTACTTTTTTTGTATACGTAGTAAAATGTTCAACATGTTCTGACGACTTTTTTTGAAATTTTTAAGTTTTTATTTTTTATTTTATATGGATAAAATTTGTTGTAAATTATTACAGGGGCCCGAAAATTTAAAAGGAGGTTTATTATATGTTGTACTAATATATAATGTATGTTTATAATTGATAAAACAAGTTTAATAATGCAAATTTTTTTTATAAGCATTTAAAGTTTACATTTTTATGAAAACCGTAAAATCACGGCATTTGATTTTTAACTTTGATTCATAATACGCGTATCTAAAAATAATAAAATAAAATAAACACAATTCATGTTCAAAATAAACGATTAAGCTAGAGGTTCGATTGAACGATGCCCCGCAGTGGAGCTCTATGTGCAAAAGGCATACGGAAAATATTATATAATACGGAGAATAAAGGCTAGCGGCATTGGAGATCAATAAATAATATTGATCGAAGAGTGAATGATAAAGTTAGGGAATGATTTTTGTTAAGGAATCAGCTTAATAGTATGCCGTAGTTGTATAATTTGTATTGAAATTTCAGACGATTCCATGTACACTTTTGTTTTTTAGAGGATTTATAAAGTACCTAGCCAAAAAAACATTAGAATAATTTATTTTTAAATTCGTAATTTCACCGTTTATAAATAGTCTTTCTTTTTTTTTATTGATTTTAAAACGGATAAAAGATCAAAGTAGAACAATAATATTTGTCCCCGAGTTTTATATTTGGTGCTCCCTCCTAGCCTAATATAGCCACTTGCGAAAAACTATACTGCTTATTCCCACGAAATCTGTAGTTAAAAGGAAACTTTGTTGATTCATTAGTCTCCACATGTAGCATTTTTATCGATTTCCGATTAATCGCGGTTTCAAAATTATATTACATAGTTTATTTTTAACGACAGTAGGTACGGAATTATAAAAATAATACGTTTATCCATTTGGGAGTTTGAGTCTGGGTAATTTTCGAACACACGCTTCGTATTTCGAGAACGTTTCGTACATCTGTCTTTACTTAATATAATAATAATAATATGCGACGTGTACAAATATACGGGTCGGGTAAACAAATTAAACAATTAATAACAAAAACGGAGTTAATATATTTGCTGTAGTATAATAATGATAATAATTGAGTTTTTTCAAGATTAAAATTGGACTCATATATAGAAGTAAACAGTGCGTCTCACGAAGATTCGACAAACGCAATCATTTGTTTTGTGTTCATTTCTAAAACCGTGGCTTATGATTCTTCTAGTTTACACATATACATTTTGATATTTTTTACAAAACTAAAAAAAAAAAATTGTTTTTACAAAAATTCAAAATAATAATTTTACAAATAAAATGTTGGTATTATACATTTATACTAATCATGAATCGTTAAGTTTCTATTATTTTTGGAAATTTAGAGATTATCTAAATTGTTTTTAATGCCACTATTAAATAATATTAATCGATTTACTAATTTGTCCATGAAAAATAATTTTGTTAGATGATTTTTATAAACTTCAAAAAATTATAGAAACTAAACGATTCATTTGTGTTGATTTCTAGGTTACCTCGGTAACAAGGAAAAAAACACTATATACTTTGCTCAGAATTTTTTTTCGTTAGCTTAGGTTTATCTTTTATTATAATTTTTAAAAATTATAATCGTAACTGATTATTGTATTTTTGTCACTAGTGCATTGAAAACTTTTGGCAGAACGTATTACTGGTAGTTATAAACATTTATTTTTCTTTGTATTTTACGACATATCGATTATTTAATGGGAAATTACAACGACCAAAAAGTGTTTTTAGAGCAATCTGTAATAATGTTCACAATACACTGTACTTACAACTGGCTACTTCCATCGTGCAGACTTGATTGTCCAGCGGAAATTTAGATAGGTCCATCATACACGAAAACGTCAACTTTAATCTGGAAGAAACAAAACAAGCGTAATAATTCGATTAGTTTAAAAACTAAAAACTGTAATTAATAATTGTTATTATACATAATTAAATATCGTTTATGTCTCGTAAAAATCACAATCACAGAACGAATAATATTGTATGAGGTGTTAATGTATTATAACCCGAAACGGCCGAAACACTGTAATATTGTACTACGTTTCGTAATTATATTATGTCGTAGTCTTATACGAAAAGGACGCGAGGCCGCATTACATTATTATTACAATTTTTTCTTTCTTTTAACGAGGAAAACGTAAACCGAAATTTTATTCAAGACCGACCGTAACGTTTGTGTACATATATATGTATAAATATAAAAATAATACCCCGAAAACATTCAGAGTGTTTAATGCTCTTATATACAAAACATTTATATACACGTTTATTATTATTATTATTATTATTATTATTTTTTTTATATATTGCTATTTACTTTTGGAAAATTATAACCATTTTTTCTTACCGACTGCAGCGCGAATAACCCTCGTACAACTCCATTCGTTTACTCGCGGTTCACAAAATACAATATTCGTAATCTGTGTACATATGATTATAACAGTATATTATCTACAAATGGTTTTAACGAATTAGGTAAACGTTGTTTTCGCGTAAATACACGCCGCAGACGTAAGCGAAAACTCTACTCGTTTTTAGATTCTCAGTAGAATTATAACGAAAGCGTTATTATATTAGTTTTACAAAGACGTATATTAATTATCTCGGAGAACACTTTTTCGGTTAGTTTTCGGTAGCAGGTAGATTTTCCTACGCTTTTCCTCAAAAGGTACAGATTTTTCGACTGACATTGTTATGTGAAACACTTCTCGACATTTTCAACAATTCACCCCGTAGTCTTTATTCTAGCCCAATCCACTTTTCGTTTTTGTTTTTTATTTCTGGATTAGGTAGATTAGTAACCTTTGGTAAATTTGCTTCTTCGTTCCACTCAGAACCTAAAACGAGACTAATCGTACTATCGTACTCTACTTAGAATCGTTTTTCGTTTTTAATGATATATCGTTGCGTATACAATAAATAAACCAAATTAACCTATATATACCACTTTCCCAATTACCCATCGTCTACCACTGTGACTTGCTCACAGCATGAAGTAACGGGTTAAGTAATGATTTGTTTATGTCGTTTTTTAAATGCGCAAATTTTTTAATTTCAAAGACCCGTTAATATTTTGTTACAACACATAATAATATAATACATAAAATTCGTAATATACGCATTATTATACTTTTTTTCTTTTTTTGTGGTATATAGACTTAACATTTTAATAACTGCGAATATTTTTAATATTCAAATATCATAATGCAGTATTTTTAATTATTTATTTATTAAAATTTATTTTTAACGGGTTTTAGTAATATTACATAATGACTCGGGATTTTAATATGATAATCTAATATAGTCGACTCGTATAATATTTGATTGTATTATATACAAAAATCATTATTCTCGTCTTTAAGGAGCACTTAAAACGGTAAAAATAATAAGTCACATAATAGTAAAATGGGTAACGTTCATAATAGTTTTTCAAATGACCTTTACATCGTAGTAAGCAATTATTATTATTTTTTTTTCTGAATTATTGGATCACGGTCACGAAAGAACCAAAGTGTATAATATATTATACATATAATAATAATAATATATATGAATTTATTATGTACAAACAATTAAATGAAATATTAACGTAATAAATATGAATTATTACTTTTATATAAGTATGTATTATTATTATTAATATTTCTTTTTATTGAGTAACGCATTTAACGCGATAAATTTCGTTGAGTTTTACTCGTACATTTTAATAAGAAAAACAACAGATGACTGACTTTGAATAACGTTATTTTGAAAAAAAAGATTTCGTTAAAATATTGCTTATTTCGAATCTACCTTTTTTTGATGTGAAAAGTATATTACGAAGGCAATCATACGATTCCGTTTTTTTTTTTTTTTTTTTATGTAGTACGAAATATTTGTATAACTACGATAACAGCCGAAATTCAAATGTCACTCCGATGTTTCCTCATTACTGCATCATTAAATTTATATTTATTTTCAAAAAAAAAAAAAAAAAATGTAAAATCTGTAGGTACGCTAATATATATATATATATTTTATTTGATTTATGTGTTAGTTTGCGTTTGTGATCGAATCCAATAACCATGTCCAGCGGCCGATCTTTTTACCTAACACATTTTCGGTTTGTTGATTATGTTGACATTTACGTAGTTTTCAGAAAAACAAAATTATGAAATAAAACCACTTTAAAATGCTATCAAATCGAAAAAGTTGTACCATTTCAATACTCGCGCTATTTTATACAAATATTTATGTACAAAAATCGAAAAATGAAAACTATTTCGGGCCAACTATTATATTATGTACTGTTTCTTTAGTTGTTTTTTTGAATTTGAGCGTCTACCTCGAAAATGTGTGGGGTTTTACGTAAAATTGTATTTAGATAAAGTACAATATCTCTGTCGTTGTCATCTATGTTAAAATATTCATTTTATTTTATGAACTTAATGGCCCTTTTATTTATTTATTAGTGTCGAAGAATGACGGTGTTTTTATCTCATCGATTTCGATATTGCGAGTTTTTTATAGCACTTATATGTGATGACGGAGAAAATGTTCCTATGCATTACCTATGTAAAATCTACCTCATACGGTAGGTAGCTATACGTATAGCGGTACGGTAGGATATGGTTCGTAATTTCAACAAAGTAAAACGTTACTAAAATATTTGTGTATAGAGTGTCAGAAAGGTAAACAGGAGAACAAAGTTCAAAACAATTTTATGCATTGAGACAGAATGTACGAAATTTCTATCATACCTTTATGAAAAGTGTGCAGCACTAGAGACTTCTAATAAAGAATCGTTGTCTGGTTTACAGGTGCAACCAATGTAGCCTGTGCTTCATATTAAATGTCAGTTATACGACATAGAAATTGGCGATTTTTTGGCCATTCGTTATTATAGGTTTTTCGTACATAAATATATTATTTATAGTGTGGTTTAATGTTTTTTTTTTTTTTTTTTATAATGTTATCGTCACGATTATTTACAAATAGCATTAATTTACTTGACTAATACACCAATAGTTCAAATAGGTAAAATGTTATTAATTGTGTATTGTTTTTACGTAATACATATTATACAGGTCACAGAATGATTTTTATTTTGAGCCAGCAATTTCCCCAGAGGATTTTAAATGAATTTGGTTTCTGTTTTTTTAAATCATCGCGTGGAATCGTTTAAACTTTATAATTTATAATTTTGTTTTTCAAATTGAAATCCTCCTTTTTTAACACAGATTCGAATAGAGAATATTTTTTTGGATATTACGATATGCATTACACTATAATATTTGATTTATGAGTTTTATCGCTCTTATAGAGATTAATTGAACCTCCATTATACTTTGTTTGTGGACATTGTTCTATAATCTGCCTGTTTGTAATTGCCCGCAGTCACAGTGTGGCGAATCTTTTATTTTTTATTTATATAGAAAGTAGTTGCATTTACCTGACTCCGTACGAATTTTATTTAAGTCTTACATATTATCTATTTATTCCAATTTAATATTGGTGCACTGGTTTGTCTGGACTATGACAATCACGAGGGGTAAGGATACATCTAACTCTGGGGTGGGAACTAGGTTAATTATCGATTATAGGTATGTTAAAACGTCATCACCCGTTCATAATTTCTTAAAATATTATTAAAATTTCAGTGGTATATTGTATTATTATATTACCAACCAAGATATTTTGACTGAAAATATTTAATTTTTTTTTTTGGTGGCAGGGGAGACGTCACCAGCTGTACGATTATAATGTAGTTTCACAATCCAACCATGGACAAATCCTACAATTCGAGTCCGGTCAATTAAGGTACATAAACATAAAAGTTTAGTCGCGGACTCTTGACCGCTTCGTAAGGTTTATCACGAGTGTGCACAGGTGGTAAGCCGCGCGTTAAAGTTAATAGATAATTACACCACGAACAACAAGAACTCCGGCTTATATACAAAGGGCGGACACACATCGAGCGTGGGGATATCTGTGGTTTCATGAATAATGAAAATAATAACATAATGTTCGTGAAATCCGATTGCTCTCTATCATAAAACCAGATAGTTACCGGAATATCTCATCTACTCTACCCAACTTGTAAGCGTACATAAATAATTCGTTGCGGACCAGTTATATCGATCGTTTTAATCTACTGTTTAAGGTGAATTTTAACGGTTTCGTACATAAAGCAAACAGATATACGTGTTCACTCTTTGGTTACTCGTGGCCAATGTGATATAATGTAATAAAATATCGGCGGCTACACCGTTTTTCAGTAAAACACCTAATTGACGATTATCACTAGATTTTGTCGCCATCAAAAATATCTTTCCGGAATAACCATAAATGAAATTGGCAAACAAATTATTGGATAAATCATTTGATTCAGAAAAAAAATCTCCAAACTGATTTGCGGAATAGAGATTATTTTGACAGTCCGTGCAATTTTTTTTTAAAAATTATTTCTTTTTTTAACTTATTGAAACCATAATGAAATTTAATGAGAATTTCGAAAATATGACGTCTCATCCGGGTATCTGTAGGCGTGCCCAGGAATTGTTAATGGGATGTAGCAAATAGGAATCATGAATAAATTATAAATTCGTCTTCTCTACCCAAATTGACTGTAGAAATTGGTAATTTAAAAGCCGGATCCTAAAAAAGGCCAATTTCTAAGCAATATATCAAGCTTTTTCTCACAACTTGGCTGAAATAAATGTATTTCGACATTAAATAACTTTTATTACTCTTGTATTTTAAGCCAATAGGTAAGATATAACACCTAACCTCCCCCCTTCGCACGCCACTGATCAGAATATAGTACGTATAAATGCCGTTCTAAAAAGTGTGCGGTCTGAATTTTGAAAAACAATTTTCATTGCCCCTCATCCCTCCCACCAAAGTCCTTTTTGACGGGAAAAAAGCAGCACATATCGATGTAAAATTGTAAAAGTGGTCTACTCGGAATACAATAAACTACGCAAAGCAATCGGGAAAGTGTGTTTCCGCAGTTTATTCGTTTTGTTTTTCAAGAATCTGCGCGTGTGTCGGAGCTCCGGACAAAAATATAGAAATCTCGTCGTATAAACAACGAGTCACCGCCGCCGTTTCCGGGAAATCTGAGAAAATTAGATTTAATTCGATGTCGCCGTAGTTTCGAAACGACAAATTTCTAATTACGGAGTTTTGAAATTGTCGTGGTAACGCATGTACATCCGATTCGGATCGGATTTCGGCCTCCTGCATATGTCACTGACGACAAAGTCCCGACGGAAAACCGCCGACGCGCCGGCCGCAGTGGGTTTCTATATTTTAAAAATCGCGTGCGCGTATTATTTTGACATCATCACGCGGGTCTGTATCGGTCCGCCTACGGTGAAATAATACACGTACACACATACACACACACACGCACGTACACACACACACAAATACATACGCACACACACAGAGTACAGAAAAAAACCGACTGACGACGACGGTCGGTAAAACGAACTGGAAAACCGTCGTGGCTCATTGAAGTGTGAGTGTGTGTTTAGGACCGGGGGAGGGGGGTGTGAAGGTTTTCCCCGGTGTATTGTTTACGGGTCGGTATATTTTGTATATATATATAAGCTCGGCCACAAAACCGGGGAGGGTTAGATCGGTGTTCCGTCCTCATAGAAAAACACTGAAAAAAAAAACAATAACATTATACGTGCGTATCGCGAACACGTGGTGGTCGAAGATATTCAACGAGAGAAAAACGTTTGCCTGAAAACGAGTCCGATCGGAATAATATCACATACTCGATAAATTCCGCCTCGGTCCGGACCGTCGAAAAAAAAAATAAATAAACGTTTAAAAGAGTATTATCAAACGCATAATTATAATAATGTAGTAACACACGTGCTGGTCTATAATATTATTAATATCGCGGGTCGTGTATAATACGAAAACGGTTTTCGAGTCGACGCACGTATCATTATTTTTTTTTTTTAAACGTCGCGTGACGCATTATGTTTGCAAACGGCACGGTTTCTTATATTATTGCTCGGCGGAAAATTCAAATATTAATAGCGCACGATTTTATTCCATCACACTACCGGACGTACACGAGACACTGATAAACACACCCGGTACATGATGTTATTGCATTATCGTATTATTATACAGGGTTGATCGACGTAACACATAAGACACTCGTTACATTGGAAAGTGTTAATTTTTTTGGAATACGTTTTATTTTTTGGAACGTTTAACAAAAAAAATAAGCTTTAAAATGGTTACATATGTCCGTTATTTTGTGTCACCCAAATTTTAAGAGGTTAACCATTGTCTAACGGCTTCTGATCGATTTTCGATTTTCAACCATGTATTAAAATTGTTATGAATAAATAGATGAAGTTTTTAGTCAAAATGAAATTCGGTGTTGAGTTATTCTACTTAAGTTTTTCTTCCTAAGTTTGCCTTTTTGTCCGTACATCACAATCAATACTCTGCTATAACTCTACTATCCTATCCAGATTTAAAAGTTGTATATCTTATTAACGGGTAGATGGAAATTTATTTAAACAAAAACTTTATATATCCTTGGAATTTTTATTATAGGTCGCTATTTGAAAATAAAAATTGGGAAATAGTAACATTTTAGAGCTGTTTGTTTCTTAAACGTTCTAAAAATCAAATTTCGAAAACAATTACCTAATACTTTCCGTTGTCTTACGTTATGATGATCACCCTGTGTATTTCATCCTGTTGTGAGTTATTATGTATACGATTTATTGATTTTTTTTTGTTGCATGCTGCGTTTATTGTGGTAATCAATATCAAAAAAAAAAAAAAATAAAAAAAAAATATACGTAAGTCAATATTATATAATATTATTGTATAGGAATTAGGAATATAATATTTATGTATACTTTTTTAGCATGCATTGTACCCATGCAAAGTTCGCTTGAAATAACATTTTTATTGATGGGTAGGACACCGGTTAAGTTTATTCTTCATAAGATTATGTACCTGTAACTATAGGTTTTATTTTCGCACAGCCCCGAATAAACCCAACGACAATGCGCAATTTTTAAATGTGTTTGTTTACACAGATTGGTTATTTTTTTAGGACACTTCAAGCTTATTTATGTATATTAAAACTTGAATAATTTTGAGATATTTCTTTTTCATATATATACTATTTTTTATCGATTGAATTTGGATTTAAATATTTCCCATTGTGCATTTTAATATTATAAAATTAAAACCATCGGTGTCTATTCGTATATATAATAGATGGCTATAGGTACTCTATTTTGTCTTCTAGAAATCTCTTAAGTTTTTTAAATGTAAATTGATTTAACAATAATTCGCGGAAAACTCGTTTTAGATTCTAAAAAAAGTGAGGAATATAAAAATATTTTGTTTATTTTTTGTGTCTGTTAACGACTTTTCTACCAGAAATCTTGCTCTAATTTTAAAATTTTATTGGAACTCTATTATTGTATTTTTGAACTAATTGGTGCAATGAAGAGATAATTTTGAAACTTTTCTTGAAGATTTTTTAACATATCGGTAAAACCAATATTTTTAGGTTTGAGTTATCATGATAACAAGAAAAAAAATAAGATTACCGATACTTTGCTCAGAATCGCTTTTATTAACAATGGTTTATCGTTATGTACAGGTATAAATTAAATTAGTCTATACATCTTTAAACTTCCTGACCAAAACAGTGTTATATTCGTTAACAGTATTAGCTTTTATTGATTCGGAGCGCAGCGAGGGATCTATTGGTTTTAAACAACTTTTTGGAAAAAAATCTTGCTCCGATGTATAAAGTATTTATAAAGTATATCTATTTTAAAGGGAAATTATTTCTAGTTAATGTATTAGAGAGACCATTTTCTAAGAGGTTTTCAAAATAACTCGGAAAAATCTAGAGGAAAATTATAGGTAAAATGGCAAATATTTAAGGCACACCTCAGTGTTACTCGTTTTCGTTGATTTTAATTTTTGTTCACAATGTTTTTTTACCAGAAATATAGAAACATTGCTTTAATTGAAAAATGACAAGAGATTGATTTTATTTCTTTTAATTTTCATTGACAAAAAAGCTATTTTTTGGTACCTTAAGTAGTTTTCATAATAATTTGGAAAAACCAATAAAGTCGAAAAAAAAGATTTTTTTCAAATTACGACACAACGTATTCATAACTTAACAATGTTACGGCTTATATTTTCTATCATGAATATTTCTTCAAAAGAAAAACAACATACTTTTTTTTTTATATTTTTAATCTAGTAAGTGACTAAGCAGTGTGAGTCGTTTTTTTATTATTGAGCAAAACTAAAAATACGTAGAGATTAAGGGGAAATTTACAAAATAATTCTTCTATTATTTTAAATTTTGATTTTTTAATATAATTTTGTTAAAAATAATTGTAGACTTGAAATTTTGACAGAACATTTATATTCGCTTTTTATAGGCATGGTAATATTGAAAAAAATTTAAGAAATGTTTGAGTTTTTATAGACATTTTAATTTTACGAGATTTTTTACGTAAATTTAATTTGTTCGGTACTTTGGAGATTGTTTGAATTAACAGATATGCTTGACAATTTGATAGATGGTTCATTATAAGTTTTACTAAGTGGTAAAAAAAAAAATTTGAGTTTAATGCAATCATTTTTTTTATAAAAGTTTTAAATATACATTTTGACAATAGTCGTAAATATTATGTACCTCCTTTCAAAATATGTATGACCAAATTTCGCTTCGAATCGTTTTTCGTTAGTTACTGGTATTAATTAAATAACTTTATTTGTCCCATCTTTCTAAATACTTACCTACAACAGTGGTCACACTCGTCCCTAGTATCATTTCTTTTTTTCTGAGTATTTGGTATTCGAATTAAATTGCAAGTGTTTACACAGAATTTTGATTAAAAAAAATAGTGATTGCGTTGTCGTAAAATCAGTTGATTAATTTTATTGTGTGAGATTATTTTTGGTGTTATTTTTCGTTTATTTCGATTATTCTAGATTCGTTCGGAGGTCAAGTGGTTTTCTAAATAAAATTAGTGCAATGCGGGTAATAAATGTGTCAAAGCAGTAAACCTTGAAGTAAATGGTTCTAATTAAGCCACGGTAGAAAAACGATGGTAAGAAAAATAACGACCGAAATAATGTATTATTTTAGTAGTTTAACGCTGAACTAGTTGTTCATTAACAAATTAAAGATAATTTTCAAAAGTTACCATACGCGGTTCGAAATAGTGTCCACTGGTGTTTGGGTTTTTGTCCCCGTATACATTATTTATATTATATTATACGTGCCAATAGTTTTAAGTTTTGTACAAACCAGACAAAATAATTAATATTTAAACGTTATTCCTGAAAAATAACTCGTGATAAAATATTTTAAAACATTTCCATTCAATTAAGGGATTTGCATTATACAAATTATATTTTGTCTAAATGCTATAATTCGAAGTTTGAATGAGACCGATTTTTAAATATTTTTGAGATAGGTATAAATAAGTACAGCCGTACAGAGTGGTATGAAAACATATTAGGCATTTTAAAAATTATCTTCTGATTGCACTGTCAATAAGATTAAAATATATCCTACTGGGACGCGCACACGTTGATAGGTTTTTTTATTCGGGCAAGTATTCTGATAACGCGGATAGAAAAAAAAAACCGACTGACGGGTGCCACTGTCTTAGGAAGGAAGTCAAAAGGAATAAGATATACTGAGTAATTTAATGTATACCAGTACGTAACGATAAACTGTTGCTAGCGAAAAATGATTTTGAGCAATGTATTTTAGAAATGTACAAAAAACAATCTCGTAAAAATAGAAAAAACATCGTAAACCATCATAGTAAAACCGCTCAGAATCCCAACATAATGTACGTATTGTTTGGTAGTAAAACCGATTATAATAAAACGATTAATGTAAACTGGCACTCGTTGCTGACGTGACTTCGGCTGGCGGCGGGAAGTTGCCTATGCCTACTCGGTACACGAATATATTTCTACTCGAAATGAATCCCCGAAAACTATCCCGCATCGGCGTTCAGTAAAACAATATCAATAATCACATTGAAGCGGTGTGGTGGACAAAACGACGCAATATTGTTCGCCAAACAATAATGGAATGTTGATAAACGTTGCGGAATTAATACAAGGGCGAGAGCTCAACATAATATACGCGAGTGGTATACGCCTGGTACCTAGTTACTTATTATTATTATTATTATTACATATGATAATAATATATGGATAATAAATTAAGGACGCACCCCGTATTATGGTTCGAGTACCCACCTACTTATTATGTACGCATTGTAATATAATGCAGAATTTAAACAACAACAATGTATACCTACCGAGTAACATATTATTCGGTAGGTACCGAGCGGAATAACGATACACAATACGATATTTTGATTTTAACTTAATTGTACGATTTTTCTAGAACCGCTCATGAATCTATGGGGTGGGTATATTGATGTTTTATATATCTGTGGCCAGCTCGAAAAACAAGCAGAATGAAGATATTATTTTATTACGATAGATTTACGTTTTTGTTTTTATTCTTTCGGTATACACTATTTAACCGTGGTGTTGTAAATTCAATATTTAACAATTAAAAGTTAAAATTAAAACTGTGCATTTCATAAAGCTACGGATTTTTAGTGGTGGCTTTGCGAGTGAGACAAGTGAGACATATTATTATCGCAATAATTGTTTGAATTTTATTTTTTCACCTTAAGGTGACATATGGTGGTGAAATGAATGGACATGTTGGTTATGATAGGACAAGATACCAGAGGGCACATGGAGGTTTTGAGGAGAGAAATAAGGCTGGGAAACGAATTCTAGATTTTGTGTTAGCATATGACCTTGCAGTTATTAATATATATTTTAGGAAGACAGAACAGTGTTATATAATTTTTAAAAGTGAAGGAAATAGACCATAAATTGATTATTTTATGCGGAAGAGGAAAAGTGTTAAGAGGACGCCACAAATCCATTATTAATCTGTAGCATCACAGATCTATTTTTGAAGTCTAAAAACATGTTTTGGAAGAATTGCTCTCATTTGAGGTCATTTAAGCTCACATATAAACACAGATAATATTCTCATTTTTACGTTGACGAAATTTATATTTTGTATAAACAATATATTGAAAATTAGAGTGTGATTCTCCTGAGACATGTTTTTGAAAAATAAATGTCTTAATTATAACATACTCATATAGCCAATTTTGCAGCATTTTAGATTTTTGCTGGGCGAATAATGTATTGGTTTTACAATGATGTTTACTATTATTTTTTACATATACTGCAGCACCTTTTTTTGAAGTAAATTTTTTTTTTGGGTGGTACTTTGAGGAGAATTTTTCAAGGGGTTATCATAATAAATGGTAAAAACCGAGAAAATATGGAGGAAAAACAGGAAAATATACGAATTGTGTTAGTAAAATAAGAAGGCCCTTTTTTTTCTGTAAAAAACTTGTATACCAGAAATATTGCTCCGATTTCCAAGTGTAGCATTTTTTCTAAAAGGAAATCTGACTGGAGTTGTACTTTTAGGAGATAATTTGTTTATTTTCCCACCTGTTTTCATAATAAATTGGAAAAACCGTAAATGCTTACCACTATTATACTACTGAAGAGGCCATGTCATGCTTTTCTCCAGACCGTACTCGTGGGGTGATCCAACCGAGCCTGTGCCTGTCACGCGGTTGTTAGAGATCAGAACGGTTTTCCTTTTGGGAAGCCATTAGACCGGGTTGTTCTCATCCGAAAAATAGTGCGAAAATCAGAAGGCCAGACCAGAAATCGAAACCGAGTCTCTCGTTTACCGGGCGTCTGTTTTGATACTAAGCTTTCCGGGACATAACTTCTAACACTATTTCCAATGGACTTGAATAGTCTAATATGTCGGGTTTAGGTAGGTTGTTAAAGTAGCCACATGTAAGGTTGAGGAGACGATGCAGCGCGTTGAGGCCGCTTCACATTTGACAAATAAAAATGATCAACATATTTTTGAAATCTTTAATCCCATTTATAAAGTACTACATTTGTATTTTACCGATTTCGTACGATATTTTTTTTCATTAAAATGATGCAAGAAATATAAAATATAAATAAGTAAAAACTCTTAAAGTTTCGACATCTATACAGTTTAGATGAATATATTCGAGATATTTATTAAATTAATTTATAAGTTATGAATAAATTAAAAGTACTTTTTATGAATTAGATTTCAACAATTGGTTTAAAAACACAGAAAATACTTTTTATTACTATAAAATTATGTACTGTATAATTTGCCAAAAATCAATCACTAAAAATGACAAATAGGCATACTTCTCATAATGGGTGGGCTACTATTGTAGGTGAGAAGTTGGGAAGGTATATAGGGGAAATTGATGTACATGGTATATTTGTAGCCAATGATTAATCATTGTTAACGAAAAACGATTTTGAGCGTAGTTCGATTATCGAGCTATTTAATTCCATAATAAATAAACATGTGACGGGAAAAAGAAAAAAGGGTTGGTTTTTTCCTAGGGATGTTTGGAAAAAAATGTATGACAAATATTGAACGGATTCAAAGAAACACGAAAGCTAAACGTCAATTATTTTCCAAAAGCCGCGTTCACATGGACCAGATGCTGATTATGGTTTAGCTGAACCACTCATAGCAGTTGTAGCATAGACAGAAGAATTGGAGACTAAAAAATCATTGTTTCGTATAAAATTTAACTATATTAATTTTATAAAAATCGCAATCGATACTCGAGATTAATATAACAACGAAAAATGGTTTTATGAAAAAAATACCATTTAAGCATCGCGTTTTGTACAAATTTACATAATGTGTGCAAACACATAATGCAAAAATACAGTGTATAAAATACTTTACGTCCTATGTTCTCAGTCAAAATCACTACAATACGAACGAGAAGTAGAAGACATCACCCGTCAAAAAGCAGAGCAAAATATAAAAAAAAAAAATTGAAATTTGTGGTTGATCATAGATTCTAATGATCCAAATTTAGCAGTTATTCTAGGTAGATCTTTTTTTTATTGTCATCTATTTTAAAAATAAAAATATTTCTTTAAATGTTTTTATAGATACTTGTAGTTTAATTCAAAACGAAGCTGTAGTAGAAATCAAATACCAGTAAATTGCATAAGATACTTCTAGTGCTATAGAAGCATTCACGAATAATCTTGTAAGTTCTTTGTTTGTTACAATATTATGTAATAATAACTGTAATATGTTTAGGAGTATCAACAATTAAAATAATTCAAATATACATACTATATTGTTATTATAATTATCATTATACATGTTTTTAGTTCCAAAACTGCCGTCTTGTAAATAACAAAATTGAATTAAAACCCGAACATTCATTTGACTACTAAATTATAGTTTAATTGTATATTAGTCAGCGGAAATTATGTCATTTTGTTGCACACATGAATTATTAGACAAATGTTAAAATAATAGATTATGATTTTACCTTTTGGGAAGCTAAAATGATTCATAAAATTAAAGCGTAAATGAAATACAAAATAAGTAATTACAATCAAGGCTTAGATACAATTAAATAATGTGTTATAAAATATTTGTAATATTATTTATTTTGGATTTTATTTGCAATGATTACTACCGGAAATAAAAAAACCACTTTACCTAACTATAGAGTATAGAATGATAACAATTAATATACGAGAAAGAGAAATGTTACTTAGATTTAAAGGTAAGTTCTACAAGATTGTGGTGAGATCGTCTATATTGTATGGACCAGAGGGTTTGGCGGTAGTCAGAAAAATAGAATGAAGAGAGAAAATAGGATGATGAATCAGTACCTACATAAGAGGTTTGGATATGGTTTGGATAAAGACAGTGGTGTGCTCAACATTTTCATATTGAGACTGTTTATGTAACCTAAGGTATGCAATCATTAAATATATTTTCAGGTAGAAATTAATATTACATTACTTGGTATCTAAATGTTAAAAAAAGGTTAAAAGGAGAGTGGGAATATGACAACCTAATCTTCGTCCGTAAGCACGTACCTGATTTGAAATATCGTTGAGTGAAAATTATAATAGAAATTTCAGCATGTCGTCACATATATATTTGAGCTGTAAACACCCCAAATGAAGCTATTAATGTATGAGATTTTCAATACGTAGTTGTATTGCTCTGGAATTAAGGATAATGGTTTTTTGGGAGTGTCGATCACTATTTATTTGGAGTACGAGTAGTATAGTTGTAATACGCAAAATAGTACATGTTTATTTATTGTTTTTCAGGCGGGAAAAAATTCGACGGTAATGGCGAAATTCTATTCACGGGTGGTTTTTATTTTTAATTTGTACGTATAAATAACGTTTAACATTTTACAAGCTATTCAATTATGATTTTATGTTAGACACTCGATAACTTATATTTTCAAAATAGGATTACGAATGAAAATCTCGACATATCACTAAAACGTACAGGTACATAAGCATATACCGGTAGGCATATAAGCAACACGGGACCTTAAAACAGTTTCTCTTTGGTTAATTTAAAATCTCGAAAAGTTGAGATTTTCATTACTCGTATTATTTATATTATAATGAAGTTTATATTATCTCGATTTATGTCTTTGTGTACGTGACATAATTTATTAGTAGTTATACTGTATTATGTGTATACAGTATATTATATAATACGAACCGTATTTCGTTATTATCATCAAAATATTTGTGCGTGACAAAAATTTAATTTTCCAAAGTATTATTATGAATTTGATATAGTGTCATACATCAGAGAAACGTAATCTAAAACCTACGGGGAGTTTATGTTTTTAAATTATTATATTAATATATTATATATTACGATAATCGAATTGCCGTTTGACTCAATTATTTAAATTTATTTAATTTCGTTGCTTTAAAAAAAAAAATAAATACAAAATGTATTATTGGGAATTATTACTACAATTATTAAATTTTACGACAATAAAATATTGACCTAAATATCTTTTTGTTACGATTTATCCACCTCGGGAAATTATATAGCAGTTGAAAATAAGTAGCGCTTACATTTTTTTTTTTTGTATACGGGTGACAAATAACAATTTTAATTAATGTTCGGTGTTCTATTTTATGTACTCAACAAGGTAGATAGTATATACAATTATGTAATCAAATATTTTTAAGGGTAAATAAAAATACCACATCACGCAAATGTTAAAAATAATATTTTTTTTTTTTTCGTTTACAATCCGTTAACAGGACGAAACGGTAATGCAATTTATTTGAACAATATACCTGAGCATGTAGAGTATATCGCCGTCGGGTTTGATGCGTATCAGAACGTTGGGCACCGTAACGAATTGAAATTCCGCGTGTTTCGCATTCGGAAAGTACACTTCCGGTTTCCAGATGGCTTTCACCAAATTCGGATCGTTTAGGTCTAGAGATTCCGTGATCTCGGGATGTTGCAGCCTAGCGTCTTGCCATTTTTGCCGCAGGTACAGGTCGACCTCGTAATCCTAAAAGAAAAAAAAAATCCGTTTTTAGGTAACCCTGCACCTTGTGTATTTTAACAATTATTAGACACACGTACACGTACAAACAAAATATCACCAACACGAATCGAGAATAAAAAAATAAAAAAATACAAAGGTTTTAAATATAGATGTTTTAACGTAATTTTGTTCAGTGCATAATGTATCGGACGGATTTTTTTTAATCACGAGTTTTCTTTAGGGGGTTTATTCATTGGATACATATTATAATTTATAATAGTGGTATAAGATATTTTTAAAACTATTTTCAAAATTTTACTTTTTAACCCAGTGTTAGGAAAGTTTCTTTTATAAAGAAATTCGTTCCTGTTCCTCGTCCTTACTGCAAAAAAAGAAACACGTTGAATTAGGTTTTAAACGTGTCGCTTTTTTTTATTTATTTATTTTTTTTATTAATACTTAGTACAAAGGTTAAACTTTTATAATCTTAATTTTAAAATACTAATATTTAATTTGCTTTGGAAACAATATAATACACGTATTTTAGTTTTCAGGAGTCATAGAAAATTCTGTGTGAAATTAAACGATTTTTAATAGATTTTTTTATGCATTTTTAGTTTTTTGGGACTGTTTAACTCAAATGACTCAGTTAAAATTAGATAAAATAGTTAGAATTTATAATTTTAAAATTTTTGATAAATTATACCCAACAAATTTGAAAAAATAATTTAAAAATAAATTTATCAATTCGCTGTCAAATATTTTATTTATTAATTGATATTAGAAATTTATCTACACGTTATACGCGGTCGACTGTTGCCAACATCCGTCGGCTGCTGAGATTATACAGTGAAACTCAATATTGAATAATTTTTATGAAATATTAATATTATAATATATGGAAAATTGAAAAAAAAAAAAGGAAAAAGATAAATATGAACTATTTTACGTTCTTATTTATTTTAAAGTAACGCTTTCTATGTTTCGTTCCTTTGAAAAAAGCGGCCTTTTATCAAACACTGTTTTTGATAAACTGAAACAAAAAAAACTAAAAATATTGATTTTTAATTTTCCAATACGGATGGGACGAGTCGTATTATTTGATACTGCGTATATTATGTTTTAGTTGTTCGTTCTCCACTTCACCGATTTAAACTTTAAAAATCCCTATAATTATAATGTACCCAAGTATCTTATAGTATAGTTGAATATAAATTAAATAATGTTTTAACGATATTTTTAGAAAAAAATATTACCATACAATCTGGAAATGAACAATATTTGGAATGTATAAAAAAAATGTATTTGACCATAATTTTGTACTCTGTATTGTAGGTATGTAATAGTAAAAAAGGAATTTAATTTTCTGAGGGTGAGTAGTAGTATTAATACCGTTTGATAAAGGCGACGGTCAAGAATTACGAGGTAATTATCAAGGTAATGATCACTATTTTTATATTAAAAAAAAATTGGCATCAGTAATCAAAACCTCTATTCCTAGAACCAGTGCTCGAATTGGATGGACGGCAGCAGCAGGAGGACGGAGCTTCTCTATTTTGTATTATTTTTTTTAGCGTCCCCTTACTAGTTATTTTTATTGTGACGGAGGGGTGGTACTTTTCCCTGTCTGTTTAGAAATAGTAATATTTAAAAAATAAAATATTTTATTAACTCTGATATATTCAATACTATCTGTCCTGCTCGGCGTTGCCGTGTCAATTTTTCACTATTTTTACTTACCAATATTCCTTTTTAGTTTTGACTGTCAGTATTGAATGGAAATAAACACCTTAGACGGATTAAAAGTGTTCTGCTGTGACATTTTTTATAATTTTTACACCAAAAATATCTTAACACCGAATTTCGGGGAGAGTATATTTCAAAGGAAAAGAAGTCCATCTTAATCTATCGGGGAGTTGGGACGCTCGACAGTGGGAAAGCACGTGTACTACGCGTACTATAGTCGTCGCTTGCAATAGGCACGGTGTTCCTTTTATACCATTACGTGCACATTTGTCGACGGTTTAAATTAATATAAAATGAATAACTCGATTGGTAATCTATATCTATGTATATGTAACTGAATCGATATTTTGTTGGTGACGCCATAATCTTAATATCATTCAAATTTCCAACTTGGTGGTGGTTTTTTTTTTTTTTGTAAAATTTTAATTATTGAATATGGGTTATATATGAAAATGGTGTAGGGGGCATGTGGGGGCGAAGTTAAGGTTTAATAATTTCAAGGTAGGCTACATTTTGTTTAGACTCATAGTGTATATTATATATTTTTTTGATTCAACCACTGCTTGTATATAACTAGTGCATTCACGTCAGTTTTACTTATTTGAGTTATTCTAAAATTATATGAAAACAAAGAATATTCAACATTGCAAACCAAACTTTGATATATTATACTAAAACAAACATATTATTATTTCACGCATAAGATTGTATTATAATTATTTTATGGCCGTTCTAGTTCTATAATATTAAGTTATAATTTAGTTGTAGTTATTTGTATAATTTCGTACAAGATTTATTAAATTTATTATTATTGTATACAAACTGTTTTTAGCACGCGATGTAATATAATTATAACTTACGGATAATATACCTATATTATTTTAATAAGTTTAAAACGATTTTTGTTTGAATTTTGAACGGAAGATTTCGACATTTTTAGGTTATATATAGGTCATAGTTGATAAGTTATATGTTTTCTTGTAGCAAGGAATCTTATCCGAGAAAAGGCGTTGCACGTTTTTTTTAATAACATACAAATACATTAACCATTTTTCACATTTTTTTTTTTAGGTACTTTAGAAAACAATTTGGGTAGGATCGGTTCCTATACCCCCTCCACCATTCATCAGATATGGCTTTGTTTTTAGAACGCATATTTACATTTTTGAAACTATTTTCAAGGTTTTTTTTTTTTAATGGTTCGTCAATTTAAAGAATGAATTATTTAGTAATATTAAAAACAAATAACATAAATATATTTATTGATCGGTTGTACCCAGTGATGTAAAAATACCGTATTTTATTTTTTATTAATTACATAACAATTGTTTTTTACTAAAACCATATGTTGTTTTTATAGTTTTCATAAACACCTACACAAGATAGTAAAATAAATAATTTTTTACAGTTTACTGAATCAGAAAAATGATACGTTTTGAATGTTGAATTATGTAAATAGTAAATATGTAGACATTAATTACTTGAACATATTTTGGCGGATAATTGAATAAATGTATCATGTGGTGTATTTGATTTTAAATGTATCTTATTCTTTAAAATAAACTATATGTATTCTATAATTTATACGGGAATCGGCTTATGATTCGCGGTTACTGTTTTTGTAATTCTCTCAAGAAAGTTTTTATGCAAGTGAAAGTAAAATGTAGTATATTTGAACTCGAGACAAAAACTTCAGTTTTATTCAAATAGTTTTCGTCCAAAAACTTACTACGATGTTTTTGTAAATAGTTGTGGTTTGCACGGATTCAAACGTTAGTTCAGCGGATATAAGCTTCACGGAGATTTGTGAAATAAAATATAACAACAAAAGTATTATATGTACGTACAGTCCTCATCGTAGTCGCTTATTATGTTTGGTTAAATTTTATAGTAGTTAAACATTGTTCGAATCCCGTTAAACGGAAAAAAAAAGTTGTATACAATTATTATTTATTTGATTAGTCGTCCGAACAAAAACCTTCGCTTTATTTAGACGCATGCTCATTAGAAGACAATTTTAGATTTTTGGCGGAGTGAGAAAAGTATTGGTTTTATAATAATGTTTATTATTTTTTTTTTATCTATGAACAAATTTTCCACTACCAATTTCGCTCCGATATTCAAGTGTAGCAATTTTCCTGAAAGTAAATTAGGGTGGTACTTTAAGGAGGTATTTTCCAGAGGTTTTCATAATTAATGGGAATACCAGGGGAAAATGAGAAAATCTATGAAGTGTATTATTTTCAAATTGTGTTATCAATATTGCGGCTTTTCAAAACACGTAAAACCGAACACCGTTCATAATTGTTTTTCGTTAGCAATGGTTAATCGTTGTATACAGATTTAAATTAATTTTCCTTTTTACTTTTCCAACTTCTCTCCTAACAGTGGTCCACTAACTCTCTTAGAGTATGTCCGTTTGTTTTTGAAACATTTTTAGCATTTCTGTGTGGTGTCGCTGTACCTAAAAAATCTGTTGGTAGATACCGAAGTATAGTTGTTATAAATGCCAGAGAAAATATTTAATTCGTGGTCATCATTTAAATTTTAGATAGTTTACGAACATAAATTATAAAATTAGGTAATTTTATTTGATTCAATATAAAAAGAAAAGAATCTAATTTATTCGAAAGGATTCGTTATTTAAATTACAACTGTATTAAATTTAATGTTAGGTTCTTTTCAAAAAAAAAAAAAAAAAAATAGAAGAAAAAAATTTCAATACAACTTTTATACCGACAATTAATTTACCATATTATTATTACAATAGCAAATTGGTCGGGTTTAAATTGGTCAGCTTTATCGACTCTCAACTAATAATTAAGTACCCCGGCACAGATAGGTCGTTTTATAAATTAAAACAATTGATTTAATTTGCATCACTATTTGTCATCGTATATATCCCATGAACTGTCGCAGTCGGGCCCTTTTAGCGCAAGAAAACCCATTTTAAATTATATATATATATATATGCGTATAAATGTTATAAATGTTTGGCGTTTCAACTTAATTCAGACAAAAAGCGAAATCGGCCCCTTTTCAACCCTAGCCACATCAATTATTTTCAATTAAATTACACAATTGTTAAGCAGGTTTATAGTTTTTTTATTTTTTGAAAATAATTGGTTTTTTTTTTTCATATTAAACTCATTCGACATTTTAGTACTTAACAAAAAAAAAAAAAAAAGGTTTTTATAGTCGTGTTTCGGTCACTCATACAGCGATAGCTGAATAATAGAGTCTGATCGAAAAAAAAATAAAAAAATAAATTACGAATTCATTTTAATGAAAAAATGTTAAATTACTGTGTATGTATTCGTAAATATATATATATATACGAATTATATAGCACTTCTATATGCTATTTGATTAATGAAGGTGGGTCACAGTATACGCACTGTTAACCTATGTACGCCCCTCAACTAGTGCGATAATAATTGATTCATAAATCAGCGTAATTGAGTAAACCTTGAAGTGTTTGAACATTTTGTTGCTATTGCAAAAAAAAAAAAAAAAAAAAAAATAAAAAATAAAAACTGTAAAATGTCTATACAAATACGCTATAGGTACCTATACGAAATTATATTTCTCACGTATATGATTTGGTTAAATTTACGTAATATGACTGATCGTCACAAAAAAATTAATGCCGAACCACAGACGGCGGTCATGTATATGTAAAACGACCAAATCCTTACATGTGAGTTTGGAATTCTCGTCAACACGAACTTTTTCTCCGATTATATTATAATAATATAACATATAACTATAGCTCTCACGATATTTTACTTATTTATTGTCGTTATGTAAAATGCTGACGGTTACTCATAATGTACGATGAATTCAAATTTCGTCGTATAATTTTCAATGGTTTAACATTATTAAATTTGACGTTTATAATCGTTTTCGGGCCGAGGGCACTGTATACGTTTTTAAATATATAAATATACATGCTGATTCAAAATTTATGTTACAGCCATTTTATCATATGAATATTCAAAATAAAGAAAAATTAATAATACGAAAGTTGTTTGGTATACAAACATCTAAAATGATTAGTTTACTTTTTTTTTGTGTGGTCTTTTAAGGTAGATTTTACATTTTAGTGATTGAATAACATAAATTAATTCAAAATTCTATGTACGATAGAGATATCTAGTTTTCAGAAATTGCATTTCGACCGCACGCCAACAAATAGCTAATGACGTCACTTATCACACAATGCGTCACGTTGCTTCCACCAACCAGTTATAGCCAGTTAGTAAACAATTAGGTCTATTAGTATTAATTTTTAATCGCTATTATTCAAAGAGTTTTTAATAAATTAATATTATTCAGTTATTAAATGTATTAAACAAATATATTCGCATAGTGCTCACAAACAAAATATCGGTTTTCCATTTGAATTTCAAAAGTTTTCAAAACCCACCCTAATACTGTAAAAAATAAAAAGAATATACAAATCATTTTAGATGTTTATTAATCAAAACGGTGACAGTAATGTATATTTTGAATCCCCTGGTAATTTATACAATGCGAATAATCACATAGACTATATTATTGTAATGATTTTCAAAACTCAACTTTTGTTTGTTGGTATTTTAAATGTGTAGATACGTTGAAAGGCATAATTGTATCAGCAGCTTATACTAACTTAACCTTTGTTACTTAACGTTAAATTTTTCTCCAGGCTCTCAACAAATGTTATGCAGAATAAATTTAAAACGTAGCCCAACGATATTTTAGATTCTGATTGGAGCTAAGAATCTTAATGTTTTTACAAAGATCTTTATTATTAATTCTTTTTTTTGTGGACAACTTTTCTACCAGTTATTTTGCTCCACATTTATTGATAACAATATTTCTAAAAAGAATTTTTACTAGGAAGGTACTTTAGAGAGGTCGTTTTATGATTCTCTCTGTAGTTTTTTCAACAAATACGAAAAACGAAAAACAAAACGGGAAAATGTAAGAAATGTAGGTATTAGCTAAACATGTTAAAGCCTTCTTTTTTCCTGTAGACAAATTTTCTCACAGCGATTTTACTCCAATTTTTCTAAAAAGAAATTTCACTGG